TCTTAGTATTTATCTTAACCTTATCCTCCGTTGCCTGTCTATTCTATCCGTCTGAAATAATACTACTATACTATTCGTATCTATCGTATACCCTTCAATCCTTAATATGTCGTAAGGAAAGAGTACCCTAATGCCTACATAAACAGTCGATAAACCCTATACTCAATCTACGCCGTCGTTACTACCGTCGCTACCGCTAAAACCTCGCCTAAAGAGAGTTAGGACAAAGGCGAGAAAGGCATCGAGCTACGATAAGGAGGATAGCGAATTAGAAAAGAAAGCGCGGAAGCCGCGTAGGCTAGTCTATCTATAGACAGACGAATAGATAGAGAGTATATTTATGTTCTTTAAGGACCTTCTCGAGGTATAGAATAATAACTAGGGCTTCTTAGAGTCCTATATCTTGGACTGCGCACTATTACTATACGCCGAGTATTAAGTTCAGGTTACTGCAAAGTAGGTTAGGAACAAATACGACTCGTTCCGGCCTATATAGAAGGAATAGAAGGCCTACCTCGGACGTACGAGTAGTTAGTAGGGCTAGCCGCCTTAGAACGAGAAAGATGTTGCAGATATATACTTTAAAGAGCATCCGGACAGCGTACGTTTTCGCGACAACCCTCCGCTATTCCTTAATAGCCTAGAGGTATTATTCGGCGACCGGCTAGCTTCTAGTAATAAAGCTAGGACAAGTCAACAGCTCGGTAAAGAGACTATCGAGGATACTAGGGTAGAGGCTAGATTAAGAGTATCTATCGAGGATAATATCGTTTCTAGAGACAAAGATTAAGAGCTTAGTAAGGATAAGTAGCTAGCGTCTGATACAGAGATAGTTCAGAGCTCTAAATTCTCGTCTCTAATAGCGCTAAGTTTACTAGGCTCGAGTCGTAGTCCTAGTTAAGGTCGTAGTATACGTAGTAGTAGTAAACGTCTATCGGAGGCTAGGTTATCCGTACCCTCTAAGAGGCAGAGGCTAGCAGATACAGTACGTTCTTATACGAAAGACTATACTATAGCTACTATCGAAGCGCTTAGAAGGCCAATTAAGCGGATAGTTACGACAATTAATGCTAGCCGTATAGCGGAGAAACAGCCTATAGCTACACTAATCGAGTTAGCTATTCGGAGGGTAATAAATCTCGAAGGAATCAAACGCCTTAGCTTTACAAAGCGTATATAGCTATAGGACCTTATCTCTAATAGCGATGCTATTGCTACAAGGGTTCTTAGCTATCCCGATAACGACCTCGAGGCAATATTGAAGTACCTACTAAAGAAAAGGGGTATAGTAGATATTGAGGAAGAGGCGGATAAACCAGACGACGTTAAAGTACTACTCTTATCGCCTATACCGACCGCTATTCAACAGCGTCAACAGATGCCTACCCCGGCTATCTATAGATCGAATATACTATACAGTACTCTACTTAAGCATCGAGTATTCCAATATTCGTAGACCCTACTATCGCTACTACCGCTATAAGATCTCGATGGTTACTATAGACAGGGAGGTTCGTAGTATTGGGACTAGCAGAGCTATAGGTATAGGTATAAGCGGAGGTAAAGTATATATATAGTTTTTACCTATACAGGACACCGACGATAGGTAGTATGCAGCGTTATTATATACAGACCCCTTGCCTATCCCTTACCTCTTCCTAGGATTATTTATTCGTAAGATAGTAGTATGTACTATAGGCTTTACAATCTATTATAAAGTATCTGTGAATGAATAGTAGTAATTCTCCTTAGCTTTCACGATCTCCTGTTATTCGAGGTGCTTAAGACCTAAGTATATCGATAGAGTAGGAGTATTCTAGTATAAGAGTGTAGTGTCTATTATATATATAATAGCTAACCTAGGTACCGATTCAATTCTTCTCTTCTATCTACTACCGCTATTGCTTTAACTACGCCTGTCTATCTCTAGGTATCAACAAAACAACCGTTAAAGTAGCTCCAAAATGTCTTTAGGCCGTAAAGATCGTCGCTCTAGAAACTCACTAATGTACCCTATATTACAAGATACTATACTTGTAGCAGCAGCAGGTATCTAACGTAGCGAGATAAGAAGTAGCTATAAGCGCGATATGTAGGTTCTCTAATTTATACTTACCCTAGATAGTAAGTATACTAGGTATAAATACGATATACTAATTGATAATAGTATCGAAGCTTAATTCTATCGCGATATACAGTATACGATTCGGCTCTCTCTTATTGTACATTATACAACTAAGAACGACGAGAATACTGGTCCTTCCGATTGCGAGTCTAGCTATACTACTCCGCTAGGCTATTCTACCCCGTCGCCCCCTCTACTAGACAACGAGAGTAATAATAACGATGTCTTCGTTATTGCCTTAGAGAAGAGGCGTGTTGGTCGTCCTATAGGTTCAAGATTCGACTTTCGTCGCCCTACTTTATAGGATAGATAGTGGTCAATCTCTAAGGAGCGATAGAATACAAACGAGACTAGCCGTCGTACTATTACTAGGGCGAAGCTCGTCGACAATGCCTATCGATAGACTAGGACAGGTCGTACATAAGAGCTAGGTACTACTCGTCCTAGGGGTGCGTATAAGCTATGCCGTAAGAAGGGTACAGCTATAGCAGCTGACTATAGGGTACATATTTCGTACCGGGCATATAGAAGGTATATATTTAATAAGATAGTGAAGAAGTGTATTAATTAATAAGAGTACCTGTATAGTTTATTATATCTGTACTTTCCTCCTACATTTTTATTACGACTGTTCGCTAGGTTTCTACGACTATAGGTACGGAGCGGAATACAAGCTAATCATTGTATCTAGGCTATCCCGTAATACGCTAGAATACGTAATATCGCCTAGAACGATAGGAAGTCTAGGGTCTATTTACCTACAACTGTGTATTAACATATACGCACCCTATTTATATAGTTAATATACTACCAAATCTGACTATTCTTGTACGAGTAGTTAGCGACGACGACACTTAACTATCGAGTAGATACGTAGCTGGGAGGTAGAGAGACTATAGTTGTTATTTGGTATATAGCGGGAAAAACATACTGCTAAGACCAAGAACTTCAGCTTTAACTAAGATACGTTTATATATATATTATTATATGCCCCTACCCGAATCAGGTCGATAGTAGCTTATTTTTACTGTATAAGTTAGACGAACAAGATAGGAAAATAATAATAATAAAGTTCCTCTATTCTACTACTCTCCGTCCTAGATTTGTTACTTTTATTAACAACTTTACTTCTACCTAAGATACGTTTATATATATATTATTACATGCCCCTACCCGAATCAGGTCGACAGTAGCTTATTTTCATTGTATAAGTTAGACGAAGAAGATAGGAAAATAATAATGACAATGTTCCTCTATCCTACTACTCTCCTACTAAGAACTCGACTTATATCAATAGCTTCATTTTAATAATAGCCTTACTTTATACTTTATTAATGAATTCCTTTTCTTTGAAAGCCTTTACTTTGTCTCGTCAATGCCTTCCCTTTGTTTATAAGTTATAATAGCTGTTGCCTCCTCTACTATATCTTCCTTACTCTTCCTACTATATACTATATACTATACATTATATATTATACACTATATACTACATACTATACACTATATACTATATACTACACACTATATACTATATACTACACACTACTATAATAACTGCACTTATTAATACAGTACGTATAGCAGTAGCATTAGTCTAACTAAACGACGACTATCCAGTATAGCTAGCAGCTATCTAACTATTAAAAGATTACCTAGACAATCTACTAGATACCCCTCTCTATATTGTAACTAGGAGTATACTCTGCTTTAAGAACGCTAACGATCGCAGACAATATACCCGAAGCTAAGGCGATCTACTAGCGACTTCTATGTAGACAGTTATAAAACCTGCCCTATAGTATAGGATAGCTAATATTCTACGGCTCTTTCTCTATACTAGTTAGTATCGAACAACTAGTATAGCGAATACAGCGGATCAATAGTACTATATACTAGTAATAAAGCTAGAACAATACTAGCATATCTATACTACTAGTAGAGTGAGCGAGGAGGATATAGCGCGAGGGGCTATACGGATTCACCGGCTTTAGGGTATAGCTATAGTATAGTATCTCCTAGGGAGCTATACCTCTAGGCAAAGAGCAACGGTATATATAAGAGATAGTATATTTAGGCAGTGTATTAGGGAGTCGCTAGGGGCAGTAGTAGATATTTTCGACGCTACGGTAGTCTATAGACTTATAGGCAGCGAGATACTTGAGTATAATAGCCTAATGCGAGGGAGGACACAAGTAGCAGTTGTTCTATAGGGAGATACCTAGGTTACTATTAGTAGAAGACATAAGTTTATTGTAATAATATAAAGAATCGAAAAACTAACCTAACCAACTCAATCATTCTTATATAGTTTGTTCGCCTCTAATCTTTTACGATAATCCCGCTATATCGAGGTTGCTACCTTGTTACGGTATACCGATATCTTGCTTCTTATCGCTATTAACTTACGATCAGTCTCTGCTATAGTATCCTCGACTATACTAGCCTCGTCAAAGCCAACGTCTATATTAGGTAGCTGCTATATAAACTCTTCGCTCTCGACTAGCTAGCTATTACGTAGAATAAAGTTATAAAGAGCTAGAAGAGTACACACAAAGCGAGACTGCTATAGAGCACTATACCCCTTATTTAGACTATTACGGAGAATAGGCTAGCGCTCCTTATTAATCCCGAAATTACGCTCAATTATATTGCGTAGCTAACTATAGCGTAGGTTGAAGAGCTCCTCCTTAGTCTCTAGCTTCTGCTCTGATACGAGCTACTCTCGGAGGTAGTATCTTGTCTTCTAATATAGTACGAGGATATAGGCTAGGTTTTTCGAATAGCCGCTATCCGCTAGATAATAGCGACTACTTAGAATATACATCCCCTTCCTTAGTGCGTCCCTAAGTACCGTACTATTATTTGCAGAGCCCTCCTAACCTAGTAGAACGAAGGTATAATAGCTATTAAAGTTATAGTATACTAGTACATTCTGAGATAGGCCGCCCTTACGGTTACGATAGGCACTAGCGTTTTTAACTAGCTTTGGTTTAAAAGGGACGTAAGATCTATTAAGAGCTCCTATATAGCTAGAGAGATATAGCTATAGCTTCGGGTTAGACATAATAGCGGAAGGTATAATAGCGTCGCAGTCTAGCTGTATAACAATATCGGTATAGAGCTAACAACATAGCCTACTAACCTTAAGGATAGCTCGTCGTATAGTAAGAGGCGAGTACTAGTAGATCTGCCGTACCCGATTGTTCGTAGTCTTGTATACAGCCGAGTTAAGGAAGATAACGACCTGCTCTGTAGCGCTTACTTTACGACCGTAGGTAAGACTATAATCGTTTATTAGTATAGAAACCAAGGCCTTAAGGACTAGCTAACGGAGCCTTGTTGTAGTATACGAATATTCCGGCGGACTACTTAGTATAATATTCGTCTACTATAAGCCTAGTTCTAGCGCGACAAGAGTAGTTATTACGCTAGCTAGGCGATACCGTAGGGCCTAGCCTTTAAGGGTAAGAACTCGGATAGCCTGCAATACTGTCTAGACATATAGTAGCATCGTAATATCCTCTAGATTACGACTTTCTAGACGGTCTGCTATCGCGATATTAGGTAACGTATACGCTAGGCTACAATTAGGAGGAGATTGGCGTCGTAGAGCGTACGTAGGCCTTTATAGAGGAGAAAAGCGAGATTGAAAAGTAAGCAGAAGAAAATTGAACTCGCTTTTCAAAATTGAGCTCAATTATAGCTCACTTTTTATAATTTGAGCATAATTCCGATAATTCGATAATTAGGCTCAATTATAGCTTACTCCGAGGTATTCGATCTTAATTATATAATTGAAACTGTCTTATGGATAAGACAGGTTGAATTATCGATAATTCAGCGCGAAGTATTCAAGGCCTAACTGTAGACGGTCCCCTCCCTCGTCGTATGTCTACTGTAGGTTCGTTCCCTGACATGGGCCCGCCGCCGGCACACTGTGCACAGGGCAGTCACACGCTTCAGGCTCGCTGCTTCCTCCTGCAGTGCTCCGCAAGCGTTGCGTTCCTGCGCCTAGACAGGGTTGTCCGAGTTGCAACCAACGCCGGGATCCTGGTCGCACACACCAGCCCGGCCCAGGATGGTGGATCAGGTAGTCGCACTGTCGCACCTGCAGTCCTGCACACCCAGAGTAGGCAGGAACGTATACCCAGGAAGGAGGGAGGTAGGTACATGTAGTCGCAGAGCTGCCGCCCCCCGATGTCTCGTACCTACCGTACTCATCACCACTCCATCCTCACCCACCTTCCCACTCACGGCACTCACTACCTGTACCTTCACCTACTACACGCACTTCCAAATACCTCGTCACCAATCTCCGGCGCCCCTAGTGCACGCCTTGGTCCCTCGATCTCTACGACCCTTTGCACCACCGACGCAATCGGGCTCGGCTGCACAATAAGCATCCTGCGCCGCCAAACCTTCGGCGACGTAGCTTTGACCGTCCCATCGGAGGTAGTTCTAGCACCCGCGACTCTGCTGATCGAACGCCCAAGAAAAAAGGACGGCGACGGGATGCTCACAGTGGAGGAGCGGTAACACCATGACATCAATGCCTCGAGAAGCGGCGGCCAGCAGTCTGACGGATCCGAATCACTATCGATCTTTCGACAACATCAACATGGCAGCTGGCGACCCCAAAGGACCCACGCCGACGCGACCATGGATCGAGAAGGACTCCGAACCACACGCCTCTCCAGCGGGAGAGTTGACGCGGCGAAAACGTCTCTCATTCTTTGGACGCTCCAGTTCAGATGCTGCAACGCGCAAACCGCCGATGCAGCCCTTACAGGCCACCATGTCTACGCACAAAGATGAACTGCCTGCGTTCGACTCCGTCCCACAAGCGCAACCCCGACGGCCCATGACTTCGGGGAGCGATCATGCCAGGAGAAAGACGTCGGATCAGATAGAGAGCATTCGACATTCCATCTTTGGTGGCAGGAAAGGTTCGCGGCCGACGACGAAACGATCGCGACAAAGCCACCAGGCCCCCAATGTCGGCTTGATCCCATTCACATCTCCTCTGCAAGAAGAAGTCACACCACCACCTGAAGCCAAGGGCAACGTCGGTGCCAAAGACTTCAGGGACGAGAGCGATTGTCAGTCATCATCGCATATGCACGCCTTAGTTGCATTCTCTACAGCACGCTAACATGGGATTTAGTCTACCATCACCGGAAGAAGACCTCCATATCGTCGCCATTCAACTTTCACCACGTCGGGCATACTGATCGAAAGAACCTGCCTACACGACTGGAAACTGTGGACGAGAAAGCACTGAGCAACAGACTGCTAGACTTTGATGCCCAAGGTCATGCGTTACAAGGCGTTCCGGCCGACAAGATCCGGCATTCGCGTCTTCTCTTGCAGTCCACATCGTCGCCACATGAGCAAGTGATCCCCTCGCGACATCGTGGCAGCCCGAGTGTCGACGAGACCACGTTCAATGAAGCCCTGGAGACGAAATTCAACGTAGAGGAACACTTCAATGAGCGACCGGCCCTCAGGTCACCAGAACGCGTGCCACGACCCTCTTCTTCGTCACCCGCATTGAACTCGCCTTCGTCGAGCAGTGCCTCGCACACGATTCCACATCTCCATACAAAAGCCTCTTTTGATTCTTCTTCTCAGCTGACACATTCACGTGACCCATCGCCATCATGCGAGGATCGACCCACCATGCCGGTGCGCGGAAGACCTTTGGGACAAAGTTTCCGCGAAAAGCAGCCCCTACCACCTGTTCCCCCACAAGAACAGCCTGCTGCTATGGTTGGGCAGAAGCCTTCCAAGACTTCACTCGCATCAAGTCGCCTCAGTATGGGGCAGCGGTTTCATCCAGCATCTGGTGTGAACGCAGGAGGTTATCCAGCCAGCATAGCCTCACAGAAGAGCAAGCGATCGAGCAAATCTGCTGCGCCAACGGCGCACAGTAGTACCTCTACACGGGCCTTCTCGGACATTCCTGTCGGTCTGGATTGGGAGGATGACATCGACTTTGCTTTTGAGCAGGAAGCAGAGGCGACTTGCGACTTTGACTGGGAAAAGTACGCGCCATTCATGCCCCCCACGAAGGAAGAACTGCCAGATCCGAGTCCAGATGGGTCCTCGCCCGACAGCAGTGGAGGTGGGGGTGTGCGTCTTTCGGGCTGGATAGACGAACCTTCTGCATTGGCAGGAGGCGAGGCTCCAATGAACACATCGGGCTTACCACCACTATTCGATGAAGACGGCCAACCGCTCCATCACAAGCGTGGGTCTTCCGTCGGCCATCGTGGCTTCTTGGCCGCAAGAAACTCTTCTACAGACAAATTGTCGGCCAAGACTCCGCCATTGCCAGTGGAGATCAGTAAGCATGCTGAAGTGAGCACCCCTCCGGCTATCAGTCTCACTACAGATTCGGTGGGGTTTGCAGCAGCGGATGAAGGGAAAAAGTCTCCGTATGGTATGCAGTCCTACTTTCCTGCATTTGATAGCTGTATTCCCGAGTATCTGAGCGATCCCGAATCGACCAGAACAGGTGGCAACAGACATCGAAAGAGCTCTTCGTACAGCTCTTTCGATTCTTCTGGACGATCTCTCCAAAACACTTCGGCGTCGGTGTCATCAATGTCTACGAGATGGTCTTCTGCTTCGACTTCATCGATCCCTGACCTGCTCCACTGCTCCACGTACAGCAGGAAGCGAGCGAGTGTCCGAAAGAGCGCCACTTCTGGCATCTTTCGAACGCTGGAGAGTGTACCCCACAGTCCTGATGGGAGGGAAGAGCCCAAGTCAAGTGTGGAAGTGCAGGCTAGGCCGAGCATTTCTGATCGCTCCGTCAGTGACACGATTCTGATGAGAAGGCCGGCCACTTCTGGCGACCGAGCATTGCTCTTCCAGAGTGGAAGAGTGGTGCAGAGAGGAAGATCGAGTACGCGAAGTGCGAGTCGGATGGCGGCTCCACCGCTCCCGCAAGAAGAGGAGCAGGAACACACATGGATTTAATGTTGAATGTGATGGCGAGAGGAATGTGTTATGTGAATTATGACCGCAATGTCAAACTGAGGAGGGACAGAAGCGAGATGCAAATATGAAATTGAAAAATGGATGGCCACGAAATTGGGGAGAGATGGATGATGAGCACAGAGACATGGTGCAAAACATGAGGAAGCCCGGACAGTCTTTTTGGGGCATGATTTCCTCGTGCGCGCTGCACTGTGCTCCAACACCAGCGCAAGAGCGCCTATACACACACGTTTTCCTTCTTGTTGTTGTTCTTGTTGGAGGCAAAAAGATACCCGCAAAGGCTTTGTATGAGATGCTTGTACTAGTATTTAGTATTGCTACAGCAGTCGTCAACAAACGGCGCGCAGCCAAATGATTGATTGCTCTCTCGGTGCAGGCAGATCGGAGCAGTAGTGTATGAGGTGTTGGCGTCGTGGTGAAGGAGTTAGTTTTGATTACCACCTAGGAGGTAGTTCCAGGAGGTAACTCGCTCGGGGGCCAGGATCAGCTGCGCGGGTGTCACTGGGCCGACTTTTGGTGTTCGCCCCCTCCTACTTCGAGACCCTTCCACTGTTGATGATGATCCTCCTCTGCCGCCCACCACTACCACCACCACAACACCGTTAACGACGATTGTACCACATACACACACCCACAGTATCCATATTCTCGCAGTGCCACCACCTCATCTCGTACTGGACACATTCCCGCCTGCATCGCCAAGGGAAACTCGAGCGTCTTGGAATATGCGCAGTGTGGCCGCACGAGATGGCTGTGCTTGAGCAATCTTGGTGAGACAGACTGGCAGACTGGCAGACACAGCTTTCTCGGAGGAGGAGAAGGAGAACGGATGCTGATGACTCGACGTGCATAGGGTCAAAGTCCAAGAAAAGACGTTTGGGAAATGGTAAGGCCTGCTCTTCCCTACCATCACCACATACCCAGCATCTGTCTACCCAAATACACCATATCCCCCCATGTAGATAGAGCCCGATGACAGGGACCCACCTCAGGCGATACGGAACTGACATCTGTCGTCGTGACCAGGCTGAACAACAAACTCAAAACGCGCGACCTCCATCTTGACAACCTCGTCAGTGACCTCAGCGACGGCGTCATCCTCATCCACCTCCTCGAAATCCTCTCCCAAGAATCCCTTGGCCGATATGCAGCGCGACCGAAACTGCGCGTGCAGCGCTTCGAAAACGTCAACATCGCCTTGGACTTTATCAAGTCGAGAAAGATTCAGCTGACCAACATTGGAGCGGAAGATGTCGTGGATGGGAATCGGAAGATTATCCTCGGTCTGATCTGGACCTTGATTCTCCGCTTCACCATCAGCGATATCAATGATCAGGGCTTGAGCGCAAGGGAGGGGCTGTTGCTGTGGTGTCAGAGGAAGACGGCGTGTTATGATGAGGTAGAAGTGCGGGATTTCTCGAGTAGTTGGAACGATGGGTTGGCGTTTTGTGCGCTGCTGGATATACATCGTCCAGATCTGATTGACTACGATCAGTTGGATAAGAGTGATCACAAGGGGAATATGAAGCTGGCATTCGATATCGCGAGTAAAGAGATTGGGATTCCCGAGCTGTTGGATGTGGAGGATGTGGCCGATGTTGCCAAGCCGGATGAGAGGTCGCTGATGACTTATATCGCATACTGGTTCCATGCTTTCTCGCAAATGGAGAAGGTGGAGAATGCTGGGAGGAGAGTGGAGAAGTTTGTGAGCAATATGCAGGGCGCCTGGGAGATGCAGAACAACTACGAGAGAAGGATGAAGGCACTCCTGGCCTCGATCGTGGCGAGGAGAGAGGAGTGGGAGAAGGCGCAGTGTGATGGGACGTACGCGGATGCGAAAGAGCAGAGTCGGCAGTTCACGCTATACAAGCAAAAGAGCAAGCGAGAGTGGGTGGCCGAGAAGAGTGAACTGGCGGGCATGCTGGGCAACATCAAGACGAAGCTCAATACATACCGACTACGGCCGTACCAGCCCCCTGCTGAGCTCAGCCTGGAAGCATTGGACGATGCGTGGAGTGTCCTCATGGAAGCCGAACGTACGCGATCCCAAGTCATCAACAACACGATTCGCGACATCAAGAACAACCTCCGAAAGTCGTTTGCCGACAAAGCTAACGACTTTGCCCTGGCGCTCAAAACTATCAGCGTCAGCATTTCCGGCCTGGAAGGCGAGGTGGAAGACCAACTCGAGCACACGTCACAAATCTCGAGAAACCTTCCGCCCTTGGATCAATACCTCGATATCATCGCAAGTTTGGACACACAATGTCAGGAAGCCAATATTGAAGAAAACGACTACACGACATATACATATGACGAACTGGCTTACGAGCTCAGTCTGGTGCGAAGTTCGGTGCAGAAAAAACTCGCCTTTCTGGATAACCAAATGGTGGCGAGAGAAATGACGAACCTGACGCCTATTCAGCTGGAGGAATTCGAATCAGTCTTTCGTCACTTTGATCGCGACTTATCCAACAGTCTCCAGGAGCTCGAGTTCTCCGCCGCCCTGGCCTCTCTCGGTCTCGTGTACGATGAAACGGAAATGCACGAACGCTTTCTCGAAGTCGCTGGTCGAGGCGGATCCGTGTCGTTTGAGCAATTTATCCGATTCATGGTCGATGTCACCGAAGACCAAAATACGGCCGAGCAGGTTTTCGAATCGTTCCGAGAAGTCGCTGATGGCAAGCCTTATGTCACGGAATTGGATCTGACCCACAGTCTCATTCCGGACGAGGTCGTCAAGGAGTTGTTGGAGAGTATGCCTATACACAAGGGGCCCGACCTGAAAGAGGATCGAGATTTGCCCAAGTATGATTATGTGCAGTTCATGGAGAGATATCTTGGTGGCGGTGATGGCGGGAAGGATGATCCGGATGCCAAGCAAGAGGTGAATGGCAAGCATTCGCAGTATTAGGGAGCTGCCATGCTAAGCCATGATGGTAGTGTTGCGAGTGATTCTGGACTGGATGGCGCTGTCGACACTCCGCAGATGCGTGACAATCCTGGGCATGTCGTCGTAAGCAGCAGCAGCAGCAGTCCCGTTCATCGACTTGGTGTTCCTGTCCTTTTGTCCGACGATGATGATTGGATCGGTCGAGAAAGCGGCTTGTCATATTTGGCAGAAGAAGAACATCATGCCCATGACGATCAAGGAGGGAGAGGAGGAGGAGCAGGAGGAGGAAGAGAAAGCACGAGACTACTATAGGGGCGTTTGAGCGACGGTGATTGTTGATCAGCAATCATGTCGGGTATAGGAGTGGTGTTGGTTGAGTGAGCTTGGTTCTGTCAATTTTGGTGTTGATTTCCATGTGCGTTTTTCGGGGGGGGGGGGGAAAGCGTAGTAGGCATTGCCGAAATTGCTGCACTAGGATCAGAAAGAAAGAGAGAGAGAAGCACTCACTGATGAGCAAGGAAGCAAGCAGTCGTCAGTAACACGCAAAGTGTGTCAGTCAGAGCAGGATATCAATATGTCAGATGTCAGATGTCAGATGTCGAATGGTATCATCATCATCATCATCATCATCATCATCAAAGGGACCGGGAGTGAGTGGTAAGCGATTGATTGGAAACCGTAGGTAGGTACCTACATACCTAGGGTAGAGTAAGTAGGTCAAAGTAATTATAAGTTGTAGTGTTGAATCGATACCTCTTATACATCTCTTTTTTGGGAAATTTTAGCCATTCTACTTATAGTAACTCACTTCTCCTGGTGTTGTATCTCTGGAGAGGAGAATCGCCATCCATATAGACAGGCACAAGGTAGATATCCATAGGTACCGGGTACATATGTATACGTCAAAAAATCCTCTCATACATGCATGTAGCTATTAAAATGTACCATTTGACCACACAGAAGCGGGAATGGGGAATCGACATGAGCCGAGAAAAACAAAGGGTGGGAAAATGTACACATGCTTTCAGAGTGGTAGGTAGTAGGTGTGAGTAGGTAAGGTCAGGTAGATTAGCTATCTGGAGCTCATGTACCTACCTACATACCTCCTACCACACATCCATCACACAAATTGCATTATTTTTCTCCCCATGCCTGGGTCGACCGTCTTCCCCAAAACGCCTCGCTAGATGGATGCACTCGCAAGTTGCCAAAAATCGTGAAAATTCATGCGCTGCTAGGCGCCTGAATGCTGGTAGCTACCCAGAAGCAGCAGCAGCAGCAGATGGTGCTCTGAGTTGACATGAAAGTCATCCTTCGAAAAAGGCAGAGGGATCCTACTACCACTACTACTACTTCTTCTTACGAAGTGTATTGCCCTGCCCCTCGAAGTTGACCTTCTTGCTTTGTTCCTCTTTCGACTGTTCTTCCTTGTTCTTGAGTGGCTTGATATCATACCCAAAGAAAAGTTTACCCGGCGGAAGTCTGAGCGGTTGGGGTCCATTACGTCTCTTCGTACTCTTGGCAACCATTCCCGGGATAGTCACAGATGATCCGCCAGCATTCGATATGGGCGTGCTCGATCCCGACGTGGATCGCGGTGTCGCATTCGCTGCTGTCTTACCCTTCTTCGCAACAAGTCTCTGTCCAGCTCCAGAAAAGTGCGAGGAGGCGTTGTCGTGTCCCTTAGCAGCCTGATCCGAGTCGGGCTTGATCGCGCTGTAGTTGATGGCCTGTGCCATGCTGCCTTCGATGTGCATTCCGCCGCCCATGCCGCCCAACTTCGAGTTGCCGCTGCGGGGCGTGCTTGTCCCACTTCTCTTTGGCTCTTCGTACCCGATCGGTGGCGCGAAGTCAACCTCCAGATCTGTCTCTTGCACACTGATTGCGCTCTTTTCGCCTTCTGGCTTGACCTCCAATACCGCGATCTCGTATACGGTGTCATTGTAGCTGAATGTGAAGATGTCACCCTTGCTCATGCACGCAAACCCTCTGAACGCCTGTTCCAACACGGCCTTTGGATCTGAGATGTCAAGAAAGTTCGTAGTTTGTGGCTGTAGCTTGATGAATCTCCCAGGCGGCAGACTGGTACTCTTCGTCTGGATCAAATCACCCGGTTCCAGCGCTAGCGTCTGCATCATCCAGAAGGGTAGATAGCATCTGCCTTCTTCCGCGGTAAACTCGAGCACACCGGCGTGTGAGCTCGTGCTTTTTGTGCCGTTAATGAGCTCGAACAGCATGGGATATTCGATGTGCAGTTGGGTGAGCTTGTCGAGGGCGGAAGCAGGGAGGAAGATCTTGCCGCCGTGGTTTGCAGACTCGCGCTCTGGTCCGGGCATCATGGCGATGGGATAGCAACGGTAGTACTCGTCAAATTTGCGTGGACGTCCGCCCGCGCGCATCATGCCGGCGCGATACATGGCCAAAGGGTCGGTCTCATCGTAATAGTACGACATGATTATTGGGGGCGGAGGTGGAGGGTGGAGGTGGAGGCGGAGGCGGAGGTAGAGAGAGGTAGAGGTGTGTAGGTGTATTTCGGCGTCGATTTTGACAGTGGCGAGATGGCGGTGGTGAGGTTGAAGTAGTGAAGGTGTAGGTGGTAGAAGTAGGATAGTTCTAGAGAGCAGACAGAGAGAGAGAGAGAGAGAGAGCTTCACATGCCAAAGCATGCGATGATGACGGAGTGAGCTTAGTGTCTTGGCGGATCTTATCGCCGCCATTCTCCGTGTCCATCTGCTCAATTCACTTATAACCTTAGGAGGTACCTCCTAAGTAGATATTCTAATTCTCGACCGCCTCCACCCCCCATCCATCCCCTATAATGATACCTCCTCACGCACCCACTCCACCAGTCGGCATCGTCAACCCGACCTTCTTCCTCGTCCCCATCAAAGCTCCCCCATCCTCAGCAACTCTCACAAACTGTCTCAACGCCTCATACTGACTCTCCAATTCCTTCTCATCCACACACTTCGCCATTCTCTTGGGAATGTATAATTGTTGGCAAAGTCCCTTGGTGCGCATTTGTGTGACTAGAGTGGTGTTTCGGACGGGGGCACAGGTGGATGTTGTGCTTTGGGTGGGACAGTCGTACTGCGAGTTATCGTTAGTTGGGTGGTGGTGATGAAGAGGAAGAGGAAGTATCATTCATGGGAAAGGTGATGAGGAGTGGAAATAGAAAAAAAAGATGGGACGTACTACTGCGCCAACCATCGAGGTGGTAGCGTTAGTCCCTGTTCCAACCCCATCATCATCTCCATCTCCACCCCTTTTCCTCCCACCACCATCAGGACGATCAACTTTCACACAAATCGACTCCATAGCATGATTTTCCCGCGCCGCCCCATTCTCCTTCCCTTGATTTGAACCCGCACATTCCTCCCGAAACCCCATCTTCTGCGCTGTTGTGAACTCATTCTGCCCACGTCTCGGAAGTAGCCCAAAGTCCCGTTCCTCTTCAGTGATACACCAAGGATTCTTGTTTTCATGGACGAATTCCAAATCCTCTGTTTTCAATTCACGGCAAAGACTCTTTCCGCCACAATCGTGGATGGTAGAGTTTGTGAGACAGTCATGCTGGCGGTCATCTCGTCAGCTTTCACATTGGGCACACAGCAGAAAGCAGGGAAGAGGAGATAAAAAGTGTAAGGAGGGCGAAAGGAAGAGTGAAAGAGAAAGAAGCCAACTCACAATGGTACTCCCCAGACAAATCTGATCCGTTGAATTTGTTCTTCGATCACACAGAATTCGTGTAGAAACAGCATCATCATTGTTCTCAACCTCTCGTTTCCTTACCACAAAGGCATCAGGGGTAGCGTGTTCTTCAGTACTATCGTCGGTATCATAAGCAGCAACAACAGCAGCATCACGTCGTACAGGAGGTGAAATATCACCCCCCGCCTCTCCATGATCCAGCTCATCTGACTGGACACCAGCTTGCGCTTCCGCTCCCAGTGGGACTGGCTGTTTACCCACGCAGTGTGTCTTCCCTGTAATAGGATTCGGAACACAGTATGTGCAGATACTCGTGGTTTTCTGCTCTTCGCAATCGTACTGTGAGAAACAATAGATGTCATCAGACAGTCAGTCGGTCAGTCAACACCATTTCCACTAAGTGACCAAGGGAACCCTAATAGTCGTGTTTGGGAGGGGGCAAAAGAAGGAAAGAAAGAAAACCCACCACTTTGTTATCGAAGCATATATTACCCTGGCCCGTCTTTTCACATATCTGTTCGGGAGAACTTTCGCTTCGTTCGTGATGGAGTAGTAGGGGATGAGGATTTGCTCGGATGCAAGACGCCGTAGCCAAAGTAAGAGTGATGAAAGAGAGGAGAGGAAGCATAGCTGAACTTTTTGGCAAAGGGGTGGGAAACGCTTGTTGGAATATGAATGGTGGGCTGATGATGCCGACGAAGATGTGGGATGAAGATGTGGTTTGGTTTGGTTTAGTGTTTTCTACACGATTAGATCAGAGATTTTATGCCTTGCCTGTGAGATGAGATGATTGCACGCATCAGGTGTGCTGTGCAGCAGACAGGACTGTGTTATAAGTCAGCAGCCATGCCCACGACCAAATCAACAACGGGTGAAGCATGATTGTAGAGTGTGGTCATCTCATACCACCTGTAATATCATCGACAGCGCATCTGGATGCCGTCCATCATACACATGACAAAGTATCTGTACAAGTCTTTTTTTCCCTCGTGATCGGTACGTTTTACTTCTTCGCCTTCTTTCCGCCTCTACTCAGGGCCCTCCTCTCCGCAGACCTCGCCTTTCTTGCATTTCTCTTCCTCCACGCCGCAAATCTATCGCCTGGTACGAAAGGCTTTACAGCCATGGCAACTTTACTCCTTTCCGCAGCTCTTCCAATCTCCCAATTGGCTTCTTTATACATGTACCTCCCCGGGATGAAACGATAATTGATTTCCTGTTGCTCTCCTTTGGGGCCCCGCATGACTGTGACGTCTCGTGAGGCGTTTGGTACATCTTTGATGATGGTCGCAGGTGAGGATGCGGCACCAGGTGTGTCCGGTGGCGCGGCGAAGGTCAGTCCGCCTGTAGTTCCTGGTGATGATACTGCTGTCTTGGGGTTTTGGTAGGCGAGCATGCCCAGTTTCCGTCTTCGAGGGGTATTTGGTGCTTGCGGGAGGGTCTGGCTACGGTCAAATACGATGCCAATGTATTTCCGGTGCGGGTGTTTTAGAGGATCGCGGTAGTAGATCACGTAGCCTGGTTGACCGGCGTGGATGGTATGATCTCGTCCCTGTTCCCGTCAGTATCATGCTCCCATCTATCGTGTAGAAGTATCAGCTATACCATGTAGCAGTTGTCGCCTGGGAACCATAGCGTCCCTCGTTGTCTGAAGAGAATGTTGCCGGGCACGACGTATTGACCTCCACTCTTCTTTGCTCCCAGTCGCTTTCCTGGGCCATCTTTGGCGCCGTTGGCTCGTCCTTGGGCTTGATGCGATGCGTTTCTTCGTCCTGTCGGTATGCGGCTATTGGTACATACGGCGGGAGAGATGCGGAAGCTGGCGAGAGCAGATTCGAGCGAGGTGAGACTGCAATTGGACGACGCGTGGGAGAGGCGCGATTTGAGTAGCGACGCCATTATGCGTGCGCTGAGGAGTGTGTGGGTGTGTGTGTGTTTGCTCTGGTGTGGTGTGTCGGAGGAGTTCTTTGTTCGGCGGTGATGGATGGAGAGATGGCAGCAGAACAAGGGCCAAGACATCGACTCCCACTCACGTCGCGCCTCTACAACCTTACCTCTAGAGGAGCGTCAATGGGAAGCTAACAACAACGCGGGAGCTGCCAGAGGCCAACACTTGACCATACCTTACAGTACTTGATACCATCCACACGCACACTCACACGACTGCCATTCCCACTCCCACTCTCCACGGCAAGCAAACAAGCACCACCCGCTACACCTCCACCTCCACCTCCAGTCATCATACCGGGCCTCGAGCCCACACACCACTACCACCACCGCCGCCGCCGCCGCCGCCGCCAACATGGCCTCGGCGATCTTCTTCCTCGACCTCAAGGGCAAGACCCTCCTGGCGCGCAACTACCGCGGAGATATTCCCATGAGCGCCGTCGAGAAGTTCCCCATTCTCCTGTCTGAAGCCGAAGAAGAGTCCTCCTCCGTACCACCTTGCTTCTCTGATGAAGGCATCAACTACCTCTACATCCGACATAACAACCTCTATCTGCTGGCCCTGACGAAAAAGAATACCAATGCGGCCGAAATCCTCCTCTTCCTCCACCGCATTGTGGAAGTCTTCACAGAATACTTTAAAGAGCTGGAAGAAGAGAGTATCAGGGATAACTTTGTCGTCATTTATGAGCTCCTCGATGAAATGCTGGATTTCGGTTATCCGCAGACCACCGAGACCAAGATCCTTCAAGAGTACATCACGCAGGAGTCACATAAATTGGAAGTCCAACCGCGACCACCTATCGCGGTGACCAATGCCGTGTCATGGAGAAGTGAGGGTATCCGTTACCGAAAGAACGAAGTGTTTTTGGATGTGGTGGAATCTCTCAATCTTCTCGTGAGCAGTCAGGGCAATGTGCTGCGATCGGAGATTCTGGGAGCGGTCAAGATGAAGTGCTATCTTTCGGGAATGCCCGAGTTGAGGTTAGGATTGAACGACAAAGTTATGTTTGAGACGACCGGGAGAGCGACGAGGGGTAAAGCTGTGGAGATGGAAGACGTCAAATTTCACCAATGTGTGAGGTTATCGAGATTTGAAAACGACCGGACGATATCGTTCATCCCGCCCGATGGAGAGTTTGAACTCATGTCATATCGACTCAACACGCAGGTCAAGCCGCTGATCTGGGTCGAGTGTATCGTGGAAAGCCACTCGGGAAGCAGAATCGAGTATATGTTAAAGGTAAGAGCAAGCTCCTCCCCCAAACTTTTTTTTTCCTGAGATGCTGCTGCGATCGATACTGACTTTTCTCCCTTTTCCCTTTTCTCCTTTTTTCAGGCCAAAGCACAATTCAAACGACGCTCCACCGCCAACAACGTGGAAATCTCCATCCCCGTCCCCGACGACGCCGACACTCCCCGCTTTCGCACAAACATCGGATCCGTCCACTACGCCCCCGAAACCTCGTCCATTGTGTGGAAGATCAAACAATTCGGCGGCGGTAAAGAATTCCTCATGCGCGCCGAACTCGGTCTTCCGTCGGTCAAGGGCGACGAAGAGCGTGGTGGAGGCATGATGGGTGGGTTTGGAGGAAGCATGGGAGGAGTCGGGGGAAGTGGCAAAGGCAAACGACCGATTGGAGTCAAATTCGAAATTCCCTACTTTACCACTTCGGGGATTCAAGTGCGGTATTTGAAGATTATTGAGCCCAAGGTACGTCTGTGTCTGTTTTTGTCATTTTGTTGTCGTTTGTTCTATATTGGCAGCCCAGTTGTTGACTGACTGACTCTGGTGGTGATGTAGTTGCAATACCCTTCCCTGCCATGGGTACGATATATCACACAGTCTGGAGATATCGCCGTACGGTTACCGGATGTGCAATGAGTGACCGACTGACCGAGCGACCGAGTGAGTGATGGAGTGAGGAAGGGTGGCAGGTCGAATGGGAAAGAAAAAAGATAAAATGTGACACAGCGATGGCGTTTCTCTCTGTCTCATGCATGCATGCAGCGATGATATCACGATCATTTCATTTTATTCACATCTATGTTACTGCTTCACCCTCTTCTTCTCTGGCCCCTCTTCCCCATCCTCATCATCACTCAACTCTCGATAAATCGTCTCGGGCTGCGTCGTCTTCCACGCATTCGTAAACATGGTATCATTCTTCGCCTTGTCCGCATACTTCAACAACGCCTCTCGAGGATCCTCATCTCGCAACGAACTCAACGGAATTTGCGATTTGACATAGTCTTCGTCGGGGTTTCCCTTGGCAAATGGCGTTGTCTGGGGAATATGCGGTCGGCGGGGATCGCGAGAGCGTCCACTCGCGGTGAGGCCGACGGTCGGGTGGCGGGAAGAGTAGGATGATGTGCTGGGAACGGCACCGCCGGGTGTGATGATGGCGTCGCCGGAGATGCCGTTGGAAAGGTCGGTGGTGAAGTTGGGGTCGTCGTCGATGTGGCGGCGCTTGGGGGCGCGGGACATGACGGTTTTGGCGCCGGAGGAGGATGTGTTGGGGTTGTACAGGATATGCGTTTCCGCGTTGGCGGAACCCGTGACTATTTGGTTGAGCTTGGGGTGCCAGAGGACGGAAATGAGGGGTGAGTTGGGCGTGACAGGCGTGACTAATTCGGATTTGAGGGTGCCTGGGTTGAAGATGTGAAGATTGCCTTCTTGCGAGCCCGTGAGAATACTGGTCGAGGTGGGAGAGAAGCGGATGTTGCTCGTCGGATATTGTGCTGATGTCGAAGTATGTGAGATGGTGGCGACAGGCTGCTTGAATTTTCGTGTATCCCACAGCTTGACCGTATCGTCGCCTCCTCTTGTCACGACCATGCGGCCTGCAGAATCAATATCGAGGCCGCTCGTCCACGTGTTGGTAGTGTGTGCGTCTCGAATCTCTGCCGCTGGCCGTGCATAAGGTCCCTCGCCACTCCACATGACCAAACTGCCATCGAGAGCAGCACCTACCAGCAGGTTGTTACCACCTTGCATAGGCGAGCCCCAGGCCACTGCTGTCATTCTGGTCCGCCCTGCTGATCCCGCTGCGCGCGACTTGTGCACAATGACTTCCTTCTGTTGACGAGGGTTATTGATATCCCATATGCGAAGCGTGCTGTCCGTTCCTGCTGTGACACACAAGTTTCTGTCTGTAGGATGCCAGCATCCCGTCGTGACCTCACTGATGTGTCCTTTCGTATTATGCATATCTCGCAGATACATATCGCCCTTGACAAACTCGCAAACAGCCTCTCCATCTCTGGTCAAAATCTTTGCTTGGGGAAGAGCTGTCGCGACCAAGATATGGCCTGCATATAGAGGATTGAAAATGACTTGGCTGACAGGATGATTCTCCACAGTCGCGGAGCTTTTCGAGGCATTGGGATCAACGGATTTGAACGCGCGGATCGTTGTAGGTGTCATGGAAGCAAAATCGTGAAATTTGATGGTACAGTCCATTGAGCCTGTAATCAATCTTGCGCCTGATGGGTCTATCGTCGTCGCTGTCACCGCGCGATCGTGTGTCTTGATGATCATCTCGTGCGATACAGGGTACTCGTCGTCCTCATCGTCGCTATCATCATCGTCGTCGTCGTCGTCCTCGTCGTCCTCGTCGTCGTCGTTATCAGAGGCATCATCATCCTTCTCTTCTTGACCAGGGTCTTTCGAGTCCTGGACTCGATGCTGTGAAGCTCCGTGTGTCTGCCGCTTGCTAAGGTCGACCTGCTTCTGAACATTCGCAGCTCGTGATTGCTTTCCAAAAGACGAAGTGCCTAGGAACTTTTGAAGCTCATCGTCCTGCTCAACTTCTGGCTCTTGGTCGTCCATGACGAAGACTGTATGTTGGTGGCGGGAGGACAGGAAGCAGAAAGCGCAAAGGAAGATGGCACTTACGCTGGCGTCTACGAGCAAGCACTTTGCGTATGAGCTGCGAGGATGTTTGTAGGAATTGCCTGAAAGGTGAAGTCGCTGTGTACAAAAGTGTAAGTCAAGACTTTTGTCACGTGATGGTTGCTGCCAAAAGCCGCGGACACAACATCCACGGGCAAGCACATCCATGGATTACCACAACCTGAACAACACAATAACACAAACCAATGGCCATATTCTAGCAATTCGCGTGTTTCTGCTCTGAATAGACGTCCGAGGCATCAGACTTCGAATAGCTTCAAGGGATGTGCCTCAGGATCTGCTGGCACTGTCATGAACAGCACGAGCAGTTGAACATCCATGGATGCATCAGGATCTGGCATGTGATATTGCCTATGTTGAGTCGACGGACGGTCTTTCCGTTCTCTTATTATCCTACTCTGTGGTCCTGTAGGAGCAGATCTGATCATTCTGCCACCGTTCCGGAATACTCACTAGTCCCACTCTACCATGTCTCCGTAGCAGGACCAGTCTATTTAATGCTTTTTCAACACGCTTCGACCCATCTATACTCAACAGCAAACATGCCCTCCTTCAAAACTCCAGACAGTTACTATTAAGCTCAACTCTTGCAAAGAGTTCCGCTTGATGCAGCGTACTGTTGATGTTGTTCTTCATATCCAGAAAGTCGAGCAGGTAATCTGGTACTCCGTAGGTCTCCTCCTGCGAGAGAGAAATAGGATTTCTGATTGTTCATAAACCTCTACAGTGTATTGGCGATGGTGCGTATCATCATCCGTTGCGTGTATTTTTTGATGCCTAAGGCTCACTGGCGGGTTCGGAGGTGCTTCCATATTGCATCATGGCAGAATCAAGGGCGTCGAGTAGTGCCTTAGAGAGCTTTCGTTGAGACTACACTTCAAGAAATATTAGCCAAGGCTGGTAGGTAGATATGCGTTCCCTTGTGATGGAAGGTGATATTGACGGCCTTCAAACTTACATATGGCCTGTCATCTCCTTCCAGGACCAGCTATCTCGTTGCGGCTGACTTCTCTTCCACGACTGCTTTTGCCACTGGTTCCGTTACTAGCTTTGTCTGGGGAGATCTGGAGGACGCGGCCGGTCCACTGCCAAACAACTTCCAGCATACCCAGCCAAAGCCAGCCAACACAGCAAGCAAGGTGCCGAGAGGAACCCAGGCAGCCTGAGCTGGATCAAGAACAGGCACACTCAGCTGCTCGACAAGTCTTTCGCGGTCAGGAGATGGGGGAATGTGGTAGAACATGGTCTTGGGCCCGAAAAGTCCATCATATCCAATATTGACTCGATCAAAAGGATTCGTGCTCATCTTCAATCCTTCCTCTGCCTCGCAAGCCCAGAAGACTACCGGCCAAGGCACATCTACAGGCGCGTGCCCAGTTGGAGACGATGTAGCGTTGAGGTAGCGCAAGTGTGTCGGTATTGTTACAGTCCACGTGCCTTTCATCTGATCAACGGCTTTCGGAGAAGCCAGTTCAATCAGCGCAGCAGATCCCCATTGGTTGATGGCCCATGCTGGTCGCTCGAGATCCTCTTCGCCACTCAGAGCGTGAAGCGCTACAAGATTCTGCGAGGCAAGATATAGATCATCTCCTAACTGGTAGCGATCAAGAAAGAGCGCGGCAGGCGTGGTCCAGTAGGCATGCAGTGAACAAGTTTCTGGTTTCGGTGGCTTCAAGTCTTTTGCTGGAAAGGTGATATCGAGCTTTGGGTGAAGTCCACTCGGCTTCTGAAAGCCAACAGTGAAGGAGGTGTGGTCGTGGGAAGGCAGAGGATGATGACGTGCTGGGAAAGAGAACAATGTTGCGCTTGGCTTTTCACTTTCGCCCACGACAGTCAGGTAGCCACCAAGCTTCAGCTCTTCTGGTTCGTCGGCCGTTTCGGGTGCCAGAATGCCGACTTCGAGCCTGTCGTCAGGATGAAGCTTATGAACACGAGCGGGTGCCTTGCCGGTCTTCTCCATGTCTGTTGATGCTGAGACAATGGCGATGGTGACAGCATGATTGATCACATCGTAATCGTAGTCCACATATGCTGCGTCGGAAGCGTCTGCGAGTAGCTTGCATAGTTGACCAGCAGTTGAGGCAGCATGAAGTCCGGGACACCACTGTTCCGCAATACGCTGCGAGATGAGGGAGAGGTCATCGACACCGTGGTAGAATTGGTAGGTGGAGGAGGTTGAGAATCGTTCGGATAGCACAGGCGGCCTCGGATAAGTTCCAGGCTCGGCACTGCATTTTAGCTCCTTCTCATCCAAGCGCAGCAACAAGGAGAGTTCGAAGCAGAAGTTGTTCTCGAGCGTTCCTTCCCTGGAGGGAGGCGTGAAGAAGGTATGTATGCCCGGCGACAGTCTGGAGAGGACAGGGGCGAGGAGGCGGTGATTCCGTGACGAGACGACTCTGATGTGCAGTTCGTGGAAGTCTTTCAATAAGGCTTGGACCTGACACGCTGGTCAGTCAGTCATTCTGCTGTTCTTGAGAGAAAATACGTTGACACATATGTCCGGACACATACATAATGCGGCAGCTCAGAGAGACCGAGCGTCATGCGGCGTTCGACTGCGGCATCGTGGGCCTTGGCGAAGGTCAGATGGTCTTTGCCAGCGTCAATATCAGACGGGTTGACTCCCGTGCCTGGTGGTAGTAGATACGTGATTCGTTGGTGCATTTTGGGAAATTCGATTGGTTTTCCCGTTGGTTGTTTGGGCAAGAAGACCGACGACGTTGGCAAACAGACGAGAGTCTCGAGGACGCGTGAGAGAAGACGTGAAGCAAGGGTGTTCAATTGTGGATCCCTGGGACCTCCCACTCACATGTGATCAACTGCGTGTAACATAAGTTATGGTAACGGTAAGGTATTCCAAGTAAGGTACACAGCACGTACATGTAGCCAGAGGCAAGGAGTAAAAGGCACTAGGAATGTCGTTGTAGAAAGTCAAGTATCTGTCGGTCTGCTACGACGAAAAACTGTACCTTAGGTAGGTAAGGTAATTGTCGAAATCGCCATTGCAAAAAATCACTCCTCTCGACAGCTTCATTACTACCTAGGTAGGTACCTCATGTAGGTAACACCCCTCCACGGGCAGACAGACATCTTTCGAGGCCAGTTCTCTGCGATACTGTCCAAATCTCGCATCAACACCTGCCAAAGGACTCGAGAGGGCGAGAAGAGGTGCTTTCACAAGCGGGAGAGAGAACTGAGTTTGCATCCATTCATTGACATTGATTGACATTCAATGCCATGAACCGTGTAAAAGAGTGTAGTCTCCCAAAAAGATGCCTTCACTCATCGTCACTGTCGCTACCATAATCCACCAGAGGTCCCGCAGGCTTGTCCGGCGGCTTGTTCGAACCATGGCCTGTATCGGCCTTCAGTCCTTGCAGGGCCGCGAGTGTGCTTCCGCCAAGCAGTCCTCCATTGGAGTCTGATTGCGTGTTGCCAGCTGTGATTTGCAGAGGCGCATCGTATTCATCCTCCTGCTCCCCTTCCCCCTCTGGCACTCCTTCGATCTGCTTCTGTTGCTCTGCACCTTCTATCCGCGCCTTCTCACTCGCATACCATACGTGATCGGGCGCCTGGTAGCCTTGCAGTCCGAAGCTGCCTTCAATCTTCCGTCTTTTACGCTCTTCCTCGCCATCCGCCCCTTCGTACTTCCTCCCCTCTAGTTCGGCGACATAGCTTGCTGGCAGTGCCCGTCGAATGGCCTCAGCGGCTTGTTCATCAATCCTGGCCGCCTCCCTCTTCTGCGCGACAGGATTGGGATCGACTGTTGCCCATCTCACGTTCAATGTCTCGTTATGATCCAGACTCTGATGCGCCATAGCCTCTTTCGCAAACTCCGAGTTGGCCAAATGCACATATGTCACGAATGCGACGCCTCTACTCGGCAGTACTCGTATCCTCTCCACCTGTCCCCACTCTTGAAAATGCCTTGCGACAATCTCTTCAATGTCGTCCGAGACATGTATCCGTCCAATGTAGAGTGTCCTGTTGATGCGCAAGAAAGATCCGACACCACCCATATCATCCCGGTAATCACTAAACTTGTCTCTTCCAAAACAGTCCACATTACTGGGAAAGATATCCCCGAGTCCTCCACCAGGTCCATCTTTTCCTATCCTCGAATTGGGCAGTCGGTGCAGATACTCGCAATCCTGACCTTTCGGACACAGACCTCGCGCAAAGAACAGGCAAAAGTAGGATCCTGCCACTTTGTCCGCTTTCGTGTAGCCAGAATCCAGAGCGACATTGCAGCGTCCTTTGGCTTGGTGTTTGGAGGAAAGAGCATCTTCACGATCCCCGCCCGACCATTTGTTGTACCAGATGTTAAAAATCGTACCCGTCTGTGGAGGAGGCTCGGTTTTGAACGTGCTCGGGTCCTGCTGCGGACGGGCTGGTCGTCGTTTGCGCTTAATGATTTTGGTCTTTTTCACTTTTTGCGTGATTGTTCCATCGCTGTTAGTTGTCGCAAGGGCGGTGGAGGTTTCAGTGATGGGTGCGGTGGTATCTTCGAAGAGTGCAGCAGCAGCGGGTGCTTCAGCGACGTCGGTCATGGTTGTTGTGGTAAAAGATACAGGTAGTTGTGTTTTGGAAACAGTTTAAAGTGAGATGTGTAGGTGAGGCAACGAGGCTATGGCTCGTGCACGTGACTGTTGTTCATTCTCAACGAGTCTATGTGTCGCTACATCTATGTGCGCACCACAAACGGCAACCAGAAGCATCTAACTCTTGGCCGTACAGGCAGTATATCCCGATAGCCGGAATAACATATCATGGCGACGAAGGCCTGACCTCAGTACATATGTGCTAACATCTGCAGCTGAACATGCCCTGCTCTTCGACCTATACACTGTATGCCGCGAAATCGTACTGCATGCGTCTGCTTTCTCGTCCACAAGTCGTTAACACGAGTGATAGCCAACCCAGTGTCATGCTTCGTAGATCAGCCATATGACAAAGTGATGATATGATGTTGCGCACATGCGACTTCTCAGACATCGCCGACAAAGACCCACTTCTTCTCTTTGCCAGAGCCCTTCTGTGCAAAGAGGTTGTTGAGGTTGTCCTTGATGGCATCGTTCGTTAATTTCGGGAATCTAAGTGAACGTTAGTCATCGTCCAAACTGAGCTCGAGCACTGGGAAACACATACCTCGCCTTTAGTGCTTTGTGTAGATCCAGCTTGCCCAGTTGGTTGCCAACAACGGCTGCCTTGAGTTCATCCAGATCTTCTTTACTCAAAGCCTTCGGTTGGGGTTTGCGACCACGCTTAACGGCCGGCGTCATGGCGGTTGTACTTGATACGGGACCCTTCTGACCATCGGCGGCTCCAATGAGTGCGAAAACAGCAGACTCCGCTGAGCTGTTGAAGTTGAGTCTGGGCTCCAGAGGCTTTCGTGGAGGTGCCATGACGGCAGTGGGAGAAGGTCGGGTCCCTAGAGATTTTCCGGATGAGATGGCGTTGGCTGCAGTGTGTGCCGGTGCAGGCGTCTCCCAATACGACGTAGAGAAGGGGTCGATTGTCATTCCAGACAAACCCGGAAGCAAGAAGCCCATTCGCATGCCATCCATCACAGGCGGTTGAACCGCCACTTGTGCACCGTCCACGTGTAGCACTCGGCCCCTATCGTTTGCAAAGCAGAGCCCGGTGCTTTGTGGAATGAGCTCTACTGTGACCGCTTTGCGCCTACTTTTCGCCTTATCATCTTCATCATCCAGGAAATCGTCCATCTCGTCGCCATCGGCATTGCTATCAGCCTCCTCGTCGTCGTCCGAGCCGATGTCCTCACCCTCCTCTGGTTCTTCCCATTCTGCTTCCGAGTCGTAGTCGTAATCAGTATCAGGTCGCGAGCGTGTGAAAGGGTTTCGCATCGTGCGCCGAGTCGTCCGAGGCGATGTGAGTTTTGTGTATGTACCACAATATGCTGGCCGTACGTCTTCATGGAAGTGAATATACTTAGTGTCAACCTTACGCAGGATGGAATCGGGCGACTCTCTCGAACCTTCCTCGGTCAGATCTATCGGTTCCTTGGAGGTTCCCTGAGCTCTCTCCACCACCTTTCGGATGTTGGGATGACCTCGCTTCCCACGTCGTGCATTGCGGAGCTCACCAAAGTAGCTGTCTAGACTGGCATACGACGAGACAAGGCCTAGATCAAATTTCTCCTGGACCAAAGGATCGTTCAGGTCGTGATCAAAACGTGCCTGATCAGCCTGCTCATCTCGTACAACTGGAGCAACTTGGCTATGTGTAGGCGCCTCGAATGGCAGAAATGTCTTGTGATAGTCGGAGACATTAGACTTCTTGCTAGATGCCGGCGCGGGACTGTGTTTTACAGGCGATGTGGTAGATTTGAGTTGTGCTGATGCAGCATCAAAGGGCTCGAGAGACAACGACTTCTGCCTAGAAAGGAGTGCGATCTCCTCGCCGTCGATGCTCCGCTTCGCGGGCGTGCTCGGCTTGCCACCAAAGAAAGCTCCTAAGCGCATTTGTTTCCGCTCTTTGGCAAGTTTCTCTTCCTGCTTCTTGGTCTCCTCCAGCTCCTTTTCGCGTTTTTTCGCCTCCTTCTCTTCTGCTTTGGCTCGCTTCTCTTCGTCCTTGAGCCGCTTCTCCTCGGCTTTGCGTGCCTTTTCTTCCTCAATTTGGGCTCTTCTTTCTTCCTTTTCAGCCTCCGCCTGCGCCTTCTTCTCTTCAGCAGCCGCCTTTCTCTTGGCTTTTTCGCGTGCCTTGGTTTCCTTTAATTGTGCCTGCTCCGACTTTTCGGCAGGAGTAAGTTTTCTCCTCTTTGCTGAGGGTCCAGTGTCAGACATAGAAGCCGATTCCGGGGCGATAGACTGCGCGGTCATAACAGAGGATGTCGGCACAGCATTGCTGGACGGGACCTGGATCACGCTGTTGAGACTCGTACTGGTGCGGAGGACCGGGGATGCAGCTCGTTCTCGCCTATCGCTCTCTACACTGCCGCCAGGACTAGCATTGCTTGAACGCTCATTCTCGGTGTCAGGTGGTGTGGGCATCACGAATTGGTTTCCCTTGAGGTTCAATGGCTTTTGGGCGCGTTCCTCCTCATCGGTATCGCGAAAACGCTTGCGGATATTAGGAGATGCTGAAGGCGAAGAGACGGTATCTTCCATGAGGCCTGGAATTGACGGATTTTCGGGCAGCAGAGGACTTCAGCGAGGTAGAGAGATGGACAACGGATGATGGTGTTTCAGTCGCGTCGAAGGAAGGCGCGTCGAGCAGGAGAGCGCCAAGGCGGCAGTGGCTAGCGCGTCATCATACCCTTCTTCGCTTCGCTAGCCAATCACAAATATGGGCATGCCCCCCGAATAGAGAATAGCGTGCCAAGGAAGGACTACTTCAACTCTCCCAGGTCTCGATTCCTCTTTCTCCCACACACATAACCACTCACACTCTCACAAGTCGCACCATCACAATGGACGACGAAGACTTCGAGGACCTCTTCATCGAGGAACCTCATTTGCTCCCGCCCTCGTCGCAAGGGTCACTAACTGGTGCAGCTGCTAACCTTGCCATTCAATACCAACATGACGACGAGGAGCCATACCAGCCGCCATCAAGCAAGGACGAGCAGAGCGAGAGTGAACACGATTCGCTTCCCGTGAACACAACTTCATTTGCTCAGGATGTACTTCACAATGACTTTCGTCCCGCTCAGCGTATGCTGCCACGATCTTATCCCAAGTATCGTCCTTTCATCTTGACATTGTGTTGGAGAGGAGTCTGACATATCGATACCTTAGTGCTGCAGTCATCGACAAGATCGAAGCGATTTTGGAAGAAATGATAGATGTCCTTCTGCATGACAAACTCGAAATCAGCATCGTATTGAAGACTCGACAGCGGCCTGGAAGCACGGACCATTCTGATGCACCGACAAGACGACTCTGCTTTCCTGGCAAGACTGCCGATGAAGCATGGCGATTCTGTGAGTATCGATTGCACCGACACACATCTTGCACCAATCTCTAGCAGGCTCTGATGGCGGTCTAGCGGTCGTACTACGCCTCCTGGAGCTTATTCATGAGGCGTTGCGCAATGATGTGGTGATATCGAAGAGGTATCTCGCCAGTATGCTTTCCTGACAACATTGACCACTCACGATCTTAGGGACATATACTATCGCGATCCGGCTTTATTTGGCAGCCAGACTACTGTTGATCGATATGTTGACGACATTGCGTACACTCTCGGCGTTACCAGATCCATGCTCAATGTTTGCGCTGCAGCCAAAGGCCTCATCGCTGGGGCCATAACCTTTCTCCGGAACGACGGTAGCACGACTGACGCCTCGATTGATCCAGAGGGAATCTTGGTGCCCAATCTAAAGGAGGTGCTTTCAGCCGACTTGAAGGCTGTGAAATGGGTTCTGGTCATCGAAAAGGAAGCCACATTTCGATCTATCGCTGGCTCCGCTTTCTGGGACACAATCATTCGGGAGGGCGTCATCATCACGGGGAAAGGCTACCCTGACCTTGCAACAAGGGCTCTCCTTCGCTATTGCAGTCATCCATCTGCACAGAATGGGTTCGCATCACCTCCTGTCTATGGACTCGCAGACTTCGATCCTGACGGCATCGCCATTCTATCAACCTACAAACGCGGGTCGAAGAAACTTGCACACGAGAGTAAAGAGCACGTCGTACCGCAGCTGAAATGGCTAGGTCTTCGTAGTGAGCATCTCCATGCCGATGAATTCGACACGCATGCCGCGCAAGGACGACTCACCTTGTCGAAGCGTGACAGATCAAAAGCAACAATGATGATTGATCGAGAAATTGATATAGACGACGGTGATGCTCTTATGGAGAGAAGAGAGCTGCAGACCATGCTCATGCTGAACACCAAGGCAGAGTTGCAATTGCTTGATGCGATGCCGGACGGCATGAACAATCTGCTAAGCTCAATGATGAGCAAGTTGTGAACGATATCGATATCTGTCATCTGAACTAGCGAACATTTTGGCGCGCATGGTAGAAGGATCAAAGTCTCGCTGAGCCAGTATTCCTATTCGCCGATAGACGCTACGCCGGCTCGGAAAGAACTTCGCTTGGCTCTATCTCCGTCATAGGGTGTATGTAGCATAGACCCCGGAATTCTACCTAAGGCAAGTTAAATCTCACTCGCCGCTCATTGACAGTTGAGCAGAATAGCCGTATACAATGGTGCGTGGTCTCGTGATTCAGTTCGCACCTCCTGAATCACACCCATTCACGGCACGTCTAGCACGCTGGCAATATTCCATAAATTGCTCCAACGCTCTACTCGAAGCTAGGTTTTTCTTGTCGTCTTGCCTGTAAGAACCCTACTCAACGGTCAGTCGCAGCCTCTACGATAACTCCAGTCCAAACAGATACATAACGATGCATCTCAAGTGTATAGTCGCAGCAACAGCTGTAGCCCTTGCCACAACGCAAGCGCATATGTTCATATCATCCCCAAACCCTATCGAAGGTACTGATTCAAAGTCGCCTCTGGACCCCAGTGGCTCCCAATTCCCTTGCCAGGGCGCTACACTTCCCACAAGAGGCGGGCAAATCATGGCTGCCGGTTCGACACACCTGCTGGCTTTCAATCTTGGTGCCGGCGATAACACAGCCGTACATGGAGGCGGTAGCTGTCAGCTCTCTATCACCTACGAGACAGACCCGCGCAAACAGAAGGATCCCTCGAGCTGGAGAGTCATCTACTCGATCGAAGGAGGATGTCCCACTGACGCCCCAGGCAACCTCCAGCAGGGCCACGTAGTCGATTGTTCTACCAATGGGAGTACTACTACCGCTTGCGTGAACGAGTTCCCCTTTACGATCCCACCAGGTGTGAAAAATGGCCATGCCATTATGGCGTGGACTTGGTTTAACACGATCGGCAACCGGGAGATGTACATGAATTGCATGAATGTGGAATTGACTGGCGGAGACGGATCAGAAGTCCCCGACTTCCCAGAACTCTTCGTGGCAAATCAGGGGCATCTGGGGAATTATTGCCCGACTACAGAACGGTTCAATGTCAAATTTCCCAAGCCTGGTGAATACGTTACGACAAAGACTGAAGGGAATCCTTATCCGCTTGCAGTACCGACGGGAAGGGGCTGTAGTCCTTTTGCTGCTACTGCTGCTAGCTCGTCCATCTCCACGTCCTCTCAGACAAATACCAAGTCGCCGCCATGTGAGTCATCATTTGTTAGTATCCTCACGACGAGCGCTTCTTCTTCTTCATCGTCGTCGTCTGCTACTCCTGCCGTCATGACAACACTAAGTACAACGACAATCACTGTGCACATCCCCAGCCACTCCTTCCTCCCCTCAAATTCAACGGTTCTCTCTTCCACCCTGGCTACCACTATAGTGCCACCATCCGATCCCGCGAGTACAAGTTCGTTGAAATGCCCAAATGAACAACAAGTATCCTGCCCACGCCCTGGAGAGGTAATTTGTATCGACGCGGGACATTTTGGGATTTGCGATGTTGATCAATGTGCAATTTCTCGGGATGTAGCGTTTGGTACGATTTGTTTGAATGGGCGGATTGTTCCTGTGGGGTGATAAGAGGGAAGGAGAAATATGAGAGGAGGAGAAGAAGAAGAAGAAGAAGAAGAAGAAGAAGAAGATTGAGGGGGAGGGCGGCGTTGGGCGAGAGGGGATTTGGGCAGGATTGTCATTATCATTGTCATCACTCAAAAAAATGAGATGACAAGATGGGGTGGAAGTTTGTTTATACTCGCCTCTCTAAGTATATACTGCCTTACTTAGGTAGTGAGATAGAAGATACTTGATCATCTCGAAAAGGTAGAATCCCCAAAGTTTCAGCGTTTCCACGAAGATAGAGAAGAAGATGAGGAAGAAGATGAAGAGGAAGCAGCAGCGAAAAATCGAATCGCCGTCGTCCAAATCTCCTCCTCTCCATCATCATCATCAGTACTACTATTACTACTCCTTGTCTTGCCCAGATCATGTTGATTCCCATTTTCCTCGCTCTCGCCTTCTTTTTCTTTTTCTTCCTCCTCCTTCTCCTCGTCTCCATCCGCCTCCTTATCATCAAAATCTCCACCATAATTTCGCTGACCAATATCTTCACCACGTTCCCCTGCCCTCTTCATCCACCACCACGACCACCACTGCCACTCACCCCTTTCAGCACTAGCACTCACAACCCACACCCCTACCCCTACTGCTACTACGACAAGAACCATCATTCCCACCATCATCATCATCAACCCCCAAACCTCCTCAGTCCTCCTGACCAGAAAAGCAACAGCATCACGAAATCTCTCCAGAACCAAAGTCATCATCATTATATCGAGAGAAAAGTCGAAGTAGGATTCGGATATCCAAAGGAAAAGGGCCAAGAAGAGAGAGATGTTGGCCAAGTTGGAGAGGGAGGTGAGGTGGCGCTGGTGGTGGTTATTTTGGCTTTTACTGTTGTCGTCATGTAGTTGGTTGTGAGACTGATGGACTACGCACGCTGGACGGAGTGGGCACCTAGGTCGGTAGGTAGGTAAGGTAGGTAGGCGGCCAGGGAGAGAAAGAAGATGGAGCAGATCACTCAGCTTTAGCTTGAGCTCGAGCTTCTCGTGCCTTTAGTGCTGCTTCGACATTGATATTTGGTGAATCTGATAAATGTTGTTGGTGAAGTCGGAGCTTCGGGTCAAAACGAATATTGCAGTTTGCAAAATGTTAAGGAAAAAGAGAGATTGGTCAAGCAGGGAGCATGCGATGCGCATGCTTGATCATGTCTCTAGCCCCTTCCCTGATCGATCTCAATATCAGGTTGACAATGAAAAAGATCTGGCAAAGACATGCTGTTTGCTGCAGTCTAAGACACATCCTCCCCAACATGCATGCACTTATCCGGCCAAGACATTTGCTCAGTCCCAGGGAAGTTACGTGTAAGCGAGTGCCGATACAAGTGTCAAAAATATGACTCCATATTGTCAGTGCTTCAAGGATCTATTTGTCGTTGGGCTTGGTCTCGGTCTAGCCGAGTGTATTGTTCGATCCGCGTGCTGGCCGGTGACTAGGCCAGAGATGGACAATGGGCTGCATATATGAGTAAGATGTCTCGAGATGTCTGTCTGTCGCACGTGCGGTCTGGTGCTGTCTTTGGAATTTCCTACGACGTCAGTATATCAGTGTTCAGTATTAAAGCAAATGCAACGGGATGACTGCGTTCGACCTCTCCAATGGCTCCTCAGCCTCGGTCAGCGTAAACTTCGTTTCATCGGATATGTCAGGTCCGCGAATGTTATAGCTGGAAAAAAGTCGTGTGATGTTGCGTATTTTCAGCTCTTTCATATCACCCATCAAATGGGGTGCTTGGCAGCTATCTCTTTTCGCTCTGGATGCAATGGCCTTGTCTGTTCCATGACGTTTCATTTCCTATAACATGCCAGCTTTTTCGTGCTCTTTCATGACTGCGTCCAAATGCATCTCAGATACATGAAACATCTATTTCTCGTAGATCCACTCGTGCTGGGCCTGCTTCCAGGTCTGGATCTCCTCTGGCTTGAACCACAAAGCAATCTCCTTCTGGGCGGACTCGACGGCATCAGAGCCGTGGCAGACGTTTCGGCCGACGTCCTGTGCATTCAATGTTAGAAGGGCCAAGATTGTGATGGGGAGAGACATACAATAGCATAGTCACCACGAATGGTACCTGGGCTCGAGGCGGCTGGGTTGGTGGCACCGAGAAGGACACGGCCAGTCTTGACAGCGTCACGACCCTCCCAGACCATGGCGCAGATTGGGCCGGAACCCATGTCTAATTCCCAACTTCGTCAGCACTCTATTATCTCGGTGTGGTTGTTGTTGTTCCTGTTGCTGCTGTCTAGAGGGGATCATCTTACAGGTCACCAAACCCTTGAAGAAAGGCTTGGAGCTCAGGTCCTCGTAGTGCTTCTCGAGGTGCTCCTTTGATGGGGAAACGAGCTTGATGGCAGCGAGCTTGAAGCCACGCTTCTCGAATCGGGAGATGATGTCGCCGACCAGTCCGCGCTGAACTCCGTCAGGCTTGATGGCGATGAAGCTGGAGGAACATGGCAATGGTCAGCATTGGAGGAGGAGGAGGAGGTGGTGGTGGTGGTGGTGGTGGTGGAGGAGGAAGAGACATACGTTTGCTCGTTGGCAGACATGTTGGCGTCTTGTTGCTGGTGGTGTCGGAGGACGGTGGTGAGGTGGGAACGATCTTTGTGGTTGAGATGGTTGAAAATGGGAGGCGGGCCAAAGTCAGACATGGAGCTTCGCTTCGCTTCGAAATCTTTCACCGCCGCTGCAACTCAATCCATGGCATGGTGGGCTGGAGGGGCTCCGATATGCAGGGGAAGGGACGGGACGGGACGGGACCGCGGGACGGAGGCGGCAGAGTGAGAAAAGTCGTGGGAGGCCATATTGATTCAGCGTCTGTTCAATATTTGCTGAGGGGTCGAACTGTCGTGTGGCCAATGTCGGATATATGATCTTCCAGTCCGACGGGTGGTCAAGACAGCTATACCAGTACCTATACCTCCTACGATAGAAACACTTCCCTGCTTATGTTCCAGGCGAACGACGGCATATTCCATAGACACACCATGAAGCGCTTCCATGGTTCATGGCACTCCTCGGTGCTGCTGTTTCTGCTAGCCACCTTCGCTTTCATCACGCCGGCCGGTAAGTCGTTTGCATTCCATGAGCTGCAGCGCATAACTCTACTAGAATGCGTGATGATTATGATGGATGATGGGAAACTGACGTGACATATCCAGTGAGTGTAAAGCACGAAAACTTCAAAACCTGTGATCAGTCGGGCTTTTGTAAAAGAAATCGTCTTTACGCCGATACTGCTCTTTCCACCGCGAATTGGGAAGCCCCATATTCGCTAGACCGATCGTCCATCAACTTCAACAATGGTATCTTGACGGGGACGGTGTACAAAAAGCTAGCCAACAGCGCCGAGTCTGTCCGCTTACCTGTCAAGATCTCCTTCTACGAATCTGGGGTAGCTCGTGTGACAATCGACGAGGAGAGGCGACAAAAGGGTCAAATCGAGCTTCGACATGACAGCAAGATTCGCAAGGAGAGATACAACGAGGCCGAGCAATGGTCCATTGTGGGTGGAACGACTCTCAGTGCAGGTGCTGCATTGTCAAAGGACGCGGAAAAGGGCACCACAAAGGTGGTCTATGGCCCTGCCAGCACATTCGAGGCCGTTATCCACCATTCACCATTCAGCATTGAGTGGCTGCGCGATGGCGAGACACAAATCTCCTTCAACGACCGAGGCTTGATGAACCTGGAGCACTGGCGTAAGAAGGTGGAAAAGAAGGAGCCGGAACAGAAGGAGGGCGAAGGGGAGGCGGAGGGGACCGCTGAGCAGAAAGAGGACAAGAGCGGAGAGGAGGAGAGCACCTGGTGGGAGGAGTCGTTTGGTGGAAACACAGATACGAAACCACGCGGTCCTGAAGCAGTGGCTCTGGACATCTCCTTCCCAGGCTACGACCATGTCTATGGTCTGGCTGAGCATGCTTCTCCTCTCAACCTCAAGGAAACTCGAGGCGGTGATGGCAAGTACTCGGAACCATACAGGCTGTATAACAGCGATGTCTTTGAGTATGAGATGGACAGTCCTATGACTCTCTACGGCTCGATCCCCCTCCTGCAAGCCCACAAAAAGCACTCGACTGTGGGTGTGTTTTGGCTGAACGCTGCTGAGACTTGGGTGGATGTCACGAAACGATCCAGCCTGGCCAAGCGAGTGGGCCTTGGATCCAACATTGTCACTGACAGCCACTTCATCAGTGAATCTGGCCTGCTCGACGTCTTTGTGTTCCTTGGTCCTACGCCACAGGATGTCATTGGTAAATACGCCGAGCTGACCGGCACGACGCAGCTCCCACAGCACTTCTCCATCGCCTACCACCAATGTCGCTGGAATTATGTCACGGACGAGGATGTCAAAGATGTGGACAAGAAGTTTGATAAGAACAACATTCCTTATGACGTGATTTGGCTCGATATCGAGTACACCGATGGCAAGAAGTACTTCACATGGGATGCTCTGACCTTCAAGGATCCACTGGGAATGCAGAAGCAGCTCGATGAGCATGAGCGCAAGTTGGTGGCCATCATTGATCCTCACATCAAGAACGAGGGCAACTATCCCGTCGTCGATGAGCTCAAGTCGAAAGATCTCGCCGTGCACAACAAGGACGACAAGACATATGAAGGCTGGTGCTGGCCAGGTAGCAGTCATTGGGTGGACACCTTCAGCCTTGCTGCTCGCAAGTGGTGGGCCAGCCTCTACCAGTACAGCAAATTCCCCGGATCAGCCAAGAACCTGTTCCTGTGGAACGATATGAATGAACCATCTGTGTTTAATGGACCAGAGACGACCATGCCCAAGGATAACATCCATCACGGCGGCTGGGAGCACCGAGACGTACACAACCTCTACGGCATGACCTTGATCAATGCTACGTATGAGGGTCTCTTGGCTCGCGACAAGGAAGAAGCAAAGCACAACGTGAGGCCATTTGTCCTGACACGATCCTTCTTCTCAGGAAGTCAGCGTCTCGGCGCCATGTGGACCGGTGACAACCAAGCCGAATGGTCTCACCTCGCAGCTTCCATCCCCATGGTCCTCAGCATGGGCATTAGCGGGTTTCCCTTTGCGGGTGCAGACGTCGGCGGCTTCTTTGGAAACCCCGAAAAAGATCTCCTCACTCGCTGGTACCAAGCAGGTATCTGGTACCCCTTCTTCCGTGGCCACGCACACATTGATACACGCCGAAGAGAACCCTACCTCGTCGGTGAGCCGTACAAAGAGCTCATCACCCAAGCTCTCCGTCTCCGCTACAGTCTCCTTCCTGCCTGGTACACCGCTTTCCACGAGGCCCACGTCTCCGGCGCGCCCATTGTCCGACCCAACTACTACGTCTTCCCGGGTGACGAAAAGGGCTTCGCCATCGACGACCAACTCTACCTCGGCTCCACCGGCCTTCTCGCCAAACCCGTCACCAAGGCCGACCAACCCGGTACACCCATCTACCTCGCGGACAAAGAGAAGTACTACGACTACTTCGACTACTGGACCTACCAGGGCCCGGGAGAAGTCGTCGTCTCGTCTCCGCTGGAGACCATTCCCCTCCTCATGCAAGGCGGGAAGATTTTCCCCCGAAGAGATCGTCCCCGGAGAAGTTCCGGCCTCATGAAATTCGACCCGTTCACTCTGGTGGTCGTCATTGGCGAGTCGGGTGATGCGGAAGGGACACTCTATCTCGACGACGGAGAGTCGTTTGATTATCAAGTGGGAGCATACATTCATCGCAAGTTTGCATTCAACGGCACCACCGACTGTCTGTCGAGTGAGGACCTCAACACGAGTGCGGGTGGCAGTACCAGCAACAGTAAGACCATTCAGGCGTATCTCCAATCCATGGAGAAAGTGAGAGTGGAGAAGATTATCTTTGTTGGTGCCCCCGAAACGTGGAAGGGAAAGGCCAGTGTGGAAGTTGTTGTTGATGGCGAGAAGAATCAGAAGAAGAAGAAGACTACAATGGTATCCGAGCTGGAATTCCATGAGAAAGAGGATGGCAAGGCTGCGTGGGCTGTGGTGAGGGACCCGGGGGTGAAGATTGGAAGCGGATGGAAAATTACAATTGGTGGGCAAGAAGGGCATGCGGAGGGACGGAAGACGGAGTTGTGATGATGGAGTGCTGTGAATCAGGGAGTGAGTGAGTGAGTGAAAGAAAAAAGTCGTGAGTAATGTAACCTACCTTTGATACATGGAACAAAATAGACAGATGCAGACCAGGAAATCAATCCGAAATGGAAATGTCAAGAAAAGGAAAATGAACGGAAAAGAAAACAAAGGGAAAAGAAAAAAAGGGGACGGGAATAGGTAGTACCAATTCATGTCAGATAAAACTCGTCATCATCATTCATTTCATTCTCGAGAAATCTATCTATCCCATCTTCTCCTTTCCATCGTAAACAAGCAGGCAGGCAGGCCGACAAGCAAGCAGGCAGGCAGAATGATCCACGCACCTCAAACTTGGTTGGCCAGCTCTTCCCATGATGCCTATCTAGGCATCTGTCTGTCTGTCTCCCATCCCGATCTGATCTGACCTGACGTGACCTGACCGGACACGTGAGCTACCTACCTCACGCATAAACCAACGTCCCATCCTCTCGAATCTTCGCCTTGACCTCCAAATCCACTTGGCACTTCTTCCCACTCGCCACAGCCGGACCGATGACTTTCAATTTTCCCATCGGTTCATTCCCGCTCACCATCTGATCATTTTCGCGATTCAACAATTTGACTTCAACACAACTCAATGGAACGCCAAAATGTCCGTGGCTGCTGCCATCGACGCGGCGATAATCAAAGACATTCGTCTGGGCCACTGCGCCGGCGACGTGTGGGACGGTCAAGGCGTAGCAGATTCTACTGCGGGTGAAGATGCGCAAGTCGGAGAGCATGGTGGAGGTGAGAGGAGGGGAGCCTGCACTCCAGCGGTCGGATGTGAAGATGAGACGGAGTTTGCCGGGCTGAGCAGATCCGTTGGATGGAGGAGCGAGGAACTTGAAGAGTAATCCATCGGTGGGTAAGCGACCTGCGGCGATGGTTTGGTCTTGGGTGTACTTTCCGAACTTTTGGAGGCCGGAGCTCACAGTACCGAGGTGTTGGTGGTGGAGTTTTGCGAGGCTCTCGGCGCTCGCGATGATGACTGTAGGGGCGATCGCTTTTTGGACAAGGGTGAGGTCGACACCTGGGGCAGCGACGCTGCTGATGGCAAGGCTGGCGTGGGTGTAGAGTGCGGCGAAGGTTTGGCAGAGGACGTAGCTGTGGCCAAAGGAGTCGGCGGGGAGCACGAGATCGGCAGATGTGAGGCGTTGGCGGAGGGGTACGGCTGAGATGAGGGCGGCCGTTGCTGCTACGATGTTTGATTGGGAGAGGGTGACGATGTCGGGTTTGAGGTTAGGGTCGGTGGGTTGCCAGACGAAGATGAAGTCTGCGAGTTTCTCGCCAGCCTCGTTGCTTGGGAGGTCTGGGCTTGCAGAGGATTGATGTTCTGAAATGACGTTGTGCCAGACGCTGATTTGGAGGTGATCTTGAGCATGGTCGGGCACGCCATTCCAGTCCATGTGTTTGCTCGTCTTCTCCACGACCCAAGTCACGAGGCGAAGCTGCGTACACGACTTGGTCAGGTCTTGGAGTGGTACAGTGCCAGCAGCAGAGACGAGGGCGTCTGCCCCTGTGGCCGTCAGCAGCTCGTAGACTTTGGCATGTGGGAGGTTGTACGGGAGCAGGACGGGTGTGATGCCGAAGAAGGCGGCAGCTGGAGGAGAAGCTGTCAGTCAACCTGATGTACCTGTGGTAGATAGAGTACGGTATGTAGAGACGGACCAAAGATGGTCTGGAGATACTCCACACTATTGGGCAGATAGATGGCAACCTTCTTGACGCCCGCGTCCTTGAAGTGCTTGCCCATAATGGCCATATCCCGACTCAACTGATCAATGTCATGCTCGACGACTTCTTCCTGGCCCAACACAGTCATGACGAGTCCCTTGGGCACCTCTTTGCCGCCGTCTGGACCGGCACTCCCACCTCGTTGCACTTCTCGCCAGATATCTCGCACATCTCCGTCTCGGCCCGCAGCCCATCTCGGAGCGCCAGCATCTTTGACATTTAAGCCCGTCTTGAGCGGGTAGCCATGCGGCACTTCGGGCGATCGATAGACGGCCGACTCGCCCTTGTTCCGGACCGCACTGGCAGTGGCTTGTCGAGCCAGCAAGAGAGGATGGGTGTCGGGCTCATCGGGGAAGACAATGGGATATGCGAGAAAGGCGGCGATGACGAGAGCGAGCAGCGTGGTGAGGATGGACCAGTCGGCGAGAAGGTTGGCGATGGCGGCATCGAGCGACTCGAGTGCGTTAGCCATTTTTCCTTGGGAGGTGGTTGTCGAGGGACCTGGAGGTATAGAACTAGCCGAGCCATTTGAGTTCGGCAGTAGAAGCTACGGAGGTACTAAGGTATTCACTTCCGTGCCTCAAACTCTACCCACCTACCTCTTTTGGCACTAGCTAGCTAACTGTGCCACGTGTGGCTGATCACCGCTCACGACGCGCTACCTCCTAGTTCGAGTGGTATATTGGAACCAACCATCCCTTCGCTGTGGCTGGCATCTTCGCGACTGTTACAACAACCCAATCCGTCCCTCCACTGCCTCCAGAATGGCCTGACGAGACACAGACGACTCCTCTACTAACCACAAGACACATACAGCAAACATCGAAAAACAACATGTCGTCCACGGCACTGGCGACGACGTCTACTGCTACCTCGACCTCGCGCACCGCAGCAGGGACATCCTCACCACTGCCACTGCGCAAAGATGCCACGCAGACACCCCGAACACCCCAGCGACAGACGGGACAGTGGACGCATCCACGCATGGACGAAGTCATCCGCCGACGCAACGCGACCAATTTCGACAGCAGCAATGTCACCACCATCCTGCTCAGTGCCGGCTTGATTGTCCTCTCCCTCTTCACGCCCACGGTGCTCTACCATACGTGCGTGTCTAACCCCGTCTCTCCTTCTGCTCTTCTCCCTCACTCACGCACCATATTGCAGAATCCCTACCCCATGGCTCGCAGCAGCCTACCCATACCCGCGCTACGCCGTCTGGACCTTCCAAACCCTCATGCTCCTCAACATCCTCATCGCCACACTCCCCCTCTGGCGGAAACCAGACTCCTGTGAAGACGTTCCTCTCACACCCCAGCAACGCAAACTCCTCGGTCTACCACCCATGACCCGTCCTGCAACGCCTTCAGAGCAAGCACAATACGTTACACCACCGCGATTCTCACGCTCAGCAACACCGACGAGTCGAACGAGCAGTCTGAATGCGACGAGAGGTGGCTCATCTCCGCTATCAGGACGAGGGACACCAATTGATGCGAATGGGAGTTTTCGAATGACCAACTCGGCGACACTCTCACCATGGGGTTCACCAGCACAAGGGAATCAGTTGAGGCGGACGGAGAGTGGGAGCTCGTTCCTGGGAGGTGATTACAGTGATGGGAGCGAGAGGAGGAGATTGAGCTATACGGCTTTGAGCAATAACAGCACGGGGCTGGACATCAGTGGCTTTGAGTCGCTTGGGAGATTGGAGACGCCAACGAAGGAGAAGAAGGCGAGCGTGGGGTTGAACAATAAATGGTTGTACGAGAGAGGTCGTGGGAGTCCGGGCAGTGGGAGGGGTTTGAAGTCGAGTCTGCCAGCGGGAAGTATGTGGTGACACCCCCACACACTTAATTACACCGCTAGATACAGAATGGAGGTCAGAGGCTCCGTTGCACGATATATACCAACAGAAGCAGGATGCAATGACTGAGACACGTGCTCGTACTGTCCACAGAGCTTGATTAAGTTATGCACGAGGAACTGCAAAGGCAAAGCTCGGTGAGTGCTTCCACCCTCGACTACCTACATGTGCTTCCTTTGCTCGCAGGCTTGTCTCCTTTGCATCCGACAAGATTGGAGGCATCGCAGCGAGGACACCAAAACGCAAAGGTGGTGACACCAATCTCAAAATCTGCGGTGTGGCCTCGATAGTACTATCGGTATCACGGAAAGACTTGCCCCCAAGTTGGAATCTCCGGAAAGCTTTGGTGGAGGAGCCGACTACTGTTGCCGCACATGGACCTAGCAACAATGTACATGTATGAGCAAGTCAGCAGGAGAATTCCCACCGTATCGTGCTGGCCAAGCCTGGGAACACTGCGGAAGATCTGCTCCATCCGCAATTCACTTGTCCGCCCACAATATCGGCTTTCCGAAACCGTTCGAGGCTTCCACCACAACGAGCCGTCTCCACAGCTAGTTTCGCGCGGGCGGTCATGAAAACACAGCTTACTTCTCTCACAACATCATATAAGCGTTGCCACAGCCACGCTTGGCATGCTCACGCTCAAAATGCCTCAGATTATCCGTACAGGCCTCCGCAGTCCAGATTGGTGCACAAATCGCGCATCAGCTACACGTGCTCATCCCTGTCTTCCAGCGATAGGTTGCCTCATCTCAATACAGTATCCGTATACCGTTCCATGGGCGGCGGTGGTATGTGGTATCATACCGTTACCAGACAGCACGTGACTATCACATGCGGCCGGCGCTTTGCCCGCATCGATCTTGATGATATTACCTCAGTAGTTCAGCGTCAAGCTAGGTACCTAGGTGAAGCGTAGTCGGGGAGGCTGGATCGCCTTCTGTTTAAATTCACCTTCAGATCGGTCCCTTCTTCCTCTTCTTGTTCGTCGCCTGCCTACACAAGAGAGGCTCCTGCTGCTGCTCTCTTCTGCACTATTGTGATACAGACTCGAGGCCTCTTCAGCGAAATGGAAAAGGAAGTCAAGCACCTCACGGTGTCGACGGAAACCAGCGAACGCGAGCTCGACGATGTCGATCTCAAAATTCGGGATGGCGATATCAGACAGCGGCAAGTACGAACCCAGATCATACAGACATCTCAGCGCGGGCTCCAAAGGCGCAACTCCCCCCAAGAAAGCAACCTTTCTGAGCCCGCTCCGAACCTCGTTCTGACTCTCCCTCTCAGGTATTCAAAGGCTGGACCGTCTTCTGGCTCGCCTACCAGGCAACAGGCGTGATTTACGGTGACATTGGAACGTCACCCCTCTACGTCTACTCGTCCACCTTTTCATCCGAACCATCTCGGCAAGATCTCCTGGGAGTGCTGTCCATCATATTGTGGACGTTGACGTTGATGGTCACGATCAAGTATGTCTTCATTGTACTTCGCGCAGATGATGAGGGTGAGGGAGGGACATTTGCCATTTATACTCTCCTGTCGAGGTATAGCGAGATTATGAAGCGCGACCCGAGGATCTATCAGTTGGTGAAGATGGAGCGGTATAAGACGAATGATCTTCACTCGCATAATGAGAGGTTTCGCAATTGGTTGGTAAGTGAAGATCAAAAGATAGGTAGCCCTGCTTGTGGAAAGACTGCGCGCTGACCATCGACTGGGGGACTTGTATATAGGAGAAGAGCAAATTCGCACATGCGATGCTGATGCTTCTGGCCGTTTTCGGCGTGAGCTTGGTAGTAGCTGATGGAGTTCTCACACCAGCCCAGTCAGTCCTCGGAGCCATTCAAGGTATCCGCGTGGCTGACGAAAGCATCACCACTGCAACCATTATTGGAGTCAGCTGCACGATTCTGGTCTTGTTGTTTGCAGTACAACCTCTCGGCGTACACCGCGTCTCTTCCGCCTTCGCACCCATTGTCATCCTCTGGCTACTCTTTAATGCCGTCTTCGGCATATATAATCTCATCCAGCACGACCACACCGTCCTCAAAGCCTTCTCGCCCTACTTTGCCGGCGCCTGGCTCATGCGGAACAAAACCGAAGGCTGGAAGAGTCTGGGAGGCGTCCTTCTCTGCTTCACAGGCGTCGAATGTCTATTCGCAGACATGGGAGCCTTCAGTCGACGAGCGGTACAGTTATCGTGGCTTTGTTTAGCATATCCTTGCTTGATGCTTGCGTACATTGGACAAGCCGCGCATCTGGTCGATGATCCTTCGGGGTATAGCAATCCATTCTTCAACACTGTTCCTCCGGGCATGTTCTGGCCGTCACTGGTTCTGGCGATTCTGGCTGCGGTAGTGGCTTCGCAGGCGACGATTACGGCTTGTTTTCAACTGATTGCGCAAATCATGAATTCGAGCTACTTCCCGCAGATTCAAATGCACTATACGAGCGACAAATACCATGGGCAGGTGTATATTCCCATTGCAAATTGGCTGCTCATGATCGGATGCGTTGTCGTCACGGCAGTCTTCAATAATGTAAGTTTACTTACCTTACTCTTCTTCCCACACGATCACAGAATGCATCACATCCCGAAACAACACTCTCTAACTCCCACAACCCCAATAGACCACCTCTCTCGGTCACGCGTACGGGGTGTGCGTCATCCTCGTCACCTTCATCACCACCAACCTGGTCGCCCTGGTCGCCGTCATCGTCTGGCGTCTGCACCCGGCCCTGGTCTTCCTCGTCTGGCTTCCCTTTATCCTGTTCGACGGCGTGTACCTCACATCCTCCCTCCTCAAAGTCCCCGACGGAGCCTGGTTCACTCTCATGCTCGCCACCAGCCTCGCAGCATTTTTCCTGCTCTGGCGTTATGGGAAAGAAACACAATGGGTCTGTGAAGCCAAAGACAACACGACGAGATTATCTTCTCTCATTTTTCCTACCGGTGCTGCTGCTACCACGACGACGACGACGGAGCCTGCTCGATTTGGATACGAGGGAGAAGGGCAACGGTTAACGGAAAAATACGGTTCGCACCCACTCCTCTCGACGCCTGGCCTCGGCATCTTTCTCGACAAATCGGGCATTTTCACACCCAAAGTGTATGAGCAATGGCTGTGTAAATTCCGCAGTCAAATGCAAGTGGTGGTGTTGATGCATTTGCGCGCATTGAATAAACCTCATGTCGCCGAAGAGGATCGTTTCGAGGTGGAAGTGGTGAAGGGGTTGACGAATGTGTATCGGTTGGTGATTCGGCATGGGTATAATGATCATGATGTGATGAATCCGGGATTGGCGGGGGAGGTGGTGAGGGTGGTGAAGGGAGAGGTGATTAGAGAAGGGCTTATTGGAGGGAGAGAGGTGGATATAAATGAAGAGGAGGAGGAGGTAGCAGTGGTGGCCAAGGACGGCGAAGACGACGACGACGATGATGCTCACGATACCATCTCACCTGTGGTCCATCCTGGCCACAACTCCACCACCACCACCACAAGAAAAAGAATAACCCGAACAAGTCCCAGAACAACAACAACAATCTCCACCTCCCACCGCCTCAGCGCCCTCGAAGCAGCCTCTTCCGCTCAAACTCTCTATCTCGTCGGGAAACAACAAATGCGCATCTCGGCTTCGTATAATATTTTCAAGAAAATCATTTTGGGCGTCTTTCTCTGGGTGAGAGAGAATTCGAGGAGTAAAATGGAGAAATTAAATGTTCCTATGGAGAGGTTGGTGGAGGTGGGGTTTGTGGGGGAGATTTAGGGATGAATTTTTTTTTTCTTTTTCTTTGTGGAGGGGAGATGGGGATATGTGATGATGATTTATATGATGTAGAACACTGAATGGTTCAGGTAGGGAGGTATGATGTGATATATACATCTCAATAAATGCAGCCAAGGCTGGAGAGATACAATAAAGGTAGAAATTCCCCCCACTTGAACATCCTAGGCCTATCCTCCCGTCACATTTTCTAAGCAAACATTATTATTCGAAGTAGCAATATAGATAAAGGTAAGTAGATCCAAAATCCATAAGCACCTCAGGCCAACTTTTCATTAAGCGCCCTCGATGTAGAGGCAAGGCTGAGGCTGCAGTACCCAAAGTTGTGAAACTAGCGCGGGCGCTTCCACTGCTTCCCTTACTACCTAACTTTCATCAGATTTCGTTTGTTGTGATTTGACGCCTGGCTGAGAGAAAGAATGGAAGGATGGAAGGAAGGATGGATGGAAGGAAGAGAAGAGGCACAGCAGCGCGTAGAGGAGTGGATCTTTTTTTTGTTCGTTGTGGTCGGTACCTAGGGAAGTGAGTAGAGAGGTAGAGAGGTAGAGAGAGAGGTATTTGAGTATTCTTCCTCGCGAGCCCTTCTTCTGTTTCTAATATTCCTTGGAACCGCTCTTCAATATTCAAGAAAAGAAAGAGAAAGAAAATTGCAGAGAAAAAACATGTTCATCTCTTCCATCCTCATCATCACCACTATACTACAAGGACAACAAAGACAAGGAATCATCGTCCACGCCGCCAAAATCACTCTGACGCAAGAAATCCAAATCACGACAACAATACACGTCTCTCCGACAACGACATCGACATGGACATTGTTATTAGAGGAAGGATCGACATTATTACCTCCTCTCACGGCGCTTGTACCTGTATCTGGACCTGGGACATTAGCCACTACAACGGGAATTTCTATTCTCGGAACATATAATGATGATGATGATGATGATGCAGTATCACCATCATCACACCACTACTATCATCAAACTCCGACTCAGACGTCGACTCTGACTCGGGATTCGGCAAGCTACCAGCCATCTTCTTTTTCTTCTTCTTCGACAACCAACACACCCGCCTCCAAAGTCCTTCTCATCGGTAGTGACAATGGAAGTGCTAGTGCTCTACCCCTCACAGCAGGCGGATCAGCACAAACCATTTCAGGAACGAGATATAGTCTGGACGAATGCCGTCTCTTTGTAGACACGACAAAGACTGCGATGTTGGGTTATTCTGGGAGAGAATGTGAACCGACTACTACAACTGCGACTGCGACTGCGACTGCGACGAGTGTAATCAGGAAAATATGGACGTCGACGAGAACTGTACCTGTAGAAGTTACTTCAAAGGTGATTATGATGCCTGCTGCTGCTGCTGCTGCTGGTGGTGGTAGATTATATGCAGGAGTAAATTCTACAAGAGTGGGAATAGGAAGGAATCATACTCTTGCCACTACAACAACTTCTTCTGCTGCTGCTGCTGCTACGACTGCTACGAAAGGAATCGTCCTCCTCGGCGCTCCCCTTGCAGGCCAACGCAATTCGACTATGACGAGAAGTAGAGCTCCTTGGACGTCGACGAGTAGTAGTAGTAGTGGGATTACAGCTTCTGGATCTGCGACTGCGACTTCTCAATCGGGTGCGTCTTTTGGGTGTGAGGTGGATAGAAGGATTTTGGTCTGGTGGTTGATGATGGCGGGCGTGTTGTTTTTGTTGGTGGGGTGAGGGTATCTGTAGATCTATTAGTTTAATCAATATTTTGCAGATTGAGTTAATGAAAGTTTTAATGAAAACAGGAACAAGCAACGTGGAGAAGCCGGACGGGAGGTTCCAGGTTGTTGCCCCGGTGTACCTGGCTTTTTGCGACCATCGGGCCTGACTTCCCGACAACCCTCGACAGAAAGTCTTTTTTTTTTGTTTAATTAAATTGTGGTTGTTGTCGCCGTCGTCGTTGTCGTCATCCTCATTCTCATCGTAGACGTACATGTATCTGAGTTTCGTTACTTGGTGGATACAGATATGATCAGAGGGAAAAAAAGGCAATCTCGTGCAATCTAAATTGTTGATCCCCCTCAGGGCCCGCGCGACGCCGCCCGCTGAGAAAGTGGAAACTAATAAACTACCTATTGTCTCTTCCTCCCTCTGACCCACCAACCCCCACAGAAATGAACAAACGCCCCATACCTCCATCTTCCTTCTCCTGATTACATATGATTTCATCTTTCATCGAATGTGTCAGGCATCGTGTTTTGCATCATCATCATAACACAAGGTGGCTGTAGATGAATGCGCCACATAGTAGGATCAAACAGCAGATGAACGTCGGGTTGTTTGGGAGGAGAGACGAGAGAATCTTCTGTGAAACTCGACCTGAAGCACCGAGGGTGACGAGGGACGTCGAAGGAAGCCGCACAGGGGATACCCGGGACCCCAGACCTGTCCAGCATGTTGACGATAACTAAGGTTGTTGGTGATTAATAATAATAGTATACGACAATCCATCTTCTTCTTCTTCTTCTTCAGCCTTGAGAGTGAAAAAGACCCGTGTTGAAGTACCACGTGGCCAGCCTGTATGTAGGTATTGACGAACGCGTTATCATTATCATACAGGTAATGCATGATATCAAAATACTAGAGGTTGGCAAGGACCTTACATCAACTACCGAGCTATACTGTCCTGGGCCAGTCAGTCTTACCGTGGCAGCGCCCGTCGGGTGAGATATTGGCCTCTGCACACGGTCTGACGGTCTGCTACTTGCGAGTGTGATGAACATGGACACTGTTGATACTACTGTATACTATGAATGGGGCTTCATCGGAAATAATCGAGGGCAGCAGGAGGCGCAGCAGACGTCTGTAACGGTGACAGTCTCCCAAGCCGGCCTCGTGGGTGCATGCCCTGCTGGAGTCAGCTGGACCTGGTTCGCTATGACGCACGCCTCTGCCGCGCTCTGCGTGTAAATGATACTAATCAGTAATCCTGAAATCTGAAAATGGGAATTTCTGTACTGCGGGAAACACGGCCAGCACGCCCCCCTTGCTCCCTCCTACGCTGTCTATTGTGAATGGAGATCCCTATTCGCGCAAAACTACTAGCGATCGCAGCAAGGGTCGCACCACCACCACTCTTGGGAGTTCCTCGTTGCCTCTTGTCTGCCACAGCGCCCAGCCCCCTCCAACTTGGACGGTCGGTCGGGGTCACCGCGGTCTTGTGTGGGCTGAGCGGTGGTGTCTCTCCCGGCAGTCCATCGCGTTGTCCGATGAGATCCAACGCACACGCTGTAGCCCGGGAACAGGCACACTGGCCACTGTCCACTGTCCGTCCAATGTCGTTCAATCAGAAATGCGATGGACAAAGTCTAATCTTAATGAAACGCAGTACCCCTGGCTAGTGGGACGGGTAACTTGCATAGCCGCACTTGGGCCCGTCCTTGCCCTTTTCCAGCGCGATATCTCTCACTCAGTCACTCTCACCTGAAGCCCGCCAAGTTTTTGCTCCTCTCTCTCGCTCTCTCTCCCTCTCTACCTTACCTTACCCACACTCTCACCCGCTCCCACACTCTCACGCTCCTTCACCCACCATTGTCACTCTCTCGACCTCCACCAGACTGTCCTATTGTGCAGGCCCAGTGCTTCACTCTACCAGTCGTTCCATTCATTTAGCACTGCCCGCTCCAGCTTCAACCAAAACAAAACAACCACCCGCACCCGACAGAACGACATTTCGCGCAAGGTGTGCATACCAGACCCAGCCCCTGCGGAACCACAACACGCAACAACACGCGGCATTTCCACTGCACGAGCTTCGCATCGCCCGCCCCGCCGAGACCCCATCGATATCGATTGATTCCGCATACTCACCCATCGCATCATCAGCATCACGAATCTTCGTTCCTTCCGTCTTCGTGCAGCGCGCGAAGCTTGTGCATACACTTCAGCCACCACTACCGCGACCGCTCTCTCTTCCACACACCACTGCGCCGGCAACGCAGAGCATCATCAGCAGCTTCATCATCACCACTGCGCAGGCGCTCAACCACAGCATCCCCTACCATCAGCGCCAGGCGCGACAGCAGCAACATGAAGACTTTCACCACCGTTACGGCCCTCGCCCTCGCTGGCAATGCCGCCGCCTTCTGGCGCATGCCATGTCGCTCGACTACGGGTATTGCCCGTATCGACCCTCTGGTTGCACCCAACGATGTCGCTGACCATGCGCACATTGTTTTTGGAGGTGGAAGTGAGTTTGCGCTCTCTGCGCCATGAAGTGCGCACACCATCGTCGCGCCTGTACTAATCGTTGTACGCAGACTTTGGCATGAACACGACCTACGAGCACCTGACCAAGTGCCCCGACGAAGAGTACGACTGCACATCGTGTGGTGTCATCCAGGACAAGTCCGCCTACTGGACCCCGCCACTCTACTTTCAGCACAGCAACGGTCAAGTCGAAATGGTCGAGAACGTGGGAGGCATGCTCGCGTACTACCTGTTCTACCTTGATGACCTCAAGCCCTTCCCCGAAGGCTTCCAGATGATCGCCGGAGACCCAACCTACCGCAACTTTACCGGTCCCTTCCCGGATGAGGAGTTGAGCTTGTGGCCCACCGATCCGACCGATCAGTTCTTCCTCAAGCAGCGCGCCATCGGCTTCAACTGCTTGAACTATGGCAAACAGCCCGAAGCCTCTCTCTACCGCCACGTCTTTCCAACCAAGGAGGAGATGGACAACAACTGTGTCGATGGTCTGCGCCTCGAAATGGCCTTTCCATCGTGCGGCACGGGTGAGATCGACTCCCACGATCACCGATCGCACGTCGCCTACCCATCGCTCGTCAAGGAAGGTAACTGCCCCGAAGGTTATGACGTCCACTACCCATTCCTCTTCTTCGAGACCATTTTTGCCACCCAGAAGTTCGCTGGAATGCCGGGCCAGTTCATCCTCTCCACCGGCGATCCCGTCGGAGCCAGCTACCACGCCGACTTCATGATGGGCTGGGACTCGGCCGAGTTCCTTGGTGAAGCCATCAACACCTGCACCAGCCCATCGGGTCAAGTCCAGGACTGCCCTCTCTTCACCCTGCAGAGCGACAGTGACGCAGCCAAGTGCACCTTCGCGATGCCCAAGGATCTCGAAGAAGATGACTGCCATGGTCCACGCGATGGTCTGCCCGTTGGCGTCCCGATTCAGTACGGCCCCGAGGCTGCTACCAAGTACCCGGTCGCAGGTGCTTACGGCGGAGGATCCACCGTCAAGACCAGCACCATTCCTCACACCTCGGCCCCATCAACCTTCACCCCATCCGCTCCAGCGTACTCGCCCGCCAACCCGTCCGTGACGTCCACTGCACAGGGAGGCATTGTTGTCGCTCCGAACAGCATCATTAGCAGCACGAGCATCAGCAGCACGAGCACCAGCAGCAGCTGCTCCAGCAGTACCATCACATCTGCACCAATTTCCAGTGCTTCTGATACGCCGGATATCACGACGACGTGGATCACCAAGGGTAGCGAAGTGTGGGAGATGGTTATCCAAGAAGTGGACCTGACCGTCACCGCGACTGCTACCGCACCTGCCCCAGCTGGATACGGAGCACCCCCAACATACGGAGCACCCCCATCATACGAGCACAAGCGTCATCTCGACAAGCACGCTCACCACCACCGGATTTGAGCGTTGATACCCAGAATCATAGCAAACACCTCGGTGTTTACATGTCCAGTGCATTGAGCGGCATTTCGGGAGGCACGGTGTTTTTAGTGTTTCACAGTCTGATGAAGTCCACACTCTAACCGAGTTGGGTATATGCGGGAATCGAGCACCAGGAAGAAGGCAGCCATCGTCAACTTGTAGCGAGGCAGGTCCTGCGCGTGCAAACTGTAACATATGCAGATTCCAAAGAAAGAAAAAAACAAACGAGAGAAAAAAAAAACTAGCCCTTATGACACGCACTTTGATGGTAAGATGAGCCCGAAGGCATCGGCACCATAGTTTTATCATGGCATACACATACCAACACATGACGGCTGAAGGCGACGAGCGAGACAAAAAGCTGTAGCAGCATTGTGAGCTGAGCAGTCTTGAGATGACCCCCCTTTTTTGAACCAGCGATGAGACTTGTTTGTTTGTGTACCGCAGTTCTGTTCTTCTTTTTCTGTTTACTTTTTGCTTCGTTTACAAACTTTACATTCACTTCTTGGTCTCTCTACTGACTGTGACTTGGGCCAATTTCTCAAATTTCCTCCTAATTCGTGTTTCTTTGCCTCCCGTGATTGAATACGGTATGCAGGGTTGTGAGGTTCCGAGGTGTCTTCGTAAGCACGTATCGCACGGATGTCTCTCTTCTTCTAATACATGTATGCCTGGTGCAATTTCTACATAGCTGGCAATTATGAGGTTATTCTTGTGCATCGAAGAACACACGACAATTGCACTGGAATGGAATGGAATGGAATGGAATCTGAACACTTTCGAAGATGACTAATCAGCTGGTCGATGGAAGTCACGTCACATGGTTCCGCGTCTCTGTCGTGAATACCCACACTTGTGGCTGGGCAGCTCAGCCTTCCTCGCCAGCCTCGTTCATGATCAGCAACCTCGAGTATGCAGTGCAATCGCAGTCCACCACGTCGCCCTTCGCCGTAGTGAAGGCGACGCATCCCTCCGTCTACAGTCTTGTAGAAATATGACCTCTTTCCCGGTAGGTGTTGCACTCGTAACTCTTCTCACTCTCTTGATATAAATTCGTAGCATGACCAACCACTTCACCAACACACCCGAAGCCCTGCTCGGCAGGAACGATTCGAAGAACCCCGCATCAACATGTAAAGGCATCACGGGCTCCGGGAGGCCGTGTCGGCGTGCATTGGCTGCTGCAAAGACATCTCCCCATGGCAGTAGGAGGAGCTCGGCAGGCGGCGTGGTGGCAGTGGTGGAGGAAGACGGCGGCGGGGTGACGGATGCAGATTTCTACTGCTGGCAGCACAAAGATCAGGCGCAGCAGATCTTGCCACAGGACAGTCCGAGTACGCGATCGAAGAAGAAGCGGACCACAGAACTGTACCCACTGCAGGAGAAGAGCAGCATCGATACACTCGTGCAGAAGCTCGGGATCGAGGCTGTGCCGGAGAATATTCGACGGAAGGCGAAATCGAAGCCGAATGATGGTGTGAGGCCGCCGAGAAGGACGGCTACCACGGACTTTGCAGAATCACGACCTGGAGCAGTGGGACCCGCGAGTGAAAAGCCTGTGAAGCCCAGCTCGAGGCGGAAGAAACCTGGATTCTGGACTTCGTTGTGCTCGTTATGCTGTGTATCGAGCGACAATGACGATTACGTTGAAATTGTGCGGCACAAGCAGCGCGTGCAACATGGTACCAAGCCACCTGCGGAAGTGTTCAATACGTCTCAGCCTTCGAGAAGGTCCTCCTCGCAATTGCCACCTCGTCGACCAGCAGGGTTAGGTAACACTACGTCAAAACAACGAACGTCTTCCAACCCCGATACCGGCCGCCTGCTGTCGCTCATACCTCAAACACTGCCGCCACAGACGACTTCCAGCGTACTCGCTGAACTTATCAAGCCCATCAGCGCGGCAGATGAAGATGGCTACATCTATATTTTCTGGCTGACACCACAATCGAAACCTCCGCCTTCACAATCCACTTCCCGATCTCTGCTATCACCCAGCTCGGATCGACCACAGAATGGACGCCGTATGAGCGATATCATGACCGAGTTCTCCTTCGATGGCACAGAAGAAGAAGAGACCATCCGAGGGGCAGCGGCAAGGGGACGCGGCAAGAAAAAAACCATTATGCTCAAGATCGGCCGAGCCAACAATGTCACTCGCCGTATGAATGAGTGGCAGCGACAATGTGGATATGCCCTGAATCTGGTTCGATGGTATCCTTATATATCCTCCACCCCGGCAACATCTCCCGCGCATTCGCCCCATGCCAAGTCTTCCTCTTCTCCTCTTTCTGCTTCCGCTACTGGCTGTCCAGACTTGTCGTCTGCACGACCACCAAGCTCACGAGCTGATAGTGGCGCGGTACGCAAAGTTCCCTTTGTGAAGCGCGTCGAACGATTGATACATTTAGAGCTTGCAGATCAGCAGGTCAAGAGGCAGTGTGAGACGTGTGGGAAAGAGCATCGGGAGTGGTTCGAGGTGGAGGCTAGCGAGCAGGGGGTGAGGAATGTCGATGCGTGTGTCCGACGATGGGTGGAGTGGGCGGAACGGGAGGCTGCCAAGTAGGCAAGGTAGATGTTAGATGTTAGATGTCAGATGTAGGTGAGATGATAGCCGATACAGGTATTGTTGTCATGTACATGTACTTGGCGGTTTGCTGTGACTAAGGTACATGTAGGTAGGAGGTACAAATAACTGAATATGGAGAGCTCAGCTCAGCTCAGCTCAGCTTGGTATAATATTGTTTCGAGGTCAGTCATCCTGGGGGTCAGTCACTCTGGGGGTCAGTCATTCTGGAGGTCAGTGCAATGATCGACAATCACTCTTCCCAGCCATTGCGACTTCATGTCTTGGTCATCATGGCAGAAGAAGAAGAAGAAGTAATAGGCTGTTGTTCATTCACATGAAGAGAAACAGAGGACAAGGTAAGGTAACCTATCCATTCCGCAACCAACCAATATATACCTACCTTTATCTTTTTTTTTCTCTCTCTTCGTCCCTGTGTAGGTAGGTACCACTACGCAGGTTTCCCCCGATTACTCTCCCCACCCGTTTCCGTCTTCAACTCCTCCTTCTTGACCGCCTCCTTGACAGCAGGAAAACTAAACACCTCCGAAATCCCTCCCTGTAGCCCTTGCCATCGTCCATACGTCTGGAAATTCGTCCATGTCAACAGTCCGACCCACGGTTGCACATTCCAATGTAGTGTCAAAGTCGCAAAGGGCCTCTCGGCCATTTTGCCCGAGACATCCGTGATTTGATATTTGGGTTTTTGGTCTTGCAGGCGCAAAATTCCGGGTGAAGTTCCCTCGGGATAGGCCTTTCCTGCGAGACCCAGAGCGCGTTCTTTTTTGGAGAAAGTCTTTTTCTTCTTCTTGCCGTCCTTTCCGATGGTGGTGGTGGGGTGGATGTAGGTGTTTTGGTGTAGCGGGGCGTAGTCGGAAGGGATGATGGCGTCCCAGACGACGACTTCGGAGTCGGGTACGTTTTGGGGGTTGTCGGAGGGGTAGGAGGCGGTGATGTAGGCGAAGACTTGTTTGGTGTTCCAGTTGAAGAGGGAGGAGAGGTCGGCTTCGAGGTCGAAGGTGACGTGAGCGTATTCTTCGCGTTTGGTGCTGTAGTAGTGTGGTCGGCCTTTGACTCTGTTTTTTGGTTATATCAGCAGGGCTCGGATGGTGATGGTTGGTGGAGTGTATGTAATAGGCAGTGATAGCAAGCAAGCAAGCAAGTAGTACATAGGAATCATGGTGAGGAGAGATATGCGGCAGACTTACACTCGGACATTCTTCAGCTCCAGACTGGCCGATGGGTTCTGCGGACTCAGCAGGACACTGACGGCGATGGCTGCTGCGACGGCAAAGGCCACGGATGTGAAGAAGCCAAAGACGTTCTGCACGCGGACTAAAGTGGAATGCATGATGGACGCGGTGTTGGTGTAATTCCAAGTACACCTCCAGCTGGCACTGAACAATCCACAAGTCGCCTTCACCAAAGGAAGTGACTGACCTTGGGGAAGCTGTCCTCAAGGGCTTGGCGCTCATGAACTTGTTACCAGAATAGATTTACCGTACCTACCTGACCTAGCTGTTGGCTGACCTTACCATCTTCCCTCACTCACTCACTCACTCACTCACTCACTTCTGCTACGACTATTCACATCTCATCTGCTACTCCAAAATCCCTTGTTAGTATGTCTGGACATCGGTCCACTACACCATTATACTATCATGATATATGCTATCCCTCCGCCTCCTATGATCTGGAGAAGATGGCGGCTGAGTAGCCGGCTTCTGTAACAAGCCACGATGCATGCCCGACTCACTACTCAAACTCACCCACGTCTACCTCCTAAGCGCTGTTATTTCTTGTGCGATGAGTCGATGAAGACTGCACTCGCTCCCACTGAACTTCGTCTGGTCTGGAAATGAGCATTGCTCTCGACTCATGAGCTCTCCATCCTCCTCCTCCTCTAACTAGACACGACAGCCCGGGAAAAATAAAAGTCACGCCTCACTCCAGCTGTGGTGTCTTGATCATACCTAGGTAGGTAATGAATGACAACATGCACCGAGACAGGAAGATGCGATGCTGCTGCCTCTATACCATGTTCCTGATGAGATGCATGATATGCCGGAGTGTTCCTGCAGTAGTCGGACATTAATGCAAACGAGCCGCAGAGACACCCGCAAGCGCTAGGAGGTAGCTGTGGAGCAACTGGAGATGCTTCAGAATGCAGCACTGACGTCGTGACAGTGGTACTCATGGGATCATTACCTCCTATCTCGAGCTGATATTGGTCGTAATCTGGTTTGAGGAATTCGCCTTTGGTGCCTCTCGATCCTACAGATGGAGATGCGGCAGAATCTCGTCACCGCCGATGGATGCACTTGATACAGAAGCGGATCATCGTGAGCAGCCATCGATGCACTCGCCTGACGTCGTGACTAAAAAGCATACGCTCTGCTGTGCAACAGGTTCTTGACGTGAATCCACGAGTCAGCCACCGACAACTTTTGCGCCTACCGACCGCGACATGGGTATATCATGAAGCCTATCGTTACTCTGCATCACGTTCCACAGCATGATGCCGTAGCTGAACCGGCCGAGTCTGCCGAGTGAAAGCCCACTGCGAGCCCACTTACCTCCTACTTATTGCAGACGGCGGGGGTCCGTGTACCTCGCAAACAGGAAGCATGCAGACGCTATGTACCACTTTCGTGAGAGCACCTACGGCCATACATACACGTGGTCGTGGTATGCTCCATGAACATAAGGTTGTGTTCACGGGTCGATCTTAGCATCCTCTCTTTCTCCCTCTTTCCACCTCGTCCTGCATGACAGCAGCTTTCCTGCTCATATCGATGGAACGGCAGAATCATCATCTCTGAGATTGTCCATGACATGCAGGCACGCCGTTTTAAACGGCTGTAATTCCTGTTGCACCACTGTATTAACAGCACCATCCACCCCGTCATACCGACTGCTCGAAGCCCTTGCCGCCAGACTAGTCACTTGATTCTCATCGACACTTCGTCTTCCCCCGGACAATCGCATGCACTCCAACGCAGCCCGCTGGCGGAGAGAGCTTGGATGATCAGACCTGTTACAGAGACCTTTGGACCACAATGCCGGTAGGCCACGCACCGGGAAGTGCTGTGGTCGGCGTGACCGTCGCCTTCACCGTCCTCGCCTTCATCGCGACCGCATCTAGACTGATCACTCGAGTGGCCATTGTTCGAGGAGCGGGAATTGACGATGTGATGATCACTATTGCCGTAATGTTCAGCATCGCCATCACGACGACCATGGTCATGCAAGTCCAGTACGGCATGGGACGACATGCCGACACGCTGAGTACCAACGACAACAAATACAGCCTGGTCTGGTTCTGGGCTTCCGTATGGCTCTATTACCTGGGCCTCATGTTCACCAAACTATCCATCTTGTTCCAATATCTTCGAATCTTCCCGGACAGACGATTTCGCTTCTGGTGCATCAGCCTCATGGCCCTGGTATGCGGTTGGACGTGCTGGGCATTCTTCTCTGCTCTCTTTGCATGCTGGCCCATTCAGCACTTCTGGAATCCTTCCATACCAGGTGCTTGTCTGAACCGCCTGGCAGTATGGTGAGCATGATCCTGCGTGAGAATGACATGGTGACACGCACCGGCTGACGACTCTTGACACTAGGTTTTCCAATGCAGCGATGAACATCATAACCGACATCGCCACCACCATCCTACCTTTACCTGTTCTCAAGTCTCTCAATCTTCCGAAACGACAACGCTACGTCCTCATGTTTGTCTTCGGAATGGGAGGCGTCGTGTGCGTCATATCGGTCTTGCGGCTCTCCTCACTCTACACCATCTCCATCAGCACCGATGTCAGCTGGGATAATCCACTCGCAGCAATCTGGTCCAGCTGTGAAGTGAATGTCGGTATTCTGTGTTCGTGTCTTCCCACACTGAAAGGCTGTGTCGCACGCTACTTCCCCGTTCTCTTCAGCTCCGCTTGCGGATCTCGACCGACGGGTGAGTTTAGAGCGCTAGAGCTCAGTGGAAGGGGCAGGAAGAACCAAGCTTCGTGTACGATCTCTGCAGTGGGAAGTGTCCCTTTGACGGGGGAGAGGTCCTCTTCGAAGATGGCGAGGATGAAATCTCGTCTGGGTCGAGGGGAGAAGGATATGGAAGAAGGGGGTAGTGAGGACTCGGAGAGTTATTACGGGAGACTGACGCCGACGGATCGAGACCATGCCATTCATGTCACCACGGTCGTGCAGCAGGAGGAGGAACGAAGTCCACGGTTTGCACCGATGGAAGGTGAGAGTCTCATGGGACTCGTGAATCAAAAGCCTTATGGGGCGTAACGATGTATGACGGAATAGGGCGTTTCGATGTGATGATGGGGGACCAGGTGTTTTGGCGAGGGCTACTGTTTTCAAACGATACCAGGTGGACCACAGAGACCCGGGGGGTTGAATGTGATGAGATGTTCGAATTACTCACTTATTACCTACGACGGCAGGCCGGGCTTACAGAACTGACATAGCTAATTTCATATTCTCAATACAGGTACTAGATAGTGCCTAATATTGCTCAATTATTTCATTCTTCATGTCTTTCTCTCGTTGATCATGATTCTGATATGCAGGCGGGGAGAAGTTGGCTGCGGGGCAAATCTTGGCAGTGACTAACATTTGTTTAGAATAAACACCTCAAGTTAACTGAACCGACATCCTGAATCTCTGACCCTCCTCCATACTGAGCACACAACATGGCGAACCGTACAGCACAAATCCAAGAGTGGCAAGAGAGGGCCAAGGCCCTAGAGCCTCTCAACCTGAAGCAGATCGAGAAGCCGCTGGGCGAACTCGACGCTCACCTCACTCTTCGCAGCTACATTGTGGGCTACAGTGCCAGTGATGCCGACACGACCGTCTGGAAGACGCTGCGAGGCAACAGAGTGGCACACAACTTCATCAAGCAGGGTCTGATGGTCAACCTGACCAGATGGTTCACCTTCATCGAGGAGACGGCGGCACCCACCATCGAACTACCGACGCGACCCGTCGAGAAGAAGGCGGGCGACGACGGCGCCAGTTACGAGATTGGCCTGCCCAACACCGAAAACGGCGTGGTGACGAGGTTCCCACCTGAGCCATCTGGATATCTGCACATTGGACACGCCAAGGCAGCCCTGCTCAACGACTTCTTCGCCCACAAAAAGTACAAGGGTACCATGATTCTTCGCTTCGACGACACCAACCCCTCCAAGGAGAAGGAGGAGTACCAAGATTCGATCATGAAGGACTGCGAGCTGCTCGGTGTCAAGCCCGACAAGGTCTCGTATACCAGCGACTACTTCCAGAACCTCTACGAGCGATGCGTGCAGGCGATCAAGGATGGTCTGGCATACACCGACAACACCCCGCAAGAGCAGATGCAAAAGGAGCGTATGGACAGGGTGGAGAGTGCACACCGGAACGACTCGGTCGAGGAGAACCTGGCGCACTTTGAGGAGATGAAGGCCGGGTCGGAGGAGGGTGTGAAGTGGTCAGTACGTGCCAAGATCGACATGTCCAGCAACAACGGTGCCATGCGAGACCCCGTCATCTATCGCTGCAACCCCGAGGCACATCACCGCACGGGTACCACCTGGAAGATATACCCCACCTACGACTTCGCGTGCCCGATTGTGGATTCTGACGAGGGTATTACCCACGCTCTGAGGACCACCGAGTACAACGACCGTGATGCGCAATACCAATGGTTCATCAAGAATCTCAAGCTGCGTGGTGTGCACAACTGGAACTTTTCTCGCATGAATTTCGTCAAGACATTCCTGTCCAAGCGTAAGCTGACCAAGGTCGTCGACGAAGGCAAAGTCTGGGGCTGGGATGATCCGCGTATGCCTACTGTCCGTGGCATTCGTCGTCGTGGCATGACGATTCCCGCACTACAGGAATTCATCATCCGACAAGGACCCAGCAAGAACATTAACATGATGGATTGGACCGCGTTCTGGGCCACCAACAAGAAGTACATTGACCCCATCGCAAAGCGTTACACTGCCGTCGAATCAAAGGATCAAGTCAAGGTCATCGTGACTGGCGCACCAGAGGCTCCCCGCACGGAAGAGAAACCGGTGCATGCCAAGAATGCCGAGCTGGGAAACAAGAAGGTCATTTTCAGCAAGAATGTCATCATGGACCAGGCAGATGCACAATCGTTCGCCGAGAACGAAGAGATCACGCTGATGAACTGGGGTAACGCGATTGTGAGGAAGAAAACGTACACACTCCTCGACAGCCTCAACCCGGTCAAGTCAGAGGAGAATAAGGTGGTCAGAGAGCTGGAATTAGAGCTGCACCTGCAAGGCGATGTGAAGAAGACGAGCAAGAAGGTCACATGGCTGTCGACCGATCAAGAGCTCGTGCCGCTTGTCATGTATGACTTCGACTACCTCATCAAGAAGGATAAGCTCGAGGAGGACGATGATTTCGAAAAGTCGTTGAACCCAGAGACGGAGTTCAAGACGGAGGCGCTCGCCGATTGCAACGTGGCAGATCTCAAAGAAGACGACATTGTGCAATTCGATCGCAAGGGATTCTTCCGAATCGACAAGTCCTTCAAGCACGGAGAGGCCGTCATGGCTTTCCAGATTCCTACGGGAAAGAAAATGTAGATTGCGGCTTGAGCGATTGGCGAGGAAGAGATTATCCAGATAGATATCTGAGCCATTGTTATGACCACCCATCGACTCGCTTCTCACGAGCCATTCCGTCTCCATCACTGATCCCCGTCTCCCGTAGTCCCATGTCCTGCCTATATGAGTAAAAATCCCTACTCTTCCCATACCTTTTCAAAGAAGTCTCATAGGTACCTACAGTACAATGAGTACATCATATAGCATATAAACACAAGGGTTGCCCTACAGGGGGAAATAATAAAGCCGCAATGGCCAAAGAGAGACTATCTAGAAAGACGTTAGTTGGATTGGACCTTTTTTCATATACGAGTTGAGTTCATGCACACGAGGCTACGACTAGGGGCCGAGGCCTTGCTTTAATACGTGAGGCCTAATTTATACATCTTGCCATTATGCCTTGAGCTCAGTCTCAAGCACACGCTGAGCAGCGTTGCTGGAATGAAGAGAAGCAGAAAGTATGCTGCCGAATGTCTGTTCGCTCCTTGATACAGAGTATCATTTTCACGCGCTAGCGACAAGCACCCCATGAATGCTCACCCATTCCATCGCTTGCTGATGCAGGAACAGAAGCTTCTGTTCCAAGAGATGCGCTCTCGTTCTAGTAGCGCAATGATACGAACTGGTTTTCGCCATGCTTTGCATCGCCCTGTTGCAAGAACGCAGCAGCATTCTATGGTCGTCCACTGCGTCGTCTCTTGGTAGGATCAAAGCCTTGCTGCGCCTCCTCGTGTCTTCGCTTCCTGCCATCTGGACCTCCTGGTGGACCATGCTCCTCTCGCGGCATGCCTCTGCCACTTGACTCCTTTCGATCCTCCTCTCGTCGAGGATGCTGGCCACCTCGAAATTCAGCTTGTGGTCCTGATGGGGCCATACGATTAGCTCCGCTCGCTCTCTGATCATTCTGATATGGTCCTTGCGGCGGGCCATTGAACGGACCAGATCCGTGCGATTGCGAGCGATGAGCATGTCCATCGTCTGTTCGCGAATACTGGCGGTCGGGAGCTCTATGGTCACCGCGAGATCCATCACGAGCACTATCACGAGGTCGGTCATCGCGTGCTGATCGATCTCTTCGAGACCGACCATCGTCCGCAGGACCAGGTGGCGGTGGAGGAGCATGTCCATGTCCAAAAGATTCGTTGTGAGATCGCTCTCGGCTTTGGTGACGACTGCTGGACTGCCGGCCATCGTCACGATGTCGGTGACTGCGTTCATTCCCAGAATCGGTTCTGTTCTGGAAGAGATCAACCGTAGACGCCGGCACGGCAGGAGGAGCCATAGGTGGTGCGTTAGATATGCTTGATTGCCTAGAAGAAGCACCTCTGAACTGCACACCTTGAGGACTAGCTTGACTGCCGTTGCCTTGCAGAGTGGCGTTGATACTGGCACGTTGACGATTCTTCTGCTGCCTCTCTGCTATTGTTGCAGGGCCCGATGGTGGCACGTTGCTCACAGGTGGAGGCCCCGTTGGTGTACTAGACGAAGTACCGTGGCGGCCTGGTCCACGAGGCGCAGATGGCGGCGCTGCTGTCATTGGCGAAGCCGCGCTGACACTGCGTGGACCATTCGGGGCAAAGTTCGTCTGGATCTGTGCAGGCTGCGGTGGTTGGCCGACGTTGGTGAGTCTACTTGGGTGGACGGATGGCCCGGTCTCGGTTGCAGGGGTGCTAGGTGCGGAATTTGGGGCAGAAACCCGATCCATGTGACCACTCGCCTGTCGAGATGGTCCACGGGGCGCCACAGGGGTAGAGTGCTCAGGTTGTCTCGTAAGGGTCGGCGATGGCAAAGACGGAGTGCCGGGTGGTGGTGCAGTGAAGTTTCTACCGCTCCTATTGCCCCCCGGGCCATTCTTAGGACCCGTAGGTGGCTCGGCTGGCGCATTCAGTCGACCATAGGTGGACTCTGCTGATGGAGGAGGCATCTCTTGCAGTCTAGGCCCCCGCGATCGAGAACCTCGCGGTGCAAGGTCCTGCTGTTGCTCCGATCGATTGGGCGCGTCTCGAGAAGAATCTGCGAGCCGCCCGTTCGTGCGACTGTCGGATCGTGCTTGGAATGGGGGCGGGCCGTTGCGATCGTCCAGGTGGCTGCGCTCTCGACGCTGCTCGTGTTCTACGTGAGGTCGCTCTCGCTCTCGATCTCTACTTGCACGTGGGATAGAGTCAGGAGGGGTATCCTGGTTGATCAAGGCAAGACGAGCTGGATTTACCGACACTTGCTCTTGTTGCGGAGTTGCCACAGAGCTAGCCACGGTTGGCGGGCCTCGGTGAGTCTCGGAAGAGACAGCCACGGAAGAGATGTGTCCCATTCGATCCGGGTGCAGTCCACTATCAGAAGCTCGGCTCGACAGTGGCGGGCGATCTCGCGATTCGGGCGCGTGCCGGTTCTGATGGGTCGGCGCATCATGACGAGATCCACGCGATTCCTCGCGACCGTAACGACCATCAGCTGGTCCACGATCGTACGGTCGCTCATCACGGTACGTTCCCCGAGGGTTGGAACCCGGCGGCGTCCTGCCCCGTCCGCTACGGTGACTTGGCGACTGATCCCGCGAGGCAGGTCGGACCTCACCGCCTCTCTCGAGTCTGCCGTAATGATCATCTGGCCGGTCACCATAGTGGCCGCTATTTCGTGAAGCAGACTGTCCAGGAAGCGGTCGGTTGTACGCAGACTCTTGGGGACGGTTCGGAAGATCGCGGGGCGGCCGTGAGCTTTCCATTCGGTGCGAAGCATCTCGTGAATCAGGCCGTAGCGGCATACCCGAATGAGGAGCGCTCTTGGCTGGGAATGGTGCTGGTGTCGATGACTTCGACTCAGACCGCAAACCATCTCGGTCAGGCAGTGGACGTGCTGGACGCGAGTCTGCTAGCTTTGGCGTGTCCCTGCTCGAGGGTGCGCTGTCTGCAGATGCAACATCCTTGATGCTCTGGGACACAGTGACCTCTGCCTTCGCCGCAGCCACTTTTTCGTCTCGTATCTCACCATCCTCGACAGCAGACTCCTTTCTAGGGGGCCCGATGGGAAGCGTAGGTTTGAAATCGGGTGCAGAAGCATTAAGCTTGGCGGCGCCTGGTTGAGGAGTTTCTGGTCTGCCAGAAGAGTCTTGACCGCCAGTCTTTGCGCCCTCTTTGGCACCCTCCCCAAGTCTGAAGTTTTGCGGTAAGACCCATTGCTTCTCTCGGTTCTGAATTGGTCCGCGAAGCGACATCGCAGCAAGTTTGAGGTCACTGCGCTGTTCTTCTTTCGACAATCTTTCGACCTGGTCAATCATGTTCTTACCGTGAAACTTGATGGCCGGGAATACTTGATGGATACCCTTCAAAACCATGATGCCATTCCGGATGTGCATGTACTCTCCGGATTCGAAACAAGCTTGCAGCGCCCCATTGAGCGCGACGTGAATGTTGAATAGCATCCTGCGGAAGGTCTGCCAGTCCATGACAGACTTGGGCTCGCCGGTGGCTTCGAAGACTTTGACGAACCCCGGCAATTTCTTCTTCAGACCCAATGCCTCTTTCTCGTATGTTGATTGGTCTGCGTGCCACCGATGAAGGAGCTTAAGAGTCTCCAGCAAGAATCGCGCGAGATGCTGCGCTTCATTCTGTGTGCACCCAAATATGAGCGAGCACAACTGCTTCTTCTTGAAAAGTTGGAAGAGAAGATGCATCAGGCTGAATCCAGGCGTGCCGTTCTGGTGCATGAGTTTCATCATCTCAAAGGAATAATGGGAGTCGATAGCGGACAGCATGGCTCGCGGAAGGAAGCATTCTTGTAGGAGAGCTTGGTGCTTTGCTTCTATCGCGGCTTTGATCTGCTGCGGATCAACGGCTGTTGGCTTCGGGAACCAATAAGCATTCTCGCCAGGGATGATCTTGCTGCCAATCTTACTGCCACTGATCCGGTTGCGCACTGCCATGTATGCAGCCATGTGTTGCATGGGCTCAGACTTCAGGCTGTCATACCACTTCTGCAACGCCCTCTTTCGAGCATCACGCTCCTTGGTAGCGATGCTAGTGAGATCACTTCGGTCCGCATTGATCTGCTTGATTTCCTGCTCGATGCGATTTGTCTCCTTTTGGTAGCTATCGGTAGGTACCAGAACGTCTTGGTGAGTAAGAGTCCAGAAAGTGACATAGAAAGGAATGCTGAGACGCGCAGCCAAGTCCGGTAGCGCATCTGTGAGTTGTTGGATCACGGGTTCAAGCACGGGATGCCATGGACTTGACGATTGCAATGGATTCGCGGAGTCGATGTCCATATGCTTCGAGTCTGCCGCTTTCGCGTCGATGTCTTCAGCATCATCCGCAGGCTTGACTGGAGCTTCCTCCATGACAGTGTCGCTGCTCTTATTTGCTGGGGCAGCTTCCGGCTTTTCCTTTTCCTTTTTCTCGTTCTCCTGCTTCTTGGCTGCATCATAATCATTCATACGACTGCGAACAGCCAAACGATGAATCAGCAGTGCAACGCTGGGCTCAAGACCGAAGTCGTGCACGAGGACTCCCACTTCAGGCACCGCTGCCTCGAGTTCTTGTGGTTTCAGATTCCACTTCAGTGCGTCAAGGTACTGCGCAAATACAGCCGAAATCTTGTCCAGATTATTGCCGACGACTTTCAAGGGGGCAAAGCGAAGCTCTTCGCCATGTGCGTAGAGCTTGCGGTCTTGCGCGATAGCGATGAGCAGCTGGCCAACCAGACCCGAATTGCTGAGGCACTGCATGAGACGTCTTGCCGGCTTTTCTTTCTCCTTGGTGTGTCTCTTGTCGGACAATTGCTCCAGGATATAACTCTGCAACGAGACACCACCGGCCATTGCCAGCACCTGAGTGTCGTTGAACTCCACATCCGAGCGGATCCCAGCCATCTCGACCAGAATTTGCTCGAGCATCTCCAAATCGGTGGTCTCTCCGGATCTCAGCTTGGAAGCGAGGTATTGCAGGATCGGTGTGGGGTTCAAGTAAGTATACTTGGAGAAGAGATTGGCAACGAACCGTGACAATGCCTGAAGCCACGGACTGGTCAGCATGCCATCACCCTGCATGCGGTTGCGATCGTTCCCACTGAGCGAATTGATCAGGGCCCATGTGAGCACCTCATACGCCATGGGCGAGAAGTATCGTGTGCACTCCACGAGACTGGGAATCATGTTGGCGTACACCTCGAGTTGGCTGATCATCTCCACCATGACAATGCCTGGCGCTGCCAATGATACTTTTCCCAGCGCTCGGCCTTGCTTTCGCACGGTGTCGTTGGAAACGCGACGGAGGACGTCTCGCACTTCTGCTTTGTTACGTGCAAATGCATCACGGACATCGGCCTGCCGGGAAGTAGAGCCCGAGAACCACTCTGCATAGACATTGTAGCGAGTGCTCAAAGGGTAGAGCTTGAGCAAATCGAAGACTTGTTGACTGAGTTGGGGGTTATGCTTGCCACAGCTCAATGCAGGAATAAGCAGACGTCGCAGGATTGTGAGCCAGCGCGTTCGATTGGCGGGCGAAGCGTCACCAACGAGACTCTGCTCAGCAAGACGCAAAAGGGTTCCATAGATCTCGGGGTCTTGCCCGATCTTGGGACCTAGGAAGCCGATGAAAGTGTCGCATAGAAGATATACGTCGTCAGAACTTTGACACAGAGGGATATTGTCACTCCAGTCGCTGTAATAGTGTCTGTACTCATCACCCGATTTGCTGAAACAATCATTGTGCAACCAACGAATCGGCTTCTTCGCCGACCATGAGCTGACCGGTAGCTGTCCGTTGGGCTGTACGGTGGTGTTGCTGAGACGATCATTTGTTCTGCGCATGTCTGACAGCCCGTGAAGAGGCTTCACAGACTCCGTCATGTTGCTCAACATGTGTCGGAGAATGCGGAAGAAGAATGCAGGAAGTTCAGTGTCCACTTCTGCTAACCACGGAAAGCGACCGAGGATGTACAGAGCTTCGGGAAGAGCTCCAATGAGCAGAAGGGCTTTGAGCAGATAGAGCTTCTGATTTGTGGGAGGTGGTAACTCTGGCTTGGCATCGTCTTTCTTGTCTGGAGCTGGTGTAGTGCCGCCGTTCTTGCTTTTGTCAAGACGTGTATTCCGTGACACAGGGGTATCATCGGGCAGCGCACCCGCCATCAGGAGTGCGTTCATCCCTCCACCAGGGCGGTCCTTGGCATCTTTCTCCGCCTTCTCCTTTTCGAGCCGCTTCCTCTCTGCTGGCATGTCCTGGTCCGATGGATGGAGGTGCGGGTACAAGTCTCGCAAAGACACAAAACCAATCTTGATGAGTAGTGCCGTGAGGTAGATGAGGTTGTCGGGCAGTGTATCTTGCGGATCACGTGCATCGGAAGCATAGAAGCGTAGCTTGAAGCCCAAGAGCTGAGCAGCGTCGTAGTTTCCAGGGGGTGGGAGGTGACGAGTCTCTCGCATGTACTTTCGATCTTCATTCACACGTTGCCGTTTGTGCTGGTTAGTCTCCTTGCCACGAGAATCGAGCTCTGGCTGCGCTTCTTGCTCCAGCAACGGCAGTGCAGAGTCAAAGTCCACAATTTTGCGTGCACCTAGCTCAAAGAAGGCTTTCGTACCGACCTCTCGCACTTGTTGCCAGAATCGCACGTCACGAGTCCGTCTCAGAGCAGTCAACTGCTCGCGCTCTTCGGTGGTGAATGCAGACCTTCCAGATCCGGGTAGGCACCAGGCAGGCAGTGTGCCGAAGCCTTGATCTTCCCATTTCAGATTGTCAAGCGATTCGTCGCTCGGCCACCATGAGCTCGCGCGGTAGAACTTCATAAAGAAAGGATATGCTTTGACCAGGAGATCAGCACTGACATCGAGGGTAATATCCAGGACACGGCCAACATCGAGATCAAAGGCTCCGACCAGGGCTTTGACGCGCTGAAAAGCATCTTCGGCGATGAAGGGGTCATCGCCATTGCGCTTCTCGAAGGCTTGCTGCGCTGTGTTGAAGTACTCCGTGATCAGTTTGGCATATCCCTCGCTTTCTTCTCGCAATAGATTGAAGTTAGCTTGCCGATACAGAGCATTAGTCGTCTTCCGAGTTCGCATCTTCTCGAACGTGCTGCGCACGAGAGAAAGTTCCTGCAGCAACGGTATATCGAGTTCCAGTCGCATGGTCTCTTGGTCAATTCCAGTGGCAGCCACAAGACCCTTGAGGACCTGGTCTTTGTGACCGGACTCGAAGAGAAATGAGAGATTGTTCAGAAAAAGAAATTCGACATCAACGCCATCGCTTTCATGCTTCGCGGCAATCAGCGCGCGGACAGTATGACCAGCTTGCTGTCCGGTCAACCTTCCGTCCAGGGCCGACCGTATGAGCTCCTGGACAAGGTCGCTGAGTTGCATTTCATCTAGCGTTGCGGCCGTGTCGAGTATGGACTGACCGCCCGTGTCCGTCCATACTGCCACAACTTCGTCCACCAGGTACGAATATTGGTATGGCGTCCTCTGGTCGCTAGGCACATCTTCTATGGCCGCCTCTCCATTGTTGGTTGGCGTGGACCCCGATACTGGTACATCTCCATTCTCAGCTGGCCTACGGTATCACGTCCTGGTCAGCTTGTATTCACTTTTCTGCCCACCGCACTTTGGCCGGTCGAGATCGGGGCATGCTCTTGACTAACGTTTCTAGGTGTGATGCATCGCCTCCGTTGCCATTCAGGGGTGTATTCGCCGACGATCTTGCTTCATCAGTGGTGGGTTCAGCTACGGCGCCGGCCTTTGATGCCCGTTGCGATGCCATCCGCGAGTTCTCAGGTCGGTAGGGCGAAGCTCGTGAAGCGTCGTCGGAATGCTGGCGTTCAGGTCGCTTCCGCTTGCCGCTGGGGGGCGCCATAATAGCGACACTGATTCGACACGAATTGAGAATAGGAAAGGGCCGAGTGAAGTGGTGTCGTTGTCAACATAAGGGTGGAAGCAAAGGAAGTTGTAGAAGGAGTGAATCGAAGTGGTCGATGGTCGATGGTCGGCGCGCGGCCGGCGCTGTCGTTGTTCAGGCTACTTCCATGCGGAGGAAACAGATGCCGGATGCTCGTTCGGGTTCGTGTCGAGGGCCAAAATATCTGATGGCGTTGGTTGGCGGTATGTCGTTGTGATGGTTGTCGTGATTTTAGAGATGCAAGATCCGGTTAGGTTGCAGGGCTGGTGCAATGGAAGCGCGCTCCAAACGTGGTGGCGCTAGTTCGTGCTAGTGGCCTCTCCTGACTAAGCTCACCCTGACCATGTCTTTCCAACCTCGCTTGCTACCTCACGACAACATATCAAGAATGCACCAGGTACATCTCCTCTGGAGCATGTCTCTCTCTCTGCCAACGACCGACACGCTACGCTCTCGCATCGGAGTTGCAACATCTTGATCTGCCATATATGCGGCTAGAGACACTCGTCCAGGGGGCCACCAATAGATACGGTATGCTACATATGTATGTCTCCATCCGTGAGTCTAATTCACAATAATACTATCCCTACTGACAAGCTCCTTCGCCAATCGTACAGCATACAACCTCGCCTGCGCCGCAACAATCAACTGATCGCCCGCCAATGCGAAATTCGCAATAGGAGCAGCAGCCATACTATTATTTGCCAGGAAATACTGCCCGTTCACTAACCCCAGCACTTTGCCATTCTTAGGGCTTCTAATCACGATTCCCTCGCCCTCAGCCGTCCACACACGTCCAGCATCGTCTACGTGAATGCCATCAGCGATGCCCTTCCTGACCAGCCCAAAAACACGGCGCTTGGAGGGGTACATGTCCTCGTCAAGATCGTACTGATAAATGTATGGTCCCAACCAGGACGAAGCTCCACCAAGGGTGTTCTCATTGGGTTCTGCGGCGTAGTAGGTCGGACTGCTATCAGTGACGTACAGTGTTCGCTGATCGGGCGAGACTCGAATGTCATTGGGGTTAATATCGTTCCGTGGTATGACCTGCTGTATAACTTCGTTCTGTGGGTCCCATCTCCAGACACCAGATGGAAGCTGAGCAACGGGCGCAGTGTCTCCCCATGCAGATGACGAGTACGGAAAATCGGTAAAGTACAAGTATGTGTCGTTTCCTTTCGTAGCCCATACGACGTCGTCACAACCGACGAAAGGCAAGCCGAAATAGCTGTTTACTACAGGCTCCACTCGCAGGGTCTGGACGTCTACGCTGTATATGCCTCCACGGTAGGTCGTGTTTGACGGATATGTCGCAAAGTAGACTTTGCCTTGGAAGTAGTAGCCGCCGTTGCTATAGCGGAGTCGCTCCGTTCCGGACGTTTTCAACGTGGAGACTACTGATGTGTTGAGATTGAGCACAAAGACTTCCAATCCTTCTGCCTAGGCTCAAGTCAGCTGAAGTACCACAACAGAACTGTATTGATTCCTTCTGACCCCTTGGGACGTATCGCTTGCAAACCATACTTCGTCCCTCTCTGGGACCCAGACTCCAGCTTCGAAGGGGAATATTTCGTTCTCAGCCGTACGATCTTGTATCAGGGTAATTTGTGAGTTGCCAAAGATGTCGTAAAACTCTTCATCGTAGGCAATGAAGGGCGCTTGAGTGGCAGCATGGAGTGTGGAGTCTATACGGGAGTCGCTGGTCGTGGTATCATTGATGAAACTCCCATTGACATTGCCGTAGAAGCCATCTGGAAGTAAATAGGTCCAAGAAGATGGAATATTCGCTATGACACCTGTGGTGGTATTTCTCGAACTTGTGGTGTAATTAGACCGTGCGGAAGCATTGACCGTTGCGAGGGCAAGCACCTGTAGCCAGATGTAGTGAAGATGATGATAACGCGGCATCGCCAAAGACGTTAGAGGATATATAGTTCCGGCTCTCGGCCTATAAGGTGAACCGGCAAGTTTTATACCTTATTCGTACCTCCTACCTCACGGACGTGATTGACGCCGAAGGCGGCAAGCGGTTCTTGAACGGTAAACTTCGTGGTGGATTCATCGCTTCCAGGCTCCTTCTGGTACATCCTACCTCCTAAGAGGCAAGGCATTGAGTTCACTCACCTATCGAAGGCCCGTGCAACCGTGTATGCGGAAATCAGAAGAATACATCCTCACTCGCAAGGTTCGACAGGTTCCAAGCAGGTACCTATGAAGTGGAGACGTGGATGCTCGGAGTGCATATAGTTGAGCGGAAGTGACAATGGACTTGTATTCTACTTCACACTGTGCTCCTCCTGTTTGAATTCATATCGCGATCCGTGATGAGCGATGATCAGCGAGCGGCCAAATAATGCCGATTATGGCCTGAGGGTATCTTTCGGTTGCCAGTGCTGCGAAGACGAGAAATAAGTGGGCATTCTTTCCTGTCCTGCGCCAAGCCACGTAACTCAAGAGATGTAGAGACGGTGGTGTCTGTGTAGAATGAAGGGGCAGATGTGAGTGTGGGCTCCCGACAATACCTTAGTAAGATAGTGACAGTTCCCACGTACATTACTCTCGCCGCGTGGAACCACATCAATGATGTCAAATGTGCGTGTCACACACCTAAGAGGTGTACCTACTGTAAGGTATGTACTAGGTATGTACGACCAGCAACTTGCAGACCTTATCATTCGACGTTCATGACACCGCATCATGTATGCATAAGGTACATGTATAGGTATCCGCAGGTCGACGATAAGATGACGTCTCTCCGCCAGCTTCAGTTCCACTGCAGCATTGAAAGCAGGCTCAGGTTCGCGGGACTCAGTCGGGACAGACGAATGGGAAATGATCATGTGCATAACTGATGCAATATGGATATCATCGATGCGCTCTGTACTAGAGGTAGTAGTCAGTGTAGATGCATGTAGGTCACCGTACGTGTTGGTAGGCAGAGAGGAAGACAAAGAGCGCAATCTAAAGGGAGGGAAGCTGTGTTTCAGGGTGGATCGTGTGGGTGCGTGTTTCAGAAAAGGGCTCGGCAGTGGAGATGCATCAGGGCGTGGGCGTGAGCGTGGGCGGTGGGCATGGCAGGCGGAGAGCCGGTGGTATGGACAGTGGACAATCGGCACATCCTCCGTACATGTAGTCAGGTAGTGCTTCTCCTGGTAGGAGGTCTCCTAATACACCTGAGAACATGCTGTATACATAACCCCTTCCCCTTTGATATGAAAGGAGGCAGTGAAGGTGGGAAGGGGTCTCATCATGTATACGCCCGCCGTCCACATGTCATGAAAGGGGGATGGGAGGAGGCAAAAGTTGGCAGCGGTTGGCGGGGACGGGATTGCTGCTGCTGCTGCGAATTGAAGCGTTGCTGGGCAGTGGGCATCGGGACAGCCACAAAGGCTTGTTTGCGCGCCTTTCCACACTTTCCGTCGCTTCCATCGGCATCGGACACATCTGATCTCTTCTATCTCTCTCTAGTCTCTATGTAGTCTCTAGTCCCTTGCTCTCGCCTCGCTTCGCCTAACAACAACAACAAAACAACAACAGCAACAACAACAACACATATCGTAGATCTTCCCCCCCTACCACCATCACCACCACCAGTGAATAATAATAACAATAACAATATTCATGCTTTCACATGCTCCGTCTCCATCTCCACCTCATAATCGTGTGACACTCCACCACCGACCGACCTTCTCCTCCAAACAAAGTCTGCTGGTCTGGTCTGGTAGGCGCGCCGGCGTCGGCAAAATAAACACCCTGGACTAGGACTATTCTAGAGAGAGCGAACGGAACCTAGACTTTCAGGAGTGTCAACAGGGTTGTTGGATGGAAACTGCTGCTTCGAGCCGCTGCGACTGTTCAACGACATCCTTATTCCTGACCACCCACACCGACTACCACCACCACCACCACCACCAACCTCACTGCCGTCCCACGCCTCTACTGCGCACCACCCACCCGCCCTCCGCCCTCCGCCCTCCTCCCCCGACTGTCGCTACCGCAGGCCCACGCGCCGTTCAATCAACACACCATGGCTGGCGCGTGAGTCGTCCCTAAAACTTCCTCTCGTATTACCCCATACCGCTGCTGCACGCCGACATCAGACCGGCTTGCGCCCACCTATCGCACCTATCGTGCTGCGCGCCGTAGAGACATCTGATCACATACTGACATGGCTACTGATAGACTGGCTTCGCAATGGCGCTCCTTCTGGCACACCATGACCTCCAACGACCGCCATGCCGGGCCCGATTCTCCCTACGGTCGCGGTAATGGCCATGTCGCCATCTCTCAGTCGAAAAGCGCGCTCAACTCCTCACACAACAACAACAGCGCCTTGGAGTCCCGAACCGACCTCGACCTAGAAGCCGGTAATGGCTTTGTCAACAGCACTCCGAGTGCCCCGGGCTCGCCCAGTCAGCGCAGCAGCCTGTCGAGAACAAATACCGGCATGAGCGGCAAAATGGCAGACGTCAGCACCGGCGAGATCCAGATGCAGGCCTTCAGTGATGGTCTGCCTCCGCCGCCGCCAGTCAGTCATTCCTGGAAGCGCATTGATCGCTGGCTCGAGGACAACTACGAGGAATTGTTTGAGAACTTGGGCATGGGAGCCACGGTAAACGACGTTAATATGTTGGAGCATGAGCTGGATTGCACCTTGCCGCAAGAAGTGAGAGAATCGCTGCAGATTCACGATGGACAAGAGCGTGGAGGTCTGCCGACCGGCGTCATTTTTGGCTGCATGATGCTGGACGTCGAGGAGATCATTCAAGAGTGGCAGCAGTGGCGCACCGTGAACGAGGCGTATCTCAGCGAACAGCGCTCATATGAGATTCCTCAGGCACCACTGAAGGCCTTTGCTGGCTCGTCGTCTTCTGCTGTTCCCATCGCACAAGCGCAGCCGACGAGTAATCCCCAGTGGCGCGCAGAACTCCTCGACAAGCAGGACTCCCAGCCTCCAAACGCCATCCAGAAGGTGTACGCGCATCCCGCATGGATACCGCTAGCCAGAGACTGGGGCGGCAACAACATTGCGATCGATCTGGCACCAGGACCTACGGGAAGGTGGGGTCAAGTGATACTGATGGGACGCGACTATGACTGCAAATATGTCATCTCGCGCTCGTGGTCGGCATTCCTTGCCACCCTGGCCGACGACATGCACACCGACAAGTGGTTCATTGATGAAGACACGAAAGAGTTGAAATTGAGAGAGTTTCCTAAGCAAGGCGTGGAGCCAGCATACATCGACATCCTTCGATGGAGATCAGATCAGAAATATGGCCGACGTGCACCCAAGAAGAGGCCTCTGCGCATCAATAGCAATGTCTCGCCAGGCGCCAACGGTTTCTCGCCATACGGATCACCCACGAAAGAAGATCGAGGACGGTCGCCACAACGCTTTGCAAACGGTAAAGCACCCATGCACAACTCCAGTCCGCGAGGTCATGGAGGCGTCGGCAGCCCCCTGGCCCGCGTGACGGAAGAGAGCTCGCCGATCACTGCTGTACCTCCACAACCCTTGTCGCTCGATACCGCCGCCATAGAGACGCGAAGCAACGAGAAGCTGATTTCTGCCATTGACACACCCACATTTGCAAAGTCTGACAAAGGGAAAGAAAAGCTAGTGTCCGGCATCGACACTCCTGTCGTCGCGAATGGTGACTTTGATGAAAGGAGAACCAGCCAGCCGTACCCACGTAGTAGGCTCGGCAGCAGTATGATGAGCAATAGTGACGACGAGGAAAAAGAGAATGTGACACCTTCGAAAAGCTTGGGCAAACCCAGTGTGGAGTCTGTGGAAGACGACATGAAGGATGTCAAAATCTGAGCCGAGCCGAGCGATTGCGAGGAATGATTGAAGTGTCTGCATTGATTAAAGTGTTCCGAGCGTTGCTTTTGTCCAATCAGTACAGCATCGCATAGTAAGGCGCTGGAGGAGTCACAAACTGGAAAGGGAAGGGAAGGGAACGGTGGCATTCTCATCACATCTTATGAACGGAGAATGCGAAGAGGAGTAGAAAGAAGAACATGAAGCAACACCACAGAGTTTACGGCAGTAGAAGCAGCTTTGCTATGGGAGCCAAGAGCTTCCCTCTGGGTTTCGGCCTCTGTACGTGTACACCTTGCTTATTAAGGGACAGAAACTTTTCAGATTCTTCTTTGGATTACAACACACTTGCTTTTGCGTAGGTACATGTTGTACCTGCGTTCTTATTGGCCTTAGACCAACGTGGAAGACGAGCGTTTGTTACCTTAACTTCGTTACAATGATAACCGATTGAAGTTGTAAGCACAGAGAAGGAGGGGAGCGAACGTGGTCTTTGTAGACTCAAGTAAGTCGAGTTCGAGATTGCATTCGAGTTATGCTGAAAGTCAAGACTGCCCATGAGTGAGCCCAGCCTTGCCGATTCGGGGTGGTCGTGTCTGGCCCACGGACATGTCTGGACTCTTTAGAAGATACAATCCTATTCCTGGTGTTCATCATAAGACATGGTCTACTCGGATCTGTCTAAGCCCAGCTCATCATCTGTGTATACATAGACTACTCGTACGGCAGTGATCATGTACAACAACAGCAACAACAACTATTTCTTACTTCTCTTCCACGCAGTAGCAACAATGTCGGAGCTGGACTCCTTTGGCGCAGAGTTTGAAAAATTCCTTTCTACATGGGACTCGGACAGTTATTTCTATGATGCTACAGGATTAGCAGCACCTACTCCGGAGCCGGATTCCTTGACTACATGTACGCAACAACATGAATACGCTCTTCCACTGGATCTGGACACTGCGTTCTACTTTGACACTACACAAACATCAGCACTAACTGTAGAAGAGCCGGTCTCTTTCATCTTCCAACAACAATCACAACAACAGCAGCAGCAACAACTACCCCTTTTCGCTCCCTCAAGCAGTCCCTCCAACCCATCAACCCCATCCACCCCCCAAAGCAAACCTCGACGCAAATACACATCCCGCCGCAGGATTCGACGCCCACCACTCCCCATCCAGCCCAGACGAGCCCAACGCCCCGAGAAGAAATTCCCTTGCACTTGGCCCGCTGGATGTACTCACGCGCCCTTCACATGCCCTCATAATGTCGCGCAGCACATCCGAGAGGTGCACACGCATGAACGACCTTTTGAGTGCGAACGCTGTCGAGCGGCTGGTGGGAAAATGAGGGCTTTTGCGAGACCGTGGACGCTGTATAGACATTTACGCGATGTTCATGGTATTGTTGACGATGAGGGCGGGAGGATGGAGTTGGAGGGATCAAGTACCTAGGGTTGGGCATGAGAATAATGTGTAGTCTAGATGAAACGGTGTTGTCGTTGAGAAGATGGGGCGAGGCGCACCAATAAGAGTGGCTTCCTTTTCGGCGTTCTGTCCCTTGCCAAGCACAGCGTCACTGCCCTTTGCCCCTCCTTGGAGGAACAATTTCTGTAGACTCTTGTCTCAACCACAACACCAACACCACATACCATCTACCACCTCACAACCACCTCCACCTCTGTCTTGATCGCTACTTGCTGTTCTTGACGCGAAAGAGGAAGAAAGATGGTTTCCGCCTCGAAAGCTGCCCGCGAGGCAAAGCGTGCCGCCGACGGTAAGGCACCAAAGAAGACGGCCGCCTCGAAGCTCGCATCAAAGAACGCCTCCACCGCCTCGTCTGTCAACGGCGACGACACGCCACCTCTCCAGGATGGCAACGAGATCGACCCTGTTCCAGACAAGAAAGTGCTCACAAAGTTGGAGAAGCTGAAGCTGCAGGAGGATGCTGACGGTATCTCCGACCGCGTAACGACCGGTGTGCTGTCGTCGCTCGAGGCCAGCAGAGACGTGAAGATGACATCTTGCTCGCTCGTGTTCCACGGCAAGGTTCTGTTCAATGACACCACGATCGAAATTACTTACGGGCGACGATACGGTCTGCTCGGAGAAAACGGATGTGGCAAGTCCACGCTGCTCAAGTCCATCAGCAAGCGCGAATTCCCGATCCCCGAACACATCGATATCTACTTGCTCAACGAGGGTGCTGAGCCAAGCGACACTGGCGCCCTTCAGTGGGTGGTGAACGCTGCAGAGAACGAGATGGCTAGGTTGGAGAAGCTTTCGGAGACTATCCTGGAGGACGAAGGTCCAGACAGTCCTAAGCTCGAGGCCATTTACGACAAGATGGATGGCATGGACCCATCTACATTCCACACTCGTGCCGGTCAAATTTTGACCGGTCTCGGCTTCAACAAGAAGACCATGGACAAGAAGACAAAGGACATGTCCGGAGGTTGGCGTATGCGTGTCGCGCTTGCCAAGGCGCTTTTCGTGAAGCCTTCTCTGCTCCTGCTCGATGACCCTACTGCACATTTGGATCTCGAGGCATGTGTGTGGTTGGAGGAATATATGAAGAAGTGGGACCGCACATTGATTCTGGTCTCGCACTCTATGGATTTCTTGAACGGTGTCTGCACAAACATGATTGACATGAGGTAAGTTCACTTTTGCTACTTTTCCGAAGCGGCGCTGGGGCCATCCTCGTGGGATCATTATGAAAATATGACAAAGACTAACGTATCACAGATTCAAGAACCTCCAATACTACGGTGGTAACTACGACTCCTACATGAAGACCAGGTCCGAGAACGAGATCAACCAGCAAAAGGCGTATGAGAAGCAACAAGATGAGATCAAGCACATCAAGGAGTTCATCTCCAAGGCCGGTACATATGCCAACTTGGTGCGTCAAGCCAAGTCGCGCCAAAAGATCCTGGACAAGATGGAGGCAGACGGCTTCATCCAGCCAGTGCACCAGGCACGTGTCTTTACCTTCCGTTTCGCAGATGTCGAAAAGCTTCCACCTCCAGTCCTCTCCCTCGACGACGTCACATTCTCCTACTCTGGAAACAAGGACGATACTCTCTACGAGAACCTGGACTTTGGTGTCGACATGGACAGCAGAACAGCACTTGTCGGGCCCAATGGTGTCGGAAAGTCGACTCTGCTCCGCATCTTCACAGGCAAGCTCTCGCCCAACAGCGGATCCGTGTCTCGCCACACTCACTTGAAGCTCGGCATGTACTCTCAGCACTCTGCCGAACAGCTCGATCTCACCAAGTCATCCCTCGACTTTGTCCGTGACCGATACCCCCACGTCTCACAAGACTACCAGTACTGGCGACAACAGCTCGGCAAGTACGGTCTGTCTGGCGAGTCGCAGACTGCAATTATGGGTACTTTGTCAGAAGGTCAGAAGTCCCGTATCGTCTTCGCTCTGCTTGCTATTGAAGCGCCAAACATGCTGCTTCTCGATGAGCCTACCAACGGTCTTGACATTGAGACCATTGACTCGCTCGCCGATGCGATCAACGCTTTCACGGGTGGTGTTGTCGTAGTATCCCACGACTTCCGGTAAGTTTCTCTGTGTCTTTGACAACCTCTTTTTCCACATGCTAATTACCTCTGTCCCATTAGACTGCTCGACAAGATCGCCAAGGACATCATGGTCTGCGAGAACAAGACTGTCACCCGATGGGATGGCAGCATCGGAGCCTACAAGAACCACTTGAGGAAGAAGATGATTAGTGCTGGTGCAGTCTAGATGTGCTCACGCCATGAAAGATTGAATTGGAGGCCTGAAATGAATTCATAGAGAGCTGCAGGAAGAAGGAAGGCATGAATGGGAAAGACGCTTCGGTAGTGCACCGAGCTCGCCTGGGCAGGTTCTATAGACGATTGCCTTGCCGCATTGCATTCGAGGGGATATCCTGCGTTGGGTCTGGCGTTTGCAATCAAACTAAGTATAGATACCAAAAGATTGTTTCCACGCACATGATCTTCTTGTCCTGATTAGTGCGATGTTCTGGTGCCGACTACATGAGGGCGATGCTCAGTTCGCTTGGCCTGCCTGAACACTCGATTATGGATGAAGAAGTAGAGCGACAATCCTGTTCGCATCGGCGACACTAGGTACTAGTACAGACAGAAACATGGAGAGCGTAAGAGTTGGGTAAGTAAAGTTAAAAGTAAATTACAACAGTCTACTCCTCCTCCTTGTTCTTCGAAGGCGGAGGAGGAGCAGCATCTTTATTCGTACTAGCAGTAGCAGTACTAGTAGGAGTACCTGTAGGAGTACCTGTAGGAGTAGCCTGTTCTTCCAACAACAGTTGATAATCCTCTTCATATCGTCTCCACACTTCAGCATCTCGCGCGACTTTTTTCCGATTGCGCATCATTTTCTCGTGGGCGATTAGTCTGCGGTCGGCGTCGATGATGGCTCCTGCTGTCATGCCGGACATTTGGAGGAATCTAATAATCATTGGGGGGGAGGGGGAGAAAGAAGAGAGAGATGTTAATATGAGATTCTTTTTTGGGGGGGATTGTTTCTGGGAGGAGGGGAGTTTTTTTCACAAAACAATCACAAGTAAAGGGGATGTGGGATGGCAGAATACATACACTTTGAATTGAAAAGTTAGTCCTCTGTATAGGGGAGAAAAGGCATAGCCTGCTCCGGCGGCGAGGATCGAGAATAGTCCCCACTGTATGAATTGGGAGAAAAAAGAAAGAAGGAAAAAGAACGTCAGTCAGTTGAATCTTTCGTATGCCTAGGTTTATTATATAAGGTACTGTTAACATACCTTTGCTGCTCCAGTGGCAGCCCCTCGAGCTGCTACCCATGATGCTTCATTGATTTCCTCGTCCTTGGTGAGACTACCGTGCTTGCGCACCATTACCGCCCTTGGAAAAGGGGAGAGGGTTCTATGGGAGATGTTGTGATGGGAGGTGGTAACGAAACAAGAGGAAGAAGAAGAAGTGCAGGTGTGTAACCTACATGTAATAGTGAAGTGAAGTGTAAGGTAGTGTAACGGGAAGCAAGTCGGAAGCAGATGCCAAGATATCAAGAAAGCTTGTCGGGGTCGGCCTCCCGTTGGACTTGGTGGGTCCTCGGTCTGGTCTGCATGACGATTACGAAAACGTTCGGTGTTTGGTCGGGCGGATTTTACAGCCTTGAGTGGGAAGCTTCTCTCTCAATAGCAGTACCTAACCTCAGGTTTATGTAGCTGTATACCGCCTCCACTACTATCTCTATGTACTCGCTGCTTACTCAATCCTTTGAGTAGAACTTCTTTTCTCTTCCTTCCCTCCTCCTCCTCCTCTTCCTCCTCTTCCTCCTCTTCCTCCTCTTCCTCCTCCTCCTCCTCCTCTGCACCGCCATCTCCCTCCATCCCACCCTACGAACTCTCTCCTCTCTCTGTAGCACCAGAGCGCGGACAGCTCGCCGCGGCTTGCGATCAATTGCCCAATGGTGGACTTCCGACACCCGCAAACCGTTCTCGGAGGACGTCTCTCTCTCTCCAGCCACAGTCCCAATCTCGATCCCTTCTACGCCACCTACCTCGCCGCGTCCACCACCAAGGGAGGGAAGCACGCGCCCTTCTCGCTATGCGGTAACGTCGAAGGCTGGGGCCCTCTGAGTCCCTACCGATACGATCTCACGCCATGTTTCTTGGACATTTGGGTGCTCGTCATTTCCGCATGGGGCATCATCGCGGGCTTGGGAGCCGTATGGTGGTTATACAGACAGACCACGCCGCAGCCTGTGGCGAAGAATTGGCACTTTTACGCCAAATTGGGCGTCATTGGGGCTCTTCTGGGGACCACAATCGCCCAGGCCGCGTTTCAGATTGAGCGATTCGATGGGGTGTGGTTCAAAGATATCCGCTTCTGGACAACCGTGGCGAACCTGCTGAGTCTGGTGGTGATTGGCAGCATTCAGTATATGGAGCATTGGCGTCTGCGCTATCCGCATGGAGTGGTCCTGATCTACTGGTTGTTCTCATTGATCATCTACGGAATCAAGCTCCGCAGTCTGGTTTCACAGCAGCTGTTCAAGGCACATGTCGCCTACTTTTCCGTCTTCACGGCTTCGGTGGCTCTGGCATTTGCAGAGCTGATCTTGGAATGGCTCGTGCCCAAGAAAGTATCTGCGTATGATGCTTTGGGAGACGAGGACGAGTGTCCGCTTGAGTATGCCGACATCTTCTCGAAGCTGACCTTCTCGTGGATGACGCCTATGATGAAGTATGGTTACAAGGAGTACCTCACCCAAGACGATCTCTGGAACCTACGCAGGAGTGACACAACACGAGCAACGACCAACACATTTGACGAGGAATGGGAGTATCAGCTGGAGAAAAAGAAGAAGCCAAGCTTGTGGATGGCAATGATCAACTCGTTCGGTGGTCCATATTTGGTTGGTGCCATCATCAAGACCGTGTCGGATTGTCTCGCCTTTGTACAGCCTCAGCTCCTCCGATTTCTGATCTCCTTCGTCGACTCGTACAGACCGGGAAGAGAACCACAGCCTCCCATCCAAGGCGCCGCTATTGCACTTGCCATGTTCGCCGTCTCGGTGAGTCAAACGGCATGTCTCCATCAGTACTTCCAGAGGTCATTCGAAACAGGCATGAGGGTCAAGGCGGCACTTACTGCAGCCATCTATGCGAAGAGCATGAAGTTGAGTAACGAAGGTCGTGCTTCGAAGAGCACTGGCGACATTGTCAACCACATGGCTGTCGATACACAAAGACTACAAGATCTCGCACAGTTTGGCCAACAACTTTGGTCCGCGCCGCTGCAGATTACTCTTTGCATGATCTCACTCTATCAGCTCGTAGGCGTCAGCATGTTCGCCGGTGTTGGTGTCATGGTTCTCATGATTCCCATCAATGGAGTCATCGCACGCATATCCAAGACCCTTCAGAAGAGACAGATGAAGAACAAGGATGCTCGCACCCGTTTGATGACCGAGATTCTGAACAACATGAAGTCCATCAAGCTGTACGCCTGGACGACGGCCTTCATGAATAAGTTGAATGTCATCCGAAACGACCAAGAGTTGCACACTTTGCGAAAGATTGGCGGTGTCACAGCCATCGCTAATTTCACCTGGAACACGACCCCATTCTTGGTATCGTGCTCCACATTCGCAGTGTTCGTTGCAATCAGTGGTCGACCTCTGTCCACGGATATTGTATTCCCCGCTCTGACTCTCTTCAACATGCTGGGTTTCCCCCTCGCAGTCCTCCCTATGGTCATCACAGCTATCGTGGAGGCCAGCGTGGCTGTCAACCGTCTCTCATCTTACTTTACGGCGCCTGAACTTCAGGCGGATGCCGTCATTCAAGGGGAAGCAGCAGGCGCTGGTGAGGAGTCTGTCCGCATTCGTGATGCCACATTCACCTGGAACAAGGATGAGGAGCGCAACGTGCTGCAGGACATCAATTTCAGCGCACACAAGGGCGAGCTGACGTGTGTCGTGGGAAGAGTTGGATCTGGAAAGTCGAGCATCTTGCAGACAATGCTCGGTGATTTGTACAAGATCAAGGGAGAAGTCGTTGTACGGGGCAGCATCGCGTACGTGGCTCAAAGCTCCTGGGTCATGAATGCTTCTGTGCGTGAGAACATCGTCTTTGGTCATCGCTGGGATCCGCAATTCTACGACAAGACTATTCATGCGTGTGCTCTTACCGAGGATTTCGAGAGTCTACCGGACGGCGATGAGACACAAGTCGGCGAGCGTGGTATCTCACTTTCGGGCGGGCAAAAGGCTCGTTTGACGCTCGCTCGTGCTGTCTATGCCAGAGCGGACATCTACCTCCTGGACGATGTTCTGTCTGCAGTCGACCAGCACGTGGGCCGACACATCATCGACAACGTGCTAGGAGCCAAGGGGCTTCTCGCGTCCAAGACGCGTATTCTCGCTACCAACGCCATCCCAGTACTGATGGAGGCACACTTCATTGGCTTGCTCAAGGACGGCAAGATTATCGAACGTGGCACTTACGAGCAGCTCATGGCCATGAAAGGCGAGGTGGCTAACCTTATCAAGACTGCCAGTTCCGAGGAAGCAAACGACGAAGACGATAGGACAAGCGGTGTAGGCAGTCCTGGCTCTGAAAGCACCATTTATGACCCCGAGACTCCGGAGGACCCTGAAGAGGAAGCAGAAGCCGAAGATGGCATTACTCAAATGGCTCCTATCCGGCCTGGCGGTACGTATTACACCCTTTCCTTCTCAGCCTGGTTGAGCCCGCAAACTTTGGCGGATATGTTCGCGTACCCAAGTATCTAAATCGGTGCCGAACATCGCTTCGGGGCTGTGGACCCATGTGGGCGAGCTTCTGCCAGAGCCATTCGCGTTTTAGAATCAAAATAGTGCTGACCTGTGCCAGGCAATGGACCTATGGCAACTCGGAAGAACAGCAATCTCACCCTTCGTCGTGCGAGCACGGCTTCCTTCCGGGGACCCAGAGGTAAAGTGAACGACGAAGAAGAGAACAAGGGCAATGTCAAGACTCGACAGAACAAAGAGTTCTCCGAGCAAGGCAAAGTCAAGTGGGATGTCTACAAAGAGTACGCCAAGAACTCCAACCTCATCGCAGTCGCGATCTATATGGTCACATTGGTTGGCGCCAAAACCGCGGAAATCGGTAAGTGACCGCTGCAGCTAGCAGAGGACCGACCACGCATCTCATCGTGCACGCATCGATGAGATCGGACATGCTCGGACTATGATATTTCCATCCTTGTGCTGCTGTTCAACGATCCAGATAGGCTAACGCATGTATTCACAGGGGGGTCCGTTTGGCTCAAGCACTGGTCAGAGGCCAACGACAAGTCTGGAGGCAATCCGAATGTCACGTTCTACATCCTCGTATACTTTGCCTTCGGTATTGGCTCCGCGGTGCTTGTCGTCATGCAAACTTTGATTCTTTGGATCTTCTGTTCGATTGAGGTAAGTTACCCGGGGCTTACTCCAGAATAGCCACTCTGTCGACATGCAGCACACCCTGGCCATGTTACGGGTGGAAGCTGCCGTCTGCATGAGTATGCATGCTAATGCCGGTGAATTGACAGGCCTCGAGAAAACTGCACGCATCGATGGCGCATGCGATGTAAGTCAGGTTGATTGAGCGCTACGAGAAACAAAGATACTGACACCAAAGCAGATTCCGAAGTCCAATGAGCTTTTTTGAAACAACGCCAAGCGGGCGCATCCTCAATCGCTTCTCTTCAGACATCTATAAAGGTATACAGACTTCGCGTAATGGACGATTGCGAGATCGGAGCGCTAACTGGGATATTAGTCGACGAGGTCTTAGGTCAGTGAAGTAGTGCTCGCGTAGCTGCAGTCGGACAAGTACCGCGGCTAGATCGCCTGATGATCCTAGTCAAGCTAACATGATCCACAGCCCGCACTTTTAACATGCTGTTTGTCAACGCTGCACGAGGTATGTCTCGCGGTGGGGTGATGGGGATCTGAGGATCTTGCAACGAATCTGATTTTCTGCAGCAATATTCACGCTCGTGGTCATTTGCGTGTCGACCCCGGTCTTCATCGTGCTGATTCTACCTCTTGGCGGCCTATACCTCTGGATCCAGAAGTACTACCTTCGAACCTCCCGCGAGCTGAAACGGCTGGACAGCATTAGCCGCAGCCCCATCTATGCGCACTTTCAAGAGTCGCTTAGCGGAATCAGTACCATCCGCGCCTACCGCCAGACCAAACGCTTTTCGCTCGAAAATGAGTGGCGTGTAGACGCCAACCTGCGCGCCTACTATCCGTCCATTAGCGCAAACAGGTGGCTTGCTGTTCGATTGGAGTTTATCGGCTCCATTATCATTTTGGCGGCTGCGGGCTTTGCCATCATCTCCGTGACCACTGGTAGCGGTCTCTCTGCCGGCCTGGTTGGTCTGGCAATGAGCTATGCGCTGCAGATCACACAGTCGCTCAACTGGATTGTGCGACAGACAGTCGAAGTCGAGACTAACATCGTCTCAGTTGAGCGCGTGCTAGAGTATGCCCGCCTGCCCAGTGAGGCGCCGGAAGTGATCTTCAAGAACCGTCCGCCGAACAGCTGGCCGTCCAAGGGTGCAGTGTCATTTAACAACTACAGCACCCGATATCGCCCCGGGCTCGACTTGGTGTTGAAGAACGTGAGTCTGAACATCAGGTCTCACGAAAAAATTGGTGAGTGCACCCCTTCATGCTGCGTTGTCGCTCACGCCACTCCTACATCATCATTATACACTGGTGACTTGTGCTGCGTTGGCCGATGTTGTCCGCAAAAGCTCTCGGGATGATCCTGACGTCTTGCAGGTGTAGTGGGCCGGACCGGTGCCGGAAAGTCCAGTCTTACTTTGGCTCTATTTCGGATCATCGAACCAGTGGAGGGTGACGTTTCCATTGACAACCTCAGCACCAGCGCCATCGGTCTCCACGATCTCCGCAGCCGACTGGCCATTATCCCTCAAGATGCCGCCCTATTCGAGGGCACAGTCCGAGACAACCTCGATCCCGGCCATATCCACGACGACACCGAACTCTGGAGCGTGCTGGACCACGCACGCCTGCGGGACCACGTCGCGTCCATGGCCGGTCAGCTTGACGCGCACATCAACGAGGGCGGCTCCAATCTGAGCTCCGGACAGCGGCAGCTTATCTCACTCGCGCGCGCACTCCTTACACCTAGCAACATCCTAGTATTGGATGAGGCTACTGCAGCAGTGGACGTCGAGACTGACGCGATGTTGCAAACCACGCTGCGATCCAACATGTTCAAGGATCGCACCATCATCACTAGTGAGTTGTCTCTCGTTTACCCCAGTGTGACGCTTGACGCGGAAGAAGGCTAATCTCAATGGACGCAGTTGCCCATCGCATCAATACGATTCTGGATAGCGATCGCATCATTGTGTTACAGAATGGAAGCGTAAAGGAGTTTGATACACCGTCGAATTTGGTGCAAAGCAAGGGCTTATTCTACGAGTTGGTGAAGGAATCAGGACTGCTGGGCCAGGTAGACAGCTCTGGAAGTCAGTAGATACCTTACCTTAGGAGGTAGGTAGATGATGATGATGATGATAATGATACGAAAAGTGTATGCAGTATGATGATTTATCCCCTATCCTTGCACTGATGATGACCACGAGTGTGCACTTTTCTCCACATTGGGACATCCGCCTTGAATCCGCACCTCTCAGAACAGAGTGGCAAGGGAGGGGAGGGGAGGTGCACATATTCCCAATGTATGTACCTACAACAGCAGTGTGTTTGCATAAACAAAGTCCTGTAAGTCCTGCAAGTCCTGTAAGTCCTGTAAGTCCTGTAAGTCCTGTAAGTCCTGTAAGTCCTATAAGTCCCTAACAATAACCAACCAAAGTTATTACGTAGGAGATCTATACGAGATTCGTGCAAAAAAAAGAAAGAAAATCTAGATCGATCTCTCTCATCTCTGCTAGGAGGTAACATCTATCTGTAACTGTGACTGACTGTCCCTACCTCCTACCGACGACCTGACCAAAATTCTTTGCCAAGGCGGGCCGGATTTCCCCCCTTGCCCTGTCCACGGTCTTTTATCCATATCCTTGTCCCTCTGTCCCTCTCTCTGGCTAGGAGGTATACAGGATAGGACAGGGCCTCTAGAGCCTTTGTCTCTCTCTTTTTTTGTCACATATACATGTATGTGTATGTATGTATGTATGTATGTATGTATGTTCTTCTACGATATATATAATGTACAGCTGTAAGTTTGTGTGTATATAATCCTTGTGACTCGTTGGTAGGTAGGTAAGGTAGGTAGGTAGGTATAGGCAACTGTAGGTTTTCTGGGGGAAGAAAGTAAAGAAAGAAATACGGGGGAAAAGGTTTCTCTCCTAGGGTGGGAGGGAGGGAGTTGAAGTATGTAGCAAGAACTAGATTGGGTAGTGTTCTGGTTTGAGACTTTGAGTGCTGGAATGAGGTATGGATGGATGGATGGGATGGGTGGATGGATGGGTGGATGGATGGATGGATGGATAGGATGGATGGGTGGATGGCCAGATGTATGGATGGATGATGTGGCACAGTAAAGGTCTCAGGTCAGGTCTCAGGTCAGGAGGTCTCTAGTCTCCGGTCTCTAGTAATTTCGGATCCGATCTTGCTAGGAGGTATGACGGTTGAAGACGCTCAAACGGTTACGGTGGAGGTGCAGTGTAGGAGGTAGTGTATTCACTCATCAGTATGGAGACAAAAGAGCACAGTAATTGTCATTAGCCAAATCACAACAAGACTGCGTCTACTACTTTGAGCGATAGTATAGCAATAGTAGACGTAGTAGTAGTGTAGTTAGTTCTGTGGGCGCGCGGTTACCTCTTAGAGCATTCCAAAAGATGTTTTCTCCAAGTCAATGCCGAGATATCTGCTAAAACAAGTCTCTCCTCGTCGTCGTCGTCACATCTACTCTATAGTTGGAGGTTTCTGTTTCTTTCTCCACATCTCGTCTTCCCGCTGGTTGTTTTTTGTTTTTTGTTTCAATTTCAGTCTTTCTCCTTTCCTCTTTTCGCAATTCGCATGCTCCGCAGCTCCTATTCTTGCTTCGGCTTCCCCGGCCCGATGATCTGCTACAAGCGAAAACAGTCCTAAGAACAAGACTAATAACAAGTGGATATGGGGGCGAGGGGGACCACACGCTTTAACGGTTTGTAGTAATCACATATCCGTTTCTCGATATCCACTCTCGGACCCTCTCTCTTTAGCTCTCCCGTTCCCTCTTAGCTCTAGGAGGGACCACTTTTGATCTGATAGAGCGAGCCGGAACTAGCGCCCTCTCTTTTTGATCTTTTTTGTTTGTTGCAGATACTGGATTCAGATGTACTAACGTTATAGTCAGGTGGATATATGAAATGGTGGAAGTTGTGCGGAGAGATATCAAGCAGATGAAGAGAGAGAGAGAGAGAAAAACAAGAAAAAAAGAGGAGCCTAGGTAACGAACAAGCGCGCTCGGCGCGCTTTTTGAAAAAGCAGAGAGAGAGAGATGGATGGATGGTGAACAGAACATGTGGTTACCCATATGAAGTACTCTAAGCGACAGGCTGTGACTTATCTAACTGCTTCACAATGTTCGGGTGGGCGGTTCTACTCCCGTGTTCTGTATTTTTTTGTGGGATGCATCGAGCCGAAGAGACGGACCCGGATTCTCGACCGAGCGGCTCGCACAGCGGCACAGAGAGAGAGGTCGAGAAACATATATGTACGACGCTGGGATGGGATCATGGGGGGGAGAAGAAAAAAAGGAGGAGGAGGAGGAGGTTGTAGCACATTGAATGTAGTGCCTGACTTTGCATTCCACCACACAACATACTGTACACATACATATCCACACATATACACACACAGTTACACACACACCCACATCCAAGATCTCCGTGTCTCCGTCCGAGATCGAACGGCATGCTGCTCCATCTCGGTCTCTCTCTCTCTCTCTCCCCGATGACTCCCTCTCTCGCCTACGAGGGGCTAGCCCTCCCTCATATCACGCAACTTCGCTAAATCGTCAATGCACGCCACGCACGGGGCTGTTACCGGCTACACAACATCGTCCGGCTGATCGCGCATCTCCTTCCACGGCCTTTCCCGTCCAGCTTTTTTATCTTTTCTGGACCAGGGGGCAGGGGGAGGGGCGTCAGGGCCAGGGGGGCAGGGCAGGGCAGGGCAGGGCCATCACAGGGCCTCGCCTTTTTGGCTGTAGTTTTGACGCTTTTCTTCTTACGCACATTCCGAAGCGGCGCAGAAACAAAACAAAAAGTAAAACCTCCCCCAGATTGGGCCCTTCTCCAATTGGATCGTCAATTCGTCACATGTAGACCAAAACCAAAAACTGCGTCAGTATTACGAACAAAACTAAGGGTGATGATTTTCCCCCATAATTCCGCTAATCCGCCTGGAACTAGGGCTCTCTCTGAGAATCTTTTTTGTGACTCGAGAAGCTTGGATCTAGGATTAAACAGAAATGGGCCTGGTTACATACATCCATACATACATACATACATACATACAACCTACATACATTCTTGTACGACGGCTGCTGCGCTGGCAAGAGAGAGACCTGCCGGCTGGCTGGCTGGCTGGCTGGCTGGCTGCATTCGGTGAACCAGCCAAACGTCCCCGAGACCTGGTCCACACTTCGCCTGTGCCTCTCTCTCTCTCTCTCTTTTCCCTCCCTCGCTCTCCTCACCAGATCTCTTTTCTTTCCCCCGTTGGCCTTGTGAGACCGTCCGAGCCCCGGGCGTGGGTTGCACCCTCCCCTCCCCCCCCCCTGGCCGATTGATGATTCGCTGCTGGGTCACTACAGATCTGGTGAGTGAGTGAGTCTGTGAGTGAGTGAGAAGCGAAGGGGGAGTGGGGGTGGAGGCACAGCCAATGCATCGATCTAGATACCGCTAGTAGGGCTGTTTTTGGTCGCCGGCTGCCGGTCGGATGTGTACGTATGTACTGTACACCAGTGATGTGGATGTTTAGATCGAGAAATCTGGTGCGCTCCGACCACCCCAATTCATTCGCTTGTACTGGTGTTGCTGCTGCTGGCCTACTGCTGCTGCTCCTTAGGTGTCGCCCTCTCGGTCTACTCTCTTCTGCTTTCCTCATAGATTCTCTCCTACAGCAGTCTGGCCCACTTTCACCTGTTCGAGCAGGGCAGGGATTTGCCGCCGATAAAGATCCACAACCCATTGACATCTGTCAAAACTCTCCATCAGGCGCATATCCACGCGGGAGGCCATGCTGATACTAGTGTGTTCTTCCCTTTCTCTCTCTCTCTCTCTCTCCCTCCTCTCATCCAGTACCCATTCGCCATCCCTAAATAAGGTCTTCCCCCTTCACTCCTCTGCTGCACCCTCAAAGTTTAATAAACACAATCCTGCACACTTTGGACCGTCGAAAACTCTTTTCTGGAAACTACTATCCTGCCCCTACCCTACTACTACTACCTCCTACCTACATACGTACTACTCCAACGGTACAACACTGTGTGTGTGAGTGTGGTGTACCACTCCGTCCAAGCAATTTTCTTCTACCCCTTCTCCCGCGACCGAACCATCCTCTGGTCCGGTACACATCCCACACCCACTCGGAACGATACCCACACACACCAAATCTTGTCTTTCTTTCCTGAATATCGACTGGATAGTGGAAGCTTAGACACCACTGTCATCATCGGCATCATCATCAACACCATCACCACTACTACCACCGCCACCATAAGACGCCAGGAGAACGGTACGGTGGGTGATAGCGTTCATGCATCGAAGCAGCCCTATACTGATTATCGGTATTTTGATAGACAACGACAACGCAACGTTGCAAGGAGTTCCGCGCCTGAGTGTGTAGGTGTGTGTGTGTGTGCGTGTATGTGTGTTGCAGATTCGAACTACGAATCAACCAGAGCCGGTGAGACCGTTCACACGAGTACATTGAAGATGTGTGTGTGTGTGTGTGTGTGCAATGGCTAATCAATGCCCGTATAGTCGCAGTTAGACCCTGAAAGATCGCGCAGCGCAACGCCCTCAGGAGCTGGCATATCCACTCAACGGGGCAACGACGAGAGCCGCTCGTGCAATGGCCGTCACACACAGCGTGTCGAAACGTCAGAAAGCCACAAAGAAAGCTGAAACCGAAACACTCAAAAATGCTCCATCGGCACCGGTATGTTTCGTCTCGTCTCGTCTCGTATCCTCGGCAGAGCCTGCCTGTGTAAGACGAAAGAGAAAATAAAAAAATCTGTTCCATCACTGACATGTTGTCTCTGGTAGAATTTCGATTCCATCCGTCGGTCGCTTGGTAGCCGGCAAGCCTGGGCGGTCGTAGACCTCGATGAGAGAGGCCAAGTCATTCCTGGCTCGGAACAGGTCAAGGGAAGCCTGGATGGACCCATCTTTGGAACCCCCGTCCAGCAGGCACTCGTGCAATCACAAGAGAGGTACATGCCTCAAGCTGCCGTGTCCACAGAGACTCAGCCGGACGAGCCCACATACCATGCTAGGAGCGTCAACGTCCCAACAACACGCTCGGCCAAGACTCGCGGTCGTTCTCACATCGCTCCCGCGGAACATGGAAGGCAGCGTGGTCGTGCCGTGCTCCCTCGTCCTGCACTTCCATTGTCGACTTGTCCCAGCCCATCGCCAGAGACTGCTATCCCCGACTTTGCTGCTGCAGCAGCGAGTGTCGGGCCAGAAGTGGTATTGCCCCCACACAAGCAGTTGAAATCGTTACGTATCAACAACCCGGCCGCAGTCCAGTGGTTCCTCAGCAGTAGACTGAAGCGTATGCAACAGCTGGCCGACAAAAAGATCGCCAAAGCCTGGATCAAGGGCATATGTCCGAAGAAGCAAGCCAAGTTTCCGTACCAGAACAATAAGCATGAAAAGGAGACTGGCGAGAAGCCGGCTGTACCTGCGTGGTGGCCTGATACGGAGACGGTGTGTCGTTTCGTTGAACCAGACCACATCCGGAGAGAAGGTATGTTGCGTCTGTTTTTCTTTTCTTTTGTCTGCTGTGCTCGGGTAAACTGACACGCATGTCAGAACGCATGGGACTGTGCCTGCACTTGCTTCGCCTTCGTCCCAGTCCATCTCAGTTGGAAGAGTGGAACCGTTACGATACACCTCCCAGCAAGACCCATATTGAGCGAGGCTGGACCGCATGGCTCGAGGAATTGGCTGGACCGGAGGTTTTTGATGAGGTGCCCAAAGATGCTTCGCATCGCCTCAAGTATCGACGCCAGCTCATGAAAGATATGTACGAAGTGGCCCGGATGGAAGAAGAATATCTCGGGGGCGCCCTGGGTATGATTTCACGCAAGCTCCTTGGCAAGCCAGTTCGCCCGCTAATACTGACGATAGATGGCGACTCGCATTTTCAATATGAGTCTGAAGAAGAAGAACGCAAGCCCATCTCGACAAAGCGCTCGAGACAAATATCGGCGGCGTCTACCCCGGACTGCGAGAATCCCACGCCTCGCTCTACGTCTCCCAGCTGTACCAGACCCGTGACCAAGCGCGCCAGACGAGACTCGACAGCCACAAATGCTACTGTTACCGAGAGTCGCGTTCCGGATCGCAAGCCTGGTCTCGACATGATCCCACTTGTCACGGACCCAGGAAGGTCCGCAGCAACGTCGTTCAGCGACAGCTTTGACTCTACGCCTCGGAACAGCATTTCCTGTGGCCCACTTGAGTCCGGTAACGTTGTTGCCTCTCACCCAGACCAACCAAGCCCGCTGCATCACATGCATGGCCTTCCGCGACACAATGTTTTCCAAGGCGCATCGTCGCATGGCTATTCGCAGGCTCATCAGTGGCATGAGCACAGCATGTCTGGATTCAACGAGCAGCAGCAGACAGGTGGCAGCGACTTCCAGTACCAAGGCCAGGTGGCGCCAAATACGTTCCCAGGTCGACAGGATTTCGAGTTCCCGCAGTTCCCGCAGCAATTCGTTCCCATCCATCAGGTACACATGGGCTTTGCACCTCAGCCCGAGTTTCAGTCCACGCCAAGCACGCCCGTATTCTCTCCTACGGGCATGGTCTCAATGCCCATGGACACCTTCTCATTGCAGCAGCAGTCGGGCGTGATCCCTGGCGGGCAATACATGCAGCCTTCGCAGTACTTTTTGCCAGCCCATCATGGTCTCGACTCGGCTGTTGCTGATTTTCACCCACCTGTCAACATGGTCGGACCTCAATACCAGCAGCCCCAGCAACAAGAGCCAGGTGGTTTGGGCCAACAGCAGCACATGGCGCCCCTGTCACAACAAAACCACGCCATGCTCATGCCGCACCAACCTATGCAGTGGCATCATCATCATCACACACGCTGTTAGTCGCCAGACGATGCCGCGCAAAAAATTTCGGAACTTGCTCCTTCTTGACAGCGTTAAGGCGTGCGAAGCATTTTCTTAAGTCGGCCCATGTTCGTTTGTTGTGTTGTTTTTGGTTTTTTTTTCGGGCCTTAGTATCGATACCCCCTAGTGTTCGCAATGCTTCCAAGTTCGGTCAAGTTTTTGCTTGTACAGTGGCGTCAGCGTTCTCTTTTTTTTTCGGACTATTCCTTCGCTGCCGACATCCGAGACGTGAAAACGAGCGATGAAGACATGATGGAAACAATGATGATTGCGTTTTTACCTTAATGACTAGCCCTGATGGGCGAAACGATTTCGATTTATTGTGAGATAATTGGCTTTTATATAGAGGCGTATTGAGGTAATCAAAAGAAAAGGAAAAATCAACAAGGTGCTTTTCGATTTCGCACTCCTTGGACTTCCCTCGTGCAAGGTGATGACTGTGCAAGTGAAGAAGCCGTCGGACGGGGTGAAGTCGTTCATGGAGGGCCAGAGAGTTTGAGACTAAGTTCTGCACGTGCCACCCCCAGCGGCCGTTCCCGCTGAGCTGACGCGACTGGTTTCGTTCACTTCGAACTTCACGCGAATTGTCTTTGTCGTTACCTTAGTCACCACAACAACCACCATGTCTGGATTTCCCTCGATCGCTTAATCCGGAGCCGCGCTATTCTTCGTCCAACGACACATGACGGGTGCTTCGCGAACCTCCCTCATCGGCAGCTATGTCGACAGGGAGAGCCCGTGGGCGTGGTCGGGGTGGTGGACTTGCTGCGCCGAACACAAGATCGAATGGAGCGTCAACAGGACTGGGTGCAGGTCGAGGTGGTAGGATGAACGGTACAACGCGATCAACATTGCATGCGCCCCGAGGTGGTACTGCGCTGAGAGGACGAGGAACTTCATTTCAGACGGGCAAGACTCTACGAGGTAATGCTGCAAAGCAGGCTTCAAAGACCGGCGCATTCAACAACGGCGCATCGACAACAAGCGGAAATGTGGAAGAGCGATACACAGCAGTAAGTTTTCCCTTTCTCCCCCAAGAGACGACTGACGGATTGCGGACGGTGACTCGATACAGCTCAAAAATGCTCGCCAACGAGAACGCGAAGACGCCATCCGACGAGGTCTCATGTCCGATTCCAGCAAGCCCATGAAACTCAGTGAAGCGATCACGCCGGTGGGCACGTGTCAATCCATGTGCGCCGAATTCGAAAGAGTACAGAGGGCAGTACAGAGAGAGATTTGGGATGAAGAAAAGGTGGGTGGGGATATATGATGATACACCGCGATACACATACCTAATTGTTGAGCATAGGACCCGAATCGTGCTCCAGGCACACCTGTTGAGGAGTCCATGGACGAGAGCCGCATGGTGAAGAAGTTCAGACGAGCAGCAGCCGGTGTGGAAGAACAGCTGCCTTCAGATTTGCGGCCTCCTACAGTCTTGCGGGAGACGTGCAATTACTTGTTCCACAACGTGCTCGGCTCGGCGAAACTGGCACAGGTGCATCACTTCGTATGGGATCGAACACGAGCTATCCGCAACGACTTGTCCATTCAGCAGCTTTCCAAGGCCGACGATCTGAGCATAGCCATTGAGTGCTGCGAGAGAATTGCTCGATTCCACATACTCTCTCTGCATCAACTGGCTCTGGAAGAAAAGCCGTACGAGGCGTACGATCCCAAACAAGAGCGAGAGCAGCTAGATAAGACACTGCTTTCTCTGATGCAGTACTACGATGACTGTCGCGGCCGCATACCACTACCCAACGAGCCAGAATTCCGGGCGTATTGCGTGCTCTTCCAACTGCAAGATCGCACGCCTGACCTTGAGGATCGGGTACAAAGCTGGCCGCGAGAAGTATCCAAGGATCGGCGAGTACAACAGGCATTGAAAGTATATGCAGCTGCATGCAACACTTCAGATGTGCAGGGTCCATTCTTTGGTTCCAATGCTACATCGCACACGATCGCCAGGCAAGACTGGGAAAACTTTTGGCAGCTAGTGAAATCCCGAAAGCTCTCGTATCTGATGGCTTGCGTGACTGAGATCTACTTCAATCTGGTCCGCAAGATGGTCCTTAGCGGCATAGTGCGAACGACACGGATTTCCAAAGCTCCCAACACCGAGTGGACACTATCAGATCTGGGCAAGTTGTTCTACTTTGACGACGACGACCAGTTGGAGGCTTTCTGCGGTCGCTTTGGACTTCAATTTCGAGACATGCCTGGTGGCAATGGTCGATACTTGGAGATCAACGGGAAGACTTTGCCCCAGGAGGATTCGGGAGGGCCATCGCAGCTGAAAACTTATCTCGTGGAGAGCAAGCGAGAACACCGGACCCTATCTGCTGTTATAGATGGTCTCAGCGTGCGTCAAGCGCAGGATCGGGGTATGGTCACGACGGAGGAGGATGAAGCAGAAGATGACGAAGGACTTGAAGAGCCAGCACAAGTGTTCGATAACGGAGAAGAAAACACTGGCCTGGGGCAGGATGAGGAGGATGAGGAGGACACTCTGTTCGTGCCTGAAGACAAACCACAGAGAGAGATAACAGCTGGTTCATCATCATCTACAGCTGCGCCTGTGTCTTTTGGCGAGCCATTGAAAACCAGCTTCTTTGGTGCTGCACAACCATCTTCTACTCCATCTGTGTTCGGCGGATTGTTCTCGTCTGGCCCATCTACGTTTGGCAAGCCATCATCGTCCAACAAGCCATCTACTGGATTTGGACAACCGACGCAGCAACCACCAAATCCGTTCGCTCCAGCAGCAGCAAAAGCTCTTGACGCTCCAGCGTTACAGACAAGCAGCAATCCTTTCGCTCCGGCGCCGACACCTTCGCTCTTCTCGAAGCCACCGGCACCTACTACATCTTCTGGTCTTGGAATTTCCAGTCCGACAAGCATTGCAGGCGAGAACCCGGCGCCCAAGCTGTCATTTGGGACGTTTAGTCTTGGTCAGACTGCCGCGAACCAGACTCCCTCTCTGTTTCAACCGAGAACAGCGGATGTGCCCAGCGTGCAGCCTGGTGCCAGCCTTTTCGCGCCCAAACCTCCAGCTGTCGATGCACCACCACCGCAGACCCTGGGCTCGACGACGCCGCTCGCTTCCGCGCCTGCCCTGAATAATCCCTTTGCAAGCAGCACCGCACCGCCGAAATTCGCATTCCCACCACTTGCACCCCCAGAGCAATCGAATTCGCTGCCATCGGGATCACAATCGACGACCGCACTGGGACAGCCGCTGGGTGCGACATCAGCTTCGCCGAATCCAGCCACACAGGCAGAAACAAACTCTAAACTGTCTTCACCTCAATCTTCACCATCACCTCCTCCTCAATCGCAACCTAGTCACCCGGCATCGCCCAACACGACATCACAAGCATCGAACACCGCACAACCAGCAGGCGCATCTTCGCCTCCACGACGCCTGTCAGCATTGGACACCAAACCCAAGCGCCCGTCGCCGCTGTCGAACTCCTTCACTGCGAACGATGACGCAACAGCGGACAAACCACTCGTACAAGCCGCGACCTCGCCCTTGAAAACACCAGAGCGCGTCTTATTCTCACAGCAACAGCCTCCAGTCCCGCCGTCTGCGCATGCACGCGCGCTCTCGGCAGCATCTGAATTTGACTTGATCCTTACGCGCCTAGCGACAGAACTCGTGGACGACCCTATGACGGGATATCTCAAGCAATTCGTCAATTTCTCTCTACGCAGTCTGGTCACCGAAGCACAGGAGAAGGTCTACCTCGAGCGCATCGGCAAAGAAGCAGACGAATATCGACAGTTCTGCTTGGAGGACAAGTACGCGAAGAGATGGCGCAACATCACAGCACAGCGACGCAACCAGAGAAAGCTGTTGGAGCGGAGGAAACGACAGAAACGCAGGCTAGAGGAGTCACAAGATCAAGATATGCGTCACAGCCTGAGTGTCCTGGACACGTCTTCCTTGCGGTCCAGCCGAGCTAGCTCAGCCAATGTGCCCACCAAGCCTGACAAGCAGGCCGCGGTGGATGCGCTATTTCAGTCAACGAATGGAGGCAATCACTTCCGCGCAAACAGACAGGCTCGAGTGGGCAGTAAACGCACAGCAGAGTCGATCGACAGCGGCTCTATCGTGTCATCCCGCGAGAACTTCCACAAACGTGCTAGGAGCACAACTCACGTCGACGCTGCTAGCAGCTTGACCAAGCCAGTATCCAGGAGCAGTTCACAGACAGACGTCGTCCAGCGCTCGTCTTTCTTGGGCTTCTCGCTCGCAGGCGATAAGTCCAAGGGCACTAGCACTACGAAGTCGACGTATTTCCGCATGAAGGCAATGGGTCTGAAACCAAAGCCCACCAACTACATCAGTACAGACCGCGGCATCAAGCGGTCTAGGTCGGAGTCACTTGACGCTGCATCTGCCAAGCTTGATGCTTCGTCGCTTGCACGCCTAGACCGTGAGCAGGACCGATCGCTCATGCCACCTCCGGCAACACGGTCGGTGCGATCCAGGCCCGACGACGATGATGAAGCGCTGTTTGCGCGTGTGCGAGCCGCGAGGGAGGCTTTGCAAGAGAACGAGAACTTCATGAGGTCTGAAGTGCTCAAAGAGGAGGACTTGAGACGAAGCAGAAGTTCCGCGCAATCCGATCATGAGTCGCCAACGATGGAGCGTGCTCGTGTAGAGGCGAGATTACGATTGTCCTCGTCAGCTAACAATCGCGAAGTTCCAGCCTACCGCCTTCGTGAAAGCAAATTCGTGCCCCGCGAGCAGTATGGAAAGGCCATCGAGCGCGCCAATGAGCTTCGTGCCTCACGTTCGACCGCAAAGTCGACTGCAGGCAAGCCAGCTGGGCAAGCCGCCGCTCCCACGCTAACAAAGACAGGATCTCCGTCACCGATCCAGGAGGTCGCGGCTAGGTCTACTGTGTCACAGAAGCGGCTGCCTTGGCTCGTTCCCACCAATGGATCGGCGGGATCGTTGGGCACTCTACAACAGTTTCCAACGGCAGATGCGGATTCGGGCCACGCCTACGTGTCAGGAGACACCTTAGGGTATGGCTTCTCTTCCAACGCTGCGGCGCATGGAATAGCTCCAGCGAGGCCACAATACCCGTGGTTGCAACCGTCCTCTTTCGAGCCTGAACGGAACCCTTCTAATCCATTCTTGCAAGGCGCACAAACAGCTCTTCCGCCATGGACCAGCGGTTTCGATCCGTCTTCCAACAAGCGTGAGTCCACTGCTCAATCGATACCTTTCTCGGGCTCGATTACCCAAGCGCAAGTCAACGGGTCGCCTCTTGGGACCAGTCATGCGTTCGCGCAGTCCCAGAATTGGAGCTTCGCCACTGCATCTGAAGAGTCTGAGCAGAATCAAGACCACACCATCCCACTTGACCGAATCCCGAATGCCCTCTCCGCCAGCTTCGGAACTCGGGCTACAACTCCTCAGCGTCCTATTGCCACTCAGGCGAGCTCAGCTGCACCCGAAAACTCCTACTTGTCATCCCAGGCTGCATCCGCTGGACTGTCATTGCTGTCTAATGATGCAGGCGAGACGCCGTGGCAAGTCGCTGCAGACGATCAGAATGCAGCTTATGGGCAAGCGGAGTTCTTTCGTCGGGTTGGCGATGCTGCTGACGGAAATGGGTCGTTGTCTAGGGATGAAGAGGCTGACATTCGATCGCACGATCAGAGCTCTGCACCTCAGCCCGAATACACGGGCCGATTCGCCGCTCTCGCTGATGACGATTGGAGAGACGATCACGAAGACGATGTGGAGGACGAGCAAGGAGAACCAGAACCAGAACCAAGAGAAGGCATTCCGGGTCGACAGGAATGGTCATTGAACAGTCCTGATGAGAGCGGTCTGGAAGAGAACATCGGAGCAGAGCAAGACCCGAGCAGCTATCAGCACGGGCTTGTCCTCAGTGAAGCAGAACTCGATGACGACGAGGACGAGGATCTGGAAGGGGACGAGTACCTTCTAGAAGACGGATCAAGCGTTCGGGACGGCTACCCGGCCCAGTATTCCGTCCATGAAGAAGAAGAAGAAGAAGAAGACGACGACGACGAAGAAGAGGGCTACGCCGATGGCGACGTCGAGGACGAAGACGGCTATGATGAGGAAGGCGAAGGGTACGACGAAGAAACCGACGAGGACCCGGGCATGTACGCCACTTCCTACCAGCACAACTATGGTCGTCCCGTCTATCCCGCCCCCGCGAAGAGTCCCGTCAACGAAAGCCTGCAGCAGGTGGGAAATGACGAGAATGAACCGATTGAGCTCAGCGACTAGGAGGCTAGGTATGCTCTCATAGTTTCGTTTGGTTTGGTTTGGTTCGAGGCTGGACTGGACTGGACTGGGTCAATCCATACCAGTAACTGTACGACTAGGTACTGTTGTTGTGTTTATACATACCACGCAGGTGTGTAAGCCACAGAAGGCACACATAGATTTTTTTCTCAACTCGAGAAAGGGAGGATGAGGGAATCCATCCACCTATACTGTACGTAGGTAGTAGAGAGAATGAAATTTTGAAAACGAAAAACAAATGAAATACCTACTGTGATGATGATGTCCTAAGGTACCTTGGATCACGGCCCTTATATCTCGTAGTCGGAGTCGATTCTCTTTTTCACATTCTCAATTTTCAAATTCAAATCAATGAAACTTTACTACTTACTTAACCTACAAGCTACGGTACCTAGGTATGTAGGCAATACTGCCTAACCAAGTACCCGAGTAGTAATAGCATATCCAGACATCCAGACAGGTAGGCAGACAAGCCTTCTAATATAGCTCTGACTGGTGTATATCTGTCCCTCCCTTGCTTGTTTGGGGTTGCTTAGGGTTAGCTACCGAAAGTACTGGGATGGCTTTGGAATGATTTTTTCTTTTTTTTTTAGGTAAGGCGGGTGAGGGATTGAAGTATCTTTCTAGGTTTTGTAGTGGTTTGCTGTTTTACTGAGGTGTTGCATTTGGGTGTTGTTGTTGTTGTTGTTGTTGTTGTTGTTGTTGTTGTTGTTGTTGTTGTTGTTGTTGTTGTTGTTAGTGTACCTGATTGACAATACATATTTGTTATTGCTGAGATTTTTCAGAGATACTCTCGATGTCGCTAATATTTTTTCTTTTTTTTTTCTTTGGTGAAAATGGCAGGTATGTACTTAGGTACGTCGTCGACATTTGGGAAGGGGAGGTGAAATTATATATGTTTTAACTAATTGATGATCTGTAGATAAGGTACTGTTGATTTGCTCTTGGGTATATAGACTATATATGGATGACCTTCTTGTGTGCAAGGTATTGTATAATTAATGCCTTCGTATTCAAGTATAGCTTACGATGTTGTGTGAGGAAGAGCTTTGGTCCCCCCCAAAGAGGACACGAAACAGGTAGGTAGGTTCGAAGTTAGAAATATGCTCTAGTCCCATGACAGCGCGCGCCCGCACGGCATCGAGCGAGGCCAAGGATCAGTCAATCAATCAACCATGGCTCGAGTCTATATCTATTGCCTGATCTCCAAAGCCCGGCAATTCGGCATTACTTGCTGGCAGCAGCAACGAAGCCTGCTTCAGAGACTGGTGACAAAGATCGAGAGCGCGCTCGCATGCGTCAGAGGAATATGGCTTGCCCGGTACCAGGGGATGTGTTGCTACGATATCCATTGTACGGATCATAAATTCGACGTCGCTGCACTGCAGTCGCGTTACTTCTCCTTGATCAGCAGCAGCAGCAACACCTTCTGGCGGTGGTTTCCGAGCGAAATGGTTGCCGATGATACGCTTTAATCGCACGAGACAGTGATATCGAAAATTACGTGAGTCTCGTGCTATCGGGTATGTGCCCCCGGTAACACGTTCGTTGAGTTCTGCTTCCTGACGATTCAAGAAGTGATCTGCAAAATCTCCAGAAGTGGGCTGCTGGTTCGGTGGATATTGCCAAGCCAAGCCGGAAAATGGTGGACGACTCTTGGTGAGGTCGACTTTGATATAGAATCCGACGTGGCCCTGATATCTCAACGGTGAGGGTACAGCCCAATGACGACTCAACTGGATACTGCGAATCCGTGTGAGAAGTTCAGGTCCCAGTGCGTTGAGCCAGCTTGCCACTCTGTTGGGCCAGAACGAAGCTCCCTCATCCATGGAAATGATGAAATTTGCGTGCGCGGCGTAGATGCACAGGGTCTCGCGTCGGAGGAGAGTGTTGACTCGACATATGGACGGAGTGAGCTTGGAGGTGGCGGTGATGTGTTCGGTGCGATTCGCTTGGAAATCAGGCATATAGTCGTAGATTCTGCGAGGTGGCCGTCAGTTCATATGAGGTGAATGGGTTTGTGGACAGGGTGACACGTGCCGCAAACGGAGCTCCGCAGGAAGAGAGAGGAGCGACATTGTGTGTCGGGAACTCTCTTTTGGATGGTGGTGGTGGTGATGGTGATGATGATGGTGGTTGTTGTGGTGGTGGTGGTGGTGATAGTCCCTAGTGATGATACCTGAGGCAGTATGATATATTGTTGCCCCAGGCCACACTGCAGCGGGTCGGCTCATTGGCTCGGCTACCTAGCCGCAGCCCCACTTTTCACGCTTTGCCGTGCCGAGCGGACTTGTGACTTGGCTTCTCGTGTGCCTCTCACAACCGACAGCGTTCCATCACCACCGCGTCTCTCCACCATCCCCGCGGACAAGGCCAATCCCGCTACGCCTTTCTACGCTGTGCTGTGCGCAAACACACGCGACGCGCGACGGAACCCAGCATTACCGCGCGCGCATTTCACCATTGCCGCTCGCGCACTTTGCTGCCCATTTCTCCATTCACCCTCCCACACGCTCTCTCGCCCACAGTATACGGCCTCCTGCGACGAGAACCTCCTTCGCGCGCCTGCCTACCTCACCCATCCGACCAGCGAGACATCCCCGGGCTTCATTCGCTGATCACGGGCCTCGACATCAGCACTCGCCATTGAATATATCCCTCCACCCACGCCATTGCTTCTGATGGTCGCCGCTGCTCTCTGACGGCCTATTCTATCCGTGTAGATAACGCGCGTCACCTCCCACTGGTGGTTGGTGTTGGGAGGATATTTCATCGGTCGGAGCCATATCGCATACGATACCATTCAATATGGCTGCGGTACAGCCCAGCCAGGGCATGCCGCAACAGCAACAACAACCACAACAACATCAGCAGCAACAGCAACAGCAGCAGCAACAGGGCAATGCGGTCATCAACCAAGTCCTGCCCGCTGGCATGACCGGCGAGCAGGTCAAGGCCATGTTCCAGGTAGGCGAGAAGCTGCGATGGATCCGTCTTTCGGACGTGTGCTAACGCTCCATCGCAGGAATACCAGACCAAGCGAAAGCAAGGCGTGCCGGAGACTGACCCCGACATGATGAGGATGCGCCAGATTCTGACGCAGGTTCAGCAACGGACGGAACAGATGAAGCGGATGCAACAGGCAAAAATGCAGCAGATGCAGCAGATGCGGCAAGCGCAGCAAGGCGGGATGCCGCAGAACGGTGCGCAAATGCAGATGCAGACGAACGGTACTGTGGCCGGCATGCCTGGACAGCCACCAAACAACATGCCGCCGCAAGCGAGCCATCAGTCGGGTCCTGCGAATGGTACACCACATCCTACCGCTCCGTCCGGTCCACAGACACAGCCTGGAACTTTACCCAGCCAGCAGCCGAACCAAATGGACATGAACAAGGACAATCTGAGCAAGAAGCAGGTAGAGCTGCTGCGCTATCAGATGCAGGCTTTCGGTGCACTACAAAAAAACCAGTCCATCCCTGCGCCCATCGCAGAGCGCATATTCACTGGGCGACAAGCACAACATAGCCCTCACCTCTCCGAGAGCATGGCTGCCGCGAGTCGGACGATCGAAGACGCCGCGAATGGATCCACGGGGCAGAGTACCGATCTCACTCAACGGCATCGTTTTGAGACTTTCACCGATCCCCACGCTTTGATGCTCAGACGTATCAGCTATGCCGATCACACTCACCGGCCCTACCGTTCCATGATTCCGAGCATTATGCCCGTTGGTGTCGATGCTGAACGAGTGAGGGAAGAGCGAGAGAACATCGTGTACAATCGTATCGTCACGAGAAAGACGGAGCTGGGCAAACTGTCTGCCAACATTGGTGGTTGGGATCCTACCAAATCGGATACCCCGGAGGACAATGCCAATCTCAAATTGCGCGCGTTGATTGAATACAAAATGCTGAATCTGCTCCCCAAGCAGCGAGAGATGCGACAGAGGGTCGGCAAGGAGATGATGCTTTCTGACAACCTTTCCATGACTGCAAATCGCTCCATGTATCGCCGGGTCAAGAAGCAGAGTCTCCGAGAAGCTCGGGTCACGGAGAAGCTCGAGAAGCAGCAACGCGACGCCGCCGAGAACAAGGAGAAGAAGAAGCACACCGAGTACATTCGCTCCATTATGCAACATGCAGAAGATATCAGGAATGGCGCTCAAGCTCACAAGATGCGCGTCCAGAAGCTGGGACGAATGATGATTTCGACTCACAGCAATATCGAGAAGGAAGAGCAGAAGCGTATTGAGCGCACTGCCAAGCAACGTCTGCAAGCCTTGAAAGCCAACGATGAAGAGACATATCTCAAACTGCTCGGACAGGCCAAGGACTCTCGTATCTCGCATCTGCTCAAGCAGACTGACGGCTTCTTGTCGCAACTTGCTGCCTCCGTCAAGGAGCAACAACGCAGAATGGGCAACGATATGGCCGATGATGAGCCGGAGCCTGAAAATGACGAAGTCGACAGCGAGGACGAGACGAAGCCCAAAACCGACTACTACGAGATCGCTCATCGCATCAAGGAAGACGTGATTGCTCAATCCACGAACCTGGTCGGCGGAACACTCAAAGAATATCAAATCAAGGGTCTACAATGGATGATCTCGCTTTACAACAACAATCTAAACGGCATTTTAGCCGATGAGATGGGATTGGGAAAGACGATTCAAACCATCTCATTAATCACGTACCTGATTGAGAAGAAGAGACAGCATGGCCCGTACCTGGTGATTGTGCCGTTGTCCACATTGACGAATTGGAACAGCGAGTTTGAGCGATGGGCACCCAGTGTGAATCGTATCGTGTACAAGGGTCCACCCGCGCAGAGAAAGAACTTCCAGCAGCAGATCCGGTACGGGAACTTTCAAGTGCTGCTGACCACGTACGAGTTCATCATCAAGGATCGCCCGATTTTGAGCAAAATCAAGTGGCTTCACATGATTGTCGACGAAGGTCACCGGATGAAGAACGCGCAATCGAAGCTGAGCAGCACCATCTCCCAGTACTACCACACGAGATATCGCATTATTCTCACTGGTACACCACTGCAGAACAACCTGACCGAGTTGTGGGCGATGCTGAACTTTGTGCTGCCCAATATCTTCAAGTCGGCAAAGTCGTTCGACGAGTGGTTCAATACCCCGTTTGCCAACACGGGTGGTGGTGACAAGATGGAGCTCACGGAAGAAGAGTCGATTCTCGTCATTCGCCGTTTGCACAAAGTCCTGCGACCGTTCCTCCTGCGTCGTCTGAAGAAGGACGTCGAGAAGGATCTTCCGGATAAGCAGGAGCGTGTCATCAAGTGCAACCTTTCTGCTCTCCAGGCCAAGCTCTACAAACAACTCATGCTGCACAACCGCATCAACGTTATTGGCGCTGACGGCAAGAAGACGGGCATGCGTGGTTTGAGCAACATGCTCATGCAGCTGCGCAAGCTCTGCAACCATCCCTTTGTGTTTGAAGAAGTAGAAGATCAGATGAACCCTCAGAAGATGACCAATGATCTGATCTGGCGTACGGCTGGCAAATTCGAGCTGCTCGATCGTGTTCTGCCCAAGTTCAAAGCCACCGGTCACCGAGTGCTCCTCTTCTTCCAAATGACCCAAATCATGAACATCATGGAGGACTTTTTGAGATTCCGAGGCATCAAGTACCTACGACTAGATGGTTCCACAAAGGCTGATGATCGATCGGAGTTGCTGAAACTCTTCAACGCACCAGACTCGGAGTACTTCTGCTTCTTGCTGTCCACACGTGCAGGTGGTCTCGGTCTCAACCTGCAGACTGCCGATACTGTCATCATCTATGACTCTGACTGGAATCCCCATCAAGATTTGCAAGCCCAAGATCGTGCCCATCGTATCGGTCAAAAGAACGAGGTGCGCATCCTTCGTCTGATCACGAGTAACTCGGTCGAAGAGAAGATTTTGGAACGTGCGCAATACAAGCTTGACATGGACGGCAAAGTCATTCAAGCTGGTAAGTTCGACAACAAGTCCACCAATGAAGAACGTGACGAGATGCTGCGTGTCATGCTGGAGTCTGCAGAAGCTGTGGATCAGATGGATGCTGATGAGATGGACGACGATGACCTGAACGACATCATGATCCGTCACGACCACGAACTTCCGATCTTCCAGGCAATGGATCGAGAGCGAGCCAAGAACTCCAAGTATGGACCAGACAAGAAGCTGCCTCGTCTGCTGGGGGAAAGCGAGCTTCCGGATATCTACATGCAGGAGGACAACCCCGTGGTGGAGGAGATTGAGATCAATTATGGTCGTGGCACACGAGAACGTGCCAAGGTCAAGTACGACGATGGTCTGACAGAGGAGCAATGGCTGGAGGCTGTGGACGCGGACGACGACACGATCGAAGACGCGATTGCACGCAAGCAGAAGCGCATTGCCAATCGTTCGGCGAAGAAGGACTCTCGCATGAACGATGGCGAAGACGACACGCCGCCACCGCCAGGTATGGACAGCGAGGACGAGTCGCCCGCGCCAAAGAAGCGGGGTCGCAAACAGTCAGGTCGGCCTGAAAAGCGCAAGGCGGATGAAGCCTCGCTGGACAGCTTGCCGGAGCCTCCCAAGAAGCGTGGCCGGAATCCCAAGATCAGCGAAACGCTATCGAAAGAGGATCGCGATGCCCTGCAACAAATCCTCGACAATGTCTATGATGGCCTTCAGGATCTCACCGAGCCATCCACTGATCCTGACTTTCCTCAAGGGCGTGACCTGATTGGCCCCTTCCTCGAGTTAGTACCACGAGCGGAATGGAAAGACTATTACGATCTCATCAAGAAGCCCATCGCGATGAAGCAGATTGAAGCCAAGATCAATAAGAAGCAGTACCAGACCCCTCGGCAATTCATGGCCGACATCACGCTGATGTGCAACAACGCCCGGACATACAACCAGGACGGCAGCCAACTGTTTGCCGACGCGGACACGATTGAGGTGAGTTGCGCAGATCTTTTGCGAAATTGGAGCAGTCAGCTAACATGAGACCTAGCGCGCATGCCTGGACAAGCTCCGCGAAGAATCTGCCAAATTCCCACAATGGCAAGACCTCGACGGCGACAGTGCAGATGGTGGCTCGACGCGCCCGATGTCTGGTGTCAGCACGCCGCAGCCCACCAAGTCGGGCATCAAACTGAAGCTGAACGGCACGAAAGCTAATGGCAACTCGTCGCGAGGCGGCACAGAAAGCGTAGCACAAAGCGACGAAGAGTAGGGCACGAATCGTGGGAGGTAGCACAATCAGTCTCCACGAAGCGACGAAGAGTGTAACCCTGGTCGCTCGAGCTGACCGCATTCTATCCGGCCTTCCAGTCCTGGTAGCAGTGTTGTTCGTACGTGGTTCAGGCGTTGGGCATCACGTTTGTCACCTGTGAGAAGAAGACACGAGGAAGCACAGGAAGGATCAGGATGTTTCCAGTGCGCCAATAGGCGACTATGATGGCGTGCTCAGAACAGAGCAGAGAAAAGACGGCTGAGAGAAAACATGGCGGGAGCATAGCGCTTCAGACGGAGGAGATTTTACTTCGAGTGGAGGCGAAGGGAAAGGCGTCCGGTCAAGTATCGAAGCCCACGAGGGTATGCGTGCATGAGAATGGGCGTTTCGTCAGGCTTGGGTGGTCGTCCCGTCACGATGTTGCAAAAGACGCATGACCTCACTGTCAGGATGATGTTACTACTACTACCATGGGTCTTTTTGAAGCGAACAGGAGTTGGCGGAGGGGGAGTGCTGTGCAATGACTTGGTCGCGGGTGGGAGTCGGTTGACTTCCGAGAGTGGTGTGTACTTTAGATATGACTCCAAGAGTATTGCTTCCAGAGGCAGCTTACACAGTAATTTTGCTGAGCATGTATATGCATCTCTACTTTTTCCATCTCTTCTTTTCGAACAAGGCCTGAAGCATCGAAACCTACACACTTTCGACATTGTTGGAGTAGGGGAGCAAGTATGGTCTCCATCCTGTCCTGGACAGATATATGGGCAGGCTCATTATATTGCAGTCGTCATAAGTGTTGTTTGTGGTTGATGCTCATTCGTCCATCCCTACATCTATTGATATGCTTTTCCGCTCCCAAGCTCGTAAAACATAACCCGCATCTCATCTTCTCTTCTTCTCAAAACAACACCCCCTTTGTACTCGGCACCTCCCCCTCCCTCCCAGCGACAGGCGTCGTCGCAAACCTCAACGCAACAGCCAACGCCTTAAACGCCGATTCCGCACGATGATGATCATTCCTCCCCCTCAAACAATCCACATGCATTGTAATCCCCGCATGCAAAGCAAAACTCTCCAAACAATGCGGCAACATTTCACAACTCAAATCTCCCAACTTCTCTCTCGTCGTTCCCAATTCAATCACCGCATAGGGCCGATTACTCAAATCCACAACCGCGCGCGAAAGCGCTTCGTCGAGCGGCGCGTAAGCGGAACCGAAGCGTGCGAGACCCGTGGTGGTGTGTAAAGCGGATTTGAAGGCTTGACCCAGTGCGATGCAGGTGTCTTCGGCGGTGTGGTGGTCGTCGATGTGTAAATCTCCGATGGTGTGCAGGCGGAGCGACCAGCCGGCGTGTTTGGCGAGCGCGTGTAGCATGTGGTCGAGGAAACCTATGCCTGTGCTGACGGAGATGGTTTGGGAGTGCGAGGCTTGGGTTGCGTGGTCTCCTGCTTTGTTATTACTGCTGCTGTCGCCGTTGGTGGAGGAGGAAGAATCGAGTTCTTCGAGGAAGCCGCCGTCGAGGTTGAGGGAGAGTTGGATTTTGGTTTCGTTGGTGTCGCGGGCAATTTTGGCGGCGCGGATGCGCTTTTCGGAGGACATGTTGAAGGGGTGGTGGTGGTGGTGGTGGTGGTGGATGAGGTGATGATGATTGCTGGTGTGTATGTGAGCAGAAGAAGTTCAGAGATCAAGAAGTTCGATCGACAATGCTCTCGTCTTAAGTGAGTGACGTCTTTTCTTAGTTGGAGCATTGGATGTTAAACCCTGCAGGAGCCAGCAAAACCTTAAATCCGATATGATGATCTGCTTTCTTCTTCTTCTTCATCTTCTACTACCAACTACTGCACGCCACACTCATTCCAGACATATCGCACTCACTCATCCACATCCACCATGTCCCACGACGAAGAAATGGCCGACGCGACCAGCGGCGCAGAAGTCAACGGAGCAGAGGAGGAGATCGTGATTGGAAAGCAGCGACTTACACTGGTAAGTCAAATATTTTGCATCCATCTATATTCACGCGAAAAAAAAAAAAAAAAAAAAAAAGGCAAAAAAACTGACCGAGAAATGAATCAAATCTAGCTTCGCGGCTCCACCGATACAGCAGCATCATTCGCATTCGAAAAAGAAGACCATACTCTCGGCAACGTGCTGCGATATCTCATTTCGAAAAAGTGAGTTCGTGCACACACACACCTCACCAGCAGCACCATCACAACAACAACAAGCCCACCGCATCTAACAGGAGACCCCAATCACCCTTAACTCTAGTCCCGATGTCGAATTCGTGGGATACTCCATCCCCCACCCTTCCGAAGCATTTATGAATTTGCGAATCCAAACCTGGGGTACGTTTAAATCTATCTATACCTGATGATGAAACACAGACTTACACGAAATAAAAATCAGACAACGTCAGCGTATTCGAAGTCTTACGAAAAGGCCTCCAAGATCTCGAAGATATGTGCGATGTGATTGAAGAGAAATTTGTGGCTTCGCGGGATGAATTCAAAATTTCGCATCCGGATGGTGGACCGGCGGAGAGATGATGAAGAATAAGAAGAAGAAGGCATGCATGATTTTTTTTTCTCTTTTTTCCTTTTCTTTTTCCATGTTGGGAGAGAGGGAGGGAGGGAGAGAGAGAGAGAGAGAGAGAGAGAGAGAGAGAGAGATGCACAAGCTACTACTATTCGAAAAGGGAAAAGAAAGAAAGAAGAAAGAAGAAGCGCATGCATGAGAAAAGGCAAAGTGAGCCCGGCACGAGGCGTAAGTTTGTTTGTGTGGTGTGGAAATGGATAGGGGTATATGAGACCTGGCAGCGCCAAACACGCACCCTGGGATCTGAGCAATATTCCAGCCTGACCTGATCAGCTCTTTTGGCTCGATTGCCGAGAATATGATCTCAGCAGGATTGGGACCACTGTTATGTCGAGAAGACAGCAGGGCGGAAGGACTACCACCATAACGAGCAATGAAGCGCACGCAGATGGCAAGGAAGAGAGAGAGAAAAAAGGCGCTGAGATGGAGATGAGGAAAGCGTTTTTATGCAAGTAAGCCACATTCATGGAGTAGACCAGTCCGCAGTCATCGTGTTTGTTTTGGGTATGATATGTGTACAACCATTGCTGCAAGTGCACAAACTCCATGATGATTGATCCATATTGCATGCATGCACACTTTTCAGTTGCGACCCTATATCACGGCATGTCAGTGCCATGCCGCTCGCTCGCCATTCCGTGCCGACAGGCTGGACCTCTGGATCTGCTCTTACCTCGATGAAGCCTTGAATGAAGTTTTTCGGCAGCGTAGAGCCTTTGGGATCTTCTTCCGCTCGGAAGTACTTGAGTACGTGTGTGAGTTGCTTCCAGAAGTTCAAGGTTTCCTGTTGCATTTCCATATCGTCAGCATGTTCTTGCCCATCAGGTCCTTGTGTGTCCTGTCCTGTCCTGTCCAGTATATATCCCAGCTACCGTGCTTCAGTTCTTCACTCCTTTTATCTTCACTCCTCTTCTCTTGCCCCCTCTTCTCTTCCTCCCTCTTCTTCTCTCTTCAACCGCCTATATCCATCTACCTTCTCCTTCTCTTTCTCCTCCTTCTCCTTCCCCCTCCCCTCCCCCTCCCCCCAAAAGCAAAAGAAAAGAAAAGCCCACTCACCTGAAACTCCTGATGACTATTAAACAACAAAACATCCACCGTCTTCAACTGATTCACATATCGATGCCTCTCAAATTCCTGTCGAACTTTGGTTCGAATTTTCGACACGGGCATATTGAGCGAATACATGGTTTGGACTTCCGGTGCCTGTTATACACACACCCACAGCGATGATCAGTACTCTTTTTTCCATGTCCGTATCCCCCTCCATATACTCCCTCTTTCTTCTTCTCTTTCTTTCTCTCTTATTTCTTCCTCCCAGCATCATATTGTTTCAAAATCAAAAAAAAATCAAACATACCGCTCTCAACCAATCCCGATAACTCGACAAAACTCTCTGTTTCGCATCACTCCATGTCGCGGCTGTTGGTTGCAAAAAGAGCAACTCTCTCGTTAGTCTTCGCTCTCGCATACATCATCATCATCCCTCCACTCGAGTGTGGTAGGATAGGGTAGGTAGGTAGATGGGCGGGGTGAATGCGTACAGGAGCGCGTTCGTTGCGCGAGATAGGTTGGGTTGATGACCATGGTTGTGTCTCTCTCGGTTGCGTTAGGTAGGTTTGGATCGGTGAGGTCGGTGGGTCGGTGGGTCGGTGTGTCGGTGGTGGTGGAAGAGAAGGAGGAGGAGGGAGGTAGGTGGACAATGGTTGTTACATTCGACGTGGGCGCGGAAGCTGTTTGTGTCCTGCTGAGGTGTGAGGTCGACGTAGGTTCGGCAAGCCGGGAAGTGCACAGACCACCAATCCACAGATATGTGTGGAGAGAGAGAGAGAGAGAGAGAGAGAGAGAGAGAGAGCAAGATACGAAGGAAACAAAAAACAATTACATGTAGAGAGGCAAAGAACGGATCGGTTCGATTCTCAGAGGTCCCCTATCGCCATCTATGAACAAAATGTACATCCACAGTCGGTGCGGGAATTGAGAACAAAACCCATGCAGTAAGCAGAATGCCGCCGCCACCACCACCTAGTCTATACATCAGGTACCGCATTAAAAACATGACTTTCCGCCAGCACCCAATAACGCTTTTGCACTGAACAGAGAAAAAAAAAGCCGCCCCATCCCCGAGGACGCCACCCAATAACATACAAGAAAACGACACCTTCAGGCCGCCCGATGCGTCGATGCTCTTCCACTTGGGCGATGCCGTGATCGCTAATTACGCCCTCTCGCTCTCTCCGTGCTCACTTCACTCATCATCAACAAGCTTCTTCGCATCATGGGCCTTCTTCGCATCCTTTTGTAGAAGCTCAAAGTCCCCAGTCATCTCGCACATGCCTCTGAACGTGCCCTTGTCTTTATTGATCAGGTCGTACGGGTCTCCATACTCGATGACTTCGCCTTGGTCTAGAACCAGAACCTTGTCATAGTCGATGATGGTCTGAAGCCGATGAGCGATGGTGATGGTCGTGTTTTTGATTTCACGAATCGTTTCTTGGATCTTCGAGTCTGTGGCGTAGTCGATCGAAGCGGTGGCCTCGTCCATCAGCAATACCTTGGGTGCCTTGAGCAGTGCCCGTGCCAGACAGAGGAGCTGTCTCTGACCTTGCGATAAGTTCGAACCGTGCTCTGCGACGGGCGAGTTCAGGTTGCGGAATATGTTCTTGTTCTCGATGGGACTGTCCGGATTGGAATGCACTGGCGCGACCTTTGCTGTCACAGTAAGCTTGGTACTGGGAGAGCTGGGCGAGTCTCGGCCAGACTGAGGACCGGGCGTGTGAGGTCTGGAAGGAGCAGCAGAGTTTGTTGCCGTGGCCGCTCCGACTAATTGAACACCGCGCAGCACCGAGAAGATCTCCTCGTCCGTGAACAGGCCGAAAGGATCGAGATTACTGCGTACAGTGCCGGTGAACAGAGTGGGGTCCTGTGGGACCATGACAATGTTTTCGCGCAAGTCTTGCAGTCCGATGAGACCAATATCGACATTATCGATCAAGATCTTGCCCTGCTCTGCTTCGAGAGCTCGGAAGAGTGCGAGGGCGAGGGAACTCTTGCCAGCTCCCGTTCGGCCAACGACACCGACCTTCTCACCAGGAAGAATCCTGAAAGTGACGTTCTTGAGAACAAAGTCAAAGTCGCTGCGATATCTCGTGCTGTAGCCAATGAACTCCACTGAGCCTTGACTCGGCCAATTCGCATCAGGTCTGTTGTCAGGCACGATGGGCGCCGCTTCCTGATCTACATCCAAGTACTCCTTGACACGCTCAATGGCGTTCATGTTTTGCTCGTTGCTGGCGTACAAGCGAACGAACCAAAGCACATTCTCTGTAAAGGTGACGGCGTAGGTCATGGCCAACCCAGCAGAGCCTGCATTGACAGTTCCGACACTGAGGATCACGAAGACGCCAGTGAAGAATGCCACCAATGCACCAACGACATCAACACGGAGCGCCAGCCATCTGTTGGCAGCCCACAGATAGATGAACGGCCGAGAATGAGTGTTGACCTTGTGCAAGTTCTCGCGAATGAAGCGACGTTCGTCACCATAGGCTCGAATCGTTGTCATACCGGACAAAGTCTCACCAAATTGCTGGTACAATGGACTTCGCTGCACGGACTCGAGTCGCTTCAGATCTCGAGAAGCACTGATGTAGACTCTGCCGATCAGGAAGTAGAGGATCGTGATGAAAATACCTGCAATCAAGAATCCGGGTGTGATGATGGAGATCAAGATGACGATTGTCAAGATGGAAAACATGCAGTGCACCACACCGACAGCTACCGGAGCGATTTCCTGATCGACTGATTCAATATCCTTGGAGAAACGGTTCATAATCTGCCCCAGTGGTGTGGCATCGAAGAAGCGGAACTTGGCGTGTGTCACTCGTTCCATCAGCTCCCTGTGAATACGCCTGGAGGCTGCGAGAGATCCCCCGAATAGCACACCTTCACGGAGCAATGTGACAGCCATGAATGACAACCCAAGCATCGCATATCCAGTGAGGTAGTAGCCGACGTTGACGTCGTCATTCATAATCTTCATGCTCTTCACGTCCTGTAGTGCGGACTGGGCACTGAATGGCTGAGACGTAAATGGCATGTTCCAGACACATGTACCCGTACGAAGGCAGCTAGAGGAGGTAGCCAAGCGAACGTGGGCCAGGTTGTAGGTGTGGTTGTGAGCAACACCCGTTGCGACGTATTCGTGTTTCGTGTAGGAATTCGACCATTGCTGAATCCAGACATTCGTGGCAACTTGAGATAATTGCTGCAAGCCGAAGCACAACGCCGCAACAATCCAGTAGAACCATCCGCCCATGTAGCCCAGATATTTGGCGATGATGGCAAATTTGACTGAACCCGTCGCTTTCTCTTCACTCAAGGTGTCCTTGTCGTTCGCCTGTTTGCTCATGCCTGGAATATCCTTTGAGATGACGTGTGTCAGAGGGTCACCATGTAAGGTTTCGAGAGTGTCTGTAGCATCGCTCTCGGAACGGTGCACGCGCGTCTTGTGCGTGCCATTAGCGGCAGAGTGTAGTTCACTCAGAGTGTCACCACCAATTTCAGAGGGGACTCTGGATGGCAGTTTGGAGCGTTTCGCAGGTTGGTCCTTGAAATCAAACTTGCCCATATCCTCAGCGAGGCTGCCCGACTGGACAACGTCGTATGCAGTGCCCTGGGCAGTCACTCGACCATTGTCGAGCACGACAGCAAACTCCGCATGCGGCAGACACAGTGTTGCATTGTGGGTGACCAAGATACAGGTACGGTTGTGCATCAGTGGGCCCATGAGCGCGTTGTCGAAGATCCACTTGGCAGTGTGAGAATCGACAGCGCTCAGCACATCATCAAGGATCACGTGACGTGCATGGCAGTAGAGCGCTCGGGCAAGACTAATGCGCTGTTTTTGACCTCCAGAAAGGGTGACTCCCTTCTCGCCTACCAAAGTCTGGTCGCCACCGTCCAAGATTTCCAGATCACGCTGCAGAGAGCAAGCCACGATGACGCTCTTGTATCGCCGCGGGTCAAATCGGCTGTTGAACACAATGTTCTCCTTGATCGTGCCATTCATGAGCCAGGCTTGCTGAGCGCAGAATGCGACGCTCTCGGTCAGACCAGTGTCGGGATCCGTAGCGAGCTCTTCTCGGCTACGACCTCCAGGCAAATAGACGGAACCGCTGATTTTGGTCATCTCGCCCAGCAAAGCCATCAGAAGAGACGTCTTGCCGCACCCAGTCGGACCTACAATGACATTGAGCTGACCGACCTTGAAGAACATGTTTAGGCCGATCATCTTGAAGTCATCCGAATCCTTGCCACCCCAACTGAAGGTGCCGTCACGGAAGCCAATCAGGGGTTCTCCGTTGTTCTCGGTGAATTCCTCTACCAACTGGTGGTACTTCTCGGTCTCTGGTTCGTTCAAGTACTCCTCTACACGATCGACGGAAACCTTGGATTCTTGTACATGAGCAACCATGTCTGCGAGTTGATCCAGCGGGATACGAAGCAGGCTAAACAAGGATAGCGCGGTGAAAGCCACAGAAGGAATGAGATCTTTGCCTTCCACGAGTGTGTAGACCAGGAATGTCAGGAACGTGATGAGCACCGGTGCGCCAGACCAGATGGTAGCTGCAGCGGCCCATACGATGTATCGGTTCCGAAGGTATTTGAGCTCCACCTGGCGCTTCTCGTCGACCACAGCGAGGAAGCGATGCTCCCAGGCGAAGTATTTAATGATGCGGACATTGGTCAGTACCTCGTTGGTCGTATGGATTCGTGCATCTGTCGCGGCAAGGATTTTCTTCTGCACACTGGTGAATTTCTTCGCAATGTACATGTTCACGGGCAGAAGCGCTCCCATCATGCCAATCCCAACAATGCTACTGTTGCCCAGGAAGAGATAGAGCAGTAGAATAGCGAGCACGAACTGTACGGGTGTTTCGGCCCACAGAAAGTGCAGATATGCGCTGATCTCGGACACTTTGAAGGAGTCCACGGCCATGAGGTTGATGATGGCTCCCGAAGTGACCTGCTCGTCCAGCGCGGTTTCGGCCTTGTTCGCAGCGGGCTGGCCATTTTCGTCCCTGCTCTTCTTCTTTCGCCCAAACGTCAATACCTTCTTGATGAAACCCTGCTTCGGCTCGTTGTCATCCTTCTTCGCATCTTGTCCCAGTATCTTGTCTGCAGATGCTGCGGCACGTCTTCTCAGGGCTTTGGCGTAGATCTCGCCAATGATGATGGCTCGCAGCCGAATGCAGGTCTTTCTGCCAATCCAGAGAGCTTGGCCACTGGACAAAGCATTGACGCATCCCGAGACGAACAGAAGGATAACGTAGAGCCAGGCGGCATTCCGAGGCGTCTGTGAAGGGTCCTCTACGTATTGCAAGATAACCTTGAGCAGCAAAGTAGGCACAAAGGTGACAGCTCCTGAAATAGCGGCATACAAGCCTTGAATGATCAAGTCACGCTTGAAGTATCGGAGCAAATGCCAGGCCAAGATTGAAGTCTTCTTCAGTTGTCGATAGTCCGCCAGGATTACGGCAGCCTGATCTCTCGGCATCAGGTTCCATACGTCCTTCATCTCGAATGCTTTCTTGTATCCAGTCCAGACGATCGGGTCGACCCAGCCAAAAGTAGCCAAAGAAAAGACGCTTGCGAGAGGCTCCCTCGAAGGCTCGATGCCGTCCTCATACTCGAGCTCGACAGCATGGTTGCCTTTCCGTGAGCACAGTGCGATCAAGGCAAGAAGAGTCGTCAAGGCAAAGTGGCTGCTCATCAGCGCTTCGGATAGTCGTGATTGTGGGTGTATAATCTCTGAGCGAAAGACAAGGATAGCGCATAGCCATTGAAAGCTGTAGAGAAAGGCCGTGTGGTACCACAGGGCCGGGAATGACCATTTTGAAGAGCTCGAGAACAGCAAGCGCCCAGACGCGAGGAGAGCAATGTATGTCCAAACCGCGACCTCAGCAAGTGCCGCCACTCGACCTCTTGGTGGGCCCCATGCCCGTGTAATCAATGCCGCCACCTGTATGCCCAGTTCGGCCAACACTGCCACCTCTTCTACAAGCGTGATCCAAAGCTCTCCGCGTGGTCGGTCCACAGTGATGACAGAGGCATTGGTCTGCGTCTTGGTCATTTGCAACGCCATTTGCTCATTTCGTCGCATTTCGTCCTCGCTGCCAGTGGCGGTTGTGGCATCACTATCGGCATCCGCATCGTGGCCATGGGCGTGGTGGGGTCCGCCATTGGGTAGTCGGTGGTAGCCTGCGCTGCTCTGTTTGTCTCGAATCGTCGTTTGGAGGAGTTGGTAGGCGAGATAGAGAGCCGAGATAGCACATGCTACCAATGGCAGCAAGGTCTGCAGATAGTCATGCTGGAAGCACTGCGAGAAGTCGTCGCTGTGCCAAATAGCGCCCTTGCACCGCGCGAACATGGTCTATTGACGTTGAGAGAGAGAGAGTCGAATGCGCTGCACTCATCGGGTCATGTCGAAGCAACAGACAAGTGGAGGCGGGTGATAAGAACAACCGGCGGTGGTGGGGTGCCTGGCTGCGGTGACGCGAATGGGGAATGGTGAGTCGGAATGGATGCCTGCGGGTCAATGGCGGCGAAGGATCGTCGGAGGAGGAGAAGGAGGAGGAGAAGGAGGAAGAGGAAGAGGTCAGACTGAGTAGGAGGTAGGGTACGTGTAGGTAAGGTCAGGTAGGTAGGTAGGTAAGGTAGGTCAGGTAGATAGGTACCTTAGGCAACCTTTTTAGGCTTCGATTGAACTAGCACGACATGCATCAACCCTACCTTGAGGTAGCCCGTTCCCGTGGAGGGTTGCAAGCACTCTCAGCACACTTTTCACAGAAGCGATAAGGTGCTGGTCGGCGTAGGAGAGGCTAGGAGGTGGGAAGGTGACGAAACGACTCAATAACGGCCGAGCCGACGGGAAGTGGAAGTCAAGCGCAGTCAAGCTTTGCTGCCGACGTCGTAGAAAATCTCCACTCTCCACTCACCGGTATGTACCATTTGCCATCCAAGCATCGAGCAACGGCGGACTCACAGACTATGGAGGTAATATCACCGTATCAGCGGGCGAGGCGAGAAAAGGATTGTTGGTGTGTGGAGACTCCGATACAGTGGAGGTATGGATATGGTGAGCAAGTGAACGCCGAACGCCGTTGTGCGGTGAGTCAACTGGGAACCTGGAACCGAGACAGGCCTGGAGATGCCTGCGGCCCTGTGCCGCCCAGATGGAACTACATGTACCTCATTACCCACTGAATACAGCATCGGATAGACTGAGATACTGCAGCATCATGCGAGAAGCCTCAAACTAGGCACCTACATATATCTCCCCTACCGTACCTACAGTAGAACCTCCATACATGTACTTGTACGGTGTACCTTATTATTCATGCATGATGAGACCGCTTCACGGTATCACTGTTGACGGTTGACGGTTGATCTGTGCTGCTGTGCACTATCGGACTGTGCCAGGCCAGGATACGAGCTCCAGCCTCCAGCCTCCAGGTTCCTGTGCCGCGCCGCCGCTGCTTTGCGCATGCACTGGCACTGACAGCTACTGATGTTTCATGCTCCGTGCATAGGTACCTTGTGCACGCTCCGCTTCTTCAACCGCCACATACTGGCCGTCTGGCTGGTTGTGTTGCTGGTGCTACACGGGCCGTCGCAGGTGGGATATGTACAACGGAATTTCACGATAATAAGTGCACTATGATATTCCGCTCTTCGAATTGTACCTCGCCTATGAACGCCATGCCAGGAACGTGGGTCACGACAGCACCCAACGTCGTTGATCTGGAATGGCCAGAATCGCTCATGTGAACTCGCCATACCTCCTAGTGTCCTGCTCATCTTGAAGCCGCTACCGGCTTCCATGCCGAGTATTTCGGCTTGGTCCTGCAAGTGTCAGGTTAGCAATGCCGACAACATCTCCATGTAGTCTCGATATGAACGTACGTGTTGAAGGTCTTGAACGCACTCCTCGATGCCGTGATCACCGGTACATGCTTCGCAGGCTCCCATGGCCGCAACGAGCGTTGCAACAACTTGTCCTCTGAAGGCGCTTTGTCAACCATATATGACATCCACGCGTGCCTATTTGTGTTGTCAGAGACTTCCCGTACAAAGTCTTACAGTGCCATAGACATACCAGCCTGGCTCTATCTGCGAGCTGCTAATTGTCAGCAGTGTCCTGGCCCATGTGTGAGCGCGAGCGTGATGTCTCACGGATCATATTCGTGGTCCTTGTAGTCCACCCAGCGTGTTCGTACTTTGAACGACATTAGCTCGCACCGAGAAGCTCTCATCCAGCCGAGAACATACGAGGCAGCTCTTCTTCCAGGTTCTCAAAGTACTTGTTGCCGTAGCGGTCTATGCCGACCAGTGTTCCGCGCTTGGTATCACCTGCTTCTCTTAGTGGCCATTCCCGATGCCATCTTTCTCCTTCTTCCACCCATACCGATGTACTGTAGAATGGCAGAGGAGTTAGTATCAGCCGCATGTGTATCGTTGGGAATCGTTCGGAGGTGTGTTTCGTACATGAAGTTGGTGGCCGTAGTCCTGCCATCTGTCAGCTCTCACTCACACGCACTGTACGCGCACCTGGTGTACCTTTAAACCTATACTCCGCAGGTTGCGAAGGGTTCGCATGATTGTCGACATGTTGGCGATAGTGCGCGGGTGTGTTGTGGCAAGGCGATGTCTAGTGCAAGTGTGATGGTGAAGCGCGAATGAAGCCAAAGTGGGAGCGGGTCCACTAGCTCTAAAACCATTCTAAAAGCTCCTAGAAAGTCTACCATCACTGCACATTCGTCCATCAACACCATCTCGACGGCATTATGAACTTGCGATGCTGACAAGGAGAGTATTCCCTTGCTTGCGGGCCTCTAAGCAGGTCCGGCCACTTCAACGGGGCAGCAGGAATGGTCGTCTGCAAAAACGACTCTCAAGTACTTATTCGGCGTCCGCAACAACGCCAGGATCAGGCCCTTCATCTGCCTCGCAGCTAGCAGCCTTTACCGGCGAGCTGGACAAGCTGTCTCCTCGCTTTGATGTCTCGGCCGACTCGATAGAGATCTTGCAATCCCCTACCGAGTTCTACGAAACACTCAAGGTTCGAATAATGTACCCAATTCCTCGCATATGGGCTGACTAGACTGAAGTAGACGAAAATCACAAGTGCCAAACGACGTGTGTATCTTTCAACCCTATATATTGGCAAAAGCGAGCATGAATTGGTGTGTATTGTTCTAAAATAAAGGCGAAAATAACACTGATTTGGACAGATCGACACCATACGACAAGCGCTGAAGGAGAACCCAGAGCTCAAAGTCTCATTATTGACTGACTACCTTCGAGGTACTCGTGAAGCGCCCAATCCATCATGTGCGAGCTTACTCGCCTCGCTGGTAGCAGAGTTTGGTCCTGAACGCGTGGAAGTCCGACTATACCATACGCCAAACTTGACTGGAGCCCGCAAGGCTATTCTACCTAAGCGAATCAACGAGGGATGGGGACTGCAGCACATGAAGTTGTACGGCATTGATGATGAAATCATCATGTCCGGCGCCAACCTCTCGGACGATTACTTCACCAACAGACAGGACCGATACCATGTCTTCAAATCACAAGCAATCACGGACTACTTCTCGCAGCTTTTTCGCACCATCTGCGATTTGAGCTATCGTGTGTCGCCAGCCGACACAGAGGCAGGCGGCTTCGCGGTGGAATGGCCTCACGCTAATGTGCAGCCGGAGCCTCTGAAAGATCCGCAGGGCTACATCAGAGCAGCAACTAGGCTTCTCCAGCCACTGGCCAGTCCGCCGACAGCGAAAGCGACCCCATCAAACTCGGACACCATTGTGTATCCACTCGTACAGCTGACACCGCTTCTCAAACCGGACACCTCCACCGAGCTACCAGCTCTGACAGGAATCCTTCGAACACTGGGCAAACCAGAATTTGAAGGGTCGAAATGGACATTCACATCAGGCTATTTCAACATGACGCCAGAGGTTCGCGAATTATTACTCAAATCACGACCGCTGTCAGGCACAGTCGTGGCGGCGTCCCCATGGGCAAATGGCTTTTATGGCAGTAAAGGCATCAGCGGCATGCTACCAGCAGCCTACAGTTTACTAGGGCGCCGCTTCTTAGACGCCGTATCCAAAGCAGGTCTCAGCGAACAGATCTCGGTCAAGGAATGGCGAAAGGGCACGGTCAATACACCCGGTGGCTGGACGTATCACGCCAAGGGAATCTGGGTAACGCTGCCTCGAGAGGAGAATCCCAGCATCAGTCTCATCGGAAGCTCCAACTACACGAAACGCAGCTATTCTCTCGACCTCGAGGCGAATCTTCTCATCGTGACGCGCAACTCTGATCTGCAGCGTCGTCTGGGCGAAGAGCAGAAGTGGTTGCAAGAATATGCTTCCCCAATGACACAGGACGAGTATGCAAAGACGGAGCGCAGAGTGGGATTACATGTACGATTAGCAATGTGGATTGTCACATTAGTTGGAGGAGCGCTATGATGAGATTCCATCAATGTACAAGACGTACCTATAAGAGCAATACCAGTTTAAATCTCTTTTGTGAAAGGCCGGAAAGTACCTTACCTTACCTAGTAATTGCTCCCATACTTCCTCCGCATCAATTGCCAATTGCCAGTTGCCACAGAGACATGAAGTTTGATAGTACCCTTAAGATAGCTCGAGTACCTACAATCAGCTATCAGTACATATATGCCTGTTCCCTGCGTTGAACATCCAACCCATTGGAATTTATTGAACTTTCTTTTACACCGCACGCACGGCGCACGCATACATGCACGCATGCATGTACATTATGTAACCAACAGGGATCCTACAAACCAGAAAGTTTTTCTTGCATTTCAACGTAGATATTGTTTTGGTAGTATGTAGTTTTAGAAGAGTATAGATAGGTAGGTACCTATAGTACTCTGAATTCTGACTCCTAACAAGACAAGACAAGAGAAGGACAAGTCGCTAGTATAGGTACCAGGTAGGTACTAGGTGGGTAGGTATATCAGGTAGGTATATCAGGTAGGTAAGGTAGGCAGAGAGACTAAACTCAGGCTATAAGACTATAGGCTATACTGTAGAGGTAAAATTGATTTTCCCTACCTATCTGACGGTCCTAACCTTAGGCTCTTATTAGTGCTTTAAAGAAAAAGAAAGAAAACAAAAATCAAGCCAAGCCGCCGGATAGATAGGTATACTTTAGCTCTACTAAAACTTGATTAAGACCCGACTTCATATCGAGTCATTATTCGAGGGAATTGGTTTTTGTTATTTGAAATTGAATTGTAACTACCCTCTAAGAATCCGCTTACTCGCGCTAACTTGGACCAAGAACATTCCAAGTACGTGCCTCTCTCTCTCTCTCCCTCTCTCTCTGGCAGCCTAAAAAAATCTCTCCTTAGAGCTGGACGAGGAACAATCCCTTGGTCTGTAAAAGGGTAAGGAGGAGAAGAAGGAGTAGAGCCCTTCAAAACAACGCAAGTAACCTCTATCCTGCTTCATTCACACCACACCACACCGTAGACGCAAAAGGGTTCGAAAAGCGTCTGTAAATGAGTAAGCATTTTGAAAACTCTGGTACGCGCTCAACTCTACTTACCGAGAACTTGATAGTAGAATGGTTTCAAGTACGTGGTGGTGGAAAGGGCTTGAGTGGCTTCAAGGGACGAAAGCCAGCCAGACTCGGCTTTCGAGCAGAACGGTGATCGTCGGAGGTTCGACCGGGGTCTTCTTGAATAAACTGATAGGAGGTCCCCGTGCGTGCGGATGTCCGCTGCTGCCGTGCTGGAAGCGATCGCGAGATGAGGGATGGGCTTCTCAGAGCACGGTTTTCTTCTTCGAGTAGTGTGATGCGTTCCTCGAGAATGTTGTGCTTCTGAGCCAGATCGTCGAACATTTGGGCGAGTTCTGTCAATGTTCCTGCGAGCATACCGGGGACGTCTTGTAACTGGCGAATCACTTCTTCGGCGGACAAGTCGAGCTGGTTGGGCATGTCTGGTGTTGAACGTCCGCCGCGAATGCTGCGAGCTTGAGTGCCGAACATGCCGGGTGGTGGAGGTGGTGGAGACTGTTGCTTGGTGGGAGTTGCATCGTCGTTTGAGATATTAGGAATGTTCGTTGATGATGGGTAGGGAGGCTGAATTATTCTGCGCCTCTTTCGTCCATGCGAGGGCTGTCCCGGGTAAGACAGTGCACTGGTGGGCGCCAATGGTGTGCTCCGAATAGGGGTCGTGGGAAGCGGCTCGCGCTCATAGCGTGGATTGATGAGAGCCTGGGTATTCGTTCTGCGGTTGCTCCGGTCGGTGGCCGTCGAAAGGAGTTCACTTGGATTGATGATAGGTTGTGTATTCCCCATTCTGCGGTTGCCGAGGGCGTGGGGTCCTGTTGATGTTCCTATGTTCAAACCTTCAGATGAAGCAAACTCTGCGGTGCTGTTCTTTGCGAGTGTGTTGCGCTGAACTTCGTCCTCATCTTCAGAAGTGTTGTCGTCGAAATAAGAGTATTCCGCGTTGTTACGCAGATCGAGTGCCCTCTTCATGCCAGGCTGAGGGTTGTTGTTCCTAATGTTGGTCGGGCGGCTATAGTTAGGCTTGCGAGGCTGCTGACTCGACAGAGGCTCGGTGTTCGAGTAGAAGGAATTAACGTTGTCGTCCATAACCACAGTCGTGTAATGTAGAAGTACTTGATAATTGAGTACGATGTGGTCGAATGTTGACCTAGGTTGTTGTAATGTTAGTAAGAGAGAACAATAGCAAAGGTAGATATAGGGCAAACAGCTAGCTGTATAGTGGCAGCCTAAAGCGGTGTACGCGGTATGTGAATGGATAATCGCATTCACTGCCCTTCAGAACATCTTATAATACCTTACTTACTGCCACTCACAACACCTCACTTCACCTCAGTGCCGTTGATCTCGTCACGGCAGATTGCTTCGTGCTAGGACCGCTCCAATCTGCAGCGCGCCGAGCTCGAAACCCACTCCCGCCGGAAAGCAAACGACACTTGTGCACTAGCGCGGTGTCCGAGCGTTGCCATCTCAACAGAACAAGAACAAGAACAAGAGCTTTTCACTCTCGCACACTTCGTTGCTCCTTCATCCTTCGTCAAAACCACCTTGCCAGACCTCACGCGCGCATCCCTTCAGCCATCACCACTTCAGCCATCACCACTTCATCCACGAACAACACCAGTCCAACTATGACTAGCTTCAAGCAGATGGCCGGCGCCATTCTCGCCATTCCGCTGTTCTTTACAGCGCAAGTTGCCGCACTTCCTACCGCGGGTGTAAGCTGCTATGATCCTCTCAGCCTGACTGTAGCTGACCGCAAGCAGATCACTGGCCTCTCTCCCCAGGCCAACCAGCCACTCAGCTGCTTCGATCCATCAGGCACCGTTGCTGATCAGGGCTGGAAGATGTGGATGCATGCCAGCGCGTTCTGCCAGGAGTTCGACCTGGTGGGTAGTGTCGACAAACCACGCAGAAGAGCGTAAAGCTGACGTGAGCACACAGGCCATCATTCCAGTCAACGGCAGTATCACCGCGTCGTCCTACCAGGCTGTCAATGGGAATTACTACAACCTCGAAGGTATGTCTCCAAGCCTACCTAGAGATAACTAAGCGCCGCTGACCGTGCAACAGTGGCCAACGTCCGCTGCGACAGCCAGCAAGTCCGAGTGGACGACTGCATGAGCCTGTTCAGCGAGATCCTCGTCGACTGCAATACTGGCGCGAACGATCTCAACGTCGGTGGTCTCGTCTCGACCGACTGCGGTCACGTCACCCTCTTGCCCAGTGTGGACAAGGTCGATACACCAGGTTCCACGTCCAGCAACGCCACTCACGCAGTACGCGACATCTACCCAGATGGCTGCAATCCTCCCGTCTGGAGCGCCTGCAGCTCCTCTGAGAAGGCCGCGCTGCTTGACAACGCATGCGATTTCAGCCTGTGCTTGAAGGCTGGCAACTGCGCTCCTTGCTAAGCGGTCGCGAAGGACTGAATTGGAGGCACCACAGCGTCTCTGCATGGAGAATCCTGAAGGAAGGTCGAAACGGCGCATTCACCGCGGGAAGTGAGTGAGGCTTGCTGGCAACATTCTGCCTGTCTGTACAGTACTCGGGCACTCTGATACGCGGCGATGGGTAAATACAGGTACCTTACGTAGAATCGACTTGTATTGAAGAGATACTACTCACACGTGCAGTCTTGTTACGTCGCTGAACATTGTACGGTCGATCCTCCACTGCAAGCAGATTGCAACGACGCGTCTACCGTTGATTTCTATAACGCTCTCCCCATTCTCAGAGATCCACGGTCCATCTTGCTTCCCGTACCCAACCCATTGGGTCATGTCGTCTGTATACCGTACCTGTAGTTCCCGTCAGTTCGCTGTTCCGAGACATGGTCCGTGCGGCCACGCGCGCGGAGTTCAAGTCCGCTCACAATGGCTTTCAGAAAGTTGTGTGACAATGGAATGGATGTAATGTACATACCAATTCCGGCGCTACCAGGTATAAAAGTGACGAAGATTGTCATTATCAAGCGACGAGTGAGGTGGCTGGGCGGGACGATTTCCTTTCATTGCCCCCCCCCCCCCCCTGCCCGTACCTGCCTCCTGCAGTGTTCCGTCCTTTCTTCTTCTATTCCATTCCACTTGCACAACTTCACCACCAACAACCCAATCATCACCACTGGCCACACTGCAGGTAGGTTCGGAGCAATGGAGTACGCAATTGACCGACCATCGCTGACTGCCAAGCTTAGAATGCCTTCGATCGTGGTGAAACTCCGATTCCACAACGCCGTGGCCGCCGCCGCGGCGCATTTATTGTCACGCAGGTGCGAATCAGAAGTGACAACTGACTGCCCAGATAGCTCACAGCAGAACACCAGCAGCGCACCATCCTCGATTCCTAACAGCAACACGACGCCACGCGCACCTGTCCTGGACTCGAACCTCTTCGGCAGAGAGCCGCCTACCAGAAAACGATCGCTACCGGCAACTACCGGTAGCGATCCTTCTGGAACGACACCACAAGACTCATCCGCGCCCGCAAAAAAGCGGAAGCTTAGCCATGTTGCCGACAGTCCTCCACCTCTGCACGCAACTAGACTGAGAAGTAGACATCCTGGAGGCACAGCAAGCACGAATGCTGCTAGTACTAGTGTCAGAGGCTTGGGACTCTTCGCTGGACCCCCGACACCGCCATCAGAGGGGTCCGAATCTCAGCCGCCAGTTTTCCTGCCGCGGCCCGCATCACACGTCGACTCGCATGGCCACGTGAGACCGCTGCGGGACATGTTCTGGGATCAACAATATCTGGATGCCATGCTGGAAGAGCTAGAGGATGTTCTGGCCCAAAAGCGCAATTCGGTGCACAAACGATCTGCGGGAAGGATCAGAGACCTGTTGTCTTTGGCCACTTATCCCAACGACGGCGACGCCAAATTCTTGTCCAAGGATGAGGCGCTAGCGGCGCTTGCGCCTGGCCAGTTTTTCAATGGGCCCATCTTCACAGCAGAGCAGCAACCCCTAGCCTTGTCGACAGTGCCCGAGTTCCTGGGAGAGTATTACGATGATACGGCGACAGTCCACATCCAGGATTCGTCTGCCAGTACCGGTAAGACCGCGACATGGGCGAGAGCAGTCACGATGAAGCAGGTCAAGGACCGCTTCGAGGAAAACAAAACCCCAGACCACTGTCCATGGAACATGCTGGAGCTCGCGACGCACCACGAGGATGGCCTTCGACCGGTGTTCTTGAACAATGAAGACTGCCGTCTGATCACGAAGCTCAAGATCCCCAACCACGCTGACGAGACACGACGCAAGAAGTACGAGGCCGGATTCAAAGAGGTCGAGAAGTGGGCGCTGCTGGCCGAAGCAGGTGCGCTCACAGAGCCACACCAAGACAGCCATGGCTACAGCACTTATATCACCATCAACCAAGGCTGCGTCGGCTTCGGCTGGCTCTCGCATCCTACAAGAGAGGAGCGTGTAGCATGGGGGCGTGACCCTCAGCACTTCCGAGATGGCAGATGGCGTTATGTTATCCTCAAACCGGGCCAGACCGTCTTCTTCCCAGCAGGTACCGTCCACATGGTCTTTCGGCTCAAGGCCGCTGGTGACAGTCTCGCGTTCGGTGGACATGTGCTACGTTGCTCCAACATCGTGCATTGGGTCACGACGATATTGGAGGAGCACGGGAACCCGAATATCGTGAACGAGGATTTGGGGGACCCGGCGGTCGGGTATCTGGAGCGCGTTGAGAAGTTCGTGAACCAGGCGAGCAAAAGAGGCACGGAACACAAATGGGGAGGCAAAGACAATATCAAGGAGTTCAAGAGGTTGAAGGAGCAGTTTATGAGCTTGCCGAAGCCAAGAGTTGCCCCTCCGAGTAAGAAACCTCCAAAGACAGCTGCTCTGGGAAGGTAGATGGGACAGATGAAGTTGAAGTTGGCGTTCGCAGATCGACGAGCCACGAAACGCACGGACTGGGTACAAGGGTACCTGACTTGTCTTCACATTCTCGACGGGCGTTTAAGGATTCAACAGACCAACACCACATTTGTTATTACCTGGTATGGATTCAAACAAGCCATGATTCAAGGCTTAGGAGTTAGGAGGCTCAGGTACTTTAGTTTTTTTCGAGGTTTAGGAGGTTACTCTAGTTTTGATATGATACCAAATACATGTACTAGTTATATCGCTACCTACTGTATCTTGTGAACAGACCGTGTGGACCAGAGCATCGTTACATGTATATGAGACCTCTATGATGGAGCGCGGCTCCAATAGATACATGTAGGTAGGTACATGTATGCTAGACGCCTCGGAGCACTCCTGCTTCTGCTTGTGCTTCCATACAGGTACTGCAGATCCGTAGTAGCCTTTCCTTGCTCTCGTGATGCTCTATGGAAAGGCAGTCTGCCATGTATTGTAACTTGTTGGTCGATTATGAAGTTAGAATCGACTTTCTGTCACAAGGCCCTCTCTCTCTCTCTCTCTCTCTCTAAGCTGGTCTGTATGGCGCCTGCAGATCATCTCGGGCATCCACTGCGTGCCTCCAATTATGATCCAAACACCGTAAAGTAGCCATGCCTTTTCGTATTGTGATGATGCACCGTAGCGGCTGCGAAAGAAAAAAAAAACGCATCCTCATCATCACCATCATCAACATCAACCATCACTGGCTACATCACTACTGCACGCCCTGCACGGGAGCAAAAATACTCGCAATAAAAGTCTCCAACCCACCCTCAAACAATTCATTCGCCACGCCCATCCCCTTGGGATGTTCGACAGGCGCCAAAGGAGATTTGACCACATATTCCACATACAACGTAGCCCAAATCTGATGCAAGACGGTTCGCATATTCCCGACGCGCGTATCCGTCAACATGATGAGTTTGAGTTGGGTCGGAGTTTCGAAATAGTGCAGTTTGTACTCTCCTGTGCGATAGGAGAGGAATTGGTCGTCTTGCCCGCCGAGTTGACGCACCATGCGTCGGAGAGAGAAGATTGTGCCGAAAATTAATTTGGCGTCGTCGGCGAGTTTGAGGGCTTTTTTTGCTGAGAGGGGAAGTTCGTTGTTGCTGGTGGTTGTGGTGGTGTTGGTGGTGGTGGAGGGTCGGGAGGGGGGTGTGGTCCAGCGTTTGGTGTAGATGCATTCCGCTGGAAGTTGGAAAGGGGGAGGGAAGAAGAGGTTAGTGAGATGGATCATGGAGAAGAGGGATGGATATAGGTATATATACTGTACTTACTGTGTCGGTCGAAAATGTAGAACGAGTAGACGCTCAGTCCCGCCATGATGATGAAGGTGTCTTTTTGGTGCCTCAGGATGCGGGTAGAGTGGGAGTTGGAACTGCTCGCATGGCGTGTGGGCCAGGAGACGTTGACGATGACTACCTGTGCCTAGGAGGAGGAGGAGGAGGTGGGTGAGGGTGAGGTGGTTACAGTAAATACATGTAATACACAACAAGTACCTGTAAGGTAAGGTATAGACCGTATAGTTAAGTAAGGCTAGTTCATGTTCGGGCATGTTCACATCGGACACGGGACACTGGCAGGCATTGGAGGCACTTGATTGGTGGAGGTGGAGGTGGATCATTATCACGCCGCATTGTGCCCCACTTCCTCCGCCACGTGTGTTGCCGTCCGGCTGTCGTTCCTGCACGCCTTTTACCTCTAGCAGCTGCTTCGGATGAGACAGCAGATCTTGCTCCCATTCGCTTCCAGCACCAGCTTTGTCTGGAGGTCAACCTCCTCCCCTCGCCTCCACCGCACCGCACCGCACCGTATACATTGCAACATTCGACCTGATTCTGTGCGGTCCCGTGGGAGCACTGGCATGTCGTTGACGTTGCTCGCCGGCTATCCTATGTAAAGTAAAATCCACCCCGCCATGGCCGACGATCACGACAATTCTGCCACCTCGCTCGCGAGTCTACAGCCGCCCGACGAGCCCACGGAGAGAGAGACCGCCGCCGGCATTGTCCCCAGTCACGGCATCAGTATCAATTTGCCTACTCCCGCCGGCGAGGGCGAGGGCGAGGACGGTCACCACTTCAGACACCCTGTGCGACATGTGTAGGTCATGATGCTACCATTGCTTGGACTCTGCATTCCTGACTTTTCTTCACACTCATACATCGTGTCTCAGATCCGCACCGGCATATCAGAGTCCCCTGCGACACCACCGCAGGGCCCCGTCCAGATCAAAAGGCGTAAAGGAGACGCTCGATGCACGGTCACACTACGGCAGTAGCGACGACGATGGTGGAGCGGTACATCGCATCAACCAGTATATCATCAAGCAAGAGATTGGCCGGGGGAGCTTCGGAGCAGTACACTTGGCTGTGGACCAATACGGGCACGAATATGTGAGCCTCTCATGAGTCCGCAGCTGTGGGCTCCTGATATCTTGGCTTTCGAGCGTCAAGTCTTTGTGTAATGAGAGACCAGGACTGATCTCGTGGGATATGCAGGCTGTCAAGGAGTTCTCCAAGTCTCGTCTCCGCAAGCGAGCACAATCGAATCTCCTGCGGAAGCCGAATCAGGCTCGGCGGCCAGGTCATCTCTCTGCAGGCGTGGGCTTCAACTCGCCTCTCCATCGGCATACGTCTTCCGATAAGCTGAATGGACCCAACAATTCGCTCGAGCTCATCAAGGAAGAAATTGCCATTATGAAGAAACTGGATCACCACAACCTAGTCTCGTTGATTGAAGTCCTGGACGATCCGCAAGAAGACTCGCTTTACATGATACTCGAAATGTGCAAGAAGGGCGTGGTGATGCACGTTGGCCTGGATGATCGCGCGGAGCCATACGACGAAGACAAGTGCCGTTGCTGGTTCCGTGATATGATTCTGGGCATTGAGTATCTGCACGCTCAGGGCATCATCCATCGGGACATTAAGCCAGACAATTGCCTCATCACTCAAGACGATGTCCTCAAGATTGTTGATTTTGGCGTCAGTGAAATGTTCGAGAAGGAGTCCGAAATGCACACGACCAAGTCAGCAGGGAGCCCAGCGTTCATGCCGCCAGAGTTGTGCGTGGTGAGACATGGTCCCATCAGTGGCAAAGCTGCCGACATCTGGAGCATGGGTGTCACCCTGTACTGTTTGCGGTATGGGCGTATACCATTCGAAAAATCTGGGATGCTGGAACTATACGGGGCGATCAAGAATGATGATTTCGACTTGGAAGACGAAAAGGATGAGAACTTTGCAGATCTCATGCGCAGACTGCTTGAAAAGGACCCTGATAAGCGCATCACAATGGCAGAACTTCGAGTGGGTATTGTCATTGGCGGCGATAATGTAGCAAGCTAATGATTCGATAGGAACATCCTTGGGTGACAAGGAATGGAACCGATCCGATGATGCCAGCTGACGTGAACTGCGCCACGCTGGTGGAGCCCCCCACGGATGCGGAGATGGAGGAAGCCATTACTGGTAATATGGTTCACCTCATGACGGTCATGAAGGCCGTCAAGCGGTTCAAGAAGCTTATATATCGAAAACGTCCTCAGTTCATGGAAGGTCTTTTTGGGCGGGAGTCTCGCCTGTCGGCACCCCCAAGCAATCTCTCCCGGGAAACACAAAGTGCCGACGCATCAGATCGGCGACCAGTGGAGTCCGCATTGGCCACGGAAGGCGTCCACCGGGACATGGACGATCAGATCTTGAAAGGGGCAGATATGCGTAGACTGGAGCTCGAGGAGACATCTACGATGCCTTCATCTACAGATAGTACGGGTGGAACAGAGGGCAGAAGCCTCGCACCAGAGTCGCATCGCCCGTCAATTGCTCAACCGCTTTCCGCTGATGAGGACTCTCTCGCACGGCCATTCCTAAACCACAAATCGAGCACTTTTCCTCTCGACGACCGAGGTAAGGGGCATGCGCATGACCCATTGGAAGACCAAATCTATCTCCGTATTGGTGCTGGTGGCAGTGATGGCAATGACGACGATGATAATTTTTTGGTCTGCGAAAGTCCTGGTGGGACGGACGAGGACATCTACGAAGCCGCATATCAAGAAGAGCTCAATCGCATCATTCAAGACCGCGATAATGCTGGATTGGTTTTGACGCGTCGAGTGGAGCACATAGAACGTCTTCGTCGGCATCCCAATGTTCTGGCATCTTCTCTCAACCATGCGATCGACTTTGCTACCGCGACAGGGAGTAAGGCTCATGCTCGCGCACGCACCAGTCGACTCGCGTCTTTTGCGCGAGACAAGAGAGACCGGGCTCGAGCTAATGTTAATGAGCGCATTGAGCAACGTGCGGCCGATCGCGCGATTGACGATGTGCGCGATAATACGACTCCTGCTTTGATGATCAACGACGAGACGGCCGCATCTCCACTGCCGAGTCCTGTGAACAACTCTATTCCCAGTGGCCTGGCCACTCCGCCTTCGCGATCTCGTACTCCTAACAGCGAACGACGTCTCCGCGATGCTGCCAAGTTCCAAGCTGGACAGACTCTGAAAGGCGTCGCCCGACGACTGAATGAGACTGCGTCCAGATTGGAGGCACGCAGTAGCGGCAGTACCAGTAGCAACGGCAGTGGACCGGTGTCACCCTACCCGGAGACGTGATGCAAGCAGCAGCATTCTGCTACACATAAAGTTACCTGGCTACCTAATTGGCAAAAGACTGTATTGACGTATTGTATAAGACGCATGAGAAGCATGGAGACGAGAGATGGGAATACGTTGGCAGCAGCGCTGGTCGCATGCTGTTGGAGTGTTCTGTTCGTGTTGAGTACATGTGTGCGTTAGCGCGGAGTTTGGGGGGAGCGGAAAGTAATAAGCACATGAAGCATTGTTTTTGATGGAGGAGTAGGAGGTACGTTTATGGCAGCAGCAGCAGCAGCAGCAGCAGAGTAACATGGATAGAAATGTCAAGAGTTTGCCCATGAGCGCCTGTGATGGTGTTTTGAAGCAGATGAATTACAAGACTGTGTGAGTGATGATGACTCGCTCCCTCCTTCCAGCGGCCACCATCTTTGAAAACAGTTCAATACCAGGATGAAGTAGATATGTTACATTTCAGTTATAGAACGTCTATAACTTGGCATGAATTTTATCATCATGGACAATCAAGGCCGAAGCTTGTTGTAAACTGGCAATGGCTTCGGATTCGATTCGAGAGACGAGAGTTTCGCAGGAAGGGATATCGTGAATGAGACCGACGACTTGACCAGCTGTCCAGACCTGTTTTCTCTTGGTTAATATGTGGTAGATGGTAAATTGTAAGAGGAAAGAGAAGAGAGAGACAGAAAAGAAAAAAACATACCCCAAAATCCGGATCTCCATTCACAAACACCTGTCTGCCCCTCGCTCCACTCACCAACGGCCCCACAGCCTTAAACTCCTTTGTCTCCGGATCATTTTCAATCCGATACGCCTCGGAACTAACTTTATTCTTAAACAACCTCGAAGTATTTTTCCATTTCCGCAACACCAATTGCGTATCCGTCTCCTGCGCAGCCACAATCGACTCTTTAATCTTCACATGTATCGGCGCTTCCATCGTACACATGAATCTCGTTCCCATATTAATCCCCGCGGCGCCCAAATTTAACGCCGCTGCCAATCCTTGTCCGTCGCAGAATCCTCCCGACGCAATGAAGGGGATGGTTAGAACTTGACGCGCGCGGTTGAGCAGGATGAGGTTGGTGATGTCTGTTTCGCCGACGTGGCCTGCACATTCGAAACCGTCGATAGAGAGAAAATCTACGCCGAGTTTGACGGCGCTGAGAGCGTGCCGGATTGTGGTGCATTTGTGGAGGATTATGCAGGGGGGAGAGGCTTCTTTGAGCATTTTGATGATGGGCCCGGGGGAATTTCCTGCGGTTTCGACTATGCGGATTCCGGAGTCGAGAATCGCTTGGGCGTAGCCGGCGTAGTCCGGGGGGTTGATGGAGGGGAGCAAGGTGAGATTTACGCCAAAGGGTTTGCTCGTGAGGGTTTTGCAGCGTTGGATTTCGGCGCGGAGAGCGTCCGGGCTGGGTTGTGTGAGGGCTGTGAGGATTCCTAGACCTCCCGCGTTGGAGACGGCGGATGCGAGCTGTGTTTTTTTTCTCTTTTAGTTGACTGTTTCTCATACTCTTTCACTCTCACTAGGTATGGTATGGGTATCTGATGTGTGTACTTCGGGTACTCACTTCGGCGTATCCCACCCATTGCATGCCGCCTTGAACCACTGGCACACGGATGCCCAATTTGCGGGTGAGAGCAGTATTGAAGGGCATGATTGTTGTGTTGGTGGTGGTGATGGTTCTGTCTGTGTGGCTGTAGTATGTAGTTCTAGCAGTGGGAGAGAGACAGTAAGGTAAAGCTCTCTCTCATTCATATGATCAAGTGACACGGCTTCCGCGACGTTCAAAACACTACAGGCCGAGGTCCTTCTTCCAGACCCTGCATCTTCTACACGCTTTCATTGGCTACAGCCCCAGAGTCCGTCGGTAGATGCGGCTATCACAAGCTGAAGTGATTCTTGGCAAAACACAATTCTCGGAAGTTTCTCGGTGAATATATTATATACCTCCTGCATTCGGTTACCTACCTCAAAGGCATTGAAGTCATAAAATACCATTCCATTCCCTCTCTCCAACGAACAAAGCACGCTTCCGGGTATCATCAAACAATGTAGCGCCAATAAAATGCTTCTTCAACGTTTCCGCTCCTCGATCATGTCCCTCACACATTTCCAGAACCCTCCAATCATAAATATCAATTCTCTCCTTCAACCTCCCTCCATTCAAACTCGAAATCAGAGCTAACAACTCCCTCGTCTTGCGTTTCCGTCTGCCCTCCACCAACACAATCTTCCGCATCCCCTCGTACGACTGACTCTCCGATACGACGTGCGTCAAATTCGGCCGAGAGAAGGCATCGCGATCCCAATAGATTAGCTCTGCAATGGGAATCGCATTGTGAGCTCCGAGGAGGTTTTCGGAAATATAAGGTGTGTGTGCGATGCAGGGTGCGAAATATAAGACAGCGTTGTTGAAAGGACATTGGGAGCTGCGCCCACACCTTCCTCGTGAGCGTTCGAGATCCGCTTGTGAGGTTTGCGAATGGTGACAATGAATCAGCGTGGTGGGCTGCAATGGGCCGACAAGCTTGCGGCTGATTTCTGATAGAGCTCGAGAGCCATCTCGAAAGTTTGCCAGATCTAAGGCCATGGTGGCAGCATTAGCTGTATTGGTGATCTCGCCCAAAGGCACGGATGTCGCCCTGTTATTCCGCTCCTGCATGTCCCATTGGCGTAGCTCAGGACATGGTCGTTTCGAGGTCCTGAGAGCAGAAGCACCAGTCTCTACCACAGATGCGACGGGCCCTCTGTTGCGTTTACCGTTCGCGTTGATCAAGCAGATATTTGGCGAGTGCCCGGTAATTGCAGGGCTTGAGATGTTGCTTGGACTGGTGACGAGCGGAGAAGAACGCAGCTCGGAGATTTCTGGCGTGGCAAAGGTCTTTTTCGTTGGCGATATTGTCGATCGAGATGGTGTGGAACGTCTGTCAAGTTCAACCTTTCTTCTGCAGCAGCGTTCCAGTTTGTCGATCCATCTTTGCATTTCTTGCGATTCCGAGTCTACTGCCGCCGCACGCGACGCTCTACCCTTCTTCTGCAGCTCTTGAAATGTCACACAGTCGGTCCAATCACGATCCTCGTGCAATTTCTTCACTCTCGGATGGCGTAGCATTAGATAGTCACAGCTCGAGGGCCTCTCATACCCTGCGCCGAGTACCTCGAAGACCAGTGGCTTGTCGAAGACCACTGATATCTTGGACGAGCGGGTTGCTTCCAAGTCAAAGTTTTGAGGAGGCTCAGACTCCGTCCATGGCGAGGCGCGCAAATTGCCTAGAATGTTGGCAGTCTCAAGAATTGCCTGTGGAATGCAGTGCTGCTGATCGATCGTCCCGACATGTTTGAAGATCGGTCTGGCATCATACTTGCGAACGTCCTCCTTGTTTGTCAGACAGCCCAGGTGGAACGTGGTCCACTTGATGAAAGCTTTGCCACCAGCTGTTGCCGCTTGCTGCGCATTATAACTTGCGCCCACCACAGCAAAATCCTCCTCGTCACCCATGTCAGAGATGTAGTCCTTCTTCAGCTTGATGTAGCTGTGCCTGTAGTCAGCGGGGTGAGCTTCAATGGAAAAGTATGGCACATCACACGGCTTCAAAACAAGACCCTCGCAGCGCTTCGCATTCGACATGGCAAAGTGCTGCAAGAACAAACGCTTGGCTCTCTCTGGTTGAGCAAAGTCCACTTTTGTCCACTCAGCACCCATAGCTCGGCCATGGATTTTCTTATAAGCCACTCGCAGCCAGTCGCGGCGCTCATTGATGGGCTTATTCATGACGACCTCATCATCGAGAAGCAGTAAATCAAAGAACACGATAGCGAGGTGCTCATGAGCTTTCGGCATCGAATCCTGTTCTGTACCAATGAATACGCCAGACCTTGAGACATGCTTTCTGATCTCCTCAAACGGCATGATACAGTCATCCTGGTCGGAGAAGACTACAAGTTCGCCGAGTAGAATAGCTTGCTTCTTGAAATGGCAGTCTGGAGTGCCGAGCCGAAGCGTTTCGACTAGAGTCTTGAGGATCGCCTTTCGATCCCGGGTGGAGTTCTTGCCACTCTTGGAAAAGATTGTGATGCAGTCTATGGGATTGGTAGACTTGGTCAGGTCGACATGGATTTCGCAGTATTCGCCATCATATTTCCTCTCCAACACCCACACTTTCGAGCCCATCATCTTCATGCATGAGTCTATGCCGCGCCCTTTGTGGAAGTGCGGTCTACTAACTTTGGTTCCTACGACAGGACGGATGGTCCGGGCATCTGCAATGGTCTTCCGATGTAAAGCTTCAGACCGCGGGTCAGGCTTCTCGGGATACTGCTTCAGTTCATTCTTCAACAACGTCACAGCAGCTGTGAAATCTCGTTGAAAGCGAAGCAGATCCGGCAGCAAGAAATGAAAGCTCTTCAGGATAATGGTCTCATCACACTGCACAGGCCGGAAGTCCTTGAGGATCAGACGGACGAGCCATTTGCCTTCTTGAGGACTGGTACGACAGAAGACGTTGCTGAGTAGACGATCACGAGTCTCTGACGAACTGGGAGGTAGCCTAGCAATGGAGGGATCGGAAAAACTGGAGCGGCCCGCCAGGGAGTGAAGCATATGGTCGACATGCTCCACTGTCACTGCCGGAGTCGCAGGCGGCCCTCCCGCTGCGTGCACCCTCTCGAAGCACGTCGCCAAATCACCAGCCCCTGGCTGAGTGTAGGCTGCAAGAGAAGTCCTCCGTGCTGTCGACAGACCCAGAGCTCGACCGAGGATCCTGCATAGGCCTGCTGCTTGGAGGCTGTATACACGATCGGTTCTCCAATGTGGCACCAGAGTGGAGAGCAGGGCACATGAGCCGAGGACGTCGAGTTCGTTGATCTGTCTTCGGTGCGAGCTGAACCAGCTGTTCACCAGCTCTTTGTAGCGGTCAGGCTTGGCGGATGGGAGGAGGTTCTCGTGTAGCTCGACAGTTTCCAGGCGATCCAGCAATTGGCAAACTTCTTTGAATGGAAATGACATTGTCTCACATGACGGCCTGTAGTGATGTATAAGTAGTGTGCCGCTGACCTCTTCGTTGTCGTCGCGTGATCATTATAATATCATGAAGAGGAAGCTCTAAAGTGAAGTGAGGGAGACGCGCGTGTCGCGAGCGCGTCGAAAGTGAGGCAGGCAGACCAGGCAGACACCAAGAATGAGACGTGGCCAATCACACTACGCCGCAGTGAGCTCCGACTCAAATGCCCCTCCGAATTCATGGTGGTATGAGCCCGCCCGCATAGAAACAGTCACACTGCCTCCTTCTTCATCCCTCTCTCCTGCTTCCACTCACAAACACCACACACCACTTCCAACTCCGAAGAGGACGACCTCGCACTTCGACACAGCCACGACAACAGGAGCAGCACCGCCATCATGCTGGACATCAATGACTTTATCAAGGATCGAGGTGGAAATCCCGACAAGATCAAGGAGTCACAGCGACGCAGACATGCTCCAGAAGAGGTCGTCGACGAGGTGATTGCACTCTTCGAGGACCACCGAAAGACGCAGTATGCCGCGGGAACGACCATGGGCGCCAAGATCAACGCCGTGCAGAAAGCCATGGGTGCAAACAAAAAGGCCAAGGGTGACCCCGAGGAGTTTAAGAAGCTCGTACAGGAAAAAGACCAATTGAGCAAGGAGAAGGCGGAGCTGGAGAAGCAGGCTGCCGAGAAGCAGAAAGAGTTGTTGAAGAAGGCCAAGAGCATCGGCAACTACGTCCACGACACGGTGCCCGTCTCCGACAACGAGGACAACAACTCGATCATCCGCACATGGGCTCCAGAAGGTGTGGAGGTGACGAAGAAAGACTGCATGTCTCACCACGAGGTCCTCACACGAATCGACGGCTACGACCCCGAGCGTGGTGTCAAGATCGTGGGTCATCGAGGCTACTGTCTGACGGGCTATGGGCTGTTCCTCAACCTGGCCTTGGTCAACTACGGCCTGGAATTCCTCTTCAACAAGGGCTACAAGCCCAACCAGCCCCCATTCTTCATGCTGCGGGAAGCCATGGCCAAGACCGCACAGCTCGAGCAATTCGATGAAGAGTTGTACAAGGTTACGGAAAAGGAGAATGACCCGGCTACAGACAAGTACCTGATCGCGACTTCAGAACAGCCCATCTCTGCCCTGCACGAGGGCGAGTGGCTGAACCCCACCGATCTGCCCATCAAATATGCCGGCTACTCGACGTGTTTCCGCAAAGAAGCCGGATCTCACGGAAAGGATGCATGGGGTATCTTCCGTGTCCACCAGTTCGAGAAGATCGAACAGTTCATCTTCTGCAATCCAGAGGACTCGTGGAAGCACTTTGACGACATGATCAACACTTCCGAAGAGTTCTACAAGTCTCTCAACCTTCCATACCAAGTGGTCGCCATCGTTTCGGGCGCTCTCAACAACGCTGCCGCGAAGAAGTACGATCTCGAGGCATGGTTCCCATTCCAGGGCGAGTACAAGGAACTCGTCTCCTGCTCCAACTGCACAGACTATCAGACTCGTGAACTCGAGGTGCGCTTCGGACAAAAGAAGCAGACCGATGCCAGCTTCCAAAAGTCATATGTACATGCTCTCAACTCCACCCTCTGCGCTACGGAGAGAGCACTCTGCTGTGTGCTGGAGAACTACCAGCGCGAGGATGGTATCGAGGTACCAGAAGTCCTCCGCAAGTACATTCCCGGTCAGCCAGAGTTCTTGCCATACGTCAAGGAGCTTCCCAAGGATTCGACTTCCCTCAAGGCAAAGGGTGTTGCTGAGCAGAAAAAGGGCGGAGGCAAGCCACAAGTCCCGGGTGAGGGCGAAGTGGTCTCACGACCAAAGGCTGTCGCGGAGGAGCAGCGTTCATAGATGCTTCGAGGCTGCATGATACGCTGGTCGCTCGACACAGGGGCTCCGAAATCACAAAGGCACCAGGCAGGCCACTACTGTGTATACGATTCAATTGAAAAAATTATATGAGGAACTCCGAGCATTTGGTATCCCTCCCTCCCTCGAGATGTGAAAGCGGCCCGTCGATTTTGTCAATGCGCAATTGTGCTCCTTCCAATTCAGATATTGAAAATGTTTGCTCTTGGCGCGTTAGCGTGTTTTTTTGATTGTGCGCCCCCAAGCTCGCCCTCGCCCTTGGAATTCAGCCATCAACATTGCTTCAGTCATCAACATTGCTTCAGTCATCAACATCGCGTATCAACACAACGGTGCCGGACAACATGGCAGGCGAATCACACGCACCGGATGAGGGCCGTCAGAACGACCAGCAAGAGACAGTCGCCACGAATCTGCGCACACTGACGCAGCAAGATTTTAGCGGAATCGAGCAGCACAGTGCAGTCTCGATCCAGGAAGCCTCTTCGCCGGCTGCAGAAGAAGAAGAAGAAGACGACGACGACGATGAAGAAGAAGACGCAAGACTCCTCAGCGACTTGTCCCAACGGCTGGATCAAGCGAACGCTCTCGGCGCACGTTGTGAAGCTGTTCTACGGACCGCCCGTGACAAACGTCGCGCCGCAGAGCACTCCGGCTCAAGTATTCGATTGCCATTGCGGTCAGAGGTGGCAGACGAAGATGCGGCGGTACAGCAATCCGCGCAAATATCCACAGCGACATCGTCAGCCCCGTGGGAACAAGCTGCTCAAGGAGAGAACCGACCGTGCATGCCGAGGGATAGCCCAGGCTTGCGCGCGGATACTCTCAACCACCGTCGAGTGGCGCTGAATGAAGCAGTCGCGCGCTGCAAGAATCTCGGAGACCCGGTCGCGAGGGAAATTGAGGAGATCCAAGCAACCAAACGTGAGTCATGACAGCTCATGTACAGCCAAGACTGTCGAAATTGCTAACGCGAATTTCAGGTCTATCGGCCCTGCAGAGCTCGTTGGACCAGTGCACTGCCCTCACAGCTGCGAATGCCAGTCAGATTACTGCTCAGGCTTCACAGAACGCGGCGCGTGATTGCCTGGTGAATGTGATGATGTATATGCTGATAGTCAACGGGTTGACACACTCCGAGGCTTCTCTACGTCTCGAGGACCAAGTCGCTGCTGGGGTGCAGATGGACGAACAAAAGCTCCGCACGATGGCGGCAGAGATTGGACTCACTGCCAAAATGGAGTATATTGACAAGACTTCGGCAACACTAATCCAGAACCTCAATGACCAGGCTATCGATCATGAGCGCCAGATCAAGGTTCTCGGAGACCAGGTCAGAGATCTCAAAGGAGAGATGAGCGAGATGACCAAGCGAATGGAGTCTACTGCACTTGCTCCTCCTCTCTGCCATAAGAAACCAACTACCATGGGACTCCGACCTGCGACGAACAATGGCGACGGTGACAGGACCCAGGCCGCAAAGGTGAACACGGAGCTCAAGGCTCAACGCCCCTCTTGCTCTCACCCCGGCAGTGTGCCCATCAACAGGATGGAGACTCGCCAGATCCAGTTGCCAAATATCGACGGCTGGCAATCGATGCTCAGCGTCGTACCGGGAATTCTTGCGGACAAGGTGCTTCGATCTGTTCGTCACCACGGGGAAGCATATGGCTTCAAGACAACTACGAAAGGTGATCCTTACACGGATTCCACGCTTCGTTTCATGGTTGCGGTCCAGAATCGGCAGAAATGGGAGTCTGGCTTGAAGAAAGGCTCGAAGAACGTCTTGGAGGAGATATTCATTCGGCTAATGTACGCAGTCTTTGCGTGGGAGGCGGAGAAGGGAGCGTGGCGCCATGACTTGCGACGCAGCTTCCGATCGGTCGCGAGAGCGCTGAGCAAGCTTATTACGGCATCATATGGATTCAATGAAACTCGCACAATCGAGTCCTTGGGGCTGTATCGCGACTAGGAGGAGCAAGAACCACTCGAGTCAATTGAGGAGATGGCTGGCGTTACATACAGATGAGGCCAGTGTACAGACAGCTATGCGAAGGACTTGCGGCGAATAGCTTCATCGCTTGTGTGAGCTTGGTCAGGCATGGTCGACGTACCTTAATGGAGATGGCACGATCAGATGTCAGCTGAAAGGTAAAGCCACTACTTCTTGGGGGGTAGGAGGTCGGAAGTGTAGCTAGTAGTTGATGGTGTGTGCCTCAACAGCGTCACTACATTTCCCTCATTCACAACCGTAGGGTCCTTTGCTCAAACCCAATACCAGTCGATTCACATAAGGTAAAATTCACAATTCTTTTTTTCTCCATTTTCATAAATTTCATATATACCATACCCTCATCATCATAAACCTGACTATGTATAAACCTCAATCAAAAAACACACCTCCCTCCAGCCCCCCCGCCACCGCCACCTAGATCTTTCTTCAACACTTGACCCCCTGTCCACTCTCATCCTTACAATCATTACAAAAAATACTCGCCTCAAAAAACTCTCCCTTTTCCTCCTTACTCAGCACCTGAAACGTATACACCAAATCCTTCTGCGGATCATTATTCTGTTCAGCCTGCACTCTCGGATTATTATACTTCAACACATTCACCAGCACGCCACCCTCGGTAATATCCGGATCCCAATGAACATCCAATTCCACGCCTCGTTCTGCCGGAGTGCAGGGTACGACCCAGGAATTATCTTCGTAGGGAACGAGGTCGGTGCCGCTGCAGAAGGAGTCTTTGAGTGCGTCGACGACGAAATCGTTGTTCGTGTCGTCCCAGAGACTTAGGTCTAGTCGGAGGTCGCGGGCTTTGGAGGCGCTGGGTTGGTTGAGGACTGCGATTGCTCCGGCGGCTGTGTTGGCGGTTTTGGCGCCGTAGTGCAGGGTGGCGTTGAAGAGGATGCAGGCTCGGGCCGTCGGGAGGAGGAGGGTGAGGAGGGTGGTGAGGCGGTGGTGCATTTTTGCGGTCTTGATGAGGAGGAGGTCTTTTGTAGGGAGACTTGGGTTGTTTTGATGGCCCTTTGAGGAAGTGGGTAGGTAGTAATAGGCAAGACAGAGAGGTGGCTCTGTGCTATAGGTAGGTAGCGAATGATCTTTTTTCTTCTTCTTCTTTCTTCTTCTTCTTCTACACAAACACAAATGGAATGTCAGATGGTCTTATATACATCACCTATCCCTATCCCTTCCCCCCTCCCAGCCTCACAACCACACGCACCATGTCCATCCGTCCGATCACATCCGGGCTAGTGTCTCTATCCTTCACGAGCATCCATCCAATACCATCCATACAACACGCGTGGTCCATCCTCGACCACTGGAAAAGGAAACAAAAAAAAAACGGGACCGGGTTTGGGAAGCGCCTACCTACCTACCTACCATCCCATGAAAGAGCTCTGAACTGAGTTTTAATTTTCTTTCTTTTTCTTCTCTTATACGAATGAATAAAATCTTGTATAGCGAGGAGAGAAATCAGGTAAGGTAAGGTAAAGGTACCTACAACACCCCGTCGTGTCACATTCCATCTTTCTGGGATCTTCCCCTCTCCCTTCAAATTTTGGAGTAGCGAAACAAAACATGTGTTTGTGTGAAGGGCGGACGGATGAAAGAGTCGTTTTTGAGGTGGAGGCCCGGCCCTCCTCTTGCGCTTGTACTGTAGTGACTCGTGAGCGACTGGGTTCATGCTTAGGCCGTCAGCACGTTTTTTTTCTCTACTGTAACAGCTGTGAATGAGACAGTGGCCCCTTGACCTGCTGACTGCCTGCCAGCTAGCCTGCCAGCCAGTGCCAGCCAGCCTCACGTTTGTCTTTTGGTGGTGGCTTTGCGGATATGGGGGATTTTCCCTGAGTCTTTTTTTTTTGCGTGTGGGAGAATTCTGGAGAATATCTCGTTCTGTCCGCTATGCTCGAGGTTGAAGTAACACGATGACAATCTTTCTGGGCTACCGTCAGTTGTGTACAGTATGTGTGTGTGTACCAATGTCTCAAGTACCTATAGATCGGTAGACAGGTATTCTTCTCCTCCTCCTCCTCCAACAGCCCTCTGCCCTGCAAAAGAAAAAAGACTCTTTTTTAGGCTTCTCCAGGGTAAGCTTACTCGACTGCCAATCGCAATTTGAGACTCTGAGCGAAAAAAGGCAAGGCTGGCCTGGAGGCTGAATCAGGCTCACGTCGGATCTGTGTTTCTCTTTCTACTCTTTCTACTGCTTTCTACTGTGTATTTCTCTGTTTCTCTCTTCTGATTTGGTACATCGCCCCTAGTCAGTCAGTACACAGCTGTTTGACCTGTAGGCTGTTGGTATACGGACACGCCGGAAACGAGTTCAAAAACAAGGTTAAAGTTGAAAGAATGTCAGAATCTTCTTTTTTACTTTCACTTTGTTTTCTTCTAGGATGATTGAAAAAAGGCAATCTTCTTTTTTTTACTTCTTCCCTTCTTCTTCGCCATTGTCACATCAACATGCCTGTTGAAATAGCATCCCATCAAAACATCATATTCCATGCTCCCATCACGAGGTAGAGCATAAGGTAGAAAAAGTATAAATTTTACGAGTCCCTAATCCCTTCTATATTCTTCTAGCATACACCTGGTGTGCGGGCCTTCTATTCGGCGGTGTAGGTATAGGGTTATGCCTGTACTATGTCTCTTATATACCTACAGCAAAGCAGAAGAAGAGAGAAGAACAAGACTCGCAGATTTGCTTGGGCTTGGCAGCGGCATCGTCGATACACCGAGTTACACTTCTCGTGTTGTGAAGCCCCGACACCGTTTATATCTTATACAGCAGTTGCAAGGCTACCTATATACGCTTGGTTTCGACCATTTCAAGCACGCTATAAGTCTCGGACATATTCATTTTATCCGTCAGAGACCTTCAAAATTGAGGAGGTGACATCTTCGTCTTGTTGTTACTAATTGGGTAGTCGGTGACCTGTGCATGATATGGCCTGGAGACCAAGGCATGACCATCTCGACGTAGCAGACATACTGCAAATAATGCTGCCATTAACACAAGAAGCAATGATCATTAGCGCAAGACTCGTTCGAGAAAACCTAGTCATCGTCGACTGAATGGCAAATGAACATTTGAGAAGACGAATGCTTGAATACAGCCCGACAAGTGAGCCGCCATGAAGAACTCAACGGCAACTCAGACGTGGAAGTTCACTGCGGTGATGATGGCTGTTCCTGATGAGAGCCTCGTAACAGTTCTATACCTACCTACCTTGAGAACATCCATCTCTATCTGTCTATCTACCTAAATCATATCAATCTATCTACACCACACCAAACTCTACCAAACTCTTCGCACTCGACAACAAAGCCTCATCAATCGTCCTCGGCTCCCACCCCAACTCCCTCCTCGCCTTCGCAAAAGACCCCGCAAGTTCTTTCCCCAAATCCGGCAAACAGACTCCCACAACAGGATCAAAGTATCCCGCAGCACGCATCACAAAATTCGGCAAAGTTCTCGTAGGAATTTTGCCAGTTTTTTCCTCGGGAAGACCTTGACGCAAAATATCTCCCGAGAGAATCATATTGACGAAATCGCACACACTGTCTTTTGCTGCTTCGAGTTCGTGCGATCGGCCGGAAATGGCAAGATATCGTTGTCCATTTGCAGCAGAACTTTCCATGGCTCGAATGTGCAAGTCGGCGACGTCTCGCGCGTCGACCATTCCCGTGCCGTATTGCGGTACACCGGGCATACCACCGAGCAAAATTGGAACGAGTTTGAGGCTCGAGGCGAAATTTTTGCTCAGCGAAGGTCCATACAAGGCGACGGGGTTGATAGTGGTCATTTCTAAACCTTGACCTGCCTCGCTGTGGATATATTCCCAAGCAGCTTGTTCCTGCAAAGTTTTGGCTCGAGGATATACGTGTAATTTCTCTTTCTGATTCGATAAATCTGTCCAATCTTCTTCGGTAAAGGGCTCGGATTTGCCTCGTTTCATGCCGTGTCCGTGAGCTATTGCAGCTACTGAGCTCGTGAAGACGACTTTTTGTACATGGGCAGCTTTGGCGGCGCGGAGGACGCGGAGGGTGCCAGTTTTTAAGGGTATGAGCAGTTCATCTTCGTGCTTCTCCAGCCCGGTGGCTATCATTCCCGCCGTGTGGAGCACATATTTGGCGCCTGTGCAGGCTTTTGTCCAGTCCTCATCACTGTCGCTGACGAGATCTAGCACCACAAACTCGACACTTGCAATCTGCTCTTCTGTTGCACCTCCATGGCGGTATTTGCCCTTGGCTTCGTCGATGCGAGATGTGGTGCGAACGGTGGTGCGGACAGTGTATCCCTTTTGGAGAAGTTGCAGGACACAGTAGCCGCCCAGATGGCCACTGCCACCAGTCACAAGGACGGTATCTTTGGTGTCGCCTGAATCTGCCATTGCTGTTCTCTCTTGTGGTATCACTATTCCATTGAAGTTACCTATTATGAAGGAGCTTGAGGCAAGTCACACCGCTAGCTTATCCCCGCCAGGAACCGACCCATGCCAGTGACACGGATGGGCCTACATCCGAAAAAGTAAGGTGGTGAGACATGTCGAAGACTTTTGGTGGGAGTAGACAGAGAGGTCGGTGCTAGCTGCTGAGCAGTGCAATGGCAGAGAACAGAGAAGCATGTCTAATGGGTGGAGTGGTACCACGAGGGTCGGGAATATTAAAGGTTACCTAAGGTAGTTGGCTAAAGGTTCATCCACGCGACAACACATACATGTACTTATACTTCACCTCTCGAGACTCTTTCATAACGTACAGCTTCAGGACTTGCGGCTCAGTCTACTGCGTCTCTTCGATTGACCGGGTCTTTTGTTGTGTTTCGTACTTCTACACGATCGCATCCATCAAATGCCATGGATATCTAATTAGGTACAGACCATGCTCTGTTCGCAACGCCAGACGCCATTCGCTAATCCTCAGCAAGTCTCTGTTTCGAGGGCTTCTTTCTTTCTACTTCTCTCTTTCGAGACTCCCATCATATCATCTACAAGTCCTGCTTCTTCCAATCCCCCATACCCACATACTTGAACCAATTGGGTCTGCAATCTTCCTTTTGGAGGAACGGCTCTCCATCGTAAAACTTCCCTGCCTGGCACCCTTTACACTTGGGAGAATTGGGGCAGTTGAAGAATGGAATATGCCTGTATCCGATGTCCTTGAACCAATGCACTCGACTCTGCTCCTCAAACAGTCCCAATGCAATGGAATGGACGGGTGCATCCCCCCAACGTTCGTAGAAGAATCCGCCTGCGCGATCGAGATGTTCGAAATACGCTTCATACGCTTCCGAACGCCAAAAGTTCATGTCGGCGATTTCAAAGTTGCTCCAGAAATGACAGGTCGAGTATCCGTTTGCAATCTGATTGTGTTCCGGTCTCCTTTCCTTATCGGTCAACCATCCCATGGCATTATCTTTGGCGAGATACTTGTTATTCCCTGCCAAAAATTTAATCGTCTCGGGCCAAAGCTGCTCGATACTCTGCGGAGAATCGTAGATGTTGATCGTGAAACCATAGGTCTTGTTGTGGTCTCGCATATATCGGAAGACATCATAATCCACATCGCAGAAGAAATTGACATGTGGTTCCACACGCCAATAGTATTGTACATCTTTGAGCGCGGGGTGTTTGTAGAATAATCCGCTGTTCCATCGACACATTTGATGATAGCTTTTCATACTGGCGTATTGAATGTTCTTCTCTTCCAGTATCTTGGCCGACTCTTTCATCAAGTCTGCATTGATCCACGAGGGGATTTCCCAGTGCTCCTTGGGGATGAGTTCGTAGCGACATTCGGCCTTGGTGTTGGCAGAGGTGGCCTTTTTGAACTCTTCGGTAAAGGGTTCATCGTTGAAGAAGGTCCAGGGATAGTTGAATTTGTGGTTCCACGTGCGTTCGAGCTCTTGCATGCTGCCGACTATTTGGGAGAGTTCGCTGTTGCGGACGAGGGAGAGGATGGTGGCATTGATGCGGTCGCTGTGAGGGTTGTCGGCGTCGTAGTTGTTGCCAGACACGCGATGGAGCGGTTCGGGCGGTTCGTCGGTGGCTGTGTCCTGTATCAGTCCTTGTTGCACATTCTCCCTCCCCTTTTGCTTCTGCTTCTTCTCATACCATCGAGATTGGGGTCGCGGACCATGTCCTCCAGCTTTGCGTGTCCTTCAGGCAGTCTCGCGACGGTGGGATTTCTCATGATCTGAACCAGCAGAAACACGAAGAGCACCATCGTGGCCAGAGCCAGCAGGCGGATGGGTTTAGGGATGGCCATTCTGGTCGGGATGTGTCGAGGAGAATGCGCAGAATGTCGAGATGGCTTGTGACAGGGAATATTGTTGTAGGGGCGTCGTATGAAGACGGACTTGGCTCCGCTCTGCTCTTACCTCCCTGGGATTTATTTTCCCTTTTATGATATGGTATACCGTACACATACACCACGCTGGCACGCGTCGACCTACTTCGTGCCATTCTGACAACTCTGACCACAAACACCCTCACCTTATGGTATACACAATGTCGCTCCCCAGCCATGGCACATGCAGCACTACTAGACAAGCTCACCGACGGCCTTGTCACTGCACTTACGGGCCAGACAGCTAGAGATGCCGGCTATCGCGCATTGAAAAGCCAGGCTGTAAGAGGTCTGCGAGACAAGAGTCATGCCCGGACCAACCAGTTCGCCGTCAAGGCAAGACTGAATGGAATCACGGAGAAGTTGGCTGTGCTAAACCGTGATGACTTGGCAGACGCCTTGCAAGAACGTCTCGAAGAGCTGCCTTCAAGCTCGAAATGGACGCCTGAACTGCTCTCGCTGTTCTTGGACCTCTCGGATTGTCCAGCCTCGAAGACCATTCTGAGCCATGTGGTAGTCCCAGAAGATGATCAGAACACAAGACCTCAGCTGACTTGGGAGGAGATTGTGGCTGATGATCCACTCGATGAACCTGGAGTCTGGGACGATGTTGATCGTGGCTACCACTCGAGTGCTGACAACTCCTCTGATTCCGAGCTCGATTCTGAGCCCACGGTCTCGACGAGTGCTACTTCTGTGCACGAAGACCTCAGCGCGATAGCAAGACTTCACCTCTCCCAACCGGATATGAGCATAACTTCACCTGTCCACGAAACCCTGCAGAACTGGAAGGAAGACTCGGGAACTTGCAGCTTGTCGGAGCTCACGCTCGTACGCGAGATGTTGCTGATGCTACATGGTCTGCCTACGAATCTCTTCTCCCGCGACAGCTCCACTGGCCGAGTGACAATGTCAAGGAGGATGGAACTGGCAACGACGAGCACCACCTCTGTCAACGATGTGGTCACCAGCTGTGTCAAGCTCGCTTCTGCACTAAACTACCTGCGGATGTGGATCAGAAGCTCGCAGAGTCTCCTGTACATGCGTGCTGTTCAGGCCGAGCTACAGAAACTGCTCAAGGTTTTTGATGATGGGCTTGTCGCTATGCAACGGCGCTACATAGAACCGCACCCTAAGACTGTCGTCAGCATTGTTGATGTTGCCACAGAGGCGCACGCTTCAGCAGTTCCGCTCGTACATCTGTCATCAATAGTCCAAGTGGTGGCACTCTCTACAGGTCAGGCTCAACAGCTGGTCATGCTTGACACTTTGTACGACGAAGCTTGCCTCGCGCAAGTGTCAGGAGCTACAGCGTCTTTCTTACCGATTGTCAGGGTCTTCTGTGCTGCACTGCGAGGCTATTTGAGACCAATCGCAGCATGGACTATGTTTGGAAGAACGGAATTCAACAATCATGAGATTTCACTAGTGGTAGTCGTGGAAAAGGACTGTGCCCTGGGCCACATCTGGCGACAGAAGTATGCAGAGAATTGCGCAGTCGATGGCAGCATTCTCGTACCCAATTGCCTTGCCGCGAACACCAGCAAGCTCTTCGCCTTGGGTAAAAGTCGAGCTTTCTTCCGTCTTTTGCAGCCAAGTTCGGATGATGCGTCGACCCTGCAAGATACAGATCTGCCGAACTTCGAATCAATGCAGCATCAGCTGGCTCAACACAGCCTCCTGCTTTTTCCTCAGCTACTAGACGAAGAGTTGCAATCCTGGATCACACGCATCGGAAACGATTGCACTCCACAACTTCTCAACAGTCTTTGGCACGAAAACTACCTGTCTCGGACAATGGCAGCCTTGCCCAACGTGTTCTTCTCGGCAGACGGGGTTTTGTTCCAAGACTTTGCCAGTGCCGTCGAGACACGAGTCATTGCGAAAGGCGAGTCGAAAGCCTGGAACGACCAGTTCATGCTGGCTGAACTCGCACGAAACACGCTTGGTACCTGCGAAGAAGTTGACGCCGATTGCATTCAAATCCATACTCCCACTGGACACACAGCTCCATCAACGACTCGCGCCCTCGACACTTTCAGCCTGGAGTACAAATTTCCCTGGCCCATACAAAACATCACGGGCTGCAGTACTTCGTCAACGCACGCCAAGGTCTTCGCATTCTTGTTGCAAGTTCATTACGCCGGAAGTCTGCTTACGAAGAACTTCTTCTCTCTCCGCTCAGGACCACAACGCTCTGCTCCACATGTATCGTTGAGGCAGAAACTCCTCTGGTTCACAGAAATCATACATTTCTTCATCACCTCCACTGCTAGAACGATACATCAAGAGACGCTTGAACTGATGCTCAACGCCACCGATATTGATGCTATGATTGCGATCTGGCAAGACTATGATCGAAGATTACAGACGAATCTGCTTCTGCCAGCGAATCTTGAACCTGTGCGAGATACAATCACTGGTATTCTGGAGTTGAGTGAGCTCTTGGCAAGAACCACACGAGCGGAAAGTGTTAAAACTCTGTTGAATCAATTCAATGAGAGTTTGAGCATTTTGGTGGCGGCCATTCGAGGACTGAGTCGAGCTGGTGGTGCAGAGATGGCCATGGAGACTCTGGCGGAGAGGTTAGAATGGAGTGGAGTGGGTTGAGATGGTGCTACCTGGGATGGACGTGGAAGTGGATCGGTCGGCTACGACAAGATCGATTCGGTAAGCCGAATCTACCTAGGTATCCACTAGCATTAAGCAACTACCAGGTACCTAACCTGAGGTGGGTATGTATCTTTCATCATCGTACAATTACTGCATGCATGCATGGACGTCACTATCCTATCCTGTCGTATCGTGTAATTTGTCCTCTTGTCATCCGAAAAAAAGGAGTACGAAGACGGGGAAATGTCTCCCCATCTCTCTGTCTCTCTGTCTCTCTCCCAACCCTTGTGGTATCGTTCGCTCTTCATAACAGCAAAAAGAGAAAATAAAAAACGCCAGTGCAGAAATAACAGCTCCGCCATATGGTGAACCGGTCATCAACCCTCCCTTTTGAAAAGTTTTCCATCATCATTCACGATAGGTATACGTACCACCGAATGGTATACCATGTGCCAGATTTTCGTACTCTTCGATAGACATACTAGGTCCGTTCTGAAGACAGCGCAGGAGCAGCAGGAGTAGCAGTAGAAGTAGCAGCAGTAGGAGTGGAGTCCGTCCCGATGAGAGTCGCATCTGCTCCTCCTCCTTCTCCTTCACCATCACCAACACCATCACCAGCAACAGCATTGTCGGTATTCTCTTCCACAGCGATATCAATTCCTGGATCTGGCACCACGAAATCCAACGTCATGAATCCCGTCGTCCGCGGCTGTACGAGTCTGACATCTCTCCCTTCCTTCTCTCGTTCTTGGTTCCATTGATAAATATACCCTTCCATTTCCTTCTCCCCAGACCTCACACCCGTGAATCCCAAATCTTCCCAGAAATATCCCGTCGCGATGCCCAATATCGCGTCGACCCATGCGCGAACCGTATCCGGACTGAAAGCTTGTTCCATTATCTCATTGAGCCGCCCAATGACAATGCGAAACTCGTCGTCTGTGACCAAAGGATCGAGAATCTCTGGATAGAGGTTTGCGTATTGAGGGTACAAGTCTCCCGCGATGAGGTAATCTCGTTTGACGCGTATGACTCTCGTTTCTTGTGCTTCGCGGGTATCGGGCTCGCAATGAGGATTAGGGTGAGGGAAACAAGGATGTTGAGGACCCCATTCAAAGTCGCTTTCATCTTCTCCGCCTTCGCCTTCACCTTCTCCATCTTCGCCTTCTCCTTCGAATGTGCTGCTCGCTTGTCCCTCTGCACGCCGGCGCGAGCTGTGGGTACTACCCGGTCCGCCCGTGACAGCTTGAGGTGCTAGATCTCCATACTGATTACGCTCGCTCTTGGGAATCTTGGGGGTGGGCGGGATGTTTCCTCTACTGTCGGTGGGGAGTCTGTTTTTGCTGCGTATGGACGAGTTGGCTGATATGCCAGATCGGATGGACTTTTGGGATTTCCGCCTGTTGAGGGGGATGGAAGCGCGTCGACTGCTCTTGGAGCTTTTGATGCTGCGCGCGTCGTCTTTGGGCGGTACGGGAGGAGGGATGGATAATGCTGAGGCTGAGGCTGGTACTGCTGCTGCTGGAGGAGGCGGAGAGGCGGCGTCGGAGCGTTGGGCTTCGCTGACGCCAGCGAATTTGTGGAGGGCGTCCATGATTATGATTATACAGTAGCAATTGCGTTGGACAGACGGACGGACGTGTCGGGTTCCAGAGAAGTTGTTCAGGAGGAGATCATAAGGGAAGGGTAGGAGGAGGGAGGTAGGCCAAACAAATGAAGCTTAAGTTGGTTAGTTTCATTAGAATAGAGATCGACGGCAGGGATCGACGCGTTGGTCTAGACTGTCGCATGAATCAAATTCACTCTCACATCAAACACCAATGACGCCACTCTCTCTTGCGTAACTTAACATCCAACATGCAACTTCATCTCTGTCGCCATACCTCTTACCTCCTACCTCCTAGATGGTAGCAGCCTGTTGTCCTGGAACATATGCACTTCACCGCGTAGCAGCCAGGTCAACATGGCTTGGCAGTACCTGGAATACCATGACTAATTTGATGGGCAATATGTCGACAAATCTACGATTGCATATGAGTTGCACTATTCTATATGCACCAACAGGGACGCTCCAAGGCACCCGGCCGTACGACATCTATCCTGGCAGATCCGCCTGCAGGTCCTTTAACAAGTGTTTCCTGCGGGTGGCATCTTGACGTCCTTTCCTGACAGGATAACAAGTGCGACGAAGATAATCACCCGCACCAATTCCGTAAAGCAGCATCCCCACTTCATCAACCAATTTGTCCGGCTCCTACATCCTGGCCGCCAGCGGCATGAGCAGCGGAAGAGACCCAGAGAACCTGATAAGGACGAGGAAGAATCCGGAGCAATCTGCTCTTCCAGTCCCCACATGTCTCTCGCTCCAGCTGTCACGTCTGGTACGAAGCCCAACGCCAGTTCCATATTAGGATCATGATCGATTACCGTGTCCCACCATCCCATGGAGAAATTACGTGGCCGCCGACACCTGGAATGAGATTCGGCTTGCGAGTATTCCGGTGGGTCAACGTATGGTGATGGGGGCGCTCACCGGAACGGGCTTGCACTCTGTATGCTGGCGGCGGAGAATTCATGCGGCGAAGACTGAAGCCTACGATGGCTTTCCAGCTCGTCAGTCCTGCCGCCGCCAGTGAGAGTAGAGGTGGCGTTAGTGCGTCGGACGGCCATTTTGGTCAGTCGAGCACTCTCTCTATCCAGAGTACAGCGCACAGTAGGACGTGGTGTGGCGGCCTCTTCTCGTAGTGTTTCTGCTGCTCATGGGGGATGACTTGCCCGAAGAGATGCTGCTGATGGTATATTGGTGGGCGGAGAGGTGCTGCTGATGAGCGATTGATTGCCCGGATATACTGCTGAAGGTGGGAGATCGGTTGCGGCGCGCTGATGAGAGATAGTTGCCTGGGGAGGTGTGCTGTCAAGAGATTGGTTGGCTGGGGATGTACTGCTGACGGGAAGTTAGTTGACTGGGGATGTGCTGCTGATGGGAGATAGTTTGCCTGAAGAGGTGCTGCTGATGAGAAATGGGTTGCCAGGCGAGCTGCTGCTGATGGGAGATGGGTTGCATGGGAAGGTTCTGGCACCGAGAGCTAGACTTCGCTGAAGTAGAGCATCTGCATCTTGTGATTCGACGTTGCTGTGGGATGCGGGTGTTGGACCGGTATCGCAGTTGAATTGATGGTTACAAGTCACCGGTGAGTCACAATCGATTGATCACACCAGATACCGAGAAGTATGAGAGGATGAGAGGATGCGAGAGAGAGAGAGAGAGAGGGAGAGGGAGAAATGAGAGAGATGAGAGAGCATTTATGGGACCTCCGTACAGGTCAAGGGGTGGCAGGGACAACGAAGTACATGGTAAGGGCGCTCGCTCGCTTGCTGCCTACCTCTGGCATTTCGTACGCTCTTCTGCAGGAGTAGGTCAGGTAAGGTAGGTACCGTAGGAGGTACCTTTCGGCGAAGTACTGACGCGTTACCTTGGTACTGCACGTGGCAACGCAATCTAGTGGTCACAGCAGGTACCTAGGTATGGTAACGGTTTTGTGAATGAATGGGTTCATGGATTCATGGATGTTATACATTGCATCTACTAGCCTGACAGCTCATACTGATTGGAAGCTAAGAACCACATTGTGCTGACTCAATGCTAGGTGCTGATGACAAGTTTGCTGATTGAAAGTCAGGGGCAGTCTGTCCGTCTACATTGTGCTCCTGGAATTCAGGCCCTCATTTGCGCTTCCGCTGCCAACCGGGCCCCATAAAGAGTCCCATAGATTCGAAAGTATCTCCATCTTCCGGGCTGCACTTTCGAATCACAGAGATGAAAACAGCACTGCCCTCTTCTATTCCGGTCTTCTCTCGCCTCCTGTCCTCATCATAACACCCGCACTGCCAATGAAATATGGAGCTACCATCATCAAATCCGCACCGCCATATGAAGCCAAATGCCATGCGATGGTATAAACACATCAAGCGGCATGGCTTCCGCTGCTGCGGTACTCGATTCAATGCCGTCAGAGATGTCCTACAGCATATCTCAGATGCCCACGACAAAACATATCCTCCTACTCTGCGACATGGATTATGTCGCAGGAGAAATTGTGCTGGCTTTCCGGAATGTCGACCTGAACATCCTTCTCCTACTCCTTCTCCACCTCCTTCTCCTGTCACTACATCTGGGCCAATGGAGCACCATCACCACGAACTTTCCAACATCGCCAATCTTCCCCGTCTGTCTCGTCCTCGTCGTGTTCATCGCCCCAATCAGATCGCCTACAACGACGAATCTCCTCCCGATACAGAGAACCCAAGCAAGCCACTGATCGGCCCTTCCCATCATCCCACATTGCCTCTTCCTCCCTTTCATCCTCTCCCTCCTCCTTCTCTCCCCTCGCCGGATAAAACTACCACGCAACCCTCTAAGCAACCGCTGGCGACAGTCGTCACAGTGGACCCTTTTCAGCGTCGAGAGCGACAGCTGCAAAGTCTGTGGAAGAACGTCTGTCATACGTTCAAGCAGCGTGCGAAGAATCCTTGGATTGTGACTTGTGTGATTGTCGCTTTGGTGACTATTGGGCTATTTGTTTGGGGGTTTTGGGCTTTGGCAGAGAGGGAGACGGGGAAGTATTGAGGGAAAGGGGGGATGAGACTGGGGTGGAAATGGGATTTGGCATTGGGGTTAAGGTCGATGCCTACCTTACCTAGGAGGGAGGGAAGGACGTATATCAGGGTGGGTAAGAGTGGGAAATGATAGAGAAAGGGAAGGGGGAATGGAGGGATTATGGGAAGGAGTCGAAGGGATCCTGATCATGATGATGATGATACTTAGAAGATTGTTGGCCGCATTAGACATAGATATAGATATACCTTATGTATACACGTATAGACTACCTCTCTTCTACGTACGTAGGTATTCTCTGGGGGCTAACGCCTCGCCGTCTTCAAGGCATTGCTTCGCCCTTCTACAACTGACTACTCGTCGCTGCTCCTCTCTCTCTCCCTCCCCCACCACCCCTCCCCCCGTTTGAGACTGTCTCATTCCCCCGCTGCTGTCCGCACCGACCTGCTTCCGCCACGGCCGAACATGCCGGTCTCTCCAACAGCAGGTCCCACAAGCTCCTACCTACCATCGCGGCGCGAGTGGCTGTCGCTGCTGGTGCAAATGCTGCGTCCGACTCGAACCTGGGAACGTAGAGCATCGCGCAGTAGCAAAAGAAGCGGCAGCAGAAGAAGAGCAAGGAGTTCGCGGCTGGTAGGGGAATTCAGGTTCGGCTCCGGGAGTCCGCCCCAAGAGCGCGTGGCGGGGTACGCGTCGAATGTACGGATTGAGATTTTCGTTCAGATATGGACTTGGCTGATGCTGCTGCTGCTGCTGCTGCTGCTGTGGATGGTCGGTGGCTGGATCTTTGTTCGGGTCTTTGTGGGTTTCCTCTTCGGCTTCGACTACGAGATCTTTGTCCTCCTCTTCCTTCTTGATTTTGGTGGTCCAGACGTTCCAGTCCCAATCTGGGAAGGTGAAGTCAAAAAGATTGTTGTAGTTGTTGAAGTACGATCCGCCGTAGAATTGGACCACGCATGCGGCTCCGATAAGCGCGCAGGGAACGAGGAGAGATTTCGGCGATGAGAGCGCGTGGAAGTAGGCGATTAAGCCTGGAATTGGTAGGACGACGTTCAAGACGCTAGCCAGAAGAGTTCCAATGTGGCCGAGAAGGATGAATGCGGTAGCGATGACTAGACTACGTGTGAGTGGGGTTGCGCGTGTAGTGGCAAGACGATGGAGTACTGACCAACAAGGACGATGAGGACGGAAATGATGGCGAGAGGCGAGGCGAGCACGGCCACTGCGGCGATGCCGAATCGGTGGTCGTACATCATTATTTGAGGAGATGGGTTTGTGTGCAAGCGATGTCTGAGTGTATAATGAGTCGCGGAGTTCTGGCTTGCTGCAAGTTGCATGGATGAGTCCCGGGAATTCCAGTGTTTGCTTGCTTCAGTTACCATGAGAACGCCATCTCGCCATCTCGCCAGCCCTCCAGTTGCTCCACTTTCTGATCACATCGACAATCTGGACAAGACACGCGATGAACGTACCAGCTCCATCATGCATCTAGCTCCAACCTCTGCGGTCATAATGCTCTTATACCTCGAACAAGAGACTCCTTGGCTGGCATCCTCCTTCCCGACTCTTCTCGTCCTTTGCGTTTCCGTGCAGCCATCATGATTATCTCTCCCACGCTTGTTTGGACCGATACGAGGCATCTTTTAAAATGCCTTATTTCCTGTACAAGAATGTCTTTCTGGTGTTTTGAAGACAGGAGGCATGCTCTGCCTCCGAGCTCCACGCCCAGATCTGCTTGATATCAGGTCCATCTCTGGAGCCAGGAAACTTCGTGGTTATTGCGCGGTATCTTAGCTCTCTGCAGCTTATATGCAACGTGTATACAGAGGCTGTGGCACCCGATTGCTCTCCTCGGATCTGACGACGAAAGTCTAGATGATACGAGCGTTACAGACTGTACGATTTCGGAAAGTCTTTGGCTAGACGGAAGTGATCTGTTCACCTGGCAATGGGCAGCAAAAGCATCTATCGCCATTCGAGAAGCAATCATCCTCCTATTCGCTACAAGGGTCATGCTGCCAACCTGTGCCTTGATACACACAATATTGTCATCTTTTTCGAGCAGACGTCCCTACAGAGCCTTATGCTGCTTTCAGCCTGGGAAGACATGCGTATCTCATTATACGAGTGGCCGTTCTCTAGATCAAAGAGTCATGTTTTTATTAAATTCGCATTATTAGTGCTCGTCAAGTACGATATGATGACACTTAATGTACTTGTCTTATCAGACACGAAGTGAAGCTAATATATTTTGATAGACAGGGGGCAGCAATTCGCTTACTAAGTCGACTACAAAACGTCCATGGCGACGTCATCATTGGCTGTCCTTGACTCCCGTCCTTCCTTCCTCTTTCCTCTCAAGTGACCAGACATCGCGGTAAGTGAATAACAAGTTTTTCCTATCCCAAACCTCCTCCCTTCCACATCCACACACCTCTCCTTCAAATTTTCCACCTATCTGTCCTAGAAATAGGACATACACACGACAATGGCCTTCCGATTCACTCCCGGCCTCTTCAACCACTCCCTTCGCACCCCTCTCATCTTTGGCGGAGCAGCAGCTTTTGGCGCCGCAGGACTCTGCGTAGCACAATCTCGATTCCTCTATCGCCAACCCATTCGCCTCGATTCTAGCCCCGCTTCGATCAGCGCCTCAGACTGGTCCATCAATCAGTATCAGAATGACGCGCAGGTCCCCGTTGTGAGGAATGGGAGGTTCAATGTGAGGAGTGTGAGACAATTGAGTGCGGGGAGTATCATAGGTAAGAAGGGAACAATACCATACGGGCAAGGGATGAATGAAAGAATCGAAAGGGCAATGCTGATGGTTGAGCTATTTGTCAGGTCTGGTCGCGGGACTCGCCGTGTCTACTTTCTCCAAGAGTTTGGTGCTGATCATTGGGCTTTTGATTGCGGGTGTACAGACTGCGGAAAGCTATGGGATACATTTGGTGCCCTACAAGACGATAGGAAGATATGTCAAAGGTGTCGATGTAAGAAGCGCAGTGCAGGATAATGTGGCTTTCAAGCTATCGTTTGGCTTGATGTTTGCTCTCAGTGCGTTTGCTGAGCTGCCACAATGAGGCTGAAGGATGGAATATGTTGCGGGCTGAGACCATGGGTATTGCAGAGGAAAGGTGCTGTCATAGACGCTGTCTTGACTTCACTTCGGCTCAAATTGTCGGAGGAAAAGCCCACCACTTTATTGAAGTTGCCAATGAGGATGACGATCGGACAGACAGACACCAGCTCGGGCGATTGGTCCCAGGATACTCTCAGCACAGCCCGAGAAATCTTAAGTCATGCATAACCATAGTGGCCCTGGAGATAGATACTAGAAGCTGGGCGTTCAGTACCTTCGAAGCAAATCGTGCAACGGGAAGTCTACCCAGACATTCGAAAGGCCACGCCATGCCTCTTCGCCACCAGACCGATAAGTCACTTTCTCTTCTTTTCTGCTCCCCAGTAGCACGGTGGCATATGATCGACATGATCAGCACGTACTAGTGCTAGACTCTCAGACGGACTGCAAGAGACCATTAGCAAGCCGGTGCTAACATCGTGCCCACTTCAATGGAGGAGGGAAGAGGAGGAAGAGGAAGAAGAAGTTAGTGGGAAAATGTGTATGGTCAACTGGAATCGGGATCTTTCACACATACAAACTCTACCTCCCTCTGACAAGACATGAGATTGTCTGACTGGGTAGTTCTCAATACCAGAAGCGTAGCACAAGCCAAATACTCGGAGGTCGAGCCCAAGATCAGCTACTCTATCGACCAGACGAGACCGCTAAGTAAGGTATAGGGTTCTCTCTCTCGAGATCAAACAGATTATGTCTCGACTGATCTGTCTTTCTTTCGGGAGCACAGAAAATATCGCAGGGCGCAGAAAGCAGAGACGGGTTCCCACAGCGTCCACCAGAAAACAGGCGGGATAAAGCCGAGTAGGGGGAAGGTCTTGCTTGGATGGTGTCGGCAAGGCCCATTCCGTTGGTTGCATGTCTGAAGGCTTGTAACTATTCCCGGGCGTCGGCCAATGTGTATTTGCACCGAATCAGGTTGTGCAAGGCCTCCTGCAGTGGCTGCTTGAAGAGGTCTCGTAGCTTCGAGTACCATTGTTCGATTGGCTTGTAACTATACGCAATTTTCGGCTGGGGAGTAGCCAAGGTACTGAATATATCTAGAGTTGATATCCTTCGACCTTCGTACGATTGCTTAGGTTAAGGTCCTAGTTTAGATAAGATTCGACGAATCCTCTCAAGTCAGCTTCTATTAACGTAGCTACCGACTTTATTATCGTTTTCTAGAGGATGTTATTAGCCTTTTCGACTATCCTAACTGGTCGCGACGCCCCCGTTGATCTTGCAGAACTGCCTGGTGTCTTTTGTAATATAGTTTCCTACAGCGTCTACTAGAGAAGACAAGGGGAAGGCAAGGGGGTTAGGAGGATTAGAAGGATTAAGAAGCAGAGACGGGTTCCCACAGCGTCCACCAGAGAACAGGCGGGATGAAGCCAGTAGGGGGGCAATGTCTGTTGTTTCTAAAGCTATCTACTAGTTCTACTATATATATATATATGTATACGTATAGAAGGTTCCTGCCCAGACCGAAACTTTGCTCGATAACACTGTACTCTAGTCTATTTTACTTGATTCTGCGCTTGATAGCGTAGTTGATGCTGCTGAAGGCAGAGTTAGCCTTGATTTTGGTATAGATCTTTTTACTAAGTTACTTAGACAATATACAGCTCGCTTCCCCTATACTCTAGCCTATTTCTTTCGATTTTGCGCCTAATAGCGTAGTCGTAACTACTGTAGGCAGAGTTAGCCTTAGTTTTAGTACAAGTTTTTTACTAGGTCACTTAGACAATACACAGCTCGCTTCCCCTATACTGTAGTCTATTTTACTTGATTCTACGCTTAATAGCGCAGTCAGCGCGGCAGTAAGCAGAGTTGGCCTTGATTTGGCTTAAATTTCACCAAGTCAATCAGGGTACAACGGCTTACAACATATGGCTCACTGAGACTGTGTTTCGGTCCAATTCATCTGTTTTTGCGCCAAATGGCGCAGCCGAAGCTGCTGGCGGCGGAGAGACCAGCTCTCCGCCATGCCTTATGTACAAAAGAAAAAGAAAAAGAAAAAGCAAAAAGAAAACAACGCAACCCCCCTAAAAACGACGCTTTCCGTCCCTGTCACCGCAGTGACCCCCCACCAGCAGGACGAGGCCGCTGAGACCTCTCCTCTCCATCTCCTCCTTCCACTCTTCGAATGCCTCCCACCAGGCGGCATGGAGGGGGCCATCCTTGCCGGAAAAGCCCACCTCCTTGTCGCCCCGGTGGGTGGCCTTCGCCCAGGGCTTGTCCACTATATAGTGGACAATCTTGACTTGGTCTGGGGCCCAAAGCCCCTCATGGCGGTACGCCATGGTCTTGACAGCGTTCCACCCCCATGGAATGCTTGCGAATCGACCTTGGAAGAAGGTGACCAGGAAGTCCTGGTCGGGGAACGAGTACTCGCCAAGCTTGCTCGAGGCGTAGAAGTACTCGTTGATCGATTCCCACAGCATCCATGAGGGGTGGAAGAGGAAGAGGCCACTGTTGAACGAGGAGACAGGCCCCATAGATATGGGACCCTTACGACCTCCTGGTCCAGCAATGATGGTGGCCTTGCTGCCTGATGACGGGTCCTGCAGGCTGAGGACGCAATTCTCCTTGCAGTTCAGGGTGTGCAAGCCAGGAGGGTTGATGATGCCACACTTGCAGTCGTGGACCGCAGCGATGCAGTATTTTGGGAGGTCCTTGGCATATTCGAAGATGTCGTCAATGTTGGTGCCGCAGGTGACGAGCATGTCGGCGTCCAGGTACAGCATGGTGTGGTACCTATCGAAGACCAGCGGTTCAAAGACTTTTAACTTGGTCCAAGTATCTGCAAAACGAGCGTCGGCCAGCTTGATTTCGTGCTTGTCCGGAGGCAAGAGCGGCTGGATGTGGTAGAGCTTCATCTTGTTGCCAGAACAGTTCTGCTGCTCTATGGCCTGGAGTGCGATGAGGGCATCTCTGGAGAGGTTGCTTGTATAGAGCACGATGAATGATTTCTTGCCGCCGTATTTTCGGATGCTGTGGTTCAGAGCGACAACACCTGGCAGATAACTTGCGTCCGTAACGAGGGTGATGTAGGCGACGCTCGTTCGATTCTTATCATGGTCGTCCACAGCCGTGAGGTCTTGCAGACGTCTGTGGCTTTGTCTCAGAGGTTCATCGTCGCTGTAAATGTCATGGTCTGGGACCTTGTTGTCCAGGCTTGGGAACTTGAAATGCTCCAGTTTGATCGACGGGAAGGTGAAGTCGTTGATCCATTCTTTGTAGGTACGTCCAGCTTTGTTAACTGTGCCCTGGCCTGTATCCTTGACAGAAAGCGCAAGATTTAGACGGGCCGGATCTTCAGAACCACCATTGTCTTTTGGGAAGTTTTGCTCTTGAGTGTGAATTTGCTCTTGAGACTGGCTGTCTTCTTGGGCGTGAATGTTCTCATGAATGTAGGCTTGCTCTTGAGAGTTGGTGTCTTCTTGAGCGTGATGGTCCTCTCTAGTGTGGGCCTGCTCTTGAGTTTGGGCTTGCTCTTGAGAGTGGGTGTCTTCTTGAGTGTCGACTTTGTCTCGAGAGTAGACTTGCTCTTGAGAGCGGGTGTCTTCTTGGCCGTGAATGTGCTCTTGAGAGTGAAGGCCCTTATGAGTGTGGGTGTCGTCTTGAGTGTGAACGTACTCAGAAGTGCGGGATTGTTCTTGATTATGGATGTTTTCTTGGGCCTCAATGCCTTCTTGAGCATGAGTCTCTTCTTGAACATCGGCTTTTTCGTGAGCATCCGCCTTTCCCTGGACATCGATCTCGGAGGAGGAATTAATCTCTTCGTGGGTATCAGTCTCTTCGTGGGTATGAGTCTCTCCTCGGACATTGGCATTGTCTTGGACATCAACCTCTTCTTGGACCTCGGCATTTTCTTGGGCATCGATATTTTGATGGGCATCAGCCTCTTCTTGGACATCGGCCTCTTCGTAGATATGAGTCTCTTCGTAGGCATGGGTCTCTTCTTGGACATGAGTCTCTTCTTGGACATCAGTCTCTTCTTGGACATGAGTCTCTTCATGAGCATCAGTCTCTTCCTGGACATTAGTCTCTTCGTGAGCATCAGTCTCTTCATGGACGTAAGTCTCTTCGAGAGCATCAGTGCTTCCTTGAGCATCAGTGCCTTCTTGAGCATCAGTGTCCTTTTGAGATGATTTCTTGTTTGGGTCAACAGGAGGTTTCGAGGAACCGGAATCAGGCTCGTCCTTGCGGGGGAGATACGAGTCAGGACCATTATCCGTGCGCTGGCAGCTGTCTCTGTATGTTTGCAGAACCTCTTCAGACACGTATTCTGGGTCTGTGGGGAAGTGCACCTCGCTGTTTGGGGGTGTGTGAGCTCGGCAGCGCTCCTTGGAGTCGACGAACGGAGGGATGTCATCATAGTAGTATGTGCAACTTGTGACATTGGTAGCTGGGCACAATGGTCAGTCATGGTGACGATACTATTGAGGAGAGACTCATACCGAATGGCCATCTGCTCGAGCTGGATGAAGCGAGGATCTCGTCACCAGCTGCGTCGTCTCTACCGTGCGCGAGGTCTCTGTCCTGCGAGGGGTCTCTACCGTGCGCGAGGTTTCTGTCCTGCGCAAGTTCTCCGTTCTGCGCGAGGGCTCTGGCGCGCGCATTGGCTAGACCATTCGCTGGTCGCATGAGTCAGTAATGACCAGGATACAATGGAGGACAACAATACCAAACAGGAACTCGTGCTCGCTGGCAGAGTCAAGGCTCTCTGCGTCAGCCGCATCGTTTCTTCCGTCCAAGCCGGGCGCAACAGTCGCTGGGCACAAGAGTCAGCTGTGGCCATGATTGTAGTGATGAGGGTTATACCTTCGGACAGCTCGCTGTCACTAGTTGTTGTGCTGACGGTCTGCACCAGAAACATGTTGGGTGTGCTGTTAGAACGCTTCAGCGGCATGGGAGCCTTGAGCGCGGAGCGAGCGCGCTTCTTGGCGGCGAAGCGCTGGGCATTGGTATGGTAATCATTTCTGACGTTCGCGACAGGATACACCGAAGGCACTGTGCGGGCGTGAGTCAGCAATGTACACGGAAGACACAGTCACAGGGCATGGTACCTAGTTCTGGCTGGCTCTGTGTCCACCACGGCATGGCACCGGGCAGGTCGGCGTCGTCGTAGTCTTCATCATCACTGGCGACGTCGTCGTCGCCGTCATCACGCGGGGTGTTCTCCAGCTGGTCGTCCTGCTGGTAGTGCTGCGTGTCGACGGCTGAGCCGTCGTCGCCGGCGGACGCAGGCACGAGGACGTAGCTAGATTCAACGTCAAGACGCAGTTCATCTCCCTTGGCGCTCAAGGCTGCTGGGCTCTGCGACATTGCCATGGTGGTAGTCTGCTGATGGAGTTGTTGGTGGTGGTGATGGTTTGCTGTCGGTGAGATGGTGGTTGCGGTGGATGTGAGTGAGATGTCGAAGGTCAAATCGATGAAGTGGGCGATTTTAAAGGAGAAGGCGGCTGGCGGCACAGTCACGCGTGCCTGTAGCAACAATATTGCGGCTTCTCCCACACCCCTGTCCGCAGAGCACACGTAGCGAACGCGAGGACAGAATTGCCATCAACGAGCACTTGATATGGTGAAGTCTAGACGAGGGAGGTCCCCTGGCACAGAGCAACATGCTACGACCCATCCCACAGTCTGCAGTGTCCATACGCATCCTAGACATCGAGCGCGGATCTTGAGGCCTTGTTGCGTTCATGCATCGTGCGTAGCCAGGCAAGAGCTGGCGCGCTGCTTCAGAGACGCGCGAGCCATAGAGTTCGTGCTAAGTTCCTTAGCTCTGCCAACCGTGACAACATCGTCTTCGTCGAATATTGTTCAGAGCCTCGCCGCAGAGCGTGCTGCAGTAGTTCCATGTGCTTCAACAGTCGTCCTGTAGTGGCAGAGACCAGACAGAGATCCACCCCAGGCTTCATGACCGTGCCGTCAATCGATCGGCGAAGCCCAACAACGACATAGCCATTGTGCTTCACCAACTGACTCTTCAACCAGCCTGACCGCACATCGGAAGATCAACGCTGTGGTTCAGAACCGCACCACCCGTGCAGATCTTGCGCTGACATTATCAAGCCCTAAGGCATGACGAGCTTCACCACCATTGACCTCGAATTCGGCGCAGCAGCACGGCAGGCGTGGCACCCATCCGAAAAGCGTGCCTCCAGCGGCCCAGCGCCAGCACCAGCGCCAGCGCCAGTCGACGGCAGCATAGCTCGTGTGCACGCGATGGCTCGAGTACGGCTTGTACACGTCCGGGTCTTGGCCGCCTTCACTTCGACACTGATGGTAACAGTCTTGGTGCCATTCGTCTACCCGTGGCTGGAGGGGTTCCACTCATCTGGTCCAGAGCCTACGACCTAGCAGCGCGAGCCCTCCAGGGACAGTACAACCACTACGACAGCAAAGGGGCAGACGGCGCGCTGAGATAATGGCAAGGAGTGGCAGAGCTTTGCTGGCCCGGCTGTGTAGCCCCTAGCATGCCGTCGACGAACTCGTGCTCTGCCCGGTGTCGTTTGTCAGCACTTCCGTCGAGACGTACGGCAGCATAAGAGACAGGGCCACTCTAGGGGCGAATAGAAGACAGGGACTATGGACATAGGCAATGGAGGCGGTAGGGATACGTACCTCGTCGAAGGTGGACACTCGAATAGCTTACTCTTCTCTCCTTGTCAGAAGATCGCAGCGGCAGACCCGTGCATAACTTGTAAACAGGACAGCAAGCTCAACCACCGGAACACCAACCTCCTCTCCATTGATCAATCGTCGAACCCGGTGCGGATCCTCGAGCCAGGACCTTCGTTCCGAAAGTAGCCTGAGCATCCAGTATCCAACGCTGCTGACACACAGGGACATCGACAGCGAAGCCACCGAGCTTGCAGACTACCAAACACGGAGCACGTAGCCACACCTAGGACAACCAGAGGATACATGCCCATTGGCACAGGGCGCGCTCAGTACAGGACATGTCGCGCTCAGACAGAAGAAGGCTAGCCTAGGAGGCATGCGCAAAAGCCCAGCTGGACACGGACCAAGGACAATCCTCAGCGCACAACAAGTGGGACCAGACTTTCCTTTGTTCTCCAGCCATCAAATCCCCATACCGGCCGAAGATCTCGAGTCCCTTGTCCTCGGACCACCCCAGCCCAAACACGATCCATATCAGGCGTGTATCGCATTGACCATGTAACAAGGAGAGGAGGAAAGTCAGCCCTGCGATCGAAGACGTTAGGCACATAGAAGAAGTGGGAAGGGACATACATACTGGTGCTACGGCGTGTCAGCGGGGCCGAGTTTGTGCTGGAGCAGCGCAGCGCGCCATGACTGTAATCTTTCATACGTTGAACCGGGTGGTGAGGTCGCAGAGTAAGGGGCCTCAACTGACAGGCGCAGGCGCAGGCGCAGGACATTTCTATCTCGTGACAGCGAAGAGTCAGCGTTTGCTCGACCCTCGGAAGAGTGGGACTTACACGATGCAAATGCGTTGGTAGAAGGACAACGTTTCTGGCTCGAGGCCATGACTGACCATATGTAGGTGAAGCGATGGGATCCGCGCCATCTCTCTTCGCTGCGCAAGTCAGTCTCGGTCAGCTCATACAGCTACTCTCACACATGCTCCCTACTATACATCTCACCCTGAAATCGGAGAGGCCTGGAATATAACTTTCATAAGACTATACAAATTCTGGGAAATGGCAAAGTCTGCTCTGCTACGCCTCGATGGGCTTCCCATTGGTCTTTGAGTGTTCACGTTCGTCGTCACTTATTAGACCTTCCAGCTCGAAATCCTGAGCATCTACAGCTGCTCGATCTCCAGCAATCGGTAGTCCAATCACGCCGTTGGTTCGAGGCCGCTCTACATCGTGAAGCGTGATCGACTTTGTCGCGGCGTTTGGGTCCTTGTATGCTGAGTATAATCTCAGAAGCATGTTGACGTCTAGGAATATGTCAGCAAAAGGCACTGCATAAGGAGTGCAAAGTGAGCGGCAGTACTTACAAAGGAACATCAAGAAGGCGATGCTGTACAGGATGAGGATGTACGACACGTGCGTGACGTTATTGCTGGACAACAAGGCCATCTGCTCTTCTGTTGCGCCCATGAACATGAAGCCAGCTGCAACCAGCAAGAAAGGAGGCAGAAACTGGAAGCTGTTGATCTCGAGATCCACATCACCCCCGTCTGGCCCCACCAGCGTGTTTTTGTCCTTGAGCACGAAAGAAATCTCGATGATTCTGGTAAGTCCAGCGGCCATGAGAGTGTAGCCGAATACTGCATGGACATGGGTACTCAAGGCCAGACTTTGTGGATGTCCAGACATTCCCCAACCTGTCATGAAGATCACTATACCTGGGATGAGATTCCTCTTTGGCCGACCGTGTCTGTCACTTGACAGCCAGATGCCAAGCAGACCTGCGGCCCACCATATGATTCCCATTGAAGTATGTTGCAGATCATTCGCGACCCAAGGACCTCCCCATCGATGCTCTGTGAACGTATTCACGCATCCCCACAGGGCGATGACAGAGCTGTCGAAGAACTCCTGACTCCTCCCTGTCCGTGCGAGGAAAGGCTGGCCATTCAGCAGGAGAAGCAACATCACGATTCCGTAGCCGATGAAGGCGGATCCCATGATGAAATGAGCGAGGCACTGGCCCAGATGGTCTCCCTGGCAGAACCCTTGAGCAGCAATTCCACCAAACAAGAACTGCACCCAAGTGATGACAGGAAGCAGACCTCCCAATATCGCATGCGCTTTGACTAGACCTTTCCGGATCGTGCCCAAGAAGCCTCTTTCGATGTGTAACCTGAGATATATCCCCAACCCCACCTGAACAATCAAGATGAGCATGAGCAAGTTCGCGAACTTGGCATGAGCGTTGGGACCGAATTGTCGCCCTTTGTGGGCATGGCCCAGGAAGTATCCGGGGACTGCGATGGCGGTGGCAGCGACTTGCGTGGGTACATGCCAACGTGACCTGACCATGCCGAGGACCATACCGGTCGGGAAGAGGATGCCCCATGCGAAGGACTGGACGAGAATGTGTGTCCATAAGGTGCCATCGATGGGGGCGGGGGAGATGGCTTCGCCTTCGGGAACCTCGCTGTGGCCTCCGTGAGCGTAGGCGGTGGCGAGAAGGAGGGCGATGGGCAGCAGAGCGGACGGTCTGGTTCGGAAGGTGGCCATGGCTGCAGAGGAAGATGTCGAGGGAATGGTGGCGGACGGTGCGCCGGGCACTCGGGAGGGGGAGAGGTGGTGTGCTCGCGAGACGGAATGGAAGTGCTAGGATTTATAGGTAAGGTAGTCAGTCTCTCAGCGGAGAGTTGAAGAGCAGGTGCAGTGGAGAGCGGTGATCGGAGGATGCAGTGTGAGATGCTCCTGGCCATGTCTATTCGTATCTATCCTATTCATCCGCGAAAGCGGGGACGCTAGTGCTAGCTACCCGGTGCTGACAATGCGCACCAAGCCCGAAAGGGGAGTCCCGCCTTCCCCCCTGCACATCCACAGCCACGCACGCCCGACACGCGTCGACCCCCATAATCGCTGCCTCAGGTACATGTACGTGTAGGCAACACTCCAAGCGAAAATACCTTACGCATACCTCACTGCCCAGTACATAGTCACGTTGCTCGTGCGCGTTGGCCAGCGAAAGGCATCATGTCTTCACAGCAACAGCCCTCACCGCAGCACCCCGGCCTGAGCTCCTCGTTCGTATCATCAGATGCTCCGCTCCCCAGCTCTCCGACGCCGGCGAAGAAATTTATCCCTGCGGAGCCCGAAAGCATCAGCACGATGAACACCGAAGTCGACAAGAACACACCACCAGTGCAAAATGCAGCAAATCCTCGCCTCGCTGCTCTCGCGACGAAACGCGCCAGCTTAGAAGCCAAGCTCGCGGATCTCCAAGCTCAGCGCTTGAGATATATCAACAACGCGACTCTTCCGTCTGGTCTCGCCATTCCTGCAGAGTGGACCGAAGAGCAGCGGGCAAAACAAGCGCTGGCCACTGCCAACGGGGTTCTCAAAGAGCACATCACTCTGCTACACGCCTACAATGAGATCAAAGACATTGGGCTCGGCTTGATGGGTCTAGTTGCCGACCAGCGAGGTGTGAGACAAAAGGTCATCATGGAGGAGTTTGGCATGGGTGACAAGGACTGAGGGTATAAATTGACGACTGCACCAACGCTGATGATGATGATGACTACCACGATCATGTCCACGGTAAGACGACACTCGCGGCTATGAGGATAATGACTTCGACATGACACCCGCGGTTGTGACTTTGGTCACCACCATGGCATGCTACAAGGGCCGCCTGGTCTCAATTGCAGAACATTGGTCTGCCATGATGATGTGATGCAAATGTATTGTGAGGACTCCCGTTTCGGACCTCCACCGAGCACTGCAGCAATTCTGACTGAGGCTTCAGACTCACACGCCAATCGCGGCAGATTGCAGAAGACGTTGCTGCATGGCCATTGCGCATACCCATGTATTACCACATCGACAGATGAAATCTCCTATCTCCCTTTCAACGTGCATGAAAGACATCTTGCATCGTAGCACCGTTAGTCTCAGACTGATCTAGGCCGTGCTCGAGATGACTCCAGGAGATCACGAACATTCGCAAACAGGCAAGTGCACGCTCGATCTCATGCATTGTGTATCTCATTTACAGTGCACAGATGTTTGACAGCTTACCGCAATGCATTTTCCAGCCCCATGGAATTGCCTCCGAGCTCTTTTGTCTTGTTTGTGCTATGGAAAAGCCGATTGCATCCTCTATTTGCCTCTGCAGCTTGTCTCGTTGTCTTAGGCATACACTCCGCCCTGGGCGTGAGGCAGCATAAATACACGTTCTGTCGCGTCCTGCAATATACTGAGCATCGATCATCGACCCATACATTGGAACTTAGATACTCACAGAAATCTTCATTTTCCACTGCTGACCCATACCCACGAATCATCACCAAGGAAGAACAAGCACACAACATCAAGACCTTTTCTTGAACGGCTGCCAGCCATACTTCTCGAGCAACTCGTCCCCTTTGCCAGCGGCCTCTACAAGCAAGCATGGCCCCCAAGAAAGCATCCAGGGACATCAAGGAGCTCTGCATCAGATGTCCTGATCTCGCGAGCGCTGAAGCCTGCCCAGGTGGCAATAAGAAAAAGAAGACTCTCGCCGAATGCGCAGCAGACTCCACGCATGGTGGCTTGTGGCCTGGCTTCTCGAATGATGCTGGTGGCGACATCGCATCTCTGGATGGTGACATGGAGAAGTGCAAGTCCGTGCTGAAGACGGCTCGCGAAATCAGCGACAATGCTGTGGTTGATGCTACAATGGACATTGTTGCTGACAAACCTAGGCAATTCGATTCCGTCTGCAAAAAGAGATCTGCAGCTCAGTTTGCCGATGCCCCATTGAGCAAGCCGATGCTCGAGCGTGCGTACCAGAAGACTGTAAGCTACTCAGTCGCAGCCCTGACTCAACAAGTTGCTTCGACCACCATAACTGCTACAGCCGCACCCAAGGGTGAACAAGGAGCTTCTGCCACGGCGAACGCTATTCCAGTCTCGAACAAGCCCAAGCTGGAGCAACACGCCGAGAGACCTGTTCGCTCTACGCAGCTCTCGTCTCAAGACAAGCTGATTACGAACCACTTTCGGGTCACCTTGACTGCCGACCGAACACTGTATGAATACCAGGTTACAGGCCTGCTTGATCCCGCGATTAAGCCACCTCTCTCGACACCAAAGAAGAAGACTTTGATTCGACGTATGATTGAGAACAGTCCAGAGCTTTCCCCATACTCTGACTCCTTTGCTTTCAACGGTGAGGGAAAGATCATCGCATGGACGAAGTTGCACAAGGGCTTGCCTGAAGGCGCATCATTACTCAGCAAGCCGGTGGATGATTTCGACCGGAGCAGCAATGGAGTGCCATCGCGCAAGATCACGCTCGTTATCAACTTCACTCGCAAATTCGACTTCAGCGGTCTTAAAAGCTTTGTCACAGGCTCCAATCCTGACTACGAAGAGGTCGGCGCAGGGCAAGCACTTGATATCTTGCTCGGCCACAACGTTGCCAAGACTCAGTCAGGCAGCACATTCCAAGTCTCCAACAACAAGTTCTTCACAACAGAAAAAGAGGACGAGTTGAGCCGCAATTACGGCTTGATCGTGCTCAGAGGCTTCTCCAGTCATGTCACTCCTGCAAACGGCTCTGTGACCTTGAATGTCAACACTGCTTTCTCTGCCTTTTACAAGCAGCAGTCTGTGCACAGATACATGGAAGACTTTGGTCCTTTCTTCAATGTGAATCGCAAAGCTCGTGAGCATCTCCTACATTTACGTGTCCGCATCATGTACGACCGCACCAAGCCTGGTGAGACCGACCATGCCAAAGATACCGAAGCACGCCGGACGAAAACCATCACGGGATTCTCCCGTCGCAGTGCCGCAGAGACCATGTTTACAGACCGCAATAACAAGCTGATCTCAGTCTGGGACCACTTCAGAAAGGAGTATCCACGTGCACAGAGCATTGCGCGTGACAAGCTCTGCGTCAATACAGGCGATGTTGCCGCTGGGCAGGAGTGTTGGTTTGTAGCCGATCAGCTCGAGGTGCTTCCTGGTCAGCTCTACCGCAGCCTCCTCGAGAAGATCGACGACGATGGTGAAATGGCTGCAGCAATGATTGGCTTCGCGTGCTGCACACCTGAGACGAATCGGAATGCCATCATGAATGCTGGTCTTCTCGCCTTGGGACTGGGCAACGGCACTCCAGCGATCTTAAGCAGTGCTGGTATCAAGGTCGCGTCGCAAATGATGACTATTCCATTTCGACAAATTCCGGCTCCCAAGATTAGCTTCGCGAAGAAGCAGTCAGCCTTGATTTTAAAAGGGGAATGGTCTACAAAAGGTCTACAATTCCTTAGTACATCTGCGCAAATCGATGGTAACGTCATCTTCCTGTCGGCGATGAGCGATCCGCTCAGGACCAACGCTCAGATGGAAATCGACTGCATCGAGGCATTCAAGAAGTGGTATAATCTCAACGGCATCAAGTTGAAGCCAAACTCTGTCATATTGAACCAATTCGATCGTATTCAAGGTGTGTCGGTTGATGCAGTCGTCGAGAAGATTCAACGAGCAGGTCTTGCTGTGCTGATGCTGCCGAACGATAACGCGGAGAACCGGATGCTCTACGCAGCTTTTAGAGCAGCAACAGATCAGGTCAAGGGGACTCCTTCGCTTGTATTCCGTGAAAAGGTCATGCAGGATATGGTCAACAAAGGCAACAAAGGCCTCAACCGCAAGTCTGCCGTCGAGAGCCTATTGCCGTACATTGCCAACAACGCCATGAAGCTCAATACACGGCTGGGCAACGAGAACCACATGGTCGAAGGACCCTTTGGCTTTCTCAAGCAGAATACTTTGATTATGGGCGCTGACCTCGTCCACCCCAAGCCATCCAACCCCACCGACGTCCCCAGCATAGCATCTCTGGTGGGCAGCATCGACAGTCGCTACGCCACGTTCTTGGGATCCTCTCGCCGCACTCGGCATCGCGAAGAGATCATAACCAAGCACATCATGAAATCCATGGCCGTCGAGCGCATCACCGCGTGGAGAGACAGGAACGACAAGATGCTTCCCACCAACATCATCTACTACCGCGATGGCACGGGCCACACTCAGTACAGCGACATCCGCGAGCAGGAGGTCCTCGCGATCCGCGAAGCGTGGAGACAAGTTCAGCTCGACTCGAACACCAAACTCAGCGCCAAGAACCTCAAACTCAAACTCACGGCTGTCGTCGTCGTCAAACGCCACACCACGCGCTTCTACCCCACCGAACCGAACAACACAAAACTCGCTCTCAAAGAAAACTGCCTCCCGGGCACCGTCGTCGAAAGCGACATCACCTCCCCGTACTACTTCGACTTCTTTCTCCAATCGCACGCGGTCGAAAAAGGCTCGGCCAAACCCACACACTACTTCGTCCTCGAAAACGAAATGAAATTCGATCAGGATAGTTTGCAAAACGTCACCAACGGCTTGTGCTACAATATCTCGCATTCCACGGGTCCTGTGTCGTATGCTTCGCCCGCATACTTGGCAGATCGCCTCTGTGAGCGCGTGAGTTTGTATTTGCATCGTTGGTATCGGAATGATGCGGATGTGAAGGACTTGCACAAGGACAAGCGAAAGCAGGGCATGGATGCGGATTGGGGTAGAGGAAAACAGACGGAGAATCCGTGGAGTTTGACATTTCAGTCGAAGATGTTTTGGATGTGAGAGGGAGGAGATGAGGAGGAGGGGGAGAGGAAGAGAGGAAGAGGAGCGAGAGAGAGAAATGAAAGAAAGCAACTAGGGTGGATCATCTCGTGTAGGTACGTATTTCTCTTGTTTTATTTTCTGCTAAAGACCACGAAGAAGAAGCTTCATGTAATATCACACAAATCTGAACGACCTCAATTTTTCAACTCTTATCCCAAACAGCTCGAATATACATATCACATATAACATACCAGAAAATTCTCCTCGGCGTTGATGAGGAAATATGAAATCATCACATAGTAAGGTAGGTACCTTACCTTCCATACCTTCTATACCTTCTATACCTTACCTTAGTACAAAAACTTACTACTAGTTGAACTTACCTACCTTAGCTATCTTATCGATCTTATGCCTCCTAGAGGTACCTTACTTACTATACAATATTTCTACCTTAGATTCTACACGCTACCTAGGAGGTAGGTGCCTAGTACCTAGCTCAAAGAGTGGACACCTACCTACAACCTGGACCCATCTACATATACCTACCTAGGTATCTTATAGAATCAAATATTTGATTAGATACTCACTCTCGCACGCTAAAGGGAGGATCCGTATTGAACTAGGAGGTAGGGAAATCCTTTCTACCTTACCTCCGTAGGCCTATTGATGATTGCCACCCCGCCCCTCCAAATTGTGGCGTGCAAGTCTGCTGTCTGCTATCATCAAGACTCAAGAGAGAAGAAATTCATGTCAATCATCACGTACCTCCTCTAGGGCCCGAGTAGAGTTGCCATACCGTGCCAAGGAAGAAAAAATTGCTTTGCGCATAATGAAAGAACAAACGAGAACAGGTGAGAAACAGCACAGGCGATTTCCATAGGAAAAGTCTATCAATCAGGCCACTAGCCAAAGCACATAAATGCTCGTCGTCTTACACCCATAATCATATTCGACTATACTCAATTCTCAACAAACCTGACATGCCTGCTGTTGCTATCGCGAAGCTTGCATCGTGATTTCATAAAATCTCGCAGAACATCCGAAGTGATGTCATCCTCCTCGTGCGCAAGTATGCCCCTGCACAGCCAGACCCGCGCGGGCGCAGTGTGTCCCTTACCAGCAGAGGCAGTAATGCTGTCCGCGTAGTTCCATCACTGATTGTCCACATCTACTGCGCCTTAGCAGCGTTGACCTTGGCCTTGAGCGTCGCGGATGGGTCGTCGTTAAAGTAGCGCGCAAAGAGTGGCTGGAGGAGCGATCGGAAGACGACTTGGGCGCCACTGCAGGACCACTACGTTAGCACGTCGTACGTTGGAATGCTTCGTCATGAATATCCGTCCCAGTCATGACAGAACACAGCGCAGGGTGAGCAGAGATACATACCCAGTCTGGGGAAGAGCCATCCAGAGAACCAGGATGAACTTGAAGGTGTAGTAGAATGGGAACCAGTAGACCGCGTTGATGGCAGACTCAATCACCGTCAAGAAGGCGTAGACCACCCAGTACTATGACATGCCCGTCAGTGTCGTGTCCTGCAGGTTCCATTCTTTTGTCTTTCTCCCGTGTACATACTGTGAGCCATTGGCTATCATCGGCCTTGCCACTGGTGAAGAGGGCGCCGAGAGAGTAGTAGGCTGGGATGGCAAAGCCGGCAGTGTTGACCAGGAACTCGCCGGCAATGTTAAAGAAGACGAGGAAGAAGTACAGGGCGCCGAGGCCGAGTGCGACGTAGACCTTGGGGACGCTGGTCTGCTGCTCGAAGTTGTTGAGGACGGGGTATTTGCTGAGCTGGTGGGGCCGTCAGTATGTGCGCGATACACGTGCATACCTGATCTCAGCGCATCGGTAGGATGGCAGAAAAACGTACCTCCTTGTCGAGCGCGGAGAGATGGTACTGGGCGCTGCGAGGGTTATCAGCGTGGTGCTCAGCAAAGTTGACAGCTATCTCGAGTAGAACGGGCTCCACCCAGGCTCGGACTGCGACAATGGATTGCCCTCGCGCTCAACATGGCAACGTGCAGGGAAGACGACGACGGCTTGTACAGCTCGTCTCTTGCCAGACCCCGATGATGCCGCCATATTCGAACGTGAGGGTCCCGTGTGTACAGACCCGGGGGAAGCCTGCAGGGCGTGGTAGAGGGAGCTGCGGAGAGTGCGGCGTTGCGGGCGCGCAGCACCAAGATTGGAGGGACGCACCGTTCCTGGACGCTTCCTGCCTGAGACATGGTGATGTTGGCGAGATGAGCGCGGATGTGTGTGTTTGATGGTGAGGTGTGAGAGTGTGAGGGTGGATGTGTAGGTTGTCCAAGTATGTGGAAGAGAGAGAGGGAGAGAGACAGAGAGAGTAGAGTAGAGTGGATGGAAATAATCAAGAAGGTCAGGTAAGGTAGGGTAAGGTAAGATAGGTAAGGTCAGGTAGGGTAGTCCAGGTATTGGGTACTTTCTAGTGGGAACAGTTTCCAAGTTTGAGACCTTCCACCACCTTTCCACGCTTTCCACACTACGGATCTAATATGTCACAGCCCTCTCTCTCTGCGGCCTCTGGTGCCTCTCGATGACCGAATAACAATGACTCTGCATCCTCATTTCACCACATGAAACTGTGCACATACGTAGGTATATCTAAGCTAGATGTAGATGCACATGCAAACAGTGCACCATCTGCTCCGATCAGATCCACCACAATCGGAATCTGAATCGGATCTGTTCTGGTAGAATAATACCTTACCTACTGTAGGTAGGTACCTAGGATTGATTGTATGGATTGCGTGTATTCCGTGTTCGAGCAGACCTGGAACTAGCACTGCGATAGACTTCCAGCTCAGCCCAGTGAGTGCGGGAGCTGCCGCCTGTCGTCCCGTCGTCCAGTCGTCCACTTGATGTAAACACACACCACAACATTGCCCGAAAAGGCCCATACCCGTTGACCTGTCGTCCACCTACTCCCTCACCCACTGCCCACCGCCCACCGCCCGCCACCACCCTCTTCCACCGCCCATTGGACAACACCGCCTGCTCTCCCGCGACCCCGAGAAGTCGCCACACGCCCATCGACCATTGCGACGTGCACCCAACCACGCATCACCCGTGGGGAAAAGCGAGCCCTCTCCTCCGCCTCACACCCAGCACGCACCCACGCATTCCACAATCTATGTCGACGAACACCATACCTATTACCACCTCCACACTACCATTGTCGCCGCTGTCGAGCCCTTCGCACATGCGATAGAGCAGCAGCGTCGAGTCGAGTTCCCGAGCTGTTGTTGACCCGCCACAAACAATAACAGGAATCCTATCCCGTTGGATCATAACATCATAACAAATAAACAACACAACACAACCTCCATTCTACCGCCCAATGTCGGCGCAAAACAGCCAGCGGCCCGACTCGCGGGCATCGACCACGAGCGCAACGTCACAGCGAAACGACTCTCTACCGCCGGCGGCGCACGATGCAAAGTCTTCGTACATGGCCCACGGGCCCGAAGCTGCACTCCTCCAGTACCAGGCCAGCATGGTGCCGCAACCAATGCAACAACAATACGAGCCCGTGCAACATCCACTCGCAACATATCAACATGCTCAGAATATGCAGCACGGGATGCAAACCGCTTATGCCACCACCCACGACTCTACATATCTGCCGCAAGACGTGTCATATGCGCAACACGTCCGAGTAGGATCCGTACCTGTCAACCCAGGCCTGGATGTGCATGATGACAAGCGTCGAAAAGGCTCGGCAGTGACCGCCACGAACGACAAGGAACTGCGGGAGATGCTCGCGAAGAATGAAGGACGCCCTCTTCGCGAAGTAGCTGTGGAAGTCATCCAGAAAGAGCGCACGCCCATGGCCGAGAAGACAAAACAGCTCTTCGCAATGTTATGGTGAGATCATCCATTGTTTGTCAGAAGAACGAAGACGATGGCTTGCTAACAGTACCTTCCAGGCTTCGCACCGTATGCAAACCTGCAAAGACATCTGTGCCCAGGAATCGCGTATACTCCCAGTATGCAACGCGATGCGGCACAGAACGAGTTGTTCCTCTCAACCCTGCCTCCTTTGGCAAGCTGGTCCGTGTTATCTTCCCGGGCATTCAGACGCGAAGGTTGGGAGTGAGAGGCGAGAGCAAGTATCACTACGTGGATCTGGCCTTGGAAGATGAGCAGGCCAGTGCACCACCCACGTGGCAAGGTGCGATACAACAGACGGGAAGCCGACATCGATCACACTCTGCCAGTACACAACACATTGACTTCAACAACATTCCTCGATTACAGGCCGACACCTCCGCATTCCCTCCCTCAGATGCCCACTTCGATGTGCACGCGACCCTTCCACCGGCACCGCGAGGGCCAGCATCGAAAGGCCAATCCTTCCTCTATCCTGAAGCTCGCGGACTGGAGCCAGGGACTGCCACCGCCCTATCATATACCCATACGCTTCGGTTTCCCCCGAGCAACCTGCCCAGCTTCACAGAGAATGAGCCTGTCAGCCTGCCCGCAATCCAACCATACCTGCCCCCGCGGACTGATATAGACACGGCGGAAGCGCTGGTCGCACTGTACCGCACACACTGCACGTCTCTCATCGACAGCATACGCTTCTGCAAAGAAAAACAATTCTTCCGACTGTACACCTCATTTCACGGCACGCTCACCGTGCCTGTACAAAAGCTGTTCACGCATCCCAGCCTGGCTCCTTGGATCGAGCAATGTGATTTGGTCATGTATAGAACGATGGTGCGCTTCGTGGCACGACTGACCTTGCAAGCGGCACCGGTGGTCGTCATCAACATTTTAAACAACATTTCGTCGACACTACATGCCCACATTGCCAAAACATTTGGTGCACAGCCAGGACATGTACTGGATGCGAAGCTCAGGCCGGCCACTATCTTTGCTGGGCTGCTATACCGCCTGATCAGGGTGAACCAGTCGGCACATGCCGCTGCAAACTTGCTGACCATCGACCAGAACCGAGAGCAGATGTGGCAAGAGTGGAATAGCATGGTGAACGTGAAGCGCGTGATGGAAGCCGAATTGCCCGATTGCGGTTACGAAGAGACGTATAAGATCTTGACGACGGAGATGCGCAGCTTACTCGAACCCCTGCAAGCTCCCGGTTTCCAGGACGACGCGTCTTTCTACAGCTTCGATGCAGGTGAAGGCGGCTTCGCGCATTTTCTGCAGAGCCAGACTGCCCCACCATCGCGCAACGGACCCAATCAGATATCCGCGGAAAATGTATTGGAGCGATGGTCGACATTCGTGTCTTCACTGCCCACGCGGTTCCCACACGCGCCCGCCCGGACAATACTACACTGCATCACCGCAGTCGGCACAGCAGCCATTCGAGACATTACCATCGTAGGCGGCGTGTCATACAGTCATTGGTGGGTATTGAAGATGTTCGTGGACGAAATGGCATTATGGAATGCAGAAATGGGAGGCTTCCTGGAGATTCAGGGTAATCACATGCCTGCGAATGGCAACAGCATGTATCAATCACCAATCCTGGAAAGCGGGATCGAGCGAAGCCACAGTGGGAGTCGGATGAGCAGCATGGGCCCCGCTGTCAACACCAATGGCCACGACCACTCACAACAGTCGCTGTTCATGCCTGATCAACAACAGCACCAGCAACAGCAACCGTTTGTACCACAACCGCATGCTCAGGCGCATGGGAACCTCGCTTTCCAGCGAACCAAGGTTGGGCATCGACTGTCGCAAGAGACTGATCTGGACGACAGCGGAATTGGCATGCTTACAGATGACGAATTGTCCAAGCTTGGCATGCCTGGGCTTGTGCCTTGAAAGAGAGAGAAAGAGGGAGAGAGGGAATGATGAGTACAATTCAACCACGCCTCTGTTTGGATAAGGCGGTGATGACTTTATGCAGCAAGAAGGATGTTTTTTGTTTTCTGATTGATTGATTGATTGAAGAACCGAATCGGTACAACGGGACCATGAAATGAAGCGAAACCCGAACCCCCCTCGAATGTTTTGTTCTTTCCTTTTTTTCTCACTTTCACACTCTCCCACTCACAAACACACACACAGAGAGAGAGGAGAGGAGAGACGTCTGCGCAATAGCACTAATAGCGAATGAGGGAGCCGCCATTCAAGGTGGGGTGGGGTGGGGGGAAAGGAATACATACACACACGCATGGCAATGGATGGATGCGCTGCGCTGCGCTGCAATGGATGCGCTGCAATGCAATGCAATGGAAATGGGTCGGGATTTTGCTGTTGTTGTTTCTTCTTGTTTCTTGTTGTTTAAAGAGCGCGCGCGCGCCTGATCGGTGCTGCTGCTGCTGCTATTGCTGGCTGCTAGCTGTCCAAGTTCACAATTCGAATGCAATGCAATGCAATGGAATTGAAGTGAATTGAGGCGAATTGAATTTGATCAAAACTTTTTTTTTTCATCTCCTCGTGAGTTCTCTCCTGATGTTCTGAGATTTACTTATCTCTACCTTACCTTTTTGATCGATCAATGAATCGATGAATGAATCAACTAATATCAGGTCTCGTGTAATAAGAGAAAAAGACATCAAACATCACCCGCTGCATTAAAATCTTACCCATCGGGTAGGAAACAAGTAGATGGTCAAGGAAGATGTAGAAGCTTTTAGAAGCAATCCATTCGCGGGACCTGGTCTACAGCAGGTTACATGGCAAGTGTGCAGCCACCTATTGAACAAGGCCCTTAGATACAGATGTGTAAAAAGAAGTGGGGCAGACGCCCTTCCTCCCGCCGGGAATGTTTCATGAACCCTTTCAGCATCGTCGCGAACGTGCTGTTCCTACCAAAACGCCTTGCTCGTGATTCACATAACAAAATCTTCTTTCGGATCATCCCTGCTTTTTTCTGCCTTGCGCATTCTGCCTTGACCGTTGCGACCAATCTAATTACCCATTCGGGCTTTGCGAGTAATTGCTATCTGAACCACTGGGCCAGGGAATGTCTCTATAATCTTTGGGATTCGTGTTCATCGGAGGTAGACGAACAGGTTGCTGCTGATGCGATGATGTCCCATCTCCTGCGCTCGTTGACCCATTTACTGTTGCATTCGAAAGGCCCGAAGGCGGTCGTATAGCAAAGGGCGGAAGGGTCTGGCTGACGCTTGAGCCCAACATCGACGTCGGCCGTGAGTAGTTGCTCCAGTTGTTGGTGGTGGGGAAGGATGGACTCGAACTGTTGCCTGCTCGAAATGGAGATCCCGACCGGCTTCCATAGTCACGGTTCAGGTAGTGGTTCGCACCTAACTGGGTCGACGTCGTGCTGCTCCTGCCGTGGTTGCTAGCTGGTCTTGCCGCGTTGACTGACGCCCTGTAGGGGTCAGTTGAGTTGCTTTGGCCACCAGAGTACGACGTGTAACGGGGATCAGGGAGGGAATTTGGTGAAAAGTAGGATTGGGATGTGATGGAATTAAGGCCTGGATGCGTACTCGTATTCGTGGTTTGCCTCTTGGCCGGTCGAGGAGGTTCGTCGTCTTCCTCATCAGACAATGTCAGATCTATGACAGAGCTTGCGGCACGTTTCGCTCCGGGCTGTGCGGAGGACGTGGATGGAGCTGCAGAGGGCCCACGAGAAGACAGTGGCGGCGTCATGGCATAACCTGCGCCTGACACAGGAGCTGCTAAGAAGTTGGGAGTGCTGGCGGTCGGCAGCGAGCCGCCGTTAGTAGGTTTCGACTTGGCCGTAGAGTGAGATGCCACTTCCACCAGGTCGTCGTCGGAATCGTCAAAGTCGTTGTCATACTTTGCTCGATTATCTCGACTGGACTGAGCAGCATTTTGCGACTCTTCTTCATTGACGATGTGCCACTGCCCATCAGGCTCGAGAGTGACCTTTTCGATAGACGACGAAGTTTGTTGCAAGATTTCTTCAAAGTACTTGTCAATGCAGAGTGACTGGTACGAGATTTGCTTGTTGCATGTGGGACAGAGCCATTGCGGTGCTTGTTCCTGCATCTGCAGGAACATGCCACCATCGAAGCATTGTCTGTGGGTGCAGACAGTAGACCGAACCGGCAAGGTGATGCGGAGTATCGATACTGGATCTTTCAAGGACATTATCTCTGAGGACAGCACGATGTCTGGATCATCGTTCGCTCTGCTAATCTCCCGTATTGCTTGCTCCTTGGAGATGACACCGCCACCGTGGCGACCTTCCTTGATGCGCTGGGTGAGCGTGGCAGAAGAGATGTAGCGGGCCATGTACACGCTGACTTGGAAGCGCTCCTTTGTGAGTGCATACGTGATTCGTAGCTGGTTCTGGTAGCCTGCGTTCTTCCGCACTTTGTCGGTGATGTCGGCGGGTTTGGTGGTACCAGGCTTGTTCTTCAAGCCCTTGAAGTTCGCCTTGACATCATCATTGTTGAGCTTCACTTCCAGCTGATTGGGAAACTCGACGTCGATCTGGGCGTAGGGATTGGCGCCTTTTCCGCAGTACAGCAGGAGTTTCAAGCTGGGGTCACTTTTGATTCGAGCGGACTGGTCTGGTGTGAGAGTAACAACAGCGCTAACAGTATGTCGATTCTGTGGCATTTCTGGTGGAGAATCTGTGTAAGTCACCTATCGTAAGTGCGCTCGATGAGAGACGTGTTGGTGATGAAGAGAAGGATATTTACCGGGAAGATCGAGCATTGGAAACACCACTTCGTGTTCTTCGTAGAATGGACTCGATTTGAACCCTATTGCAATGTCAGCTCAGGATGCCGACGGCACCTGGGAGGCCAGTTGCGACTTACACATTCGGCCCGCAGCTGCTGAGGAGTTGCCATTGCGTCCAGCGGACGCCGGCGCGCGACCGGGTAGCATGGTTGCAGGCGAGGCAGAGCCTGAAGGGCCGTGGAAGGTGCCGAAGCCGTTGGCGGAACTCTGAGGCGACTGTGTTTGTGCTGGCGCGGGTTTGCCGTGGTTGTTAACCCGATAGTTGAAATCGCGAAAAGCAGCTACATCACCTTCGGACACAATTTTGTCCAGAACTGCAACACCGTCAGCATTTCTCCTCTGCCGAGCGCGGGAATTGCCCTAGCAATACAAGCTTGACTAGACCTCACTTTCTACGCAGCGCTTTTGCAAAGCTGCCTTGGTGCCCGAGACCTGGAAATTGAAGGCGCGGCATATCTCTTTCAGGTCGTTGTTCACCAGCGTCTTAATGCGCGACTCCACAGAAACCCTTCCCTGCTGTAGCAAGTGGCCGCCAGACGCTGCCATCGCCCCCTTTCCAGCCCAGTGATCCTTTCCGCCGCAGCGGGAGCGAAGGTCGGAGGATAAACGTGCGGTCGTGGTAGGATGTCCAAGAAGTGTGTTTGACGGTGGATGGGGACGGCGGGTATAGGTTCGCTTCAGGGCGGGATTATGAATGCGAGGAGGTGTTCGAAGCCGGGCGACAGGCGGCAGGTGCAGAGCGGAGATGAAGAAGAAGAAGAGGAAGATTTGGAAGAGCAGGAAGGAGCAGGGTGGGATTTAGTGGCATCGCGGAAGAAGCTGCGAACGGGGCTCTTGCTATTATTCACCTCAATCTTCAATAGGTCAAGTAGGTGTCAATAGGGAAGGTACTGAGCTGATTGTCCAGTGATTGTGGCAGGAGCCAAAGACGAGATGAGGCAGTCACGCAATGGAGTGTGACACTGGAAGGAGCAGTCCACAACACGCAGCAGACGGGGAACAGCCACGCGACTGCAGCCAACACGCGCTCTTCACCGTCGTCTGCTCCGTCCCGAAAGTCTGATCTGCTTGTTCTATCGTAATCCCCTCGACGCTCGACAGTCGAAGACTCGACACTCTGGAAGAAGAGGAAAGAGAAGTTGAGAAAGTGGTGGTCGAGAAGGATGAATAACGGATATCCAATCATGTCAGGTGATGCCATCGGAACTCTTTATCGTAATATCACGTCCCAGCAGGTGGCACGTGCTCTGCATTCACTTTTATCGTGCAGCTCCGTAGCGTATCCGAGCCAAACTTCTCGACTTTCCACTTCCTTACCTGCTACAGAAGAAGAAGAAGTGTGTGTGTGTGCGATTGATTTGTGACGGAAAGCACAACACACCAATCGCCAACATGGGAAAGAGCTCCAGATCCAGCGCAATCAAGAAGAACAACCAGGTGCTGAAGAGGAAAGTCTTTGGGCCGGTAGAGACCGCTCGCATTGAACGACAAAATGCAAAGCTGCTCGAACTGGCCAAGGCGCCGAAAGAATTGGTGATGGAGGACAAGCCTGAGCGTAAGCAGATTCTTCTTCTTCTTCTTCCTCCTCCCCTACAGACAAACCATGTCAAGGTGTGAGTGCATGCAACTCACACGAAAAAAAAATTACAGAACCCGAAGACGCCGACAAGGAAGCCACCTCCACCACTACCACCACCACGACGACGAAGGACAACGAAATGGAGCTCGACGACGCCAAGCCCCGAAAAAGCAAACGCGAAGTCGCACGGCTGCAAGAGGCGAGGAAAGCGCGACAGATTTCGAAATTGAGAGGTTCGCGCTCGCGACCGCGAAATCAGAAAGAGTTTCCTGCTCATAAGTTGAAAAAGAAGGCGGGAAAACGATGAAAAGAGAAGAGAGAGAAACAACAAGCGAATGATAAGGTCAGCAGTGTTTGAAAGATGTGGACACCGCCATAAAAGAAAAAGGGAAAAAGCGGTGTTTTTTCTCTGATGTCAGGAATCGGGCGCTTTCTGTGTGTGTGTGCATTCGATACCCCCTTCCCAAATGTCAGCTCGGGATGAGTTTCAAATGGGTACTACGCACGAGAATCAGAAATTGCCCTCTCGCCCGGGGGGGGGGAAGATAGGGTGGGGGAGATCTCTGAGAGAGAGCACATCCATCACCTTCCTGAGATGTGCGTGTGTGCGTATTTTGCTTGCACGCATGCGTACTTGCTGTCAACGAAGTACAGACAGCCAGCCAATACTAGCAGCAGCAGTAGCAGCAGGAGAATAATGTAGGCAATGCAATGGCAAGGCAGAGCGAAAAGAAAAGAAAAGAAAAAGACGAAGCGAGACAGATCATTCTCCCCACCTCCTCACCTCACCTCACCTCACAGAATGGGACGAAAGAAGGCAAAGCAGGATACCTAAATCAAAGCCAGCGGAAAATAGTGAATTAGGTGCAATAAGGTACCTTTCGCTGTAGGTAGGTGGCCTAGAGCCTATGTCTTGAAGTTTTTACCTTAATTCACTGCCTGTCACATAAATATCACCTTCATCACACTATACCGCATCTCATCTCATCACCCACCTTTTTTTTCATCACTCAAGATACGTGTACCTGTACCTCATCTGACCTCACTTCAAGGATACATGGAAGTTTGGAAATATTTAGGTAGGTTTTTCAAGATTCATTTTTTCTACATTATATAATTCTCTCTCTCTCTCTCTTCTTTCTCTCTTTCTCTCTTTCTCTCCCTCTCTCTCTCCATCCATCCATCCAAAAAAAAGACATTATCTTTCTCAAAAAGAGGGGGGTATCATCATAAAAGTGTATCTGGAGTATATTGTTGTGGTTGTTGTTGTTGCATCGTGTTTCTTTGGTTGGTTGGTTGGTTGGTTGATTGGTTGATTGGTTGTTGGTAGTGTCGTGTTTCATGTAAATAATGGCTGGCAGTGATGTCGATGTGATATACCCCATTCCATCCCTTCCCATCCCATCCCGTCGTTCGTCGTCAAGCCACACATGTCAGGTATACCCATACCAGTCATACCTAGTTAGTAATCCAGAAACAGTCCCTCCTCTATATCAACCATATCACAAAAGTAATCTCACTCCTTAACCTTCCTCTGCATCCTCGCCAACGCAGCGCGATGAGCATCATGCAACCCCCCCATGCGCATATGCTGATCCATCTGCTCCTGTTTCCGCTTCAACAGCAATTCCTTCCTCTTGGCCTCCGCCTCAGCCTGAATTCTCGCCGCCCGTAACATATCCCCGTGCGCGTCACTAGTCACAATGGGGCTGCGTTGTGCACCGGCTTGGGCAGTCGAGTCGCGCCATTGATTCCAATTCAGAGCTTGTTTGACGACGTTGTGGCTGCTGGCTCGTCGGGGCTGGTGGGAGTCGTAGAGGGGGTTGGACATGCGGATTTGTTGTTGTTTGGTGGGGGAGATGAGAGAGGTGCGGTAGGGGTCGGGGATTTCGTTGCGGGAGGAGATGCGGCGCTGTTGGGAATCGGCGTGAGCGGCGGCGGCGTTTTGTTGTTGTTGGAGAGTGAGCATGGATTTGCGTTGTACGAGAGCTTTGCGTTCCGAGAGCGTCATGTCTTCGTCCTGCGAAGCGTCCAATGGCAGTCCGGCTGCGTCCGAGATCGAGCTGTTGGAACTCGGGTTTCCTTGAGAGCCGTCGGGTTTTGTGATGCTTCTACCGGAAGAGGGAGAAGCTGGGCCTGGGGGCACGTCAATCCTGGGTGTCATGAAAGATGTGGTCGTGAGGCGCGCGTCGAGGCGGTCTTGTCTCGCATCAAGAAGATTGGACATGCTCGACATGCTTCGTGGCATTTGTGACAAGCGATCCTTGGACTGCGTTCGGGCAATATTCTTGGGAGACGTAGGTTGCGCTGCCTCTGGGACAAGATTCGTTTTGGGCGAAGGTGGACTGAGCTGCTGCTGCTGCTGGCTGGGCGAAGGCGAAGGCGAGCTGCGTTGCCCGCTTAGCAGATCTGTACTCTTGGTGGCTTCAGTTTGCGCTGCTTCGGGGAGATAAGTTGCTTTAGATGGGGCGGAGTTGAGCTGCTGGGTGGGCGAAGGCGAGAATCTTTGCCCGCTGAGCACATCGGAAGAGGAGACATGCCGTATGGCTTCTTCAGCGATGGGATCTTTCGAGATGAAAGCAGGGTTGCTGCTCATACGCTTCGCAAGCGGCACGTTCCAGCTATCCTCGCTGCCCCGTGAGCTATGAGCGTAGACTGGCGTAGCAGCAATACCAGACGGCATGCGACTCAGATGCCTGCTGGATCGGCCAAGATTCTCCGCTTTTGACGCCGCTCGAGCCACTTGCTTGGGTTTGGGAGGTGCTGGAGGTACCGGTATTGCGTTATTCTCTTCAGCTCTGGCGGCAGCTGCTGCGTCCGTGGTTTCGACCTGTACGGCGTCTGTGGTGTGCTCCTCCACCTCCTCGACGGGCATAGCTTCAGCGCGACTGACCTCCTTTGCCCACTCATTCAGTCTATAGGACGAAGCCGCTTTCGACATCTTCTTGGGCAAACGTTCCTTCAGATTGGCTTGCCCGCCTGCATCATCAGTAGTTTCGCCGCTGAAGTACGACTCGTCACCGGTATGTAACGAACCAGGCGGCTTTGGCGAGCCCGCCCTCGAAGCTTCATCGGGCTTGTTGCCGGGAAGGCATAACGCCTCGTCGTCGTCTTCCACTAACGAGACTTGTGAAGTCGCTGCCTGGTGCGTGTCGTGGTCGTGGGACATGTACATTGATGTTGGGCGAGAGAGCCGCATTGATAAAGCATCCATATCAGGAGCTTCAGCCGCTGTGGCGGCAATCGAAGAGGCGATGTCGTCGTCCTCCTCCTCCATTGGGAATTGCTCATCATCCACGGCGTTCTGCGCAGAAAGGGACGCGTCTGTCCTCCTCTCGCCCAAGTGAACATCCACAGTGCTGCTTGCGTTGCTACCAGCTTGACTGATACCTAGTGCTGGTGAAGCAGACGAGGATGCTCTTGTAGATGGCAATGCCGCATTGGTAGTGGGCACTCCATTCTCAAAGTCGAAACCGAGAGGCGGCAGACCAGGTCCTGGCGATGCTCTCCGGTTGCTGCTATCCGCAAATGGCACATTCAGACTTGAAGCCGATTGAGGACTCGATAACGCTGGCCGGTGCCCCGAGCCGTCGGTGGCAGCCGAGTCGGAATTCGGCACGGGAAACGGGCAATACCTCTCGCTCATCCCGGATGAAGACATTTCGTAGCTGTTGGAGCCCTTTTCACTCTCCGACACCGAACCAACATGAACGTCGGCCATCTTCTTGGTCTCGTAAGTGCCTTCCCAATTTCCACGTTCCCGTGCAACCTGCGCCTCAATATCGCGTCCCACTTCGGTTTCCTCAGCGTCCCTCGCCGCTTGCTCTGCAAGTCGATCGGCTTCGCGCTTGGCCTTTTGCTCTTTGACAATTTGCCATATTTTGATTTGCGACAGAATTCCAAAGAAGGTGATGATGATGATGGCTGCGATCTCGGCACGCATGTTCCGATTGATGGGATATGTATCTGTGAAGAGAGGGAATACATCCGAGTTGACATCTGTCGAACTAACATTAGCACTTCGGGTAGCATATGAGGACACACAACATGATGCTTACCCCAGATGTACATCCAGAACTCTTTCAGACCCGCCCTGCTGAAACAATCAAGACCGATGATGAACGCAGTCGCTCCCGCGAACGCTGTACAGGCAATGATGCCATAGACTCGCGTAAAGCGGCTGATATACAGTGAAGAAGCGGCCGCGCAGAACAGTCCGATCATGATGATCTTGCCAACGTGGTTCTTGATGACTCCTCCCGGCGACAAGACCAGAAGCCACATGGCCAAGCAGAACCCTCCAAGCAGACAACCGAACCCTTCTGATACCTCCCTGAAGATCAATGCGAGCGCTCCTAATGCACATCCTCCCAGAGCTCCCGCGATGACATAGGCTCCTTGAACGGTATTGGAGACGGGCGGCCGCATGAGGTATATGATCAGAACCTCGATACTCAGCGCAATCAACAAAGACGTGCTGAGGAAGGTCTGTGTTGGCCGGTGTTTGATGCCCACCAAAGCCAGGACCAATCCCGATATCATGAGGAGAGCACCAGCGACACCGAGCGCAGGGGTGATGACAGGTTTGATCGGAAGCTGGTTCGAATCGGAATCTGAGCCATTCGGAATCGTGCCGTTCGACGTACTGTTGGTCGCAGTTGACGTGGGAATAGGAACAGCAGTGATGGCAGAAGTCACTTCTCCATCTCCAGATATCTGCGTCGTAGTCGGGACACTTTCCGTCTCGCGTGTCCTAGTTGGCGATATCGTGGGAGTCGATGTTTCTATGCTTTGGTCCGGAGGAGTCGTGCTCGCCACACCGTCGGTGGTTGTCGGTACATTGTCCTGTCGAGCTTGCAGTGCCGGCCTCCTGCCCAGCTGCTCCGCGCATGACAGCGCGCAGAGCAGACTGATTGCCACATGCGGGAGGCGCATATTCGTTTTCGTAGAGGATTTCTTGCAAGCACGAAGAGTGAAGCCGTCGTTGAACTGTCTCTCAATACATCCTTCCAGATCCAATGGCTACCTATAATTCGTCTCCTGCTAGTTCAGCATCGAAAAGAATCACGTCCGAAAGGTGGATCGGCAGTCCAGTGGTGTGAGAGAGACCACGTCGGGTGGGCGTGATACTACTCTCTCGAACGAACGAACGAACGAGTGGCAGTGTCGTTCGGTCCAGGGCGGAGGGAAAGATCAGCAGCAGCAGCAGCAGAACAAATGACAAAGCAGCGTATGAGCGAAAGGGCGTCTATATCATGATACCCTGCCATGAGCCGAAAAAGAATTACATGTGAACCAGGGTCGGCCCAGTTGGACTTAGACTCTTAGTTTTCGACAGATTTGAACAAATGAAAGGACTTGAGTCGGGCTTGCAAGCACAGCCATCGATTGGTCCTCTGCATTTTCGTTCCTGTTTGCTCTTTTCGGCACGGAGACGGCAGAGTTCGTAGCCAAGCGCAATGCTTGAGTCATGATGAAGAAACTTGACTAGAGATCGAGAAAGTGGATCACTCACAGCCCGCTCACAGCGGTTGCGTGCAGCCGCGCATGTTATAGCCTCGTTACTAGGATAGGAAGTCCATGGGAGTGTGCACTATTACCTACCTTACCACTATATACTCAGCCAGCAGGGCACACCACCAGGGAGAGAGCAGGCTTGCTTTGCGGGCTTGGCTTTTCTGGAGGGGGGGAGGGGGGTGAGCGCTACCTGTACGAATCGACCGGCTTCTCTTGCTACACCGCACACGGCTAGGTAATGACGATGCATGACTTTTTCGTTGTTCGTTGTTCTCCTGCTCATGATTGATCGATTGATGGGGAATGGAGTGATGAAATGATCTCCGGTTGGGATTGGCTGCAGTATGCACATCCAGCACACACATCATCGTCGTAAAGCCTGCAGATCTGACAGCGCATATCGGTCCTCGTTCCGGCGCTGAATGACTACATGCACAGTCGATGCAAGTTGCTCTCACTCTCTCATCACAGTCTCTCACCCTGTTCACCCCTCACTCCCCCCACATAATAAAAGATGACGACGACAATAACAAAAAAAAAAAGTCAAAAACTTGCTTCATCATCCATCCTCAGTGCGGGGGGACGGTAATGGATCAAGGCGGTGCGGTGCCCAAAAGAGAAACCGCCCAATAATAAACAATGCAAAGTCTGCGGCAGTCGGCGGAAAGGAAATTTGTAGTGGCAGGGGTGAGAAGGAAGTGAACGAAAAAAAAAGGAAATTAGGGATGTGAAGTGTGCATTTTAGAGTTTCCCTGTCGGGATGTGTCAAATTCAATATATGCGCAAAAGCGGGTTGCGGGCCGCAAAACAAAAAAAAGTGTATTACACTGACTGCATGGTGTGTATGAGGTGTCCACACTCTATTCACGCTCGGGCACGCGCAATGCACATGAATGCACTTTACGCGTGAACGCGTGTCTGTCGCGTGCTTTGACAAGACGCGCGTGTAACGTGTTGAGAGGAACCAACCTACCTGTACCTGAGCTTTTCTTTCTCTTGGCAATACGCGCCGACGCACAGAGCTTCTTTGGTGGAAACAATTGAATATTACATGTACCTATCACAGAGATAAGGCAGGAGGTAGGTACTGTATAGATGAATTGCACGCGGGAATGCATCGCGTTCCCGTCGTTCCCACCTCACCGAGTCATTTCATCGCCCGTCCGTTCGTCACCTAATATGGAGAGTTCCCGATTACAAACGCTCAAGACGGCTCTGCCCGTGAATGAATGAATACGCCTCCCGTCGTCCCGATCGATCTGCCTCCTGGGCGCACCGTTCAAGTTACAAAGACTACGATACCTACATAAGGACGTGTGAGAAATTCGTGCACAGACATTGTCTATACACTATAGGTACACGTAGGTAAGGTACAGGTATCGGTACCTAGGTATGCTCATGAGCAACTTTCTATAAAAAAGCTAAATATAAACTCGTACTTTTTCGTTCCTCGATATCGTCTAGGTACCTGAGGGAAGCTTGACGATATGTATGGCTATCGATTACGGATCTGCCTAGGTACCTACCTACCTCCTCAAGAAATCGAAGTGTATCAAAACGTCTTTGAACATAGGAGGTACCTAAAGGTGAAACATTCCATCTTGCTTAGACCGGATCTCATCGGAGAACCTTTTTCATTTTCCTATTTTTTCATTTTCATTTTTCTTTTTCTTCTTTCTTTTTTTCTTTTTCGGAAAGCGTAGAAAGTGTCTCAAGTTCTGCAAGAGTGTAGACTAAAAAGAAAGGTGCGTGTATGTACCTGGGACGTGAAACGTCTTGCACATCTTGCACGATAACGCCTTATCTTACCTTATCGACATCGTCGTTATCGAGACCGATTTTCTACGAGCCTTTTGGTAAGGTGAGAAAGTCTGCCTGTCTGAGGTAAAAGGTAGAGTCTGGGGTTGGCACCTGCACGACGGGTGAGGTAAGGTAGGTTATGTAGTTGGATCTCAACTGTACGGCAGAAATACCGGTACTTGAAACCGGTTCGCTACAGATGAGGCTGCTGCTGCTGCAGTTACACATCCACCAAGCAGGGACTGTCGACAGCACCGAAACCTGCAGCCACGCCGCCTTCTTCGCTCTGATCGCCTTTGGTGCGTAGAAGGTATCCTGCTTCGAAGTTTTCGACAATTTCTCTCTTTCCACCTGTCCCAGCTTGCCAAAGACATGCGCCGTAGATTCCAAGCTCACATATCACGCCCCCACTGTGCGTCTCTCCATTGCGGAAGATGGTATTCGACTGTGCAGGGGGCTCGATCATTTCCATCAGGATGTAAGCGGGCCAATGCGTTTCGGCCAAGTCCTTGAGAAACGGTGGGATGGCTTTGCGATAGATGTTATTTCCACCTCCTTCACGCTGAGGCTTGAGGACATAACGGCTCGCGCTCTCTGGATGCTGAGCGAGTCTGCGAGCCTCCATGCCGGCTTCGGATTTGTCAAGAGGATAAATTGGCGCAAAGGTTTTGAGCACTTCCGATGCTTGATTGTGGTCCGGCAGGAAGCGTGCGAGATGGGGCGAGTGAGGTGTGGCAAGAACTTGCTGAACCTTCTTGGTTCCGGCAAGTTGTGTGAGAACTGTGGGACATTTGATCGCGGTGCTGCGCTCAATCTGCAGTCGGGCAGACCAGTGAGCATCGGAAGTGTACTCATCTGGTGAGTAGCCTGCACGGAAGTAGACGACAGTGACCTCGTAACGCTTAGCCGGATTCTGCGGAGGCGTATAGATGAGCTTCCGGTTGCTATCGACCTGGGTATCCTGCAGAACTCGTCCAAAAGGTAAACGGAAGGTCCGCACTCCATGGTTCTCGTTGAGAGCATACTCAAGGTGTCTTTGGTCGAACACATTCCGTTCCGGATCCTGAACGAGAAAAATCACGCACGTTGGTAGTCCTGTTGTGGAGATACCATATGCCTTGTGGGCTGCAGCCATGCCTCTTGCTAACGAGGGCACTGAGCTGCTAGCAGGCAGTGCCGCATCATTCACACTGCTCGCAATCTCGTCAGGATAGGCATCGATGCTGTGGAGATGCCGATGCAGACCAGAGACTTGACTTGAAAGACCTCCAAAGGAGGACGCGATGGTGTTGAACTCGACCTGCTTGACTGTAGGCTGAGATGTGCTACCTCGATCGACATGCACCATGTAATCTGAACGGAAGAGACCCAGAGCCAAAGGCTGGTCAAATATCAATACTGTATCATCACGAGTGAGATCAACACATCGCGTCTTACCTGGACATAGCCCTCTGCCTTGACAGCTTGATGTATCTTCCACAGTCCCGCCATAAAGTCATCAATCTCAACGAGTCTGCGAAGAGCACGTCAGCTAATTCCAGCTGAGCCGCACCTGCCAGCAAAGTGAGGCATTCCGTGATACATTGCGAAGTGAGCACGCAGCGATCATGCACGCAGACGTTGAAGTGAGGATCGATATGGATAACACCTACTCCTCAACGATGCCAGTCAACCATTCCTCATCACTGGCAATTGCCGAGTAGAGTTCATTGTATGCTTTCGCTACAGATTTGGCCTGCTCGAAGCATAGTCTGGGGAACAGACTAGGGAACAGAGTGACTGGTGCTGTTGTCGCCAATGCCCCCGAAGGATCTTGTCCTGCTGGCACATATCCCGGTGCTGGTCTTACAGCCAAGCCATGGGCTATTGACCAATCTTTGAGGTTCGTCAACAAGTAGGACTTTTGGTCTTCACTCAGCTCTGGAGGGTATTCGGGATACATGCTGGTCGACATCTTGATCTGTACCGCAGGAAGAAGAGTATGGGAAGTCCGCAAGAGAATGTTCTGAAGCCTCCAACGTTACCCAGAGGCTAGTGGGTCTTCTTTCAATGCCGTGATCGGCAGGCATAGAACCCATTCTTGCTTACTAAGCATCTCAACTTCCAGTTGGACCCCACGATCTTCCTGGGCCTGGGACGCGCCGTTCACACAGCGTGAGCTGCTGATCGCATCACGGCGAGAACTGCACTTTGGACTGTACATTCATTTCCAATACTCTCTGCCCAACCGACGAGACCTTCACGCCGAAGTTGTGCAGCACGACTCAGCGTCCGCGATTCGAATAGCCGTCAAGCACGTCCGCAACGAGAACAGGAGCAGGAGGACATCGAACAAGACGCTATCTGTGTGGCTCATGCCAGTACTCTGCACGTAACATGACAGAGGAGCGAGCAAGAGTTGTGCCGATACCGATCTCCGGATCGAGAGATCTTCATCCCTCCAGGCTATCGAAGAAAAAAATCAAGGAGTCTTGAAGTGGGCAAAAGTCGCAGCTGTAGTCCACACGCGCAGCCAGTGACCAGAGAACAATTTGCGTTGCTACACGAGGACGAAAGAGAGCCTATTGGGCTTCCCTCACGGATGGTCGCACTCTGCTATTTGTCTTACCAGCTGGAACCAACACCCGGAGTTCATGCTAGTGGCTGTCCTCGTGGGTATCAAGAAGGTTGAAGACACGAGACTGGTGCACACTGTCTATTCAGGTTGTGTTCTGAGTGATATCCTCCACGAGCTCCGCGTTCTCGCCTGTGGACAACTTTCCAGGAGTCCTGCAGACCTCTCTGACGCGTCCAGCTGTTCGACTTACGACATCAGCGCGCGCTCCTTAGATGAGCTTCGCTTGCGGTGTTCGTCATAACAATCGCAACTGCCTCGCAAGTCGCTATTGTTTCGAGCACTATCATCATTCACACACAGTCTACCTGCTGCACAGCGCAATCCTATCAGCACGTGACCTTCTACTGCGTCACCTAGTCATCACCGCTACGAATACCTCAAAACTTCACACGACAACTTAATCACCTACATCATTATTCTTGCCACCAGCAGCGCTTTTCTGGAAACACCGGCGCTATGGCTTCTGACCCATGGCACTGGACTGCCCTGCAGGTGGCTGACTGCTTTCGCAACAATGCGCCGGTACTCATTGATGACATTCCGAATGCACGGCTTCCGGACATGAACGCATTCGCACAGAAAATCGAGGAAAACGACGTGTGTGGATTTATGCTCTTCGAAGAAGTTGATACTGGCTTCCTCCGAGATGAGTGCGGTATCAAGTCGCTGGGCCAACGAGGTGCAATCAAACACTGTATACGAAAACTGAGAGCGCAATCAGCAACATGTCAGAAGGAGGGCGCTCCGCGCACTCCCATTTCTACAGCTGCGACGCCATCTGTGCTACCTACGACGGAACAGGAGCCAGTACTATCCGTGCCTATCTCCAATCCAAGCACGAAGCGTGCTGGTGATGTGCAGGTAGAGGACAGTAGTGGTCGTAAGCGCCGTAAGCTCGATATCTCGAAGCTGTCGACGTTTGAGCCGGACATACAGCCACGGCCATTACCGGCGTCTGCAAGCTTTCTCCGCGACTCGAGACTGCCAGTGGACGAGATCTTCTTCGGCAAAACGAGGATGGGACAGGAGATTTGTGCTGCAGAGATGCCAAGCGGGATGATGAGCAACCCTGCGTCGAGGCCCAACACGCCCGAGCTTGCAAACTCGCCCTCAGACGATAAAGACTCGCAGGTCCTCCAGAAAGAAGATACCTGTTTTCAATTCCAGGCTACGAATCAGCTCGCCGGAGAGAGCGCATATGTGTACAGGCAAATGCGTCGTTTTCTGGCATTGGACGTTGCAGAGTCAGACAGTAAGGCGGTCAAGCATATCAAGCGACGCGGGCATGATGCAATCGCTATCTTGCCCTACAACGAGAACCTGTTGCAGGATGACAAGGCACAGTCTGCCCTAGTGGTGCAAATATGCGGTGAAGACAGTAATCGGTGCACATCCAAACGAGAGAACGCAGCGTTTCTTGAATCTGGCTTCGATTACGGCAGCATTGACGGAGAGCCAGCGGATTCTAACAGCGGCCAGTGGGACTTTTTGGCTACTAAGTACAAGTCTACCAACAGCGACGAGTTGTTGCCGGAGTATGGCGCCTCCAATACCGAGGGCTCACTGGCATCATTACAATTGGAGATGCAAAAAGATGAAGCAGAGGCAGAAGATGGGAAGTTATCCGGTGCTCGCCTTGAAAGTGTCATCGACGCCGCACTGACGGACATTGCAAGTGCATGGAAGCAGAAGTTCCTGCCCGTAAGAGAAGAAAAACGCGCATGGAGCGTTTGGAGGCAGACACGCCGGAGTCGTGTGATCCGCGACGGTTTGATCGAGGGCGCGGAACGTAGGATCCAACATCTCGAGCACCGTGTTCACAAATTCAAAGAAGAAATGCATAGAGACGAGTGGCAGACGGAGAAGGAAGTGACTAAGCAATGCCAGGCCATGGACCTTACTATTCAGGATATCGAAGAAGAACGATGGAAGATTGACGTATGGCAAAGGACAAGAGAGCCGCATCACATCATTAAGCATGGTGAACGCAACTTTCCTGGACCCAAATCTACTAATACTGGCAAACCACAAAAGTTGCCCTTGATTCACCCCAACGATAGGCTTAGCGTAGAGCCAGATCCTGGAGCCGATGAGGATGACTTTCACTCTGCTCAAGGCGAACAGAGCCCGGTGCCGCTTGAGGGCCCAGGACAGGACGAGGATGAGGATGCATCCGACGAAGCCTCCGAACAGGACGAAGATGCGGACTTCCTCGATGATTCGGCGTCGCTTTTAGCAGAGTCACCCAATCCACCAATAGAAGCGGATGTGTCAGAAACCGCCGAGCAGGATTACGAAATGCTGGACCCGCCTGTAGAGTCTGAGCATTCAGAGTACGAGCCTGAATTCTCATCTCCTAGCATCACAGCTCGACAAAGTAACGCTCGCCGTCATGAAACACAGTTGACAGACACGGGCGGCGGCACAGAGTCTGAAGTTCTGCCTAGCCCAAATTCCTTTGGCTTCCAAAAGCGAGTGAAGCAGGAGAACAGGACGCCGTCGAAGTCTCGAACGTTTATGAGTTCGTCTGCGGACGCTATCGTCATATCTTCGGACTCGACTCCTGGAAAATCAAAGCGAAGCAAGAAGCACGACCTCAAATATCATGGTGAGCCCGAGAGTGCTACCGCGCAAGATGTGGCCACCTGGGACATCGATGTGCTGAAGTCGTTACTCGACAGAAAGCGGATACTGATCAAGCTCCTCGCCACGTTGATACCGCAACAGCGAGAAGATATCAAACAAAGTATGCTTGGTTTGAAAAGGAATGGGTACTGGAAACAGGTATGGAATGTCCTCAAAGTCCTCCGAAGAGACTTCTCCGGAAGTGATCAAGACAAGGTCGTGGTACTCTCGACAAAACTTTTCCTGGCCTTCCACTTTTGTGAACCGGACATATATTTCAATGGTAGCCGCCAAAGTATCAACTGGGAATCTGCTATAAGCGACGAGGCCTCAATAAGGTATTTCTGCCAGATGCTCGCCCTGTACTTGGACACACCTGGTTTGTGGCCCCCAGAAAGCAAGTCGCAGTCGTTGCCGGGTCGGTTTAGTTCCAGAGGACTCACTAAGGTTATCGACCTTTCGAGTTCATCGGACTTGGACGATGGGCGGCTCGCAGGCACTCCCAGGAAGAAGAACCAGAAGATAGTAAAGCTCAACGCCAATGCAGAACAGTCCCAGGCTGCAGCTTTTCGCCGCCAGCAGAAATTCAAGGAGATGCAAAGCGAAGGCTCGAATTCCAAGGAGCTCCGAGCTATGATACAGGCAGATCCGAGCAATTCGACCGTTGCCATCAACCCGCTGGCATCTCTGGATGATGGAGAAGACTACATCTTTGTCGACAAGAAAATTGCAAGTGCTCTCAAAGAGCACCAGATCGAAGGTATCCAGTTCATGTGGCGTGAGCTCACAGCGCAAGGGAGTGACGGCGGGCAAGGCTGCATTTTGGCGCACACCATGGGCCTTGGAAAGACGCTGCAAACAATTGCCACGCTTGTCGCCCTCAACGAGGCTACTCGATCGGAGAATCCTCGCGTCTACAAGCAAGTGCCAGAACACTTGCGCCCTCCTGATATTCGGGAAAGACAACTGCGCATGCTGATCATCTTGCCCGCTGCTCTGATCCAAAATTGGCGCAGAGAGATCAGAACATGGGCACCCCACGTATTTACCAACATCTTTACAGTCGAAAGCGTACCTTCTCGCAGGCCGGAACAGACTATCGACGAGCTCGAAGGTTGGTTCAATATCGGTGGTATACTGTTTATGACTTACGGCTTGTTCCAAAGGTATGCCAATTGGAGAGACCCAGAAGCTGAAGCAAAGCGAAAACCTGCAGCCAAGCTTGCACCGTTCGGCACGAAACTCGACAAATACTTGATCAAGGGACCCGAGATAGTCGTCGCCGATGAAGTCCACAGCCTGAAGAACCCCAAGGCAAAAGTGACTCGGGCTGCGCAAAGCATTCATACCGAGAGCAGGATCGGTCTTACGGGTACTCCTATGAGCAACGACGTTGACGAGATCTACTCCTTGGTCTCATTCGCCGCGCCGAACTACCTGGGCGAGAAAACGTGGTTCAATCAGACCTACTCCAACCCGATCAAGGAAGGCAATCGCAAAGACAGTGAGCCTTCCGATGTGCGGAGAATGTTGAAGAAGCTTGCTGTGCTTCGCAATCAAATTGAGCCAAAGGTGCATCGAGCTGACATTAACGTTCTGCGTGGGTCGCTCAAACCGAAGCTGGAGTTCGTGATTATAATGCCACTGTCTGATATCCAGCGGGTGACATACAAGAAGTACCTCGCAGCCTTGAGCAAGGACGAGAGCAATCTCAACAAGATCGTGAGCCAGACAAGGATATTTGCATGGCTCGCAGCACTCACTCTTCTGATGAATCATCCACTTGCATTCAAGCGCAAGCTTCTGATGCATCAGACGAAGAAGACATTGCAGAGAGAGTCCACGCCCTCTGTCAGTGATGGCGGCACTGGCACTCCATCTCCTGAGGGTATTGACCTTGAAGACCTTGATATGGATGAAGCTATCCAATCACTGGCCTTTTCCAACAAGGTCAAGCAGGACATTGTCGCCGGCATAGACGACAACCTTCGAGCTGAATCTTCTATGAAGATGTTAATGCTCCTCCGCATCATCCGTCACGCTGGAAAGTGCCACGACAAGATACTCGTATTCTCTGGAAGCATTCCTACACTCGACTACGTAGAAGAGCTTCTCCGCAAATCTCATATTCAGTGTGGTCGTATCGATGGGAGTGTAGCCATATCGAAACGCCAGCCCATCATCAATGCCTTCCACAAAAGTGAGAATGGGGTCTTGCTCATGTCCACTAAAGCTGGAGTCGGTCTGAACATCCAAGGAGCGAACCGCGTCGTCATCCTCGACTTTGGTTTCAATCCGTCACATGAAGAGCAAGCTGTAGGCCGTGCATATCGCTTAGGTCAGACTAAGCCAGTGTTTGTGTATCGTCTGATTATTGGCGGTACTTTCGAGGACAACATCTACGACAAACAGATGTTCAAGACGTCACTCACACAGCGAGTTGTAGATAAGAAGAACCCACGCCGGATTGCGTTCGGAACCGCCGGCGATTGGCTGTATGAGCCTAAAGAGACACCACAGGATGATCTGCAGCAGTGGCTCGGGAAAGACGAGGCCGTGCTGCATAAGATACTCCGGAGGCAGCTCAAAGATGGCGAGAGCTACGCTGGACCGCAGATCCGCAAGCTCACAACCATCGAGACTCTACAAGAGGACGCTGCTGATGAGCCACTGAACGAGGAGGAGCAGAGAGAGGTCAAGGAAGAGCTTGCAATGCGTCGGAACATGCGGCAATATGAAAAGCAAGCTGCCAAAGCTGGACAATCGGCAAGTCAAGCTGGACTGTCGGCAAGTCAAGCTGCACTGCCTCGATCAACGCCATATGCCTTCACATTCGCCGGAACACCTGCTCGGGACAGGCCTCCCATCAGGCTGAAAATGGTGACCAAGCCAGTGCAACCACATGGTCTGCCAGTTGTGGGTAAGAACCGCAATCCGCCAGCGACTATGCCACCACCTCCAGCAGCGGTCCCAAATAGCTCGCACCAGTCACAATATGGAAGCGCTGCTCGTCCCTCGTCCACAGGCGCGCAGCCAGGCACGCACGGTCTGCCTTCTTCATTCTAAAGCACATGTCTGCATTTTGAGTCGAAAGCGTGGGAGGGCGGAAGAGCGTGATGATAGGATACGTGGACGTACAAAGTCCTTTTTTGGAAGGAAGATATTCGCTTTCGCGCGCAGAGATACCCAGCAGCAATCGTTCTGATGATGTTTTCGTACAAGTTCTGATGACTGTTACACCTTGTTTCCCCTTCCGCGCCTTCTTCGTACCTCTCCCCTCTGATGTAGAACTCCTTCAGTCGCCCCATTGCCATTGCTGTATCTCCCAGATGTCTTCTTTGATTCGCGTCCATCTCGGGCATCGATGGACGGCCAGTTTGGACAAGCTCTACCTGTTGGAGCCCTCCTACCCATCGATGGCTCAACCTCCCATTATCACTTTCGATGCAGGCCAGTCAGTGAAGTTGATGAGGAGTCGTCAGGGGCTCGTCCTGGCTCTGGTTCATAATATTGACGGCGGAATTGGGCCAAGATCAGGCCCAGATAGGGGATCAAACATGTGAGATGACCAAATGTCAGCCCAAGCGGTGACTGCTTGAATCAGGTGAGGTGAGGTAGAGAAAATTAAAAGAGGCCTGTCGAGTAGAATGAAACTTGGCGAGTTTCACGAGGGTCGGGGAAGGTGTCACGGTAGGGCGAGGCGGGAAGCGAGGCCCGCCGCCTGCGCCACGTCCGTGACTTGGCAATGACAATCAACCAAAATTTACCCTTCTTCACTCTCTGCACCACTCTCACTTTCTTCACTCTCAATCTTACTCTCTCGCCCACCACATTTACCACAACTGCAACCTAACACCGCATTCCACACACCGTGATCGCTATCCGCTACCACAAATTGGGAAAAGCTCCACCTTCATCTGTGCTCACGAGGCGTCGCAGAATCATCACCACGCAGCAGATCGTGATCGACTGTTCGATGACAGACTCCCTCTGAACACCTTCCACCCATCTATGCGTCCAGAAGACCTTCTACGAGCCCTCGCGAAGCCCCAGAAGTGAGAGATGCTCTCCATGCCCTGAAAATGTGGCATCATGTGCTGACTCGAAACTGGAAAAGGCCCAGATAACACCAGCTACTTGCTGTACCAATCTACCCTCCGTCCACACCACTCCATTGCGCCCATAACCACACTCGACCCGATACTTCCGCCGGGTATCGGAGACTCCTTCACGACGAACAGACCATAGTCGGCACCATTCCGCGCCGCAAGAGCTCTTTTATTGCCCTCTGCACGAGACCTCCCTAACGTCGACTACGGTCGTCTTACATATTCACAACTGCTTGCTGCTGGCGAAAGCCAGCCTCCATTCAAGACAGAAGGGTGTGGGCCTTCTCTCCTCAGACAAAACCGCGACAGTCGCTGAGGCAGCAGATAGTGCTATCACAACACAGGGGGCATTCGCACGCCTAGGTCAGGATATCCGTACCCCTCAAAGTCCTTATCACAAGAGACCGGCTTGGAGATGGTGAACACTGCAATTCCACCCAACTACACCAACTCGCCTTCGTCATTGAGTGGTACACCACATTGGACCATCAATCGAGACATTACTGCGCTCGATCTTGACTCCAGCAATGCATTTGAAGGACCAGAAAAGCTCTTAGAAGTATGGTTCACGGAATCTGACAAGGCTCTGCCGGCGTCTGCTGCGCCAAATGGCCTCAAGGCTGTCTCTCAGGACACATGGAAGGAAATGCTCGACCTCGTGAACTGCAAGGTTCTCTCGGTCATTGAGTCGGGAAATGTCGATGCCTATCTGCTTTCGGAGTCGAGCATGTTCGTCTTTAAACACAAACTCGTGCTGAAGACTTGCGGCACTACCACTCTGCTCCGTGGACTCCCACGCATGCTGGAGATTGCGGTTTTGGAGGCTGGATTTCCATCCGTCCAAGCTAGCTTGCCCGGGGGAACGACCGTGGCTGCTAAACCACACCGCGTCTTTTATAGTCGTAAGAACTTCTTGTTTCCGGACCAGCAGAAGGGACCACATCGCAGTTGGCGTGATGAAGTACGATACCTGGACAAGATGTTTCTGGGAGGCAGTGCATACATGATTGGCAAGATGAATGGCGAGCACTGGTATCTCTACATCACTGGTCCAGGAACCGAGCTCACTCCACCTTCGACTCCACAGGGTGAGCTCTTCCACACGCCAACCCAGCAGATGACTCTGCCCGAGAAAGGAAGACACATGCCGGAGAACGAGGCAGGTGATGAGACTCTGGAGATTCTCATGACCGATCTGGAAGAGCAGAACGCTCGTAAGTTCTACCTTGAGGATGCTAGCGCCATTGCGCAAGACAACGCTCGCAGCGCTCACTTGGCTCGCAAGGACGCCATCTCGCACCTTGGAGTCATTGAAGAGCGCAACGGCTCCGACCCAAGCATTTCCGGTAACACGCTAGTTACAGGAAGCGGAAGCGATGATGCCAGCTTCGATGTTTTTGCCCAGACTGCAAAGGAGCACTCGGATCTGAGCTCGGAAGAAGACGAGCCATTGACGTTTGGAGAAGAGCTCAGCACTGAAGGCCACACTCTCGGAACGGTGGTCACTGAAGCTTGCGGACTGGTCGACGTGTACCCAGCTTCGAAATACCCCGATGCGCGCATCGACTCGTATCTCTTCACGCCATGTGGCTACTCTGCGAACGGAGTGGTTCCGATTCCTGGTGATGCAGAGAACACTCATTACTGGACTGTTCATGTTACACCTGAGCCACAATGCTCCTATGCCAGCTTTGAGACCAATGTACCAACGCGTCACAGTGGCCGCACGACTGTCGATGTTGTTCAGCAGGTGGTGGGCATTTTCAAACCTGGCCGTTTCAGTGTCACCCTCTTCGAGGCGAAGGAAGGTCTCGAAAACGGTAATGCCAGAAACGACAGGCGTATGGACCGAATCAAGGGGTACAGACGCGTTGATCGCGTGGTGCACGATCTCGAAGGCTACGAGCTCGTTTTCAGATATTTCGAAAGAGATGACTGGAAGGGTGGCGCACCACGTCTGGGAGAGCATAGCCCATAAGCCGGGGGCGAAAGGAAGGAGGGAGGATGATGTTGATTGATTTAAATCACAAAAGATTATGAATTTAGTATCTCCTTGGTCAGAAAATCAGAAAATCTTGTAGGCAATCAATGATAAGGTACATGCGTGATTATTTGATCATTTGCTCTGAAAAGCTACTGCAGAACCTATCAATTCTCCTTCTTCTTGACGAGCCCCCGTCCTGCCCGGCAGAGTTCAGTGCGACACTGACAATATGTAATATCATTAAATGCCATTCTTGCCTCCTTTCTCCTTTCTCCTTTTGGGTGTGGTTCCCTTGTTTCAAGGCAGACTTCCTTTGATGCTTTTTATGCATTTCACTACTGCTGGGATGTACCGATGTATCCGATAGATCGATGGATAAGGTATATGAAATTGATACGACACACGAGTTGATGACAAAACAAGAAAAGACCATATAGTTTCCCTCCCTAGCTCGAATTTTTAAAGGTTGGTAGGTAGGTTGGCGTTGGTTTTCGTTTGGGTCGTTGATGTAAGATAAGTGTAAGTGTGAAAAAAGTGTAAATCAATCGAGGGAATAGATTTTTTACTCTGCACCGATAGAGGGTATCATTTACACAATAAAAATAAGAATAAGAATAAATCATCATCGCAGCAAGCAAGAGCAACAGATCATCTTCCAAAGTTTCAATATCCTCCTCCTACTCTCCCCATCGACCCCATAGTCGTAGGAGGAGGAGGCATATTCGACGGAACGACAATCTGCTGCTGCTGCCTCGCGCCAGGCGAAGGCAAAGGGGAAAAGCCGCCCCAAAACACCGGCGCAATATAACATGCCAAAGCTCGAATATCCGCTACCATTTCTGCCGGACGCTCCCAGGCTGCGAATCGGACTTGGCTACTAGCATTACCAGTACCGCGAGCACCACGAGAACCGCCGCCGCCTCCTCCGACGACGACTGCAGAGCGGCGACTGATGAGGGCGATGTGGTGGTAACTTTCTGCCCATTGGGTACCTCCGGAGGTGTTGTGAGGGTCGCTGAAGTGGGAGATGGCGAGGGGCACGGGACAGTGGCTGCGCCAGAGTTTGGGGATCATAGGGGCGGAATTCATGAGCCAGCGGAGAGCGACTTCGGGGCCGGGGAGCCAGTAGAGCATGCACCAGTCGATGAGGGTCGTGGGTGTCCAGCAGGGGGTGTCGTGGAAGTCTTCGTCTCCGCCGCCGCCGCCGCTGCTGCTTTTGGTGCTGATGGGGCTATTGTTATTGTTGTTCTCTCCAGGGCAAGAGGGGCTGATGGCGTCGTAGACGTGCGCCATGAGTCCGGTGGGAGAGTCGCAGAGCGCGTAGGCTACTGTTTGTGGCCGTTCGAGAGTCACGGGCTGGGCGCCGGGGGTTTGAGGAGGGGAGTAGCTGGTGGGAGAAGCAGGCATGGAGAGGGGCTGTTGCATGTGGGCGTAGCTGATGCGATTTGTCGTTAGTATCGATTGGAGCAACACTCGTCAATCCATGACTTGTTGGACTCACCGTGGATCTGGCAAATCGGGGTTCGCGGTGTGTATAGCCATACAACTCTCGCCATGCGTGAGGGCCATGAGACGGCAGATGTTGAGCCCCCTACATACAATGATCAGCCCACGTCCACTACATCTGCCCCGAGCTCTAGTCGTGAGTGCATAAAAAAACGTACCATCCACTTCCTGTAGCGATGTACCTGGGGTAGCCAAGCGACTTCATCAAGGCGTCAAACAGCTCTGCCGTCGACGCAATGTTATTTCCTTCTTCCGCGACCATGTCACTGAAGCCGAAACCTGGAATACTAGGGACCACGACATGAAAAGACGGCAGATTCTCACTGCCGGTAGTTGGTGTAGACAGAGGGTTGGTGAGCCCCTCCATCATATGAGAGATACCGATAAAGCTTTCGGGAAATCCTAGAAGTAAGCAGCAAAGTCAGGTCTGTGCGGGCCTAGCATGATAGCAAACCACTCTCGCTTCTCAATCTCAAACGTACCATGACAGAATATGATTGGCATGGCATTTGGCGACATGGATCGTTTGTGCACGTAGTGCAACCGGATGCCCTGGATCACCACGCGATACTGTGGTAGAGTGTCGTTGTAGTGTGCCTTGCCGAGCGTCAGCGCCAAAGACGTTTCCATTTTATTCCTTGGAGCCCCATTTCTTTTCGCTCACCTCCCGGGTTCGCCAGTCATACTCTTCCGTCCAGTGGTCGATGATGGGCTCCAAATCGGTTTTGGCGACTCCAAAGCCCCATGGTGCCGCTTGTCGAGATCGTGGTTCACGAGGCAAGCGTGTCAGATCCAGCTTCTTTCGAGTCAAATCGAGATATCTTTGTGAGACGTGCATCCGATACGGGAGCACTACATTGGCGGCAGCTGAAGAAGATCGCCCGCTGGAAGACGAAGTAATGGAAGCCATCCAGGGTCGAATATCGATCCAGCATCAACGCGCTCTGAGAGTCTTCCACGATCGTATAGTAGTGAGTGGTGAATATCGTGACGCCGGAGCAAGAGGCAACCAGTAGATGAAGGATTCGTCCCAGCGAAAAACTATCCCAGCATGTCCTGAAGCCGCGAAAACAGCAACCAATGGCCGGGGAGCAAGAGTGCCAAATCGTCGTTGTTGTTGAAGCGTCAGAATTGGACCATAGCAACAACAAAGTCGCCACAATTGAGCGATCGAGTCCATATGAATATGAGTGACCCCCCCTCCCCCCCGAGGCCGTGGTCTGCAGTCATGGCTCCATTGCCCAGGGGAGACCTAACGTGGCAGAAGCTTGATCATAGTGAGAAGCGATCTCCCGGAAGTGAAGAGCATCGGTGTGGCTAGTAGAATGCCACCCGGACTCAGCGACAGATGCACGCTTTCTGCCGCAAGTGCATCGATCTACACGGCTCCTACGACTTGCCATTGGCTGTATGGCGCAATGCGACCTGCATTCCTCGTTTGTCAAGCAGTGGCTTGTACATGCGCCACACAAATAGATGGTGGCGGTGCACGCTCTCGTACAGCGGTTACCTCCGCAGAGTTGGCCATCCAGGGCGGAAAGTTGGTCCATGAACAGTCTATCTTCCGCACTGCCGGCCTGTGTACCTGCATGCCGCATGCCGCACGCTGGCAACTGGAGAGAGAGTGTCAAGTGTGTGTGTGTGTGTGTGGTACCTCCTACTGTGGTACGCTACTCTTGGTTCTTCACACTTGGCTCTCCCATTGGGCCACGGGACTTGCGATCCAGAAGTCCCATTCGACGGCTTCCCGTCTAGTCTGTCTTGATGGATGTGTGTGTGTGTGTGCAGAGGTCATGGCCCATGGCAGCCATGCGGCAGATGTGTGAAGACTACAGACCACACGTGACAGAAAACGTGCAAGGCATCTGGCTGGCATCATCATACCTACTACCTCCTAGCCGCACAGCCACAGTCCACGGGTCCAGCTGGCCATGGGGGGAGGGGATGATATGATGATATCGTGCGGCGTGCGCTTCACTCCGGCCCGACTGCAGCATTTTTTTGTTTTATTTGGTGCTAGATGCCCGGCTCCCGGTCTAGGCCTGAGTACAGCAGCATCTCAGCTGAGATGTAGCCGGTACGCTTAATGACGCATGTCGGCTCTGCGTCTGCCTGACCTGACCTAGGTACTCTCCAGATCGAGGGGGGGAGGGATCGCGAGAGTGGTTGCTGTTGCTGTTGCTGTTGCTGTTGTCGTTGTCGTTGTTGTCATTGTTGTTGCTGCTGCTGTTGTTGTTATTATGTGCGGTGTAAGGATAAATGCCTGCTCCTTTTTTTTTCTTTCTATTTTCAGTACCTAGATACCTTACCTACATGTACCTCTCCTAACAAGTCACAAACTTGATCACTCCCTTCTCGAACAGGTTCACTTTACCACCTCTTCCTATCCTTATCTCCTAACGAGCCCCGAGACCCCTCCAAGTCATTTTTGGTCCTCGGTCGGTTGTCGGACAGTATACCTAAGGCAGAAAACCCCCCTAAAAAAAGCTAGATAGCCTAAGTGAGAATATCATTCGTCCATTCCAACAAAACAAGTAAGGTATTACTTCCTATACGACCCCAAACGAGAAACCACACTAAATAAGTAAAAGCCAGGTATATACTAGATCATATAGTAAAGGTAGGCATATAGTGCTGTATCGTCGAGTGAGAGGTATCGCACAAAAAATAATTACAGGAACAAGCGAAGTTAGCGAAACCGTTCCAGTGTTCCTCGTTACCAGGCATAAAAAAGCTTCTACGGTACCTATCCTCGATCTTGGCGTTTATCCCTACCGAAAGCAGCGATTGCATTACTCCCCTTTGGACGGGAAGTCTGCTTCGTAGTACCTCCTAGCGCCCGTTTTTGTAGGCAAGTGGAAGCGTACCAGGTACGGTAATCTTTGCGACTGTTTCTCCTGTTTAACAGTTGTTGTTTTGCCGTGTGTCAAACAAATGACTTTTTTTTTTCAAAAGGGGTCATGTTACCACCTCGGAGAGGTAGGTAGCTATAGCATGTACCTGCCTCATTTTGCTGCCTTAGAAATACCTCGTGCTTACGTAAGTATATCCTCTATAGGTATCCTTCTCCTGCCACGGAGGAAACTCCGAGAGACACACTTGGACTCTTTTATCATCATCATCACCATCATCACCTGCGATTCTCTCTATTGTATAGTGCTGTTGTTATTGTACCTGTAGTAATCATCATGTCGCCGGCCGCCATCCGAGTGGGTTTGGGATCATCCTTCCCGCGCCTTCGGCCTCATCTTGGGCAGCCCGTTTCGAGTCTCGTCGCATCTTCTGCTCGGCCTGGTCGAAAATGGCATGCGTATGTTCCCACACAATTTTCGCCAGATTCATCTTGCGGTACTTCTCCAGCACAGCCTCGTCTCCCGTGGTTTTGCCATCCCAATCGAGCAAGTAGGCTCCACCACCGGGCTCGCCGTGGACTCCGCGCATCGTCGATAGGCCTTCCGGGATGGGTATGCCGACGCCGCCGCGCTGGGAGGGATAGCATTGGCTGGTGATTTGGAAGAGATGCCGCTCGCCAGACTCTTGTACGTTCAATATCCAGGGGGTCATGACTGCGTAGAGGACCTTCACGGCCAGTCGCACCGGGCCCGAGAGAGCGTTTGCGATGCCAGTCTTGACTGTGCCGGGGTAGGAGTGGCTGAAGGACGTTCCCGGATATCGCTTCGCGAGCTCTCCGATAAAGAAATCTGTCATCACCACGCAATGAGCAAGACATGCATGGAGAGTGAAGTTGTGTTTCAGATCCAGATCGTCCACTCGCACGTCTCCTTCGGATCCAGCTGCGAGAACCGTGATTACGCGCGATAGCGCGTTGTCCTTGGAGGCTCGCTCCAGACATGGCATGAGGTTGAGAATACATCTCATACGCGCATAGTAATTGACTGACCTGCAAGCAGAAAGGATTGGGTGTCAGTGAGAGTGTCCATGACGAGAACAAGCCCCAGAAAAGTGTGGCTTCTCCTTACATCTTCTGATCGATGCCTTCGGCGGTTTCTGTTCGTCCTTTTAATGTCATGTACCCGGCTGTCAGGAACAGACAATTTATCTTCGGCTCTCGCTCCCGCAGCTCTGCACACAGTTCATCGACATGTCGAAGAAGGCTGATGTCCCGTTGTATGAAAATGGCCTTGCCAGCGCTGATCAAAAGTTGTTAGTCGCACACTGTACCATGTATTCTTTGGTGGCACTTACTTGTTGATTTCGTGGAGCTCTTTGCATATTCTATTACCTTGCTCCTCGTTCCTGGCGTAATATTCCGCATTAGCTAAGACCTCGATCGAGCTGCAGACTGATGAACGCGTCTCACCTGCCGACAATGTATGCCTTTGGTCTGGTCGTCCGCAGAAACAGTTCTCTGGCGGTACTCTCTCCGATTCCACCAGTGCCTCCCACGAACACGGTAACGAGCCCCTCGATGCGCTTACACTGAGCGTTGCTTTCGCGTACTGTGCTGATGTGTATCATCTCCAAATTTGCACCTGCATTCGTCAGCTTTCGACACGAGCCTCGAGAGAGAGTTTGCACGTTTGCCCACCGTAGAGTAGGCTTTCCATCAAAGACATTCAGAGGTCAGAACTACCACGTTTTGGTGAGGTACTGGTCGGCTGAGACTTCGTGCAATGTTCCTTTGTCTATAGCTTGATTCGCGGAATGACCTGGCGACCGTGGCTTGGTTCTGATGCCGTGGGTGGCGGTGGTTGTAAAATGCCAGTAGGAGGTAGTGCCTGCCTGCACTTTAGCAATGGCAGTCCAAGATATGCGTGTATGTATGCGGTACCGGTTGCTCGAGCTGGTCGATACCTATTCTAGTCGCGCTGCATTTCCAAATATGTTCGCGTGTTGATGTAGCGAACGAGGCGAGGAAGTCAGTCCGATGCAAGTTGACCATGACGACGCCGCCGCTTTGATCTTCACGATGCAGTGACACCCTCGTATTCTCAAATACTGAACCAACCCTCCATGCGTATCCAATGTACTTACCTTATCTCCGAAAAATGAAAATACAGGTAGTATACATGATTTCTGCATCAGGTGGGCTCGGGTACTGTAGGTACTCAGCGTTCAGAAGGAAGCGAACAAGAGGCTGTCCAAGGATAGCGAGGTCGGGAGGATCATTTCGGCCTCAGAGAAGGGAGCCTGAAGGCCCCCGAACTGTAGAGGAGGCGTTATACCACCTAGCTCCCATGAATAAGAGCTACTTCATTGGAGAGACTTACTCCTCCTGGCCCAGGACGAACTCTAGTCCTCCGTTGTACCTCGCTGTCCTCGAATTACTCACGATTCACATTGAGGATTGGTCGGTTTGTGTTCAAACACTACCTACCTTACCTAGGTACCTGGCATTATGGACCGTGAAACGGATCCATTGCATGTACTTCCACCACAAGAACAGGGCGTTGCATATTAGATGCATCTTTGTTGCCGCCATGTCGTCTTGGTCCCTTGACGTTTCTCAAAGTACGTGTAATTGACATTTAGGTATGTAGTCTCAAGATTGTGATTCATTTGACACTTCGAGGTGTAACACGAATTGCATGATCGCAATGCGCGTCATGTAGGCCTGCACGTCACTCATACTTGTAGGCATACTTAGTCAAACCATGCACTTCTTAGGTAAACCACATACATCTATACAAGTGCTATCGCTCCTTGAGCTTCCTCGTTGAGATAGCAGCCATTCCTGAGCTCAGTGCTCCAATGAACAGACAGACTCCAATTCCGCTCAGTCCCTCAGTAGGACGCACATCGTCTGGGCTGGCGTCTTTTGCCAGCTCAGGACTCTTGCCAGGCTCTAGAATGGAAAATACCACCCAGCTGATCGCTGTTCCCACGAACTGCGGCAGTGTTGTGTAGATATTCAGAATTCCGAGGTATATCCCACTCAATTCGCCCGTGGGAGACTGCGAAGCCCCACCCGAAGATTCCGAGAGGCGGCGAAGATGAAGAGGTTCTTCCATTTCCATGTCGTCTGATGCACGTCGACTTCGAGGCGTTCGACTTTCTTTACCCCCATTCGAAGGAAGTGTGTGGCCCAGTCTGTTGATCTCGACACCGATCAATGTTGTACATGCAAGCCCCGATATGGCGCTAGGGACACCAGCGAGAGCCATGAGAAAGGTAGCGAAGCCGACAGACTTGACGAGAGGCGCGAATATCAGACAGCAGCTGAACATTGTGCATCCGAATGTCCAGACATCGAGCAGGCTGGGCTTGACGAAGCGGACCTTGCTTGCAACTCCCTCGAGGCTCTTAGGTGGTCGTGGAGTGAAGGTATGCGCTACAGCATTGTCACCTGGACTGGTTACTAGCCATGGCACGACTATTGCTGTGACAAAGCCAATCGAGGAGTGGATGATCAAGGCTGTGCTACCGACGCGCCCAACCTGGCTGAGAGCATCGTCCCCTGTGGGAGGTGTACCGTGGAGTCCATGTCGTATGTAGATCTCGCCAACCCATGTGCTGCCGTAGAACTGTGCGGATTTAGCGAGCCTCTCCAATAATTGTAGAGGCGATAGCGTCACTCACCATCAATGGAAACCAGCCTATCCATGCCCAGAACTGTACGTTGCAGATGTACTGTATTCGTTGCGGGACGAACAAAGCTCGATGATAGATCTGATAGACGATAGCTGACAGAGTCTGATCGGCGTCTGTCTTACTGCTGTCATCAGGGACCAGGACCTTTTCTGTGACAGCCCAGCAATTCACTCCAAACGTAAAGACCATCATGAAAGCTGCAAAAGCGCAGACCTTCTTGAACTGCGTATCACCAAACATGGGAGGCAGCCAGTAGTTCAGATCCAGGGCACCAAATCCGAAGACCAGAATGTGTCCCAGCCCAACCATCCTCGTCACCCATGCAGCTCCCATCTGCTGCTTCTCGACGGGCAGCATATCGACGACGAGTGCCCGACACGTAGCTTGTGCGATATTGATCACAAAGTCCAGGACGTAGATGTCCACAATGGCAAGCGTGACCGTGATTCGCCGTCTCTATCGAGGTTCAATCAGCTTCCCAATCTCACGCTCCCAATATTTTCATGGCGGTCAGAACATACCCTCTCCTCCACATCCGCCCCCTCCCCAGGCACAGCCCACTTCACAATATCCATAGCCCACCCCAATATCAACAAACACACCGCAACAGCGACCGTACCACCCACCATGAACGGTCTCCGTCTGCCATACTTGCTCGTGCTCTTATCACTGATCATGCCTATGATGGGCTGCATGATCAGTCCCGAAAGCGGTCCGGCAATCCACACCAAACTCATCCCGCCTTTTGATAGACCCAGCGCGAGGAGATAAGGCGTCGCGTACGTTTGTTCGGTTCCCCAGCAGAACTGCAATCCTATTAACGAGAATGTGAGGAGAAACAGACGCATGGACTCGGTGCTGCCGCGGATCCGAGGGCGACCGGTCCATGCCGGATTGTTGGCGGCCATGACTGCGATGGTGGTGGTGTGCGATGGTAGGAAGGAATCGTAAGGTAAGGTATTATATTTGCCTCCTTGTCGTTGTTGTCGTTGTGTAATCTTCCCCGTTTTCTCTCCTATTTAAATTCGCATGTGCGAGACGTGCCTGTTGCGGGCATCAGGACCGTTCCCTGCTGCTGCGATCAGTCACATCCGTTGGGTGATATAATGAATGCTGCTACTGCTTTGTTGCACGCGGTTGAGCACCAAAGTGTAAGCTGACGACGAGGCTGCCAGACGCGCAACGAACGCGAGTCGGCGAAGGTGGTAGCGGTACAATCTCTGTGTTTATTGTTCAGGAGAGAGGCGATATGGCAGCAAGACTCCGACATTATTATTGGAAGGTTGACGGCAGGACTGGGGCAAGGGCAAGGGCAGCGACGACGCTGCGAGCCTGCGACGTGGCTACACTAGTGCGCGGATCTTTAAGCTTATCGAACACGAGCGCACGTGCAAAGGGGGCTATAAATCCTGTCCAAAATTGGACCGATGTTAAGCAGAGATGATACCTACATGTACCTCTACCTACCTGACATTACCAATGCAAATTCAGATCGTTTCCGTCTATGTTCGAATCATGAGGCAATCTAGTCTCTAGGTACGATGGTATGATGTTGCGTGGTTCTCGTCACTTTGTACATTTCTCCTTGGGTATGCCATTGACTGTGAAGTTCAACGACATGTCCGCCCCCTCTGCAAGTCCTGTAGCACCGCGTCCTCTCTATTTGGGAAACAGCCTGTCGAGAATCTGCACGAGTACCCTCCCGACCATTGTTGCTGCAGCGACTGGGCCAAAGATTGATAGAAACTCGATTGGATTTCTCATCTGGACTGATGTATTGATGTAGGGCGTTTTGAAGCTGTCCTCAGGGCCACCTTCGATATGGACGGCATCTTTGTCTGCGGGGAACTTGCCCGTCTTCATGAAAACATCCAAAAGCTCATCCTTCTCTCGCCATCGATCCATCACCCACTTGTGCATTGCATCTTTATCGTCAAGTGGCAGTTCTGAGACCTTGAACCTCCTCCAGTGCATGTTCACGCTCTTGGGTGTTCGTCCCTGGAAGTAGACTGAGCGCAGTGTGAAGATCTCGGCACCATATCGCCCAGCCGGAACTCCCTCGTACCCTATCGTGACATCGTACAGATACTCGACAGTGCCCTGAAGCTCCTGCAAGCAGAACTGTAAACCAGTACTCCTTGGCAGGACCTGATGCCTCATGTCCTCGATGCCAGACTGTTCTGCAAACTTCTTGGAGCGAGCCCGCGTGTTTGCCGACAAATTGGTGCCCTCAGGAAAGATCATTAGCCACATCGGGTCTAGCTGCGCCTCTCCAGTCTGTCCAGCCATTGGAGGCGATCGTCTGGTCCTCAGTTTCTGCAACCTGTACCGCATCCTGTCCTGGTCTGTCGCCCACTTCCGGCTCATGAAGATGAATCCAAAAAGCTGCATGCCTGGCCCTAGCGCAGGTATCCACTTCAAAGAGTCCTTGAGGATAATGTATACGTGTCCATGCATAGGAATCGCGTTCGCATATGCTGTCCACCAGAGATACAGCCAATCCGTATACAATTGGTGGTTCGTGATCAACACCATTCTGTTTCCAAAGTCCGTCTGCAACATCCCACTCGCGTCTTGCCTGAGCAAGCCTGCTACACTCTTGTCTCCGGAAACCCTAACAACAGTAGGACTCCACCACTGCGTCATAGTAGTGATCAACAGTCCGAAGAATGCCTTGGTCATGGCTATCCAAGGCCGAAACCAGTCTTTGCTGATAAAGAAAAGCGGCAGTGCCATCATTTGTGCTGCGTGGATACCACAACAGCATAAAAAGAAGTAAATGGCGAAGCCCGTAATGCGCAGGGCCTGCATCGCGGCGCCATGCTTGAGAGGCGGGATGATGCCGTTGGGGTCGTGAACGAAGGCATCGTATTTGGGAGGTGCAGACGTCGACGCTGTCGGCGAGGGTGCAGCCTTGCGCTGCTTGAGCTCACTCATGGTGCGGAGGTGTGTATTCAGGCTGTGGTACTGATGGTTACTGGTCGTGCTATAGTGGAAGAAACAAAGAGAAAGAGAGAGAGAGAGAAGAAACACTAGATATTCTGCTCAGCGTCGCCGCTGTACTAATAATGCTAGCACATGTCTTGTGAAGTGATCAGGCGACAGACGGAGTCGTCTGGAAATGGAATGGACTTGGAATAAATACTGCACGGGGTGGGGTACCAAGACGAGTAGACTAAGGACAGGAGGGACGTTATGAAGAAGGATGATGATGATGGTGCCCGGAAGACGGAAGGAGCTGAGCTTTCGGGGTCCAGCTCAGTTGCTTTTTTTTTGCATGTGTCAGCAGCACGAACCACACGACCTCCTACCTCACCTCGTTCTCGGATCCCGCCGGCCTCGCGTTTTCTCCCACCTCCTCCTCCTCTACCGCCCGCCAAGCCATCCTCAAACATCAGGTCTCTCGCGCCGGGTGTGGACAAGCCGTCACAGCTTGACGATGGGAGCATGAGAGCCATTCTGCGGTCTTGGCGGAGCATTCGAGCGCCAACGCGATCCCTCCCCAGTGCGCGATGTTTTGCGACATCCGCCGCGCGACGCGAAGTGCGCAGCATCGCGGAGCTGCCAGATCGAGTGCATTCTCGATTCCAGGAGACCAAGAGTCACGATCTACTGGCACTGGAATGGCCGTCGCCACCGCGAAATGTGCTCATTGTCCGAAAAGATGACAGCGCAGAATGCCACAGAGCCGTCATAGAATACGCACACCACATTCACGACGTGTACCCAGGTACTTCGGTCATTCTGGAGTCGTATCTGGCACATCGCATCCACGAAGAATTCGCATTCCCCATATACGCTTCCAATGGTGAGGGGCATCCTGCTTACGAGCAGAAGGTTGACCTCACCTCGACCTTTGGCGGCGATGGTACTATCTTGCACGCTGCCTCTCTTTTTGCGACAGCCAAGAGCGTGCCTCCAGTGCTCTCCTTTAGCATGGGCACATTAGGGTTTTTGGGCGAATGGAAGTTTGCCGAGTATAAACGAGCTTTTAGGGAAATGTACATGTCCGGGGCCCCCTCCACAATGCCAGCAAAAAGCACAGACGAGCCGGAGCAGAAGCAAAGATCAAGCGCGTGGACTGCGGCTCGTGGCAAGTCTATGGGTGTGTCTCGCAGCTCTCGAATTTTGTTACGAAATAGGCTATGCATTGGTATCTTCGATTCTGATGGCAACCGACTCCCCCACGAAGCACCCTTCGCGCACGCAGACAGCAAGTGTGAAGATATCTTTGCTCTGAATGAGGTTCTCCTGCATCGCGGAGCTCTGCCTCACTTGGCGCACATCACGATCCTCATCGGTTCTGCACCACATCAGAAGATATTGACGACGGCTATTGCTGATGGTTTCCTGGTGTCGACACCCACTGGTTCCACGGCCTACAGCCTTTCCAGTGGCGGCTCCATCGTGCACCCCCTTGTTTCGTCAATTCTCTTGACGCCTATTTGTCCCCGCTCACTCTCTTTCCGACCTCTGGTGCTGCCAGCAAACACTCCCATCACACTCCGGATCGAAGAACAGAACCGCGGCAAGGAAATTGAGGTTTCCGTTGACGGTGTGCGACGACGGGAAGGTCTGAAGTCCGGCATGGAAGTCCGGGTTGTTGGCGAGGAAGTACGTTCTGCAGGAGCACCTGGATCTCGCGACTGGCTCCGAGGCGTACCTAGTATTGTACGTTCAGGTGGTGTAGGCGACGGGCAGGATCATTGGGTTGGAGGTCTGAATTCGCTATTGAAGTTCAACTATCCGTTTGGAGAGGATGGATGATAAGATCAGATAAGCCAAGATAAGCCCCATCTTTTTACCTTGGCTTCTCATGTTTCTCTCTCTCTCTCTCTCTCTCTCTCTCTCTCTCATACACACACACACACACACACACACACTCATAACAAAAACTAACTACAATGCGCCCTCTGATTCAATCCCCCCACATAAGGCACACAACCATTATTCTGAACCTTGCACGGAAAGTCCTATTCGATGCAAAGGTCAGTATCAGTCCAAAAATGAAAAATGAAAGATAAAAAATAGAAAATAAAATAAAACAAAATAAAAGAAGATTAGAAGAAGAAGAAGAAGAAGAAGAAGAAGAAGAAGAAGTCAACATACCTGAGAACACAAATGTGATTGTCCTCCCGGTTGACCCGTCGCTTCCCCTTCCCCAGGAATACAAACTCCATCTCCTCCGGGAGTTTTGCCGCATGTCTAATTCGTTTGTGTGCGTGTGTTAGAGTGTATTCACTGTATTGGAGGTGACAGAAGAGGAGAGATAAAGAGGGAAAGAGAAACTTACCCAGGCTGTTGTGAGGGATGAGAAGAAGAAGAAGAATAGGAATGGGAGGAGGATGGAGAAGGAGGTCATTGTTGAGTTGGGTTGGGTTGGTTGGTTGATTGGTTGGTTGGTTGGTTGATTGAGTTGGTCGATTGAGTTGATTGATTGAGTTGATTGATTGAGCTGATTGATTGAGTTGATTGATTGGTTGGTCGATTGAGTATTCTGATATATCTGAGGGAGACGATGCGGGGGAGACGATGAATATAAAGTGAGTAAGTGAGAGAGTGAGTAAGAGAGAGAGAGGAGGACAATGAGATGTTTATTGGTACTTGATGATGATGATGATACTACACTAAACTAAACTACTGTATTGACCGGAAGAGCTCCACGGATAAGTTGTTGCTATCACTTTAGTGTTGTTGCTGCTGCTGCCACTACTATAGTGCAGCGTCTGACATATTTTTCTTCTAACCAAGACACTAGCCTGGTTGTGCTGTCTTGGACCGAGACAACTCTTAGTAGCTAGTTGTGTAGCTACACACTGCCATTGTGGGTGGAGAGAGAGGGAGTTGAGATCAGTAAGACGGTTCTTGCTGCAGTACAACAACAGTACCTTATATGAATATACCTTACCTAGGTACCTTAGGTAGGTAGATAGGTACCTACATGTACTTAGCTACATGTAAGGACTACCCACATGCAGATCCCATCGCAGCCCGGCCAAGATATGCACAAACATCAAATACTCTACAAGCTCGTAAAAGTCAGACGGCAAAAGCAGTCCGAATACCTTCCTCCAAGCACGATAAAGCAGTCAGATATGCAGCTAATAAATATCTCTAGATCAATCCAAGCATTGCCGCGCAAAAGCGCCAAGGTAGAGGAAATACCTTTTGACCAGGCATCTACGGGCCACGGCTACGCATATCCAGATTTTTGACACCATTTTCCAATTTGGGGCTTGGTGAAACATGTACAATAGCATCGCCAATGAACACTTGGCGTGGCTACTTGGGGGAGAGAGTGTGTGTGCAGAGTGCCTAAGGAAGGCCGAATCTGAGCCGATGAATGGGACACGTACAGTGTATACAGTATGTAGGAGGTATCGAGGAGGTAGGAGGTAGGAGGTATGCGGACTGCGGAGACAAACGGGAGTCATCTGTACTCCCGTCTCGAACACGATCGGGCTCTAGTCGGGAAAACTCGCTAGGGGCGTGAAATAGATGAGGAAGGGAGATCACGATTGACCCAATGTGCCGACTGTTAGACGCCATTTCTCTCTTTTTTTCCCTTTTTTCTTCCCTTTTTTTCGTTTCTCACTCTGCCACTGCCACCTGCCACCTGCCACTGCCACACAACAGCCCGCGGGGCGGGGGGCTCGGTGGCTGATATGAGTTTGGTGGTTGCATAGGTACCTCTGCTGCAGGTTCATACTCACCGTATACATCCCTACCTCACCTACTACCTAGTGTCTACGATGACATTAATACTAATAATAATCACAAGACTAGCCGATGGGGGTGGCAAACAGAAATGGGCTGCATGCAGGAAAACCTGGAGGCGACATTGCACATAATAGAACCTCAGCTCAGACTGCTCAGTATAAGCCTCGAGGTAATAAATTAAGGTAAATATGGGAAAACCTGACGAGACGAGGACCGGGATGCGAGTGCGTTTGCCCAGGATAGAGTTTCCACTAAGATCGCTCCGCGCTAGAAGGGTCATGCCAGTCGTGACGGGAGCACCTACAGTAGCAGCGGGCGGCGGGAAGAAGGGGGGGGGGAGTCAGTGGATTGACTATTACCTTACCTGGTATACATGTAATTATCGGTCATTCTCTGAGAGTCACGGTCATGACGCGAACAGCGAGCGATACCTAGCATCTACATACCTGCCTGAAGGAGGTAGGTATGTTAGTTATTGTTCCCCAGGTGGATGCATTCCCAAGACAATGGGCGTGTCGCGTGGCAGGAGAGAAATAAAAACGTTTGCGGTTCTCCCCCCCGTCACGCCCAGAGTGCATTGAAAGAAGATCCGAGACATGTGACAAAACGAACGACGGGCCTGACGTCGTCATCCACTTTCGCGAGTCGCGACTCCAGTCCGTCGGTGCGGGAGTAATGTGCAATTCTGCAAGCCTGATCATTGATGAGAGGATAATCAATGCATTATCATCATTATCGTACCTCCCTAGGGCCTACCTGAGGCTACCTCCTAAGCTCCTGGGCTGTATATGCCCTTTTCACGCACGCACTAGGAGGGTACTGACTGGCCTAATATGTCATCGACCAGCGGCAGCAAGCGGCAGCACTCTCTACTGTGCGTCCAATCGTAGTGCTCGCCGCTGCTTCTGCTACTGCATGGCCATGCTCTGCTCTGCTCTGCTGTCTGCACCTCCCGCACCTCTCTCCGCCTCCATGCAGCGTGCCGCCCGTCCATGACAAGCGAGTGAGTGAGTGAAAGAACCTTCGACTACCTTACCTAAACAACCTTGAAGGCACTGTACCTCCTAGTAGATGGGTGCCGGCTTCTGTGTGGTGGTCGGGAATCAACTTCACCTGCCTGCCCTGCCTACCTCCACCGAACCTACTGTACCTACCTTACCTTACCCTCCCTACCTACCACCTACCTTACCTCACCTCTGCTATTCCAGGTGCACTCCCGCCCTCTACTAGGTACTCGCACTGACTGCCCGACCGACCTGTCATCTTGCGACTCCACCCCCAGTCATTGATATTGATGCCGGCCCGGACTGGAATGACACCGAACCGTCTGGGATCGCTGGATGTCGCCGCTCAGGCGCACACGACTATCCTTAGTGGAGCTGCAGTAGCTGGTCCATTGTCCTCATCATAGCATCGCTTCGGACGAGGCCCGCCAATCTCCGCCCTGTGAGACTCTGGTCGACAGCGGCCAGGGAGTCATGTCATCTGCCAGGAACAGCGATGTCTCGTCCGTGTCGTCGGCCACTGCCAGACGACCGCGGAGGAGCATCTTCGCACTTGCCGGCCTGCGCTCGAGCATCGACCTGCCAAACGACACCAAAAATCATCATGGCAGTCCCGCGGGCAAGACGTCCAAGACTGCGAGCAAACTGAGCAAGAAGCAGAAGCACCTACGCGCGCCGAGTGTGTTCACGGACCCGCACCAGCCCGATGCGGCTCGTGACGACAGCAAGGGTGTGCCGGTGTTGGACCAACCACGATCACAGTCACAGTCGAGGCCCTCGTTCAGCATGAGGTCCTCGAAGCGGCCGCCCTCCGTCTTCGAGTCGCTGAAGACCAGCCTGACGAGAGGCAGCTCCGAGGACTTGTTGAGCATGGCCTACACCACCGCCGAGCCGCTCTCCACCACATCGTCGAAAGCACCCTCATTGGTCTTTGACCATACACACGAAGCCAACGGCGGCGTTTCGCCCGGTCCCTCCCGGAATGTGCTGCTCCATGGCGAGGTGCAGACCAGCGCGGGCATGTTCAGAAAGAAGAAGGAATACCTCGTGCTGACGGAGCATGCTCTCTTGCGGTATAAGACACAAGCAAAGGCAGCGGAGCATTTCAGGACAATACCGAGCGCGGCAGGTCGCAGTCCCGTCCAGCGACATGGCTCCATGCCGTCTGGCGGATCGTACAGCGACCTGCAGACAGTCTCAGACTCGTCGGGCGACAAAGATGGCCGTGTCCCATTGCGGCAGATTGTCGCCACGCAGAAGCTGGACGACGGGAAGCCCTACTTTGCCCTCGAAGTTGCCTATCTGGACGATGATTCGGGTTCGGCGTCGGTCATGACGTTACAATTCAGCAATCCCGAGGAAAGAGATGGCTGGCTGGTGCGCATACGGAGTGTCGCGAACGAGGTCAGACTACGTGATACCACCTTCATATCCCCGCACAACTTGGAGAATGCAGCTCGGATCGTGGAACGAGACAATGACTACGATCCTTCGAACTGCGCTATATATAAGGTGGTACAACGCCAGCCCGCAGTCAAGTCGGGTAGCAGATCATCGTCGGACGACTTGACGAAGGTGGCGTCGACCGTCTGCTTTCTTGCCATTGGTGTGCATAAAGTACATCTGATCCAGCTGATGAAGCCGGTGGCCCGCACCTCGAGTCCCAGTCTCACACCTAACCTTTCTCAGGCATCATATGGCATCCTGACGTTAATTGGAGTCAAAGTGGGCGTCGAAGATGACACCTTTGAGCTAGTCTTTCGCCAGCCTTTGCAGAAGCCCCGAATTCTTCATCTGGCTTCTGCCTCATCGTTCGAGATTGCCGCCCGCTTACACTGGTCCGAGAACTTCCTGCGCCCGGAGTGTGGCTATCGATTGTTCAAGTTTAAAGTACCGACCGAGGTGGATGACCTGCTTCTCCCTCCCGCCGCTGCCGATGTGGAAGAACATGGATGCCTCGATCGGACGTTAATCGCGTACTGCGTAGCCTACGGGGTGAATCCTTCCAATATCCGCTATACGATCAACTATGACTGTGAAGATGGGCCCCGATTTGAGCTCCTCACTCCGGGAGACTCGCGGCGACCCAGCTATGGGCCACTCGAGCTGCTGGCGATCATGCGTGCCATCCGGTACAACGAGAGCTTTGGCAGTATATCATTTGCTGGTGTCCTCCTCGATTCGCTGAACGGCCTACATGACCATTATGGCAACGAGCATGTGTGCACGCGTACCAAACGAGGCACACCGATCAAGCTCACTGCAGATGAACTCACCCGATCCTCTCTTCTGGTGCAAGAAGTTCGCGCAATTGCCGCCACGAGCAAGAAGCTACGGCGGATGGATTTCTCCGGCTGTGTCACATCGAAGCACTCCACCGTGGAAGGCGATGACGAGCTCGCGCGCGATCGAGACATTGGAAGTGGAGTCGTGGAAGCTCTGTTTCCGTTATGCAAGCATCAAACCACCAATGTGGATTGGATATGCTTGAACGGCATCGAGCTGAGCGAGACGGATCAAGACTACCTGGTTGGGGCAGCAGTGGATAAATCGTGTCACTTTCGCGCCATTGAGCTCAACCGTTGTGGGCTCAATGATCGGAGCTTGGGCCTCATCCTGGACGCCCTACGCACACAGGATAATACTCTCGAGTCGTTGGAAATTGCAGGCAACGCGGCTCGCCTGAGCCCCACCTCTTTTGACAGTCAGCTTGGCATGTTTGGCTTCATCCGGAAGCTCAATCTATCCAACGTCTCGAGAACGTCGGGAGCAGAACCATTCATCCAAGCGGAGACTCTCTTAATATGGCGTCTCCAAGAGCTACGGCTGACGGGAACCAGCTTGAATGCAGCCACCATTGACGCGATTTCCACCTACCTGGCTCACCCTCAGTCCACGAGTCTACACGAGCTCTATCTGGACAATACATACCTTTCCGGCCATGATGTCGCCACATTACTGCACAGCATGTCATGGGACAGTAAGACCACACGGGATATGCATCTCGACATCGGCCAGTGCATTCTCAGCAAAGGTCTGGAAAAGGTCACCCAAGCCATCTCCAGCAATCTCACGCCCTCACAATTAAGCATGCGGGCCATCGAGTACAAAGAGCAGTCGCACTTCCAGAAGGTCCTCAAGGCAATCACCAAGAACAAGACCATTCGTTGCCTGGACATGTCGCAGTCCGCTCTCCCCGGCGACGCGAGTGAAGAGACCTGTGAGGCCATTACCCGTCTCTTGACAGAGAACAACACTCTTGTGGAATTGGACATGTCCGGAGATGATTCCAGGCTCGCCACATCGAGATTTGGTCCGGGAATCAATGACGCGCTTACGGGCTTGAAAGACAACAAGTCTCTGCAGGTATTCAAGATCGAAAAGCAAAAGCTTGGCATACGCGGTGCGAGCACTCTCGCGGAAGTGTTGCGTGTGAACCGCACCCTACTGGAGCTTCATTGTGACAACAACGAGATTCCACTGCATGGTCTCACTGACCTGGTCAATGCGTTGACAGACAACACTGTACTGGTACATTTGCCGACCATGAACGATGGACGATCAGCGGCTTTTCGGGCGGCGGAGGCTACCATGAGGACCATGTCCGACATTGAGCCTTCCCGGCCGCAGACGGGAGGAAAGGGTTCTCATCTGCCATCTTCGTCGGTACGGAAGAGCTTTGCGAGCGTGCGCAAAACGACGTCCCGAGCAGCCTCGAACTATACGCCGTCCTTCCCAGCTCTGGGATCGTACGGCAGACCAACACCAGTGTCGGAAAGTCGGAATGCTTCACACTTGTCCCTGGCCTTGCCGGCGCATAAGAAAGGCCACGGCTCATCGCCATCCACTAGCCAATTTGCGCCCTTCACGGTACAGGATGTACAAACGACCCATCGGTTGCTTACAGAACAGTGGGAGCGGCAATGCTATCGACTAGAACAGTATCTCCATCGCAACTGGTGCCTGCTCAACAACGTGCCGGTGAAGATGGAAATCGAAGATGAGAAGTTCGAGAGACCCAGCTCGGTCGGCAGCATCGGTAAGATGCTGGAGCAAGTCAAGTACGATACGACACCAAAGGCAGATCTCGAGCCGAGAGTGGGTTACTTTGACTCACCACAAGACGCTCCTTCTGAGCAGTCTGTCGACTTCCCTACTCCCCGGAGGCCAGCGGCATCCACAGCAGGGGGACCGCCTCAGATCTCTCCCATCGATGAAAGCAAGCATGGCATGAGCTTCAAGCACTTTGTGTTTGACGGCAGTGGCAGTCCACTGAGTTCTGTTCTTCCAAGTGACGACGAGCAGTTCCGGTCCATCAGTGGAAACATGCGAGATCTACGCATCGACACTACGATTGGCGACGATGGCCCTCGGACGCCCACGCAGAGTGCGTTTGCTGCAGTCGGTGGTGGTCCGACTTAGGAATTTGGGACTGCTGGCGATGATGAAAAATATCCTGCGTTGGCGAGGTTCTGGTATTTCATGTAAAAACATCATTTTCCCGGTCAGCGTTTTGGGAGGCGGTGGGATTGGATCACGGAAGAAAGCAAGAACTGGTCTCTTTGTTGGGTTACTCGGGAGGAGAGCGAAATTGCTCGAATTGTGTAGGTGTTGTGTGGCGGGGTGACCTGGATATGTGTCCGCTGTAAAAATCGCATTGGTCGGACGGAGACTCTCGTGTGTTCCATTATGGAGAGGGAAAAAAAGGAGGTTCGTTTGTTTGGATGTGGTTACCTTTACTTGGGCATTCATTCATTCCCATCACCGAAAGTCCATCCATTATCATTATCGAAACAAGAAATATCCATCACTCTGTGGATCACACACACAGTGTGCTAGCTAGCAGTACGCTGTATTATTAGGCAGTTTTTGTGTATTACTGTAATTACAAAGAAATGGGAAATTGGGAAATGGGAAATGGGACAGTGAGCGAGTGAGTTGAGGTCCATAAGTAGATGGCGTGAATCGGATGCTGGAACGAGTTAGAAGTAGAAACAGAAGAGGCAGTAGAAAGAAGCAGTAGAAGTAAAAAGAAGTACATATAGTAGTAGTAATAGAGAAACATACCTACCCGACCTACCCAAGGTTGCATGTACCTAGGTTTATATTAATTCCTCTCTGTACAAGTTACCTCTGACAGGATAGGTAGGACTGGACAGGACACAGGACAGGACACAGGACATTAGACACTTTCATATATCCCTGCCTGCCTGCCTGCCTGCCTGCCTGCCTGCCTGCCTGATATAATCAATATACCTACCTACCCCTCAGGTAGGGTAGTCAGAAGAGCTCTGTTCATGTTAAGGTAGGTACCTTTGGGGAACTTTTTTTCCACATACGTCGCTCCTATCGTTTTCCGTTTTCTTCCCCCTTAAAACTTTGTATAGACTGAATTTTCTCTTTCTTTTCTGAGTCTTCTCAAATCTCAAATCTCAAAATCTCGCATGCTAGAATTTCGCTTCGTGCAAACTTCCGTATAGTCGTAGGTTGGCATCGTGTCAAATTCTCGATTGGAGTCTCTATGGCGTTCATTACCTATGTATGCTCCCGCGGCTTGATGATTTTTTCTCTGTTGAAGAAGCAGGGCTCTCGATCAGGCGTATGGTACCTAGTTGTACGGGATTGGGTGGGACTGGCGAAGGGGAGATATGTCGGTGAAAGTGAGGGGCCAAGGGGTGGACAGAGGCTAGCTAGCTGTGGGGAGTCGTGTTGAAGGGGGCGCTGAGTAACTGGAAGGTTTTTTCAAGTCCATTCGTATCAAAACATGGCGAACGCAGTGGACGGTATGGTGCGGCTCTGTTATGATCGGTCCTTCTTCGCGTTGTCATCTGCTGAGTCAGTTCCTCTGTTTCATGGCGTACATCACAGCTGGCCGAAGGCCACGAAACGGTATTCTCTCAATATTGGACATCATGCGTCAGCTGGATATTCGCGCTGATATGTTTTCATCAAGGGCTTCTCTTTTGGGGTTGAATGTCTTATTCTTTCCGTGGCTGAGAAACAGGACCGCTTATCTGTCATCCTGACGAATTTCCTTTTGACGCCATCGCCTATGGTGGTGACAGCAGGCAGATCGCTTCGAGACAACCAAGCCCTACTGCGTCCTCCTGCTGTCTACACTGCCGCCCAAAGCCGTCACCCTCCTCATCGCTCCCGAATGCATGTCGTATTGATCGCAGGTATCATGCGGCTGGTCGTATCTATATCGAGGATGGGTAGAGCATGATGCGCACCATGGCGCCGAACGACTTGGATGGCAGGTTGTGCCTGAACTGTGCGCGTACCAATCCGGAGTTGCCTGCTCAAGGTCCACATCAGTTCCGACGCACTCACTCTCGCACTCATTGACAGCTCGCCATCTCTGCACCATTTCAACGCACCGTGTGTTCGTGTGACCTTGCCCCAGATGACTCGGATCTTGGATCCTCTGATTTCCTTCTTGGCGCGGTAGACGTATGCGATGCGCTTGCCCAGGTAGAACGATGCGGCCTTGGGGTCGTCGACGCCCTCAACCTTGATGAGCGATGTGTTTGGGTTGGTGTTGCGCTTGCCTCTCTGGTATGAAAGGTGCTTGCCCCTGTGAATACTCAGTCAGTACGACTGTTCCCCGGTGATGATAATGGCCACTGTCGCCGCTGTTTTGGTGGTGTTGGGCTGGCAGTGCTCGCCCCGTGCTTTCGGCGAGATGAATACTGACTTCACATATAGACGGTGGCCTTGAGACTCGGACATGTTGGCGGTGTTGTGGTGGGACGTCGCTGGGTGATAGTGTCGTCGCTGGCTTCCGGGTGCGTGAGATGCAGTCAACAATTCGACTTGTGCAGGCGCCAAGCAAGTGTGGGAGCGGGAGAAGCCGCGTGTGCGAAACGAAATGGCGGATGATGCCGACCTGCCGACACGGCAAGTGCGGATCAGGCATCAGGCAGAAACCGTTGTTCCTCTTGGCTCCTTTACGTCACCTCAACTCTGCAGTGCTTTGTAACATGCATGCATGGAAAGGTGCATGAGACCGGGAAAGCCGAGTACATGTAGTAGTGGCACGGATGCTATGGACAGCATTGATTGGAGCATCGTGGAAAGGACTACAACCATGGTCCTTGCTACGTGTCGCTTCGCCTCTTCTCCGCGGCATGGAAATCTTTGACAACATATTCTCCGCATCTCCAGCTTCAGATCGACGCATTTCTTCTTGACCTAATGAGTCCTGTCATGATATGGAGGAGTGGTCATCCCGCGGATGTATAGCTGCCAGATCTCTTTACTTGGGATACAATAGCGCCTTGGGGGCTTCACTGGGCTTGACAATAATTGCATTGACTGCTGCTCGTGGCAATCCATGACCCTCAAGGCGAGTAGAGAGCTCTGATGTAGCAGATGCCGTAAGACCATCGACATAGCTTTTGCTGATTGACCACACCCGTCCGAAGAGTTTAGTAGTAGTGTAGCACAATCTGCTTCTGCCTGCGGACCTGCGGTGGGGGGTGTCTCAGAGTCAAATCGCTACGCTCCGAACCCAAAAAGCCAACCACAAAAGCTGAAGCAAGCAAGCGAGCAAACAGAATGATGCTTGATGTTCGAATGATAGATACATGTAGGTACATAGATAGTGGTCCAGCACGACAAATTGACTGGGAACTTCTTGTTCTCCCCTTCGTTCAACTTCCATTGCAAATAGTGAGCCGTATACTCCAAAATGAATTGCGCCAAAGATACCTACCTATGGTTATTTCCGGCATTGGAATGTAGAAAGTGGAGACACGCCTGCATAAGGTGGTCGAACAATAATATAATGTGTTGTCCGAGCTGACGGCAGCCCAGTCTCTCCGTGCTCGGAAGCGGTAGGCAGATGATGACTGTCCAGTATGCAGCCTCCGGGGAGCGAAATTTAGCGAGAATACTCCGCCCGCATGTGTGCATTGTGTGTGGTGATGAGAGACAGGCTAGAGAGTGGGACGACAGGCCTAGCTACGACTGACTCTGTGTCTGCCGCCTCGTCGAGCTGCCGCCGCGTGCTCTATATCAGCTCGCTGAGTCAACAGACAAAGCAAAACTGAATTGAGAGCATTGAGCTTGGTCTGCATCTCCGTCCGCCGGCTCCAAAAGTACATTCGGCGACTTCCAGGTTATCGTTGGTGGCGAGAAGAAGAGTGAAGTTTAGAAGATTGGAGTGAGGTCTGTTCATGTTGTTGTGCAGTGACGTCGACTGATTTCAGCCCGCCGGATTCGCAGGGACGACGTCTGCCCCACGTAACCTCTGGAACTCCCGGTATCGAGAACAATTCTCAACAAATCTTGCCATCTTCTTCACCACCATCACCACCAACACCAGCCAGCCAGCCAGCCAGCCTTCGTCTCTGCTTGTCTGCCGCCACGACGCCCACCTAGCTATATTGCACCTACCATCACTTCGCCATCAATTCGAGGCAATGGCGAGCACAGTGATCCACCCGGACGAGGAGCACAATGCCGGGTAAGTTCAGCTCCAGTCGGCAATTTTTATCGAGCTAGCTACACCAGAAACCACGCTGGTAGCAACGGGCGTGAAGACGACACAATGGTGGTGACGACGCTGGAACGCGGGCGGGGGGCTTGTTCTCAATGCCACAGCGCTCAGAAATGCATACTCGAGACTCGGCTGACAAATCTGTGTACGTAGCACCATGGAGCTCAAGGAGAACACCACAGTGATCGTGCTCGGCGCTTCAGGCGATCTCGCCAAGAAGAAGACTTTCCCAGCGCTCTTTGGTCTGTTCCGAAATGGCTTCCTGCCTCGCGACGTACACATTGTCGGCTACGCCCGGACGAAGATGGATCACAACGAGTACCTGAAGCGAGTCAAGTCTCACATCAAGACTCCGACAAAGGAGATGGAGCAGCAGCTTGAAGAGTTCGCCAAATACACAACCTATGTCAGCGGGCAGTATGACAAGGACGAAAGCTTCCAGGAGCTGGAGAAGCACCTGGCCGAGCTGGAGAAGGGCCAAAAGGAGACCAATCGTGTCTTCTACATGGCATTGCCTCCCTCAGTCTTCATCCCCGTCTCTGAGCACCTAAAGCGCAACAACTACCCAAAGAGCGGCATCGCGCGAATCATTATCGAAAAGCCATTCGGCAAGGACCTCGAATCATCTCGCGAGCTGGACAAGGCTCTGCGGCCGAACTGGAAGGAGGAGGAGATCTTCCGTATCGACCACTATCTTGGCAAGGAAATGGTCAAGAACATTCTTATTCTGCGCTTCGGAAACGAGTTCTTTGGCGCAACCTGGAACCGCAACCACATCGACAACATCCAGATCACATTCAAGGAGCCATTTGGCACCGAAGGACGTGGTGGTTACTTCGACGAGTTCGGTATCATCCGTGATGTCATGCAGAACCATCTGCTTCAGATCCTGACCTTGCTGGCGATGGAACGCCCAATCTCCTTCTCTGCTGAGGACATCAGAAATGAAAAGGTGCGCGTACTTCGTGGTATGCCCAGCATTGAGCCCAAGAATGTCATTATTGGCCAATACGAGAAGTCCTTGGATGGCTCCAAGCCAGGCTACAAGGAGGACGACACTGTACCTAAGGAGTCACGTTGCCCCACTTTCGCTTCCATGGTCGCATATATCAAGAACGAGCGCTGGGACGGCGTTCCGTTCATCCTCAAGGCAGGAAAGGCGCTCAACGAGCAGAAGACCGAAGTCCGAATTCAATTCAAGGATGTCACATCGGGTATTTTCAAGGACATTCCACGCAACGAGCTGGTCATTAGGGTCCAGCCCAACGAGAGCATCTACATCAAGATGAACAGCAAGCTTCCAGGCTTGAGCATGCAGACTGTGGTCACCGAGCTTGACCTGACGTATAGAAGACGATTCAGCGACTTGAAAATCCCAGAGGCCTACGAGAGTTTGATCCTTGATAGTCTCAAGGGCGACCACTCCAACTTTGTAAGAGACGACGAACTTGATGCATCCTGGCGAATCTTCACCCCTCTTCTCCACTACCTGGATGACAACAAGGAAATTATCCCCATGGGCTACCCATACGGTAAGTCGGTGCAATGAGCGAGATCGTGGAATGAAAGCAGCTAACGCAGACATGTAGGCTCCCGTGGCCCAGCAGTACTCGACGACTTCACCTCCTCGTACGGCTACAAGTTTGCAGACGCTGCAGGATACCAGTGGCCGCAACACCAGATCGAGCCAAACAAGCTCTAGTCGCGTTGTTAATCTAGACCTTGTTCGCCGCCTATAGCGCGCCCCCCCATTTCATCCATCTCATCGAGTGTTGGACGACCATGAACACTTGATACTATCGCTAGTAGATTTAACCCTACTGCAGAGATACGGCGTGGTGACCGGAAGAGAGGCTAGAAGAAGCAGGGCTGAGGTAGAGAGGGTCAGTTGAGCGTCTTCCTGCAAGTACTTTTGCTACACCAACATGTTAGTGAGCTCACCATCATGGCGAAGGCACTGAGACATGGAGAGAGATTGGTGCTCTTACGCCTGGTATGTGGACACCTTGATGAGAAATAGAGATGAATTTACTGTCGTCAACCGATCACGAGCATTTCCACAAGTCGAGGCGGAAGAAGACGTTCGTCACATCCTCACGCCTAGATTTTTCCCCCTTTGGCCTTCCCTTGGCGATTCTCAAATCCAGTCGCGCCAGATGAGAAGCTTAAAAAAAAACTGCTGTAAGACAGCTAAAGACGAAGAAGAGTGCTGCAAAAAGTTTGGGTCCGAACAACCCGAGAGCCTCTCTTCAGCCCTAAGGGCCCCTCTTTTCGGCAACTCTCATGCCAAGACCCCTTGGCGTCGATCAAATCCACCTTAGTCACAGCTGACACATGCACAGCTCCATATTTCCGACCTCACCTCTTCGCAAGATATATATCCTGTACTTTCAGGAGTGCCAAACCCTCGAAAGGGACGGTCTACGCCTTTATATGATTCCTACAAACAGCTCTCGACCAATGGACCGGATCTACTCTACTACTTTTTTTGTCTTTTTACTGCTCAGACAGTCAGGTATGATCACCTCCCTAGCCCCCTTTTCCATAGATGTACGAACCCCCTTTTCCCCGTCTCTTTTTACTAAATAACCTCAAACTTACAGGTAGGCAGGTAGAAACATAGTCTTATTGTTATTCTTAACTCCGGACTGACCTATTAAGTATTACTCTGCTTTCTGTAACGGTAGGAGGTAGGAATAGGAGGAGATAGAGCGAAACCCTACACTTCCCCTTTACTCTCCCCCCTTGTTTTGGAATTTAGTAAAGAGAAGTTTTTTTCAATTCATTTTATTATCTTTGCGCCTGTACACGACGTGATAGAGAGATAAGAGATAGGAGATGAGCCTTACTAGCAGCAGTGCGTTAGCCTTATACGGCGAGAAAATTGAACGGTGTAAGTCTAAGATATTAATGCGTATACCCTCTATACGAGGAATTAGGAAGTCTGGAAGATAGATTGTAAAGAAAGCTAACACGAATACTTATACTCAATACTTATACTGACACTTACACTTATACTCGTACTTATACTTACCCTTATACTAACACTGATACTAATACTAATACTTATACTTATACTTCACTTAGACTTATACTTATACTTACACTTATACTTATACTTACACTTACACTCAACACTAACACTTACACTAACGCTTACACTGACACTTATACTGACACTCACACTTATACTGACACTTACACTTACACTTACACTTACACTCACACTGACACTCACACTCACTCACACTGACGCTACCTTACTACCATGTAGTCCGCTGCCGCCCAAGTCTACATTGGTGCCTTTCGATGACACAGATAGCACACACACCAGGAAGCAACCGTAGCCAATAGATTCCTCCAAAGGATAAGATAGGTTAGTGGATCGAATCCTTCAGACGAAGCGCCTGACCCCCAGCCCCCTGCCCCCGGTCCCCCTCACCCTCCGATCTCCCCGATTCCCCTACAAACAGCTAGGCAACTAGGCAGCAACTGCGCTATCTCATGCACTGTGCCGCTTCGACTCGAGGTAGCCAACTCCGCTACCTTATCATGCACTCACTCTTTGTCGCTTCGACCAGGCAGCAACGGGGCTGTGTACAGACTGCTGTGCCGCTTCGACTGGGAGTCATCCTTACGCCAGCAAGATAGTGCGACGATGTATTTAAGACATTGCCATTTCCTCCTCGGACAACTCTCTCCTCTCTCTCTCTCTCTCTCTCACACACACACACACGCCACTACAGCTCTCTCGCTCCGCCTTGGAAAGACGCTACACTCTCAACAACAAGCGAACAAACAAACAAACAAACAAACTATCGACCGTCGCCGCCCCAAGATCTCTCTCCAGTCGACTAAAAGCACTACTACACTGAATTGAGCGAGTTCGTTCTCTCACATACAACGTACGCTTTGAATCGTGCAACTTCTCTGGTCTTGCCGAAACTAATCAGCTATATAGCAGCATCATGTCCGACGAGAAAGGTTCCATCAGGTCCTCCCAGTATTCTGGAACGAGTGCATCAGTCCATACTGCCGACGCAGTCGGCTACCCGGACGAGGCCACTCGCGCTCAGATGGAACAATCCAGTGCTGCCGCGAAATATGCGAGGAGGCTAAACAGAATAGAGATCGAGGAGTTAAAGGAGAAGGAGAAGGAGCAGAAGGCCTTGTCCGAGAAGAAGTGAAGGCGATACCGCATGAAGCGTCGATCGTGCCAGAAAATTATTCCGATCTCTGGTGTAGCCATACTCGTTGCTTGATTGGTTATTGTACCTAGATTGCCGTTGGCAGAGCACATCAACTTTTACTTTACAATTGAGCCTCACCTTCTACTCCGCACTTTAAGCAATTTGGCCCGCCAGCGTTCTTCTGCCCGCGTTCAACTGCCTGGCATTGGCGTTGGGCGAACCTCTCAATCGTGTCTGGCGAGTGTAACTGTCCGTCTTCCTGTCTGTCATTAGTGCTAGGCTCGAGAGCTTCTCCCAAGTGGCACATATTGGTAGGACACGGTGGCCACCTGAGCAGCTCTTTCGCTGCCCTCCCGCATCGGCCCACTGCTTTAATATTTGAAGCTGCAATTCTGGGCAGAAATATCGTCTTATTCAGCATTCTTTTCTTCAGCCTTCTTTTCTTCGACGTTCTTTTCTTCGGCGTTCTTTCCGGCGTTCTTTTCTTCAGTATTCTTCTCTCCGGCGTTCTTTTCTTCGACGTTCTTTTCTCCGGCGTTCTTTTCTTCAATGTTGTTTTCTTCACTCGTCTTTTCTGCAGCTGTCTCTTCTTCGACGCTCTTTCCTTCAGCTGTCTTTTCTTCGACGCTCTTTTCTTCGGCTTTCCCTTCTTCGGCTTTCCCTTCTTCAGCTTTCCCTTCTTCAGCTTTCTCTTCTTTGGCTTTCTCTTCTTCGGCTTTCTTCTCTTCAGCTTTCTTTGCTTCCGCCTTCTTCTTTTCTTCCGGAAACAATTCGAGAAGCGCTTCGTCGTATTGCTTCTTTTCTTTCACTTTCTTGTCAACGAATTGCGAGGCATCTGCCGTGTAGTAGCGCGCGAAGATTGGATCAAACTCGTACACATGCCTGGGAAAGAGATCTACAGGCGCAAAAATGGGTATAATATGGAGGGTCAGAAAGCTGTAGGTTACACGAGGGTACTTGAGACCGGCAAAGTACCAGTGCGACTTCTTTTCGAACGCTGCACGTATGACGCTCTCGGCGTTGAAGGGAAGCTTTCTCGAGGGGTTACGGGACTTTTGTTCTTCGCCGAAAATATCAAGGAATTCTCGGGACGCTGGGATGAAGGCTTTCTCGTTGGTGATAACCTTCTCACTGGCTCCGACAAAACTATCCTGGATATGACCGCTAAGCCAGAACGGGGGCTGCAACATTTCGAGTGGGAGAGAGCAGGTCCATTCGAGGTCGATAATAGCAGTAATGTTGTACTGATCGTCCACGAAAATGTTAGATTGATGGAGATCTGTCAGCTGCAGGGCAAACGGCCCGTTTCGCAGAGATCGATCCATGAAATGAGATCGAATCGCCTTCCACGCGACGATAGTCCCTAGCTGACCCTCGGCGTCGTAAAATCCTTCGACAGCATTTAGTTGATGTTCCATCCTGGTATCATGGCAATGGAGGAGATCTTCCAGGTATGTCTCGACGCATGTATACGTGGTATTCGGGGGGATCTCACTGGGAATGGCTTCATTTTCCAGCATAGCCAAGGGAACCGTGAGTGGACGGCCGCTGAGAGTCACCTCACCAGAGTCGTGGACCGTGAATGATCCGATCCGAGGTAAGGGTATTTCGATGAGGTCAAGTAGCAGTCTAGAGAGAGAGCGAAACATTTTCTGGCGATCAGCGGGTTCTCGAGGAGGCCACAGCTCGTGCAACATCCTGCCTTGGCGACGCTCCACGAAGTCTGTGATGAAGTAGCCAGTCTGGAGCTGGACTGGGCCCATCGACGGAAAGAAGGGTCGCCAGTATTCGGCGGCGGCGGAGGAAGAGGAAGCGGAAGCGGAAGCGGAAGCGGAGAAGAACAAGAAGAGTCGCTGTAGTCGTTGTCGAAGTGACTCGTAAGCGCGACGAATCCAGGAGCAGCAGACGAGTGGAGTGAAGGCGCGGCCGTCTGACAGACCAAAGCCCCGCAACTGGGGGATGGGCACGCTGGGGACGTGGGCGGACAACCATGCATAGGTGGCAGCCTCGCCTCGCACCTTCTCGGCCGCCATGTCTGGAGAGGTCTGCGAGTGCATGCGATGCGGCCAGGGACATCGCACTGCCACGCGGTAGCCGCCGTCCGTGTCGTGATGATGTTTGTTCCCCTGCGGACGGACGGTCACGGGGATCATCATGTTGAAGGAACCGCCTCTCCACTCGCGCAAGGGCGCGACGGTGCACAGCGCACGGGACGAGAGCGACAAATGATACCTGACGGCCTGCTCGATGGCGCTGGATTCGCGCTGGAGATACTCCAAGAATGCGCGTTTTTGGCGCGGCCACTGCACTTCGACGAGCATGTTGTGGTCGTCTGCGACCACCTCCGCATATGTCGCCGACGGGTATTGCTTGCCGAGGAACATGGTGGGTGGATGGAGAGGGCGATGAAGGAGAGAGAGGAGAGTCCACAATGTGCAATGTCAAGTGAAAGACGAGATGGAATAAAGTTTGGAAGTTGGAAGTCAAGTTGGAAGGAGGAGGTAGGAGGTAAAGGAGGGAGGTGCAATGGATACGCGCGCGCCTAACTCCTAGTTAAGAGGGTCAGGGGATCCACAGCGGCACAGCGGCTTAGTCATCATCGCCCAAACTGGCAGCACTAATCTCCCTCCACCTGAAACAATCCAGGATGCTAGTACCTTTGCTCTCTCTCTCCAATCACACTCCCACTTCCATGCCCTTCAACATTCTGAATCCCCTCCAAAATCTTCGTCAACTCCTTCAAACGGACAGGTTTTGTCAGGAACAAATCCACCCCGGAACTAAACGCTTCCTGCTGCGCCTCGGCGCTTCCCAAACCCGTCAGCGCGATGATGGTCGCCGGCGGTGAGAGGCCTTTTTGTTTTTCGAACCCTCGGATCTGTCGTGTGGCTTCGAAGCCATTAAGGATGGGCATGTTGATGTCCATGAGGATGACTTGGGGTTTGATCGGTGGTGGTGGTGGTGGGGAGGGCGTTACTGCTGCTGCTGTTGCTGAGAAAGAGAGAGGATGATGAGGGGTGGCGTCGATGTGATTATGATCAGGAACATGACCACGACTGCTACTACGTTGATGGGGAAGAGTGGAGGAGGTCGAGTTCTTAGAGGTATTGGTGTCTCGGAAGGTCGTCATTGCTGTTGGGCAGGCTTTTTGCTTTTCTTGGGCTTCCTTTGCTGCTTCAACTTGGGCTTCGGCTTCCAGAGCCGCTTGCTTGTATGACTCAACTGCTTGGAGACCATCTGTGGCTATAATCTTGCGATGACCATACTTTTCTGCGTATGTGACGAGAAGTTGGAGGTTGATTGACTGGGAAAGGTGAGGTTAGTTTGTGCCTTGGTACATGTATAGAGAGAGAGAGAGAGAGAGACTCACATTATCGTCAACGAGGAGTAACGAAACTCCTCTACCGTTCATCTTCTTGCCCTGGTCCGCCTTCAGAGTCATCTGCTTGGAAGAGTCCTTGGCCGTACTGACGCGTGGCTTAGAGCCATTGAGCGAAGGCGATGGAATCCTCGGAAACTTGTAATCCGAAGAGAGTCTCCGCTCCAATTTGGCTTTGTCCAGACGTTTTCCGTGGTCCTTTTGTTGTTGTTGCTGCTGCTGCTGCTGCTGCTGCTGCTGCTCGATATCAGATGGACTTTTCGACTTCTGTGGTGACGGGAACGGTTCTTGTCGGATGCGACCCACAATTGTATCGTATCGGCCTCGATACACCAGTCCTGGCCTTCGCGGTGAAGCACTCATTAGTACCTCGGGATGAGACAATACCATCGCTGGGGTGGTACCGATTTCCCCAACCAGTTCCGTACTGTTGTTGTGAGCAACAGCATCACCGTTCTTCTTCTCCTTTTTCTTCTTCTTCTTCAAGCAGGACGATATGGCTTTGAGTAGACGCTCAGGCCCTGCAGGCTGAGCTATAAGTTCGATATGTCCGGTTGCAATGTGTCCCAGTCCAGGAGTTCGAAGTTTCCGGGCAGACACGGTGCTATCACACAGCACGATGAAGGGCGTGTCGCTGATTGCGCTCGGCGACATGGATCCATCGAAGCAGCCCACTTCCTGGCGGCGGCACAGTTCGTTCCGTAATTCGGCCTCTGTAACGAGGTACACATCTGCGGCTTCATCGCCCTGCCATGTACATACGTGTGGGACCACGCCTACTTCATCGAGAGTCTTATGGACGCTGCTCAGAAGAAGCGCACGTGCGATCTCGTCAGCTCGTTGATTGCCCGAAGGTGTGGACGCAGTATCGATGACGCCGATGGCACATCCGGCCACAGCTCTCGACAGGCCAGAAATGGATCGATATACGAGCGGCCGCGCAGGGTTGCGTGTACCTAAAGGATCCCGCTTGACTCGACTGTGCTCGAGTGGAAGCGTGACGGAGAAGCAAGATCCAATGCCTTTCTCGCTTAAGACTTCAATTTTGCCGTCGAAGGACTTGACAATCTTCGCGACCAGATTCATGCCCAGTCCGGTACCTTCCACCAAACTGTCTTCTTGTGCAAACGCCCGGAACAGGTGATTTTCTAAAAAGTCGCGAGACATGCCCCGGCCCGTATCACTCACGCTGAAAGTGACGCTAAAGCGCTTTTTCTTGTTCTTGTCCGGAAGTGGGGTCGCCTTGAGTGACACTCGAATGTGGCCTTCGCTCGTGTACTTGAGTGCATTCGAAACGAGGTTAATGCAGATACGCTTCCACGCTCCCAGCGCGACACTACAATGCCAATCAATGTCAGGCGTTCGATCGATGTCCAGAACCACTGCCACTTTCCGATTCAGTACCGTCTCTGTATCACGACTACAACAGAAACTGTACACTGCCGTCTCCACCACCTCTTCGGTAATCTGATCAAGGGCGACATCTACGTCCAGCGACATCAGACCGCCCATGCGAGATCGCTTTGCAGCATTCATGGACATCTTGCGACCTTGTCCATCGATCATGGTGGGTGCTCTGCGACTCGCATGATGGTTGATCTTGCTAAAATCGAGCAGGTGATCGATGATATCGAGCAGTGTTCGTCCACATATCTCGACTTGTGAGATGAGATTGGAACTGAATGAATCAAATTCACTTTCCTGCAGACACTCCACAGATCCCAAGATGCCATGCAGCGGACTTCGCAACTCGTGGCTGATGGTAGATATGAAGTCGGACTTGGCTCGGTCAGAGGTTTGCGCCTCGATGCGATGGAGTTCAGCTAGTATCACATCGCAGAATGCGGCTGTATACTTGACTTCCGACTCTTCAGAGAACAGGCGAAGGGGTGAGTACGTCCAAAAGAGAGAAGCGGCGTAGTGGCGTTGCCTGGTGTTGTCCCACATACCAACCAGCCCGAAGCTTCGCACTCCCGGAAACAGCTTCAGTATCTCGGCACAGTCATTCCGGCGGCGTTGTTTCCTGCGCTGTGCACAAGAGAGGATATGTGCTTGCTTGCCATCATCACTTTTGTTACTCGGGCCACATTTACAAGTCTTGTCATCGCTGTGATATTCGGATAAAACGTCGTCGTCGTCATCAGATGCAACTTCGCCGAATTCGTTGAAGGACCATATTTTGCCTTTGGGGTATCTTCGTAACAGAGATCGCAACAACCTCTCGCTGAGATTCTCGTGGCACTTCAAAGCCACTTCAGTGGCTTCATGCGCGTCTTCAACCTCGTTCTTGGTATCACTCGACAGAGCAACTGAAGACGCAAGAACCTGACATTGCTTTCGCGAAGGATCCTCGCCTGTAGGGTACTCAATGATCTTGGTCTCGCCATCGGTGCCTGTGCCATTCGCCTCGGTACATTCGCTATAAGGATTGTTGTCAGAGCTCATCTCAGTGTGCGTCGTGGAGTTGTGACCCGACTCGACAGGTTCCACTAAGCCCCCAAAGGTGCCCACGGCGGCATCTAAGAACACCACGCCATCGACTCCCATGGCTTCCCGCAGCAATGTTGCTGCTCGATTGAACGTGCTGTGTTTGCTCGAGAACACTTCGTGATCTTGCAATGTTTCTGCACTCCTGCTGTACTTGAGAGCATGGGAAGCCGAGTCCACCATGGATGATACGCCGCTGGCGCTACTATGCGTGGAGCTTCGTCGATCCGATGCGTCGTGATGATGATGATGCTGGTTGGACAGAAGAGCAGCTGTGTGCGAGTCGCTCTCTTGTTCACTTACAGCCACAGCTGTCGCGGCGACAGCCGATGCTGCACTCGTTAGCGGCTGCACTCCAAGGGGATGTTGCATAGCCGGATCCTGCTCGACTTGGTCCAGATTCCAATCGGCATTCCTCTCTGCCCAGTCTCGAAAGCCTGACGCACCATCGATGAAAGCACCCAGGCCTGCAATCATCTTGGTGCCCACCTTGTGCTCTGCTGTCGCCCGAACCATCTCCAAGTGGGTCATGACGGTCAGAGCCATATCACGCATGAAATTGATGCTGTCGTCGTCCAGACCGTCACGCGGTTCATCGCCAAGCACGCAGTATGCGCCAATGTTGATACCGCGGGGTGTTGTGATTGGGACACCCGCATAGAATCTCGCCTTCGGTCGTCCACTGACGAATGGCCGATCGTGAAATCGGGCATCTTTGGCGAGATCATTGACGATGTGGATGAAATCTGAGGTCACGTCATTCTTGTTGGTGCCTTCATTGGCGGGCAGCATGATGGTATGCTCGCACACAGAATAGCCGCGTGGAATAATGGCATGTCCGAGCCACAAGTCATCGTTGGCGGCATGCTTGGAATCATCCTGCAGACTCAATGTCCTGGTCGATTCGGCGAGCACGTATGCGTTGGTCGAGTCGAAGAAGAATAACAGCGCCCGCTTCGTGCCCATTCGCAAGGCACCCAGTTGACAGAAAGCCTGTGAGATCAGTTCAGTTCTTGTCACATGATGCGTTCCTTTCGCGGGCAAGACTTCTCCGTACTGTTAATGCTCGATCGGGGCAGCTGAACGGCCGGTGGGACTGCACGGCCCGGTCATCGCCAACATCACATATGGGAGGTCCCGATTTGGTCAGTTCTCTGATGGGCCGATAATAACTGGTGGTGCACACGGTGCGAGTCAGTTCGTAGTACAGGTAGGTAGTGTAGTATATAGTACGAGTAGGTAGTAGATAGGTAGTCAGAGTGCACCAAAACGCATTTGGAGGTAGGTCAGGTCAGGTAGGTGTTGTTTCTTGTTTGCCCCGCGCACCCGATTTTCGAATTCAACGACAACAACAATAACGACGACAACAACAACAAAAGCCCTGGCTGGCCTTACCGATAAAACTCGCGGGCACGGCGGCCCTCGCACAGTTCTCGCATCTTGCGACGCGGCCCATTCGTCTTCGTCTTCGTGGCGGTGGGAGAGGCCATGCTGTCGACGCCGACATCGACACCCGAGTCCTGCTTGTCGAGTGGTGGAGGCAGCTGCTGGTCGCGCGATGGAGGCATAAGGGGCCATTCTTCGGCAGCGGCACAGGCACAGGCATAGGCGCAGGCGCAGGCACAGGCAGACAACGTGGTCTTCGGTGGTGGGATGGAGATTGCCGGCAGGCTGCACGGCGGAGGAGTGAGACTGGGGGGAGCAGTGAGACTGGGGATGAGCATGTTATGAGATCTAGTCGACGCCGAAGTATTGGCGGCGTAGTGGTAGACTAGGGTCCCCATTGAAGCTTGTTTGGCTCTGCTGTGCAGGACTAGAACTAGGAGAACGAGAACTAGGCAGGGCAGAGCAGGGCAGAGCAGGGTAGAGCAGAGCAGTGGTTCGCGATGAGTGTGTGAAGTATATGAATGTCCGTCCTATAGTTCCCGCAGTACTGAGCACCTGCAGGGAGAGATGTATCACAGGCAAAGAGTCAAAGACTATGGCGCGCCGGGGGCGACTTGTTTCTTCCGAGACGAGTGCACACCCTCCCGGGCGGCGGTGCAAGACACAGAGCAGACGTTGTGCCCATTGTGGCTTATTCTCATGGTAAGGCCTAGAACAAGAATTCGTCAGGAGGGAAGTCCGCAGAAACAGGGTCTTGGGATGCGTGCGTAGAGGTATGATTGGATTTGGCTCACGTGCGACTAGGAATTGGGGGTGATATGGGCCGAAGCGAGAGTCAGTAATAAATAGCCTAATGGCTCTCTCATGAAATGGTCGAACCATCTCCCAGCCAGAGTGTGTGAGAGCAGTGTCGGCTAGAAGAAGACGGAATCCATCGTATCGACCTGCTAGGAAGTACTTCCTAGTAGGAGGCTCCTCCTAGGTCCTCATTTCACGGCAATTGTCGATGAGGTACTCTCTCTCTCTCTCTCTCTCTCTCTCTCTCTCTCTCTCTCTCTCTCTCTCTCTCTCTCTCTCTCTCTCTCTCTCTCTCTCTCTCTCTCTCTCTCTCTCTCTCTCTCTCTCTCTTTCTTTCTCTCGCTACCCAGTAGTTACTGACCAGCAGCGTCACCAGTTCACGGATCTGCAGTTCTCGAACGTGCACACTCGGACGACTTCTCGGAAGACGGTGGCGAAGTGAATGAATGTACACAGGGACAAGTCGCAGCGCGTGGAGGTCACACTGCTACCCTGAGACGACCCTCCTTCATATTGGTGTGACAGTGAGGTCAGATTGGGCGTTGTGGCGCGATAGGGGTTCTTCTATTGCACTGTGCGAGAGTGATGATGGGAATACATACCTTATGCATGTAGACGGCAGTTCTCATCACTTGTTGCTAGTGGACTCAACATCTTATTCTCCTTCTACTGTATACCACTAGGAGGCACTGTCAAAACTGTAGAATAAGGTACCTTCTAGTAAGAGTCTAAGAGACAGCTTCAGCCACACCTGACTAAGCAATGCTTTCTAAGCACCTTTTGCGCCTCTGACAAAGCATACCTGCCCGACTAAGGTATACATTTTGGGATCGTCGTAGCCATCTCCAACCTCATCACATGCACCCTCGCAAGCCACGCCATACATGTCTTCTTCTTCTTCGTCGTCGTCGTCGCCCTCGCTAGCTGGGATCAAGCACATCGTCCTCGTCCTCTCCGGCAAAGGCGGCGTCGGCAAGTCCAGCGTCACCACCCAACTCGCCCTCTCTCTATCCCTGCAAGGCCACTCCGTCGGCCTTCTAGACGTCGATCTCACCGGCCCTTCGATTCCGCGATTCCTCGGAATTGAAGCCTCCAAAGTCACACAGGCGCCTGGCGGATGGCTGCCCGTGCCCGTGCACGAAGCAAGAAATAGCGAGCAGCAGACGAGTGAGCACGAGGAGAAGAATGGACAAGAACAACGACCACCACAAGCCCTGGGCAGACTCAGCGCCATGTCCCTCGGTTTCCTCCTCGCCAACCGGAGCGACGCAGTGGTGTGGCGCGGACCCAAAAAAACCGCCATGATTCGCCAATTCTTGTCGGATGTCCAATGGGGCACCTTGGACTACCTCCTCATCGACACCCCGCCGGGAACCAGCGACGAGCACATTTCGCTCGTGGAAACTCTGCTCAAGTCTGCGACGCCGGAACAGTTAGCGGGAGCAGTCATCGTGACGACCCCGCAAGCCATCAGTGTCAGTGATGTGAAGAAGGAAATCAACTTTTGCCGGAAAGTCAATGTGAAGATTCTGGGTGTGGTGGAGAATATGGCTGGTTTTGTGTGTCCGAATTGCTCCGAGTGTACGAATGTGTTCTCCAAGGGTGGTGGACAAGCCATGTCCCAAGAGTTTGCCGTCGATTTCTTGGGGAGTCTGCCCATTGATCCCATGTTCATTCGCCTGATTGAAGAAGGCAAGCGGCCGAGCTATCCAGAAGGCACTGTCATCAAAGGTCGCCAGATGCAGACAGGGAGAGAAGGGGAAGATGCGGAAAATACGGAAGGCTTGCTTGTCGACAAGTATACTGCTTGCTCTCTACAGCCTCTCTTTGAGGGCATTACTAAAGCGCTGATTACGAAAATTGGAACATGATACGACTCTTCCATCGTCCACGTGGAACGCAAAACGCCCCCATCCGGAGTCTCTCTCGACCCAACAACCCAAAGTCCATGCTCGAACAACATGCCACTCACTCCAAACCCGCGCCGATATCTGCAGACCCTAACTGTACAGTCTTTCATGTGCACCCATCGCCCTATCGATCCTCTCCGGCTCATCACAGAGCGCAATTCAGTCCCAGCAATCCACAATTCTTTGTTGGAGTAGCCGCCGGGGCCACAGTGGGCGAGCTGATCGTAGTCGACGAGAGAGTAGGCTTGGGCACAGAGCTACACGAAGTGAAGTTGTTCGACCCCACACTACAGTACGAAACCGTAGAAGTCGTGTACACGGTCGTGACTGGCAAAACGACTGTAATCTTGCTGTTGCTCGTCGTCGGTGTGGTGACGGTGCTCAGAGTCGCCAAAATCGGACTGCCAGTGCCCGCACTGGGAGTGGGGCCTTCACAGAGCAAACCGCCGAGGACATTGAGACCCAAGACACATCTCTGCGTCGTCAAGCTAGATTGGGATGAAGGGCCACAATTGAGTCCAAGCAGACCACAATCAGAATATGTCGAGGTAGATGATGATGATGGAGCCGCAGAAACAGCAGGCGTCGTGGTCGTGGTCGTCGTTGTCGGGTAGACATAAGCGGAAGCCGATCTCGAGCTCACCACAGTCGGTCTCGCAGTAGCCGCCAAAGAAGTAGAAGTAGATCCATCCGGTTCAACAATCCTCTTGCCAGCCATGACCACCGTATCCGCAATACTCGATCCCTCCGCCACAGTTCCCAGATCCGAAATGAACACACATTGCCCCTTTTCTGCCGTAGCAGCAATGCAATTCGTCATATTCGAGCACTGATTGCTGCACACAATCGTCGAAGGCACAGTAAACGCCGCAGCATTAACATCTCGTGCATCCAACTTCTTCATCTCAAATGAATCATTCTCCTCCATCATCTCCATCTCCCCCCTCGTAGAAATCCCCGCCGACCCGGTAATATTCACACTAAACGGAAACGTGACATTACACAACACATTGTAACTCGCCCCCGAGAAATCCACATACTGTCCTCCATTCGCCCTCGGACAAGACAAATCCACGGGCGAAGCAGAATCCACCTGTCCTCCTCCTACACTCGTCACACCCGCGACGGAGAAGGACGAGGAGGTTTTGTAGGTACAAATTTGCGAGAGAGAGGTATATGACGTTCCGGCGCAACCGGGGACAGAACTGCAGGAGTTGATGCAGGATTGGAGATTGGGTTGGAGGGAGGTGGCGAGGTCGGAGGAGCTGGGGTAGTCGGTGCCGCATTGGATGGAGAAGGCTTGGCCGGAGGGAGAGACGTATGAGAGGCCTTGGTCGAGGGGACAGTTGATGACGGGGCGGGTGGCGAGGGTGGGGAGAGTCAGGCGGGGGATTGTTGTGGTGGATGAGGAGGAGGAGGAGGAGGAGGAGGAGGAGGAGGAGGAGGAGGAGGAAGCGCTTCCTGTTCTGGAAGAAGATGCTCTGCTGGATGATCTGGGGAGCGAAAGGCTGGGGATCGACAAAGATGGGATCGACAAGCTGAGGGGCGGCAGTGACACGCTTGGCAACGAAGGTACCGAAAGCGGGTTCGATAGCGAAGGAATGCTGATGCTGGGGATCGACAAAGAAGGAATCGACAAGCTGACTGGCGGCAGTGAAACACTTGTTGGCAGTCCTGAAATCGTAGGGATCGACAAGGAGGGAATCGACAATGAAGGAATCGACAACGACGGAATCGACAGCGACGGAATCGACAACGATGGAATCGAAGGACTGACAGCCGGCAGTGAGACGCCCGTTGGCAAACTCAACGATAGCGAAGGAATCGAAAGCGGATTCGATATCGAAGGAACACTAATCGGAAGTCCCGAAATCACAGGTAACGAAATGCTCGGAAGGCCCGTGGGAAAGCCAGATCCAGAGAGTGGCAACGAGGGAGCCGAGATGGGCGGCAAAGACAGACTTGGAATAGACACTGCTGTAGGCAATGGCAAAGAAATTCCCGGAATACTGTTCGTCGGGGTCGGCAACGTCAGAATTCCAGTCAGGCCGGGCAACGAGAGACTGGGGATGCTCAAGGCCAGAGACGACGGGACGTTGGTGGGAAGAGCTGATAACAAGGAACAGATGTTTCCGGTGGGACCGTTGAGAATATCGATTAATAGTCCTGCGTCCCCGAGAAAGCCAGACAGGAGAGAGTTGATGTCGCAAGGGAGTTGACCTAATGCTGAGGATAGCGCGGATGGGATAGCGATTGGTGCGGTAAGGACTGGAGCGGCCGTGGGGATCAATCCGCCCAATATGGAACTCAAGTCATTGCCCACCCCGCCCAGAATGGAAGAGAGAGGGAGTCCGGGCAGAGAGAGGGAAGGCAGTGCGAGCGAAGGCAGTGCAGTTGGCAAGGCCGACAGGAGAGAACAGATGTCCGAGGTGGCTCCAGCAAGGATAGACGAGACCTGCGGGTTGGCTCCGACTTGGCCAAGGAGTGCATTGGCATTGCACGGGAGTTCATTCAAAATGGACGAAAGTGAAGAGGGAATGTTGATTGGCGCGGTAAGCACAGGCGCAGCCGTGGGGATCACTCCGCCTAGGATGGAACTCAAGTCATTGCCTACCCCGCCCAGGATGGAAGAGAGAGGGAGGGTGGGCAGAGCGAGCGAGGGCAGAGTAAGCGAAGGCAGCGCAGTAGGCAGGCTCGACAAGAGAGAGCAAATATCCGAGGTAGCTCCCGCAAGAATTGAGGAGACCTGCGGGTTCGCTCCGACTTGGCCGAGCAGTGCATTGGCATCACATGGAAGGCCAGCCAGTATAGACGAAAGCGAAGAGGGAATGTTGATGGGTGCCGTAAGCACAGGCGCAGCCGTTGGGATCAATCCATTCAAACCAGAAGACAGTCCCGGAAGGATTCCACCCAGGATGCTAGAAAGGGGCAGAGCCGGTAAGCTTGGTGTTGGCAAAGGTAGCGAGAGATCGTTCAAGATCGAGCTCAGAGGCAGTCCAGGAAGAGACAATACTGGCGGCTGGGTGGGCAATGCAAGTGCGCTCGCCAAGGCCGTGAGGAGATAGCAGATGTCTTGGCTAGGTCCAGCGAGGATAGCGGAAACCACTGCATTGTTTCCTGTGAGCTCTCCTACGAGGCCGTTGACGTTGCATGGGAGATCGGACAAGATGCTGGACAAGGCGTCGGGAATCGAGATTGGTGTTGTCGGCTTGGGTCCAGCGGTGATTCCTGCTAACAGAGATGAAAGTACATCGTTGGTGGGAAGAATACCGTTGAGAGCCGATGAGAGATTAGGAACCAGCTGGGTCAATGGGTTGCCGAGAGATGGAAGTGGACTTGGTGTTGGCAGTTGACCTAGCACACTTGAGAGGCCAGGGACAATATTGGTAAGCGGGTTGCCAAGAGATGGAGTAGGCAACTGGCCCAGCACACTCGAGAGGCCAGGGACAATATTGGTAAGCGGGTTGCCAAGAGATGGAGTAGGTAGCTGACCCAGTACACTTGAAAGGCCAGGGACAATGTTGGTCAAGGGATCAAGATTCGTCAATGGGTTGCCAAGAGATGGAGTAGGCAGTTGACCAAGAACACTTGAAAGGCCAGGGACGATGTTCGTCAAGGGGTTTCCAAGAGATGGAAGTGGACTCGGGGTCGGCAGCTGACCCACAACGCTTGAAAGGCCAGGGACAATATTGGTCAATGGGTTACCAAGAGTAAAAGTAGGTAGCTGACCCAGCACACTCGAAAGGCCAGGGACAATGTTCGTCAACGGATTCCCAACCGACGGCGTAGGAAGCTGACCCAGCGCACTCGAAACTCCGGGGACAACATTCGTCAAAGGATCAAGGACCGTCGACGGATTCCCAACCGACAGCGTAGGCAACTGACCCAACACACTCGAAACTCCCGGTAGGAGATTCGTCAAAGGAAGATCCGGAAGTAGAGGAGTCACAGCAGTAGGAGTAGCCAAAGTAAGCGGAAGCAAAGTCCCCGCCCTCGTCCCAGACAACGTCGTCGGAATGCCTGGAACAGTGGCAAACAAAGTCTGAGTGCCGTCGTAGTCCAGTGGCGGGACAGTCACGGTATAGGGATAGAGGATTGTGAGTTGGGGTAAAGTGATCAAACTGGTCTGTGTGAGGGTGACGGTGAGATCGAGGTCTGCCGAGACTTGGACTTGGGTGACGAGGGGTAGAGCATTGTTGAGTAATTGGGCAGAGACTCCAGTGGCTGGTAACAATAACAAGAAGAGAGGCCACAAGCTATGGCTTGTTGTTGTGCCGCCTCGTGACCCTGAAGAAGAAGAAAACATAATAACGAGTGTGGGGTGGCAACGAGGTATGCCGCTTTTTCCTGTGCTGGTCGCGATGGTGATGCGAGTCGGTGATTTCTGGCTTGCGTTTCCATCGCGACAGAAGCATTATGAACTACAGAGTCCGTAAGATTTGTTTATGATGATTGTTCTGGCTGGCATGAGGATGGGGACAAACAAGATGAGAATCCAGTGTCTGGCCTGTGGTACGACTGCAGAGCTGGGGCCAGCTTCGTCTCATCGCCAGGAGCTTGGGACAGTGGAGCGTTCCCCGAGCCAAGATGCTATTGATACTTTCATGAGTATGCATCATCTCCACAAGAGCGGCATGCTCATGAGATTACGAAGGTCAGTCTCAATAGAGCTGACGTGCTTGCGGGCCTGTGCGTCGGTGGGACGTGATCGATCATCGGTGTGTTGTGACTCAGGACAGCGTAGGGTAAGAATGCATTGGAGCCAGCCAGCTCAATTTAGCGAACGCCCGCTATGTCTGGCGACTTGAGTGAGCCTGCACGCCCATGACAGCAGACCGTCAGAACATCCCATCTGCTTCAAGTGCTAGGTCTTCGATGCCAACTCACTCCATACCACTCGTATTGTCCAAGAATCATCCGCTCAACAGTCTATAGCAAGCTGGCCAAAGCCCGAGGGTAGAACCGGCTCCCTGACCGGCAAGCCGAAATAAACGAACGTCGGACTTGTTACATTCCTCGGCAGGGGCTGAAGCTTGAGACTTGTCGAATCAGCCGTCTCGGAGCCGGAATGTGTCTGGTCGACATTTCGGCCCGCGAATTCCCGCTTTTTTTTTCTTTGACAAAAGGATATGAAAATATCCTATCCATCAGAATTGGTAAACACGAGACGCGACGCATTCCCCATGTTTGCGTTATTGTCGAGAACAACAGAGTCTGTAGCTGCGGCTTGCCCGTCTCTTTCTATTTCGTGAAGCTCACATTGGACCGACTGAGCTTGGTCATGATGTGGAAATCATGAATTACGTGCCGCTATATACATGTAGCTTCCTTAGAAAGCCCTATGGATGGACTTGGGTCCAGGTTACTCGCGAGGAATGCAGTGGATATGTGTCCAGCCGGCGTCTTGCTGTGTACGCTTTGTGGCTGGGTGAATGAGGTCAGATGGCCTGGGGTGTTCTATTCTAACGAGTGTTCGTCTCTCTTCCTCGGTCTTCGCCCACGTTCGCGACCACAACACCATTCTCCGAGGTATCTTCGCTGTCGCGATACAGCCAGAATTGCACAAACACAGCAAAGTCCAGGAACAGGGTCCCCAGGCTGCCTAGAAGCCAGCTGAGGTTGACGAGAATGTAACGACCGTAGATTGCTTGCGCTTCGCCAGGCTTACAATGACTTTCTTGCCAGTGGCCATGTCGGTGGTGGCTACAGATGGGCTGGAATGCAAGAATCGAGCAGACATAGGTAAGGTTGCCAATGCATGCAAAGAGGAAGAACAACGCATTCAGACCTTCCGTGGACTTTCTTCGGTAGTTGAGCAGGAGCTGGGGAACACGGCTGCCAAGATACAGGACAGCGCAGATATAACCAAAGATCTGGCCGAGAGTGCTGAACTCCAGGCTATCCGCTTGGTCGTCTGCTGCATGCCCGCGCTTTTCTTCCGGTGCCGACGGAGTCAAGTAGTAGCCCGCTATGCCAGCGAGCACGACAAGCAGGATTGCTGTGCCATTGAACAGCACGGACTGCAGCAACGACCGTGGTTGAGAGGGCTTCATCGCATCTGCGTCTGGGGCATTTTTCGGCTGGTCGTGAATCGGAACAGCTGGTGAAGAGTGAGCGTAGTCGAGGCTGAGCAACCGGTCCCTGAAGGCCGAGCTCGAGCGTGCACGTCTCTCGACATCTGCTGCATTTGGAGGAGGTGCTCTGGCGGGACTCGAATGACCATTAGCGTGGCCGTTGGTGATCAGCGGCGATCGCTCAGTGGCAGTGGCAGCGGCAGGCCCATCTTCGGTCCTGGCGTGCTTGACAGGTGGTTTGGGATCGCGGAGGCGGAAGCCGGTATAGTAGAAGTACTGGCCCAGCAAGACAATGTCGGCCAGCGTGTAGTATATGGCCAAAATGAGCATTGTCGCCAAGACATGCTGAAACACGGCACCGAGGATGTTGAAGATGTCGCCGAGCAACCAGATGATGATGAATTCGACACTCAGCCCTTCCGCCGAGCTTCTGCGGAAGTTCTCAATGATTTGAGGACTGAAGACGACGACCCAACACGCGATGGATATGGAGCCGCATACTCCCGAAATGGTTTCAATGTCGATGCTGTAGCTGCCGGATGGTGGGAAGAACATGCTGGCTGCTTTGAGCGGCGGACGCGTTATCTGGTCTGTATTGTCTGTATTGTCTGTATTGACTGTATTGACTGTAAGGTACTGTCCGTCTTGTCCGTATTATCTGTTTTGGTCGTGTTGTCTGTGTTGCCTGTGTTTGTCTGTCTACAGCAGGCAAGTGTAAGAGATTGAAGACCAGGTACCTGTATTTTCGCGGTAGTGACGACAAAGAAGCTTAATTTTTAAATTGTTATAACCTGCAGGTACAACCTTATTTGTTAGGGTTTCGCTTTCTCTATTGGAGCATTCTTAGGGTTGCCTAAACTAAATACTGGGACAGCCACGATGAGAAGGCTATGTTGTCTCGGATATGATGCTGATGAAGTCCAGTGGTAGTACAGGGTTGAAGTATAATAGCTGTGCAGTTTGTACGTATTTGAAGATGTTTTGGGGCGCAACTTCATGAGTTTATGAATACTGAAGAGGTACCTGAAAGGGGTTGGTTTTCACATACTAAATCCATGTGAACGAGCCAAAGACTTAGACAATCATTCTTCAAATACATCAGGCATGACACTATCACATGAGTGATACTCTGCGTCAGCATAGAAGCGAGAGCATATACCGCTTCATCAGACGGGAGTACGAAGATTGGACGAATGCATAAATGTGTCTCGAGACTACCTACTCATACAGTAGATCAAGACACTCTTATTCAACGCTGCTTCCGTCTTCAAGTAAATCTCTCCACAGAGCACCATCCTCCAAGTACCCATGATGAATCACGCTCACAAGCCAATAATCTTTGCGGATGCGTTCGAGAAGCCTACTGCTTTCTGAGCCCGGCTTGTAAATCCTCTGCCATTCACTCCAAATGCCAAACGCCTCTTCGCACCATGCCCGGAACGATACTGCTTCAATCATCGTGGGTGTGATGATCTCCTTCCCAGCAAATGTGCCCCATGTGACTGGATTCACAGACTCGGCGTTGTTGCTGGCGAAGTCGCTCTTGGCGTTGCCAGCGAAGTATGTGATCTGAGGGTGCTCAAACAATTTTGACTGCAGCTTTTGCCATTCATCGTTGGGAATGAAGAACTCCACAAACGGCTTCTGAAACACAAAGCCATTTTTCGGGCCCCAACCAAAGACGGGATCTGTAGATGGCACTCCATTGACGGCTGGCTGTGAAGCTACAGTCCACCAACCCTTGTTGATCAGCTGCAAGAGTTCGTTCTTGATAGTGAGTGTCTCCGGCTGCAGACTTTCCTCAGACCAAGGCATCGTGTCAATCTCGCCTCCCAGGTGTCGGGCGAACGACTTGGAAATATCCGCAACTGACTTGGGCTCGCCCCATAGTCTCCTGGCTTCGGGCACACTCACATGTAGACTCACACCATAGCCATCGATCTGTCCATATGCAGGCGACCTCGCATCTCCCCAGCGCCCGTTGGGGAATTCGTCCCAGGTGGCTTCTCGACCAAGAGAACCCTCACCTTCAGAGATCGCGAGAGTGTTGGCGCGGCTGTTAATCGCCTCTCGTGGCACCCCAGCTTCGTGGTCGAATGTCTCGTAAACGGAGGAAGCCCGATTGCTACTCGTACTGGACTCACGTGCACTCGATATGATGACACGATTGCGAGGACCAGAATTTGCCATCGATGACCGTCTGCGTTGCTGCTTCTTCTTGGCCTCTGCGATGATGACGAAGTCGTCCACTTCGTCAAATGTCGTGGCCTCATCACCCAGGTTGGCGCCTATCGTAGGCGTACTAGGAGGTATGAGACTGTTACGTTCGAGAATCTGCGCGACAACCTTCTCCAGGTTCAAGGTGTAGAAGTGGAAACCTCGAGGACCAGGGAATTCAGAGTGCTTCATGGTGTCCAAAATCTCACCAAGAACATCGAGACCTACTCTCTTTACGGCCTCGTCATCACCTTTCACTGCCTCAAATCGCCGGAGGATCTCCGGCGGTAGTGATGCATGACTGAGCTTCGTTGTTCGACGAAAGATCTGATAGCTCTGCACAGGCATGAGGCCTGGTATGATTGGTATCGTCCTGAAGATGCCCGACTCGTGCTCACGTAGGCGCTTTTCATACTTTTGATACGCATTGACATCATAAAAGAGCTGTGTCATGATAAAATCTGCACCGGCCTTGGTCTTCTCCACAAGATACGGAAGATCATGTTCGATAGACTGGTGTTCTGGATGGGACTGATCTGAGTGTCCTTCTGGATAACCTGCCACACCAACGCAGAAGTAATCGCCGTACTGCTTACGGATGTAGCGCACCAGGTCGACAGCCCAGGTGAAGTCCTTGTTGCTGTCATCCTCGCCCGCATCGGGAAGACTATCGTCCCTGTATTCATCACTCCTAGGCGGATCGCCACGCAGCGCCAATATGTTTCTGATCCCCAGCACTTTTGCCTGTTCCAACGCTTCGTCAATGAGCTTCCGCGACATGTTCGTGCATGTTAAATGCAGACATGTCGTCAAGCCCAACTCGCGCTGCGTGACCTCTGCCAACGCCAGAGACTTGGCAGAAGTGCTGCCGCCAGCGCCCCAAGTGACATTCACAAAGAGCGGGCGCAGGGAGTGCGCCATACGCGACAGACGAGCATTGAGATTGGCAAAGCCCTGTTGCGTTTTCGGCGGGAAGAACTCGAGCGAGAAGTAGGTGGCGTCGGACGGCAAGGCCGCGATCTTGTCGGTGATCTTATCCATGGTCTTGGTGGACGAGCACGGAATGAGCGCTGGGTGTGGTGTTTAGCAGAGATGTCATGGTCGAGAAGGCAAGTGGCAGAAAAGTGAGGTTTCAATTCGAACGACGTTATCGCCGGATTCGGGCGAGACGTGACCTCAGACTCTGTATTCTTGGCGGCAACAATACTCTATATATTAGAGCGACCTTTTTACGTTACCTTGCCAGGTAGGTACATGTGCCTACCACTGATGACGGCCAACGTCGAGATGATTCTACAGCACGATCTGACCGCGGCCATGGCAATCATGAGCAATAGGACCGCCATGAAATTTCCAGTGACGCTAGTAGGTAGGAGACTGACTCGGCAGAAGCAGGCATAAGTAGTTCTACCGTAAAACTCACTTATTATTCGAGCATTATAACAGCCTACTAAGGTGACGATGTCTACCTGAGAAAACTGGAGGTGAAATGGGGGGTTTCTTTGCCTAGAAACCGTAGACAATGCCCGGGGCACAGACAGACATATTCTAATTGTCGTTTAATCCCATTGATTTCAGTATACACATCTACGCTCAAAACGAATCGCGTTACATCTCTACGCGTGTTTGTGACTATCTCACCAATTCCCACACCCGGGCAGATTCTCCACAAGAAAACCTATCAACGTCGTCGTCCTGTACCTTAGGTAGGGCTGTTTACTATAAGACAGCTGCAGCCCCAAATCATGTATCCTAACCCAGTCCCACGAGTTTTTCCAGGTGCAGTGATCTAACCCTAACCTGGAAGTACCCAAGACCCCGAGGCTGTTCCGTAGGCAACTACCTAACTTACATGTAGTAGTCAGGTCGGCTCAGTATCCAGGAGACGCGACATCGTCACAATACGTGCGACAGTCTCACCTACTCAACCGACCTTCTCCAAGAAAAGCGCACGAGCGATGCTAATGGAAGCTGAAAAAGAGATGGAAGAGATGGAAGAGGAGAGGACTGGATGAGTTAAGGATGGTTGCGTCTGCTACGATACGAAACGACAGCGACGGCCACAGCGATAGCGAAGACAACTCTCACGAGAGAACCCGAGCGAGCGGTCCATGGCTATAAAGCAAGAAGGATAGTAGAAATAGCTTGCGCAGAGAGAGCAGAGACAGAGCCAGCGACAGCGACGATGCCCATACCACACGAAACAAGTTGTAGAGGGCACGGCAGGTAGGTCGACCACAAGTCAGACAATGGCTAGGTGCTTGACATGATCTCGTCAGGCGGTCAATCGAGCAGCAAATTCTGCTGCCCGGTCAAAATGCTCTGCCACCAGGCGGTCGTTGTTGGTCAAGCGCCTGCTGCTGGGTGGGTGTGAATTGCGACTGGGGAGGCAGAAGTGCTTTCGCGGCGACCTGCTGCTGCATAGGCTGATAGACAAGCGATTGCTATCGCAAGCATGCCGCCTTGGCTCGTGCAATCTCAGCTGTTGAGATATGACATGCCAGTTGAAGATCCTCTGCTCGCGACGGTGGCTTTCTGCAAATATGACGTCCCTGTGTGCCGTGGGTTGCATTACAACTCCATAGGAGCTGAAGAGCACGAAGGAATGTGGAAGACGTGAGGCACCGTCACTGACCTTGACGACTCAGGACAGAGTTCCGTCATGTTACCCACTAACCTGAGCGTTCAGTTTTTAACGAGTATCGTTGTTCTTGCAGGTGACACATCCTACCGTCATCGTCCGACGATCACCTCCCGACCATGGACCCATGGTGCTGCTTGTGCACGTGTTACACAGCAGTAAAGCTCCCAGGGGGAAACTGTGGGTGGTAGGAAGTGTGTAATCGAGGGCTGGGACAAAATCGACAGTGAAGCTGAGAAGTGGATCTGAGCGTACGTCGGCGGCGATAGATCTCCAATGGTCGAACCATCAATTTGCGTCATCCGAAGGCGAGGGCGAGGAGAGCATCTCGCATGCTGGACGGATTTCGCAGGATTTCGAGATAGGACGCCGCATCTTGCAGAGGCGAACGTTGCTTCTCAAGTTGAGGGAGGCCAGGCGAAGACTTTCCCGACCTCATCAATCCACTTTTGTATTGTGGAACGGCATATTGCAGGCGTTGAGGTATGACGATACCAGCCGCAATCTCACGCCCTTACTATAAGCTTTGTGCGTGTCACGAGAAAGCAACTGACAATAGAAGCCAATAAGGAAGTTATGCTAGGCGTCATAAACCTCACGGACAGGTTCTGTGGGTTCCACCCTCGCTGTCTGCTTGGCAAATCGGTCTCGGTCTGTCAATAGCTTGCAGGCGGCGAAGTGGCGGACGGGCGAGGAAGAAAAGACAAGCCGAGCCCGAGACAGAGAAGCCGAGACGGCTGGATTAGGAGATGGTTGAGCGTATTCGACCTCATATCTGGTTGAAAATGCGTCATGATATGGTCTGCGCTCTGGACACAAGCATGATCGACAGTCGACGTCACGCGGCGACACCAATACGGTTCTCGCTCGACTCTCTATGCGCTCTTTTGACGCTTTTATTCATTTCCGGCGACTTGTTCCTGTGTGATGGCGAGGCTTTTGACGCTCGCGTTGATCACAAGGACAGGTACTGTACCTCCTACCTCGTATGAATATCAACTTTCCTCACTGACAGCCTCGCGTTAGGTGGTAGGAGGTAGATCTGAAGTGCCTTAGCGGTTGGTATTGCCAAGCAACTCTACCCCTACCGTTGTTTACTGGACCGTGGACGGACAAGGGCTTCCGAGTGGACGGAATTCACGTCAGGGATCCACTGCTGAGTGCTGACTGTTCCACTCCAACGTCGACACAACGCACATACAACGTACCTTAGACCTGGCCGAGCTGCAGCCACTCACCACGCCTACCTTGTTGCTATCAACGTGGAACGACACAACGGACATGTTGCAATATTCGTCACTACCAATAAGGCAGTCCGCGCCTGCATGGAGACTCTCAACGGTGTCGTGCATTGACACACACACAGACATATCGACTGTTCGTCCATCCATCTCCCAGGCAGTGTGGCGAGAGCACTTACGCAATGTCATGACGCCCCAGAAGCGTCGCCTGAATGCCGAAAGCAGCAGAGCCGCAACGGCGTGCCTCTTCTCTCCCAATATGGGAAGCGTTCAGGGTGCAATAATCAGGGTTCAAACTTCTCCGCAGCCGGCGTCATAAGAGTCGCATTGGTGTGTGCATGCGTGCATTGATTGACAACGCCATGCCTGTTTTGGGTGTATCGATGAAAGGAATCTTTCCTGTACGTGGCCATCGCACCAATCATAACACTGTCGTCTGCAGTCCAGGGACAGTTGTTGTGCGCTCTCACGTTGTGGATCTCGTCACGATTCGACAGGGTGGGTGCGTAGTGCCGGGAGGATCCTTTTTGATGTGCGGCTCAACCAACGGCGAGAGGGTCCAGAGAGGCGCTCGCAGAATGCATGGACTGGTGACGCAGGGTCTCCGCTGTAGTCCTGCCCTTGGACGTAGCCTTCCTCGGTTTCATATCGCTACAAAGCAACGTTGTGTCCTGCCAGGAGTTATCTGATTTCTTCCTCACAAACAACTCACAGTATCGACATTCCACGTATACAAACAACAACAAAACAACAACAACAACTACACACGCATATCACACCCAACCACCCAACCATCACACCTCCAACAACAATGTCCTCAACAAACTACCAAACCCACGGCTTCGTCGACCCTGCCCAAGCAGAAGACCACTTCTCTCAACAATTCGACATGTCCAACCCTGAACACGCCCGCACATCCTATCAAAGGTGAGTTGAGCTCTCCTATCCCACTCCACCCCATCCCCGTCTGTTCCTCACTGACCGACTTTCTTCTTTTAGACTCATGCACCAACACACCAAAATGCAATTCGAAACTGCCACGGCTTCTTCTCGACGAAGATCTCCCAACCCCTCGAGTGGGTCGAATGATATGGCTTCGCTTTCGACTGAGTCGAGTCGCGGGTCAGTGGGTTCGATGGGTTAGATCGCTGGTTTTCGTCGTTTGACGCAACCGAAAGGAAAGATGATGATGTTTACGTTGTTTTTTGATTTTGAGTGATTTGGCGAGCGGGTTTTTGTATGATCATGGGGGCGGAGTATCCCCGGCTGGGTTGGATTGGCGTTCTATCGATTATCGTGCAGAGCTGCGCGAGGTTTTCTGGGAGTTTGATGACTCTTGTTCTTCTTTTGTGTCTGTGTGGAGGAATCACAGGACTTCAATCAGATTATGACAGAAGACATTTTTATTATCAGAGGAGCTTTATACCTGACCGCTTTATGTTGTGCGTGCGAAGATGATGACACTGTGCTATGATGCAGCGCCCAATAATGCGGTCCAACTTCCCGAGTCTTATTGATTGTTGATCTTTTAGAGGATGTGCAGGAACATGTCAATCATGATGAAAGCCGCTCGCAATATCTATCGACAGCTATCTAGCCAATGTGTGTGAAAGATAGCGTATGGGACGATAATTGCCTCTAGAAAGCCGACATCATCACCCCAGTATTGAGCAAGTCGACTGCTGCTCAGTGCCAACAGGTAGTACCATACCCAAAACCTCCCTTTTCGTCCAACAAAGCAACAGCATCATCATTCATCTTGCCCAAAAAATTCCTTCAATCCCTCCTCCCATCCCCCAACAACATAATTTTTTCTCTTCTTTCTCTTCCTCAATTCTCATATTCTATATCACCCCATCTATTTTTCCGTACCTGTACCTATACCTTACCTTACTCAAGGTACCTCACCTCACCTCACCTCACCTCTTCCTCACCAACCCCTCAGAAAGAAACCACTCCTCCCAATGCGTCGTCGAAGCCTTTCGTTTCACAAGACCCCATTTTTCCATTTCGGCTCGATTGTTCATGTTGATGGGGTCGGTAGAAGTGGGGTTCCAGTGTTCGAAGTCGACGATGGATCTAGTTAAAAAAAAAGGAGAGAAAGAAAGAGATGTTAGGTTGGGTTTTAAAATTCAAGCGGGGAATGGGAGGGAAGGGGGGAGAGGGGGAGAATTTTACAGTGTTTTGGTCTCTCGATCCCAGAGGATGTTTCTGAGAGCGCAGTCGTAGGGGGCGAAGCCCATTCGCCATATGGAGCTGCGAGGGAGAGTGGTAAGTAAGAAAACTCTCTCTCTTTCTCTCAAAATCAAATCACCACCCCACAAAAGAAAGAAAGTGACCAAAAAAAAAAAAAAAAAAAAACTCACCCCAAAACCCCCACAAACCTCTCCCGAATCACCTCCCTCTCCTCCTCCTCCAACCCCCAAAATCCCCAATCCATCAAATGTCTCCCCGGCATCAACGTCATAACAATATACACCACATACCCCCCCGGCATCGGCCACTTTGCCTCCCCTCCCTCCTCTTTTTTTTCTTCTGATTCTTCTTGTACCCCTTTCTTCCAAGCAACCAAATGCGGCAACCCCGGCGAATTCTCCTCGGAAAATTTCTGCAAAGCAACGAGTTCGGCTGAAGTGGATTCGCTGGGTCCGGGGATCGGGGTGGTGAGACCTCTGGCTAGGACGGAGGGGGCTTGGACTTTACATTTGAGGATGTAGAGGTTTTTGTTTTTGTTTTCTTCTTCTTTTCCTTCTTCTTCGCCGGAGTTTGGGACAGATGGAGATGGCAAGCGTCGACATATATATACTAAAAAATATAAAAAATATTTTTGAGATTTTTGTCAGTCTCTATATCTCTCCCTCTCTCTCATGTTCTCTCTCTCATCTTCAGCTTCCTCTCCTTTTTCTGTTCAAAATAACCAACAACCTAGACCTCTTGGGTACATAGTTAGATTACTTACAAACTCTCGCCTCAGCGTCATCTTTTCGAAAATCGGTAATTGGTCGGATACGCTCAAAAGTGCTGCCAATTTCGGGAAAGGAAATGGTTTTGTCGAGTAAATGGTCGGCTTGACGGAGTGTGAGACCGTGGTTGAGAATTTCTTTGACTTCCATTTTTCTTTTCTTCTTGCGACGGTGATGGTAGGTTACATGTATGGAGAAGTCGAAAAGGATGATGTGGTGGTTGGTAGAGAGAGAGAGAGGGAAAGCGACGGAGAGAGAGGGACGACATTACTAGCTTCGGCAGAGTGGAAGTAGATGATTTGACCAATCAGCGTGAGCATATCCTTTTAAGCGAAGAACAATCACATAACGACGGAAAGACTTGAAGAGAGATCAGTCGAGAGACTATGTAATGTTGAGTGTAATGTGTGAAGAGTAAAAACTTCGGAAGTTGGCACGGCTCATTTACAATCGTGGTATATAACATATCTGGCGCTGTATACGCATACTGCTCTGTCAGTATATATGAATGTGCGCAATTTTGATGGTAGGCTCCATCTGCCGACACCTACTATGCGGACACAGGATCCACAGACGTGCAGCAGTTTCAATTCCTATGCAATATGTCAGCGCGGGTCGCGAGAATCATGAACGATTGCTGCAAATTTGTAGATGTATGAATAAATCAGACGTGATTTCACGTTTTCGCCGCATTTGCTCTTTGAGCATCGAAGTGAGCTGGGTAACGAAATGGTTGTCATCATGTAGGGGAAGAAGGCGAGAGGTATGGAAAGTGACTTACGCTGACAAAGGTCGCATCATGCTCATGCTGGCTGTCCAAGTTTTGATCACTTGCAGTCAGCTTCGGTGGCCAGCGATTCTCGTCGTTAGACGGGGATCTTCTTTTTCTTTGGACGCCAAGAGCAGCGCAGTCGAGGAAGCTGCTAGCCATCCTTCGCAGCAAAGCCTTGGGTCTGCAAGTCATCCGCATTGGTATCCGGATCTGGAACTGTAGCTTCTGCAAGCTTTTCCTGGGCCTCGTTGAGTATTTTGAACGGCGCATGACTTTTGGGGTTCTTCTTGGGTTCTCCTGGTCCCTGAGATTTGAACTGATAGCCTCGAATTCTATGTTCCTCGTCAGCCATTAGCTTCGCGGCGTGACCCAGGTATCTGTACCTTGGTCCCTGGCCGGTCTTCGCAGGCAGTCGACTTTCGTACTTCTGTGTGAAGCTTTTCACATCGTCATCGAAAGTCTCGCTGGCAATGCTTTCACGTATGCTGGCAAAGAACAAATCCATGACGTGGTGATTATGGATTTGCAGCAAAACCCATCCCAGCATCTCCTTCGCAGCGAGTAGGTGTTGCAGATATGCTCTGTGGTGATTGGTGCAAGCATAGCATTGGCAGCCTTTTGAGAATGGCGAGAGATCCACGGCATGATCTGTTGACCACATGTCGTGGCCAAGGGGTAGAGGTTCAGTGTGCAAGTGCCCGTTTCCATTCCCGTTGGTAGTGGGCTTGGTGCCATTCGATACAAGAAGTGCTTGCGAGCCGAAACTAAAATCGAGCGCAATGCCAGCATCTGTCGCTGCTCCAACAAAAGGAACGACAAATATGTCTAGTCCCAGGTGTACTTGTTGAAGTATGTCTTGCGGTGTTGCTGGCGAGGCGAAGCTCAGACGTGGTAAGTGATGAAGCTGCTCGGGCAGATCCCCAAGCGTATCAATATCATATATTGCTAAGCCTGAGATGTGTTCCGCATACTGTCCAACAAGCTCGTCCACGTAAGATTGTTGCTTTGCGCAAGAAACAGGCAGCAACGAGGCGAACAAGTTGGCTTGAGCAGGCTTGCCCTTCGACCGCCGCCGGAAGACGTGGTCTTCGAGCCATGCTATGGTCCGGTCTGTAGCTTTCTCGATCCTTTTGTTGCCGAGAGCGCGCTGGTAAGGAATGTCACCGAGGCCGACAACGATGTCCGCCTGTACACTCTCTGCTTTCTCCGCGTAGTCCTCAGCTTTGAGGGCGCGGAAGCCCACGGCGGTGCAGATAGAGACCGTCTTGCTCGTGTTCGACGTGGCTTCTGGCGCAGGGACCGGCGAGGCGCGTCTTGCACCCAGGACGAGCATGGCATCTTCGGGCGCGGCGATGAAGCTCCTCAATGGCGAGGCGCCATTGGGAGGGCGGTATTGGTAGATTGGTGGCACATCGTGAGGCGCCTTCTCGATGACTATGGCCAGACTGTGAGTGACATTCTGGTCAGCACAGGAATGAATGCGCTTGGCGGTTGCGCAGGAGGATGGCACTCACAGTCCTCCAGAGCCACGTAGATGCCGCTGATGTCGGTGTCACGAACGAAGGTGTCCTGGGAGATGTGTGGCACCACGCCACGGCTCGTGTTGGCGAGGTAATGAGGCGTGTCCACAATCCTGCGACGCGGCAATGCAAGCCGTCCTAGACGAGCTGCTGTGTTTCCTGCGGTGCTCACTGCTGTGCCTGTCGACGATTTGCTGACGAGGCGGAACATTTGGTGAGGCGGCTGATCCCGCTGGTCAATACCATTGCCATTCGTGGCATGTCCATTTGCATGTCCGTTGGCGAGGCCGTTCATGATGAGCACTGCTCCATCATCTGAGGAGTTGTTTGTGGTGGTAGTGGTGGAAGAAATGAGTTTTCATCAAAAGTCGGACCTCCGCGTGGGAAGCTCGCGCCAAGCCAAGCCCTTGTCCTCCTCTTTCACTCAAGAAGACTAGAACTACCTACTACCTCCTAGGTACCTCCTACTTTTCTCAGGCCTCTCCCTCTCATCAACTATACAAATGGCAGGAGAAACATCTCCCAATACCCCTGGGCCACGAGGTCGCCTCATCGTCTTCGAGGGCCTCGACAGATCCGGTAAAAGCACTCAATGTGCCCGTTTAGTCGACCATCTCACCGCTCGCAACCAGAAAGTCAAACACATGCGATTTCCCAATCGAAGCACAGTCATTGGCCAAATGATCAACAACTACCTCGTGGGCTCATCGAATCAAGAAGATCATGCCATTCACTTACTCTTCTCCGCCAATCGCTGGGAAGCAGCAGACGAGATCCAACAACATGTACAAGCGGGAACCACAGTCGTGATAGATCGGTACTACTATTCCGGGTGTGTCTACTCTGCTGCCAAACAGAATCCTACCATGGATCTTGCCTGGTGTCGACACCCCGAAGTGGGACTGCCACGGCCGGATTTGTGTCTGTTTCTGGATATTTCTGCTGAGGATGCTGCACAGCGAGGCGGATTCGGAAGTGAGCGATATGAGAAACAGGAAATGCAAGATCGTGTGCGAAGTCTTTTCAAGGAGATGAGGACCCATCCGGACGAAGCAGATGATATTGTCGTGGTGGACGCTGGGAAAAGCGTTGACGAGGTCGCGAAGATCATCGAGCGGATTGTCGATGATCAATTCTCTGATAGAGCAGCCGCCGCCCAGCCGCTGCGATATATCAATCCCTGGTGATCGACTGTTGTCCCTACCTTATAGACGGAGACGCGTTAGCTTCCACTCACACCAGTTCGATGCGTCTTCCCAATCATCGACATTCATAAGACCGCACGCCCGAAGCCTAGAGAAAAGCCTCCACAGTGCATTTCTGTTGTGCGACACAGGCCAGGTCGGCTATTCCCATGGGTAGACCTCACCTTGATACCTTTGCCATGCGCCACCGCACCTGCTTTCCCGGAGACGACGGGGCTGGAAAAGTCGATCATCCAACTCCATGCCAGGTCACACATATTTGCAGCGTGGAACCGATCTGGTAGCCGGTCAGAGAAGAACGCCCCGGTAGTCATGGCGCATGTATATGGTGAAGAAAGTAACTACGCTGATGGATCAAGTAAGGGTATTTACCTACCTACCTTGCATACCAGGACGAACGAATACCGCATAGTGTCAGAGATACCACGCTCCAGAACGAGACCAATTCAAGGAGTGTAGAGCAGGGAAAATTGCCGTCGAGAGAGCGCTCATCACCGGACTCAGGCCAGGCACCGTAAAATCGAAGTCTGACAACATAGCTAAGGCACCTAATGTACCTACCTTAGTCTTCCCACAGCGTCCACCAGAAGATGGCGGAGGCCGCGCCACTCTATCACACGGCAAGGAGGACTACGGTCCTACCGCGTACGAAGCTCTAGTGGACGACCGATCGTAGTACCACGAAGACACAGCCACGAGAATTGATGAGGCAGGATAGGCCGACCGAGACCCATTACCGGAGATGCCAGAGTGGTTTGCGAGGGTTACCGACGGAGACAGTCCCGAGCCCAAGGGTATCGTCGTGTGCCACCTGCGGTTGTATGCTGCACAGGTACAGGAGGCCCTGGTAGTATACTACAAGGGACACCGAAGGTACGGTATACGCTTTGCTCCCAGCGCAGAAGTATAGCATGAATTCAAAGTCTTTATAAAGATCTACATCATAGCCAAATACAACTGCTCCGAGACCATAGACCCAATCTTGCTAGGCGTCATCCAGCTAGATACAGTTGACGACTTCACCGTGCGAAATTCCCTGCCCGATCCGACCAGCAGCTGGAAGGAAAAAAGCACTCGATATAATTAACATTGGAGCCACCGTACCTGATATCCATACATAGGTACATATGAGGTCAGGTACCTATCTCTTACCCAGCAAAAAAGGCAACCGAGCATCCCAACCCCCCTTTATCACGGAAGCAGCAACAAGAGGCACCTCCGGGATAAGAGAGGAAGTTAAACCGATGACTAAGCAACCAGGCATCCAACAGGTATATTATTAGCTCCAACTGTGGTCTTTCATCCACTTTCACGACACTTTCTTTAGCCCCGGGGGCCCCATACCGGGGTGGCAGCGAATGACGATGATGAAGTACCTTCGCGACAAAGCCACGTCCCATATCGACTGGGGGGAGAGGACGACGCGTGTACAGTACATACCTAGCGGTTGTTGTGTGGTTGTGTTTCTAGGGAGAGGACCTGATACATACGTATATTGTAGGTATCTGTAGTATTGCGGTTATCATAGAAATAGCAGAGACTCAGAAGACAGACGGAGATGCTGAATGAAATGGATGAATTGAATGGCAATGCACGAGGTTACATTAATGGAGGCTTTCTGTGATTAAGACATTATTTTCACAAGTATACTGAACCTATGTACCTTGCTTCTATTCTACCTACGCTCTCTCCCATCTCCGACCAACAAAATCCTGCTCAACCAAACTTTTCTTCACCAGTGTTGGCGTAGTCCAGCAGTGGCTACAGCTCGGCGAAGCGTGCCTGGAGGGCCCCAAAGTCTCCTGCTGCAGCCAAACCATAAGCCTGAATGACAGGCAACAACACTTCACTCGCATGCCTCGCGAACGGGATTTCTTCAATATCCGTATTGGTTTGCAATGCCGCGAGGACTTCGAGATACGGCGGATGTGCCAGGTCCTGCATCAGACTCGAGAGGCGTTTCGAGTGCTCGCTAGTTCGCTGTCCGTGCACGTATTGGTCGATTCCAATGTCTAGTAGACGACAGAGTTGCTTGATTTGAAGGACCCACTGCGGAACGAGCATCCAGTCAGGAGGGAGTTCATGCAGCACTTGTTGTATGGAGCGGCGATGCGTGGATCGGAGAATGCCCAGGGGATGAGCATTCATCACTTGAAGGTGGTCATGGCCATCCCAGGCGTCGTTGAAACGCGAGATGATGCCTGTCACAGGCGTGATATGCTGCCATTCAAACAACTTCGACAGGCCTGCCATTCGGATACAATGCAGTATGCGTTCGTGAGCGGCCTGCGCCTGCGGTTGAAGATGCCACATGGGTCGCGCATGGTGCAGAAGTTGTAGATGCGCAGAATAGACCTCAGTTTCGTAGAAGAGCAGGCCCAGGAGTTCGCTGAGGGGATCCGTGCGCGCGGGGTTGTTAGTACCAAGCCAGATGCCCAAATTCTGAATATGAGACTGGTCATCGAGCATGAGGCGATATTCCGGGTTAGGCATAAGCATCGCGTGCTGTCGTTCTATGGCGGCCTCTAGTTCTCTGGCGATCTCTCGTTCTCTGGCGGCCTCTCGTTCTCTGGCGGCCTCTTGTGCTCTGGCGGCCGCTCTCTGTAATTCCAACGCCCTTCGGTCGGCCCGAGCCAGCGCATCCTCAGCTGCTTCTTCGTACAATCTGAGGGCAGCGGCTGTGTCGTGCATCTCTGTCCCTGAGCCGGGAAAGCCGAATCTTGGGCACGGTTTGCCGACTTTCCAATGTTCACTCAGGTGGGAAACTTCTTCGGCACACACAAAGCAGAAATCGGTCTGGCAATACTTGCATCGTATCAAGTTGCAACCATCCATGAGTGAAATCTTGATCTGACATGATGACTTTGGGCATTGCTGATAGTCTCTCCCACGAACCAGTCCCTTGAAAGGATCTTCATCGGCATCGAGCTCGCAGTCGTGGACTCGTGTCTTGGAGAGCACCTTGCTGCATTTGGAACAGACTTCAGAGGAACAGATTGTGCACTCCACGATGCGACCCTTGAGTTGACTGATGTGGTGATCTTCCACGGAGACATCCAGCACACCGCCATTTTTCGCTGTTGTGTTGTGATAGCTTGCAGCAAATTTCTTAGCCGCAGTCTCATCCACAAACGTCAACTCGGCCGCGATCTTGGGATCGGCGCGAAGGACTCGGCATTCTGTAAGACGCCCGAAGGTCTCGAATACCATAGTTCTTAGGTGCGGAATATCGGTGAGCGGCGCCATATTCGCGACGGTGACGACAGAAGGTGCGATAGCAGAGCGTCGAATGCTTCGCTTACTTCCCAGGAACGCACCACAGTTCTCGCCATTTTGCTGAGTCGTCGAATGTTCGCCTGAGATGTCTGCGACTTCCGCGAATGACACGGACTTTGCTGGGCCTGGAGCAGATCGCTTGATACAGGATTGGGACGCGAGCTCATGTCTGTGTCCCGGCGTCGCCGTTGTAGTGGTAGTGCCGCTGCAGTACAGTCGGTCCTGTACTGGGGTCAGATACTCCTCTTTCTTCTCATTCCAACGTATGAGTAAGTCCGCGGGCACATGGTCCGCATAGTCCTGTAGATTGAGCTCATGCCCTGCCCAAAGCGGTGGATATTTCGTCTCGTCCTTGAGCGCATCCTCAAATTGCGGCACTATACCAGTGCTGAAACACTCGAGGCACACAGCGTTGTCTTGTATGTGAATTGGCACGGAGCTGTATTCATCGCAGCAGCAGACGCAATCGAAGGTAGAATGGATGCCAGACTGCCGGTCTGACCCATGCTGTTTCTTGCTCTCCATTTGGCGGTAGTCTGTGGGTGGGTGGGCGAGTGAGTGAGTACGGGCGTGAGTGAGCGTGATTGCGTGAGTGCGTGCGTACGTGAGTGACTGAGAGAGAGGGAGTGTGTGTGCGCGTGCGCGTGCTCTTGCTCTCGAGTTCAGGTATCCCACTGGCTCAATGCGCTTCTTCCGAGGTCGAGAAGCGGATGTTTGCGCCCTTTTGCAAGTCGAAGGCTTCAGGACTCCAGAGGATGACTTTGAGGAGGAGTTTTGTGCAGCTCTGTCTGAGACCTGTGAGAGGTAGAGACGCTCGGCGACTCACGACAGGCAGCGCGAGCGACAGGCGTCGAGTGGATGGATGAATGGATGAACAGATGGATGGATGGATAACAGCTGGCTAGTGCGTGTGTCTTGCGGCCGCGTTGTGATGAGAATCCGCTGAAGGTGTTGTCCACGAAATCTGAAAGTCGCGTGCAGAGTGGCTTCGCGCTTTCCACCCCTTCAACTTGATGTTGTCCCAGCCGAGCGCGTCGCAACTCAGAGTCGCGTCGAACTTTTCGCAATTGTTGCCTGAGAAGACGAGGTATCCACTTCCTGTCAACAACACTTCCACTTCATGCTGTCCACCAGGAGAGTGTGACTCCTTGTAGCCCTGCCAACGGAGCCAGAATTTCGGATTGCGGAAACTGTTCTTCTCGAACTGATGATATCTCTGTTGCTCCCAATCGTCTTCGGATGATTCCCCTTCCCCTTGTTGCTCTGACCGTCCATCATCTGCGTCACTGTCCCCATCCCCTTCGTGTCGACTCACTGCCTCATCCTCCTCGCCACTGACTCCGCCTTCACTCTTATGCTCCTCCTGCTTCTCGCCCGCCTCGACATCGTCCTGCTCCTCGTCCGGCTCGACCTCCTCCTGCAGCTCGACCGCTCGCTCAGCCATCTTCAAGGTCTTTCTGCTCCCCGCCAACAGCACAGTACCATGAACCGCGCCAGGCAAGACCATTTCGCCTACCAACGCGTTTCCAAGCTCGTTCAAATTATATACCTCCAATCTGGGCTCGCGGGGACTCTTGCCCTTTACTTCTCCTTCTCCTGCTGTCTGCGGGATCCTAGCAGCAGCCGGACACTTCAACTCATATGTTCCGAATGTCTTTTGCACATTGAATGCTCCGTTGCTCTTTCCGCCTTTGCCTCTACCATGCTTGCCGACTCGATTGTGCAGATGTCGATTGCTGAGCGCCGCGTCCTGCCAGTCATCCATGCTGCTGTCTGTGTAGAATATGTAGTCAAATTGGTCGAGAGCTAGAAGTCGCAACGGGGAAACGGATCAACAGTACCTCCTAGAGGAGTCCTGCTATTGTATGCGCGTCATTGATACCTGTTCTATGCTGCGTTTCTACTTACAGACAGGACCGCGTTGCCTTTCGAGGTTTGCGAATCTCTCGCAGGACTCCATAGTCCATACCAACCTGTGCTTTTGAACAGCAGTCTCGGCGCAGAGCCGAATCACTACGAGCCCATCTCTCTGAGTCTCTGTCTTCAGAAGGAATGAAGGGTCAATGGTGGTGAGGTTCGAAGGACTTCGTCCCGAACTCGTATCATCTTGGCAGGAAACAAGGCCACCTCTCCGTCCCAGGACCGCTTCTTCTCCGGAGGTCTACCTACCGGTCCTACGGTCCTACCTCCACTTTACCTATAAGAAGCACCTACTACCCTCCCAATTCTCCTTTCCCCCGAGCTTTTCCTCAAACCACACCTAATCATGCTTGCTTTTATACCAACATGCACCTCTTTCAGGTCGTGCTGCTTCTGCTGCTGTCTTTAGCAACATGTGCCGACATCCGGGCACTACCGTCTCTACAAGCTCTGCCCAATAATGTGCGCACGTGTGGCCTCGATGCGTAGCCGGAAACATGCTTGGGACTGGAGTCACTGGAGAAAGCAGCAGGCGGGACAGTGAGGAGGCTGGCTATGCGAGGTGCATGCTCGACCAGAATTGCCGAAATTCAGAGTTATATTCGCCTGGCTGAGGCTGGCTCCATCAGCTTCCATGGACCTATCGCTTGGGCTTGAGAGTGTTTCGATCCGAGTAGGCTGTGCACTCTGTACAGGCAGAAAAACTGTATTTACAGCCTGGAGGAAGCTCCCCTGTATGATACATACTGGTAGGTCCTCCTGTAGGTAGCTACCTAGGTATGTATCTATCTCACTTGTTGCTGAGAGTCTGGATGCATGCCCTCTCTATTCAGCCGGGCATGCTCTCGTGTGACAACACAACCGGTCTCCCCTCGAGTTGCTCAACTTGCTCAGAGTGAAACACTCTTATCATTTCGTCGCAGTCGCACGGGGAGTGTGACCCCTAAACTTCTGGAGTGTGCAAGAGTGCATCGTCGGATACAGTAAGTGGCCCAGCAGACCAGGTCTTGTCGTTCGACTCATAACCTCAAGTCAGACATGCAGAACAGAGGCGGATGAGAAACAGGTCCCTTTGAGGTTCCAAACTGCGGTCGAAATGGCGCTAAAGTCGTCGTTGTCAGTCGGTGACATTCTCAAGCTGTCACATACAGCATGGAAGCTAGGCAGGGCGTTCACTCGGGGCACGAAGGGAGCGCCGAGCGAGTTTGCGGAAGTTGAAAGAGAGCTGAATGGTCTGAGCGAGGCGTTGAAATTAGTGGCGGAATCACTGCACGAAGATGATAGCATCTTGTCGCAGGCCGAAGACCAGACGAAGCATGCCGTAAATACCATTTTCGAGAGCGTGGCAAAGACGCTGCAAGATCTGGAAAGCTTTGTGGAACGATACCAGGTCATTAAGAAGCACGATTCCGGCTATGATTTTCTGGAAAAACGCAGTTGGAGCTCAGTTGTGCTGGCAAACTACCGCACCTTCAAGTGGACGACGGAGGGAGGTGACATTCACGCGCTCAGGACAATGCTGCAAATGCATGTCGATTGCATCGACTTGACTATGCAGGCGCTCCAATCGCGGAGTCTCACGCGCCTGAAGAAGACAGTCATGCCCGTGTCGCGGAACGTGGCGTCCATTCACGACAAATCGAGCGCAGACCTGGCCCAGCGGATCAGGGACGCACATGAACTGATCGCTCACATTGTGAACAACCCTCCCTCATCCGAGCCGAGAGGACGTCGACAAACCGCGAGTCACTTCCCTCCTTTCCATGACATTGCTGGCTACCAGGACGAACGGAATGCGCGGGTCGTGGATTGGAACTTTGAGACGGGCACACCGTCGCATTTGAGAGGCAGCATCAGTCATGGCAGAGACTGGTGCGCATCCCCGATAGACAGCGCATACGCAGGAGAATGTTCCAGACGCACATCGCTGCGAAGAGAGTCTCTGACTATACCAGCACTGTTATTCGCGACAGCCGGGGAAAATCATCCACCTGCTGCTTCTACTGACAGCCGTCCAGACATTGACGAGGAGAAAATCGAACCGCCGATGATGCCGCCGCTGCCGCCGCTGCCACTGCACAGCACGCGAAGACTACCTCAGCGTTCCTCGTCACGCCGAAGTGCGTCGCAGTCCAGATCCGCAGAACTCCCGCCACCACCTGTCATGCCATTCGGCGCTCCCAGAGTCCGACAGCCCGTCGCAACACCCTCTCATTTCTTCCCGTCACACTGGACAGAAAGTGAGGTGACAGAAGGGGTACAGACGGCCAGACCGAGGATGAAATCGCCCCATCGAGAGACGGTACAAGCTGAGGCGCGCAGCGTCAACCTAGCAGCAAAGTTCGAGCAGCAGCTACTTCGGAATGCTGCAATACTATGCGATGTGCGCGGCCGACTCGTCGAGTTCGCGCAGCATAACCCCGAAATCCTCGATATGCGATACAACGTTGAGGTAAGACGTTCTGCTGCAAAGACACTCAGCTCACCGCGCCCCGCGCCTGAACATCTGCTAAATTCTCGACCTCGCGTGATCTCCAGATGAAAGAAGCTTGCAAGGAATGCCGAATCTTGGTCATCCGCAAACGAGAGAACCGCGAATACGGCGGCACTAAAGTGGTCACCTCAGTCTGGTGCCTCTCCGACGACAACGAAGTCCGTCTCCAACAGAAACTCTCCGAATCGCAAGAAACGGTACCCTACTGCTCCTACTTCGAGCCCGAGAAAGTCTCACTCGAGCCCCCCGACGAGCCCGGCGCGGGACTGAGATTCCACGCGGAAGAGTGGGGTGGCATGCTGAAGGAAGAAAAGAAAACCAACTGGATCAACTACTACTTCGCCATCGAGTCCGACGCCATCAACTTCCAATCCGCCGTCTTCGGACGCATGCTTCTGGGCTCGTTTCGCACCACCAAGACCACCGTCATCCACAAAGGCATCCTCGGCGCTTTCGCTTTCGAAGAACAATTCGCCAACATCGAGCTGCTGCGATTGTGGGAAGAAGACGGCGTCGAGACTCCCGGTGCGGTGGGCGGCGTCATGGCGCTCATGCACATCTCGTCGAGTTTTGGCGAAGGCTGGGCGAGATGGTGGATCAACAACAGTCGTCAGCCCGTGACGATCAAAGAGGATGGAGTCAAATACGCCCGCGTCAAGGGAATCGATGTGACGGTCGTCCGACCTGGCGCGACTGCTCGCAGAGCGAGAAGCGCGAGTTCGAGTGTGGCCGGCGTGGTGGATACATCATTATTGCATGCAACACCACCATTGCCATCAACATCACCATCACTATCACCATCATCATCACCCTCACCATCCCATTTATCATCATCCTCATTCCAACCACAACACCAGCAACATCAACCACAACACCATCAACCAATCAAGACAACCTCCGCTGTCGTTTTTCCTACTCCTCCTCTTCCTCCCACCACCACCACCACCACAACTGCAGTCCCCATCACCACTACCACGACGGAAAAAGAATCTTCTTCCTCTTCTTCCTCTTCTTCTTCTTTCAAAAAAGTCTCGGGCGTACGAATCGAATTCAAAAATGAAGAAGAAAGAGGAAAATTCCTTCATGCGGCGGAATTGGCTCAAATGCGTTCTGTGCCTTTACCGGAGTTGTAGTCTAACTTTCGGAAACATTATTGGGCGCGGTGCTGTCGACCTTCTACTACTTCTACTATTGGACTGTGAAATTTTCTGCTGCTGCGAAGATGAAGATGATGATGACGACGATGATGAGGACAACGGCTGGGGCAGCATATGGGAGGGGAGAGGGGAGGGGGGAATTGAGGCAAGGGAGGATGATTGAGACTTTTTGGTATCGGAAAATCGAATCGATCCATCTTGACCATGGACTAGAAGGTGGATGTTGGAGCAAGATTTTTGACTATGATGCGTTTTCCTTTGGGGGGCGTTTGGGTTGTGAGCAGGTCGCGAGGGTTTCTTCTTTTTCTGCTTCTTTTTCTGCTTCTGCTTCTGCTTTTTCTGCTTCTTCTGCTTCTTCTTCTGCATCTGCATCTGCATCTGCCTCTACTCCTTCTTTCTTCCTCATTCTCCTTTGTCCGCACGCAAGTTTTTTGGGATGGGATGTGATGTGTGGATGCTTGATTCAGATACCCCAGCGGAGTTTTCTTCTTTTTTCTTTCTTTTTCTTGTTTCAATGTTCTTGCGTAAAACCAAGAAAGGACACTCTTTGAGAGAGCACATTCGAGTCGTAGAACAAAATACATGAGATGCCCTGTATATCCAATCAAGTCTTTACTATTACGTTTTCCCTTTATGGGGCAAGTATGACAGTCGACGACTAATGGAATGCTTTTTTTTCAGTATTAAGTACCTTACTTACACCAACACCTACACAACAGAGAGATCATGACACCCCCATGCACTCATTCCTCCCCTCTCTTCTCCCATCATCTTTCCAACACCATATTTTCGTCATTGTTATTCTTGCCATTAATATCAAAATAACAAACTAAACCAAATCAAATCACAGCGAGCGTAGCTGCGTAGTTACCTTCAGGTAATCACACAACCGAACTAACCTCCTCTCCCTCCAAATCGCCAACAAGCCTACATATACCCCCAAAAACCCGTCCAAAGCAATGACGAGTCTCACTGCGTCGTCCATCCAATGGGGAGTAGTCCCGCATGTGGCTCTGGAGCGAGTCAGATGTCGTGCATTGTCCTGGCTTCGCTCAAGTCGAGGAATTTGTCGCAAGTGTTGCGCGCCTCTTTGAGGAAGTGATCTGCAGCTTGAGTCTGAGATCAGGTTGCCTGGTATTGCCCCAGGTCTTGGCTTTGTACCTGTGTTTCCGCCTGAAGACTCAACGAGTGTGGCGTGTGGTCGTTGAGTGGTTACTCCGACTGATGGATACCCCCTCAGTGTAGGCTGGTATTGGCTGGCGATTTGGTTGTAGTGCACTGCACATCGTCGAGTGGCGTTCCGGTGAAGCTGGTTTCCTTCCGGTCTCGCGAAGAGAATTCTCTTTTGATTTTTTTTAGGTATCAACATTCTTTTTTTTTGTTTGATGATTTTTTTGTTTGAGGGATAGTCCATATCTTGCTTGCAGAAGGTAGGTAGTGGTTCTTGGGGAGTATAGGTATAGGTATAGGTATAGGTAGGTATACAAACAAGCCTTAATCTGGATTTTCCATCGACACACCTTCATCTTCGACCTACTTTGTGTCGTCCCGTATACGGCGTCTAGAGTTGCTTCTACCTTCAAGCACGTACATACCTTACTGAAGTACCTGTACTCCTCGAATCGAGAAAAAAAAAGAGGGAGGGATGGGGTTTTATGTTCTGTTCTGTTGTGTTGTGTTGTGTCTAGGAAATGGGTTTCTCTTGAATTTTATCCAATTATACGTTTGTGTTGGATTTACTGCTTCTCGAAAGAGAGGGAGAAAGAATCGAAATGTTGTTGATGGGGTTTTGATTTATCGAATCATGTATTGAAGACTTTACGCCTTGATTAAAATCGCTCAATTCTCTGTCGTTTTCGAGTCTTGACTCATAATCAACGGCCACGTCCAGCGCCGCCGCCACCCATCATACCACCCATCATGCTCATCATCTTCTGCATGTCCATGCCGGAGAGATCGGGCATTCCGCCTCCTCCACCTCCCATCATCTTCATCAAGGAGCCCATGTCTGGCATACCTCCCGCTCCGCCGCGACCGGCGCCTCCCATGGCTTGCATCCTCTTCTGCATAGCCGCCATTTGAGACTTCTGGTTGGCACCTCCCAAAGCACCCTGTGCCTTCTGCATGTTGGCCATGCCACCTTTCACCTTCTTCGCCACACCTGCCATCATTTTTTGCTGTGCGAGGAGTTCTTCGACTTCACGGACCGAGGATCCGGACCCACGCGCCACTCTGGTCACACGGCTCGGCTGGTCCACGAAGATTTTACCATCCGAGTCGAGCTCTTTCTGTGTCATGGAGTCACAGATGATGATCATGCGCTTCAGCTTGTCACCGCCTTCCGCATCGTCCATTCCACCCATCATGCCAGACAGACCAGGAATCATACCCGCCATCTTGCTCAAAGGACCCATTTTTGAAATGTTCTGAATCTGGTCACGAAGATCGCGCACGGTAAAGCGACCTTCAGTAATGTTTTTCATCGTCTCCTTTTGATCGAGTTTCAGAGTCTGCACGTGCTCCATGAGGCCTTGCACATCTCCCATTCCCAGCAGTTTGGAGACGAAGGATTGTGGGTTGAATTTCTCCAGGTCCAGCAAATGTTCTCCTGTACCGATGTAGACAATAGGCGTGTGGGTGGCTGCGACGGCAGAGATGGCGCCACCTCCTGCGGCTGCACCGTCTGTCTTGGTGATGATGATGGCTCCAAAGTCTGCAGTGTCCTTGAAGGCGCGCGATTGTGCTTCCGCAGCTTGACCGATCGAAGCGTCCAATACCATGATGGTCTGATGTGGCGAGACAGCCTGCTGAATCTCCACCATTTCCGCGAACAACGCATCTTCCTGGTGATGTCTTCCAGATGTATCGACGATGATGATCTCGAACTTCTCCTTCTTGAACTGGTTGACACCGTCTCTCGCCACGACGACAGGATCGGTCTGGGTGAGAGAACCGTAGTATGGAATCTTGGCCTTGGTTGCGTTCTGCTTCAACTGATCGAAGGCACCAGCACGAAAGGTATCGGCGCACACCAAGCATGTCTTGAAGCCTCGTGCCTGATACCAGCGGGCCAACTTGGTACATGTTGTCGTCTTACCCGCACCCTGCAGACCGACAAACATGATGACATTGCTCTTCCCTTTCTTCGGCTCGTAAGGCTTCTGATGCGGGTCCACGATGTCGACCAGAGCGTCAAAGACGGCCTTTTGGATGATGCGCTTTTTGTTGGCGTGTGCTGGAAGCTCATTGAACTTGACAGCAGACTTGATGGTCTTGCGCAGATTGGCGACGAGTTTGACGTTGACATCGGCTTCCATGAGAGCGCTGCAGATCTCCTTGATCATGCCATCGAACGCCTTTTCGTCCAGCGTCGGAGCGCGGGTGATGTCGTTGAGGGAGGCATTAATGCGGCGGCCGAGGTCTTGCAATACCATCCTGACGGGTTGTCGAGGTGCACGTCGACTCCGCTGCTATGGTATTGAGTGGGAGGTGTGGCTTCGTCGCCTGGTCCGAAAGGTGTTGTGAATATAGAGCAGTGTGAGAGATCCAGAAGTGTCAAGACCAGTGGGGGAGGTGCGCGCAGAAAGCGGAATGTGCCCGCGAAAAAGTCTCAAACTTGACTTCTTTCGACATTCTTCAGATTGAGAGAAAGAATACCATATTCATCAAACTGAAAAGAAAAAAGATGGCGCCTGTTGCACAAAAGAGAGCATGGAAGAACGAGGCGGGCGAGCGACGGCCGAAGAAGAAGGTCAAGCGTGTGAAGAAGCAGGACGACTACTACAGCAGCGATGAGGACGAAGAGAATACAGCCAACGGAGCAGTGCAGCAAGCGTCAGATGCGCCCAAGAATATGCCCAAGCGAGTCGCAAAGGTGGAAGAAGTGGAGATTACGGGCGGTAATTCACTGCCTCTGGGCGAGCGAGTGCCTGGGAAGAACACAACATCGAGGAGAGAGTCCAAAAGTGTGCCACGACCGAAGCCCATTCTGAAGAAAGCTGCGCCAGTGCAGATATCAAAAGCCACGGCACAGCCTCAGGTAGAGAGCGAAAGCGGTGACGATGAAGGAATCCAAGTGGACGACCTCGAAACCAACACGGCTCTCAACATGAACGTGGATGAAAGCTCCGCAGACGACGACGACGACGACGATCTCGATGATCTCGACGAAAACGACGAGCCAGATCTCGAAGCCACCTCTTCCGGCGAAGAAGACGATTCCGAATCAGAAGGAGGTGACGACGGAACCTCCCAAACCTCCTCCTCTCACACGCTCTCGCAAAGAAAAAAGCGCAACGACCCCACCGCCTTCGCAACGAGCATTTCCAAAATCCTCGAAACCAAACTCTCCACATCCAAACGCTCCGACCCCGTCCTCTCACGCTCCAAATCCGCCCTGGAAGCCTCCCAGACCCTCGCCGACGCCAAACTCGAAGCGAAAGCGCGCGCGCAAATCCGCGCCGAAAAACGCGCTGCGGCAGAAAAGGGGCGCGTGAAGGACGTTCTCGGCTTGCAAACCCCAGATGTGGATACGGGGGCGATGGTGGAGGAAGAGCGACGGTTGAAGAAGATTGCGCAGAGGGGTGTGGTATTTATGTTTAATGCGGTGCGGAAAGCACAAGTCAGTGCGGAGGAGGAGAGGAAGAAAGTGGTCGGGGAAGGGGTGGTGGGGATGCAGAAGAGGGAGGAGAGGGTGAATGATATGAGTAAACAAGGGTTTTTGGAACTGATTAGTTCGGGAGGGAAGCAGAAGCAGCAGCAGCAGCAGGTTGTGGAGGCTTCTTGATGAGAGCCCGTTTTTGTAGATGCTGATGATGAGAGGGCCATCGATAAGGAGGTAGCATCACCACTATCAAGATTTCCTTGCCCATTTCCACTTCTTAGTACCGCCAGATCACCACCGGCCAGTATAGGTATGATCCAAAGATTGACTACTATATCCATTGATTGAGTAATATACAGAACTACAAGTTGCATATCTCATCCTTTTGAAAAAAAGAGAAACAAAAACAACAATATCTCTCTGGTATGGGGATAAAAACTCCGTTGCACGCACACACACACACACACACACACACACAAGTAAAAAAGAATATCTTCATGTCATTAATTACCTAGGTATCCTGACCTTTCGAATAGAACCAAATTTCTTCCTTCTTCCCTTCGAATCTTGCTTGCATCGGTCGGTGTGTTTCTCATAATGTCCCCACTCCCCTGGAACCACCCTCATGTCAATCCAAGATGCCACTTCCAATTCCTTTTTTTACAGCAAAAGGACACAAAACACATCCTTGTATTCACTATACCAATCTTATTCCCCTCCTCAAGTTCCAAAAAGAGGGGGGAAAAGAGAAAAGAAAAAAAAAACATCAAGAGATAGTGCAAAAGTTATCCTACATAACAACACACCTCTCATCGGCGTCCTTGACGGTAGCCGCATTCGGCACTCTTTCTGGCAGCTGAGGTGAATAAGGCGGGGTTTGACCTTGATGAGCCTGGCTTCTCCTCCTTCTCCGCCCACTGTCCCTGCGTGGATATGAACCCGGTGTGCCATTGGCGCCCATCGGACTCTGTTGAGCATATGCACTTTGCCGTTGCAGTTGATCCAGCGTTTGCAGGGGATTACCCTGTGCACTTTGCGCCGTTGCACCGGCGGGTCGGTAGGGACGATCGTGGGAAGACTGCTCATATGTAGGGGGTGCATCGGGATCATCAGTACTATCTGTTGGTCGATTGACAGCCGGTCGACCCTGAGGGCGGGAGGAAGTTGCCCCGACGGGTATGTTACCGCTGCTACTTTGTGGTGATGTGTGAGCGTTGTTGCGGCGAGGTGGAATTTGTGGGGGTCGCTCGTTGGTTTCGGATGATAGATATCGTTCGGAGAGTTCACGTTCTCTCCTTCGTCGTTCCTCGTCTTGACGTTGCTGGTCCTCTTCTTCCTCCTGCAGCTGAAGAGCAAGCGCTAGATCGTGATCTTCTTGCTCTGATGCTGTGCGCAGTGTCTGACTCGTGACGTCTAAGCTATCTTCCGTGTGCGCTTGCGTGGAAACGCTCGAGGCCGGTCTAGGACCGGGTAGCGGCGGAGGAACTTCAGTGTCTGTAGCTTGAGCTTGAGGTCTGTGATACCTGTTTCTGCTTTGCGCCGTCTCCCACCCTTCGTTGCCGCCGCCAGAATTGCCCTGATTGAGGTTGCTGCTCGCACCATGGCTGACACTGCGGAAGTCTCCACTGAAGTATTCCGACGCAGCACCGTTAACGTCGACCAGGCTTTCCCAAACAATCTCTGCGTGAGAGCCGTAGCCTTGGTCAGTCACCAGCGTCATCAATGCGCCATGTCGCGGCTCCTTGTACAACGTGCTGAAATGGTCGTTCCGGAACAGAATGGCTATTTGACCCGAGTGTAGACTTTGTGAGATGGACTCTAACCCATGGTCGGTCAGTTGCGTCGGCCAATTGCTGAGAAAGCCATTGATTGTAGTGATGTCCTGCAGCATTTCCTGCTCCTGAGTGCTCAGCCCTTCGCTGCTCTGCTGCTTGTGCTTGAGTTCTGCTTCAGCGAATTGTATGTTTTGGGCATCCTCATAAGTCTTTGCACTTCTCTCAAATGCCGCATAGTCTGGAGTGTCTTTTGGCGCTGTCCAGCCATGAATCAGCGGGATATTAAAGGTCGAGTACAAGCGCATCTCCCTGGTCTCCTCGAAGCTACCCGGCTTACTTTGCGCTCTATCCAATGGATGAACGCCATTCATGGCTTGAGGATGGCCATCGTAGGAGCCTCTGGGAGTTTGTGCGGGGGTGATGAAGCGTGGATTGACGTTCATGCCGGTGTGCAGGGCCAGTAGGAAGGCGTATAGCTCACTAACGTCGGGTAGATTATGCGCAGTATCGCCACGCCGACCTGACATCAGCTCGTCAAAGACGGCATCTAGCAACAGGCCCAGGGACACTTGTTCGCGGGTTCTTAATGTCTCGACCAAAGGAGTGTCCATGTCGAGAGGCGTTGACAGTGATAGTGCATTGACTAGAGCGAGCAGTGGACATGGACCATTCTCATTCTGCGTCAAGATGGGTGATGATCGCATTTTCTCCCTATCTTGCCAATTAATGTGCTTAATCTGATAGTGCTCGTTCCTCTTCCTTTCCTGAGTCCGAGGGGTTTCGGGCACAGTGTGTGGCGCGGACGAAGAGGAGGCAATTGGTCTGTCGACCGATATCGAAGGTAGAGGTCGTGAAGCTGGAGGTTCCGCATGATCGATCAAGGGTCCTGAAGCTGAGGGAGGCGGTCCAGGCGGAGGTGCGTACTGAGGGGGCTGCGAGCTCCCTTCAGGGTGCGCAGATGGCGTAGGAAAGTAGCCTGGCGATTTGGGGCTTGGCAGAGCGATAGGAATGTTGCCATGTTCAGTCGACACAGCCGGCAGTGCTTCCTTAGGGGGAGGTGGAGGCGAAGGTGTTTTGCCCTCGGCCCAAGGGTTGGTGACAGGCAGCGTGGTCTCCGATTGTACGACAGGCTTGTCGCCAAGCGAGAGGTGGGCCAGCTCTTCAGCGGGGGTGGTCAGCGTAGGGAGCTCAACAGGCGGAGGGGGAGGTGCTTGAGAAGGGAGCGGCGGAGCAGCATGTCGTGGTTGTTCCCATATTGGCTGGCTGGATTCCGTGCTCTTCTGCGAATCGTTGTTGTTGACCAGTCCATTCTGTTTGTGGTAGGGATTGTTCGACTTCTCGTCCTCATTTCTGCGGTCTTCATTCTTCCCTCCAACAGCGCCATTCACAGGCCCAGGGCGCAATATTGAAGGAAGTTCGCTCTCATTCCTCCCATGCTTCTTACTGTCCTGCTTGCCCGGTGTGACATTCAGCGGCTGGGGCACCTCGACGAAGCCTTCGGGCGACTCTCGGTCTCTGTCGGTATCGTCCGAGTCCCATGTGCCATGCGAACTGACGTCTGAGTCTCGCCGCCTCTTCTCGCGCGCCGCATTCATGTCAATGAGGTTGAAGGCCGGGGAAGTGCTCAGGTCATTGCTGTACACGTCTTCGTTCTTGGTCGGAGTCGTCGGGTAAGGCGCTGAGCCATTCGGAGCAGTCGCAGTCGCAGTGTCGACTCTCGGGCCCACGGGTTTCCTGGTCACCATGTTCGACAGTGCGTGCAGTCGACGGTTGCACTGCTGACTACTGCTGCCTCGCTCACTCGATATACCTCCAGACTTGGTAGCGTGAGTGGGGGCGCGTGTCTTAGGATATCAAACTCCGCTACTCCACCCTCTCTCCAGCAGCGGTGGTACGACAAGCAGGAGTGGTGGAGGTGGTGGTGGTGGTGGTGGTAGCGTATGAAGAAGTCGAAGTGAACAAGGTAGAAGTATAGGACATGTCAGGCCTCGACATTCTTCTTCCTCTCCAAGCAGCTGTCCGTAGTCGCGTTCAAGCCGCTAGCATCAACTCCGCCCAGCTTGGAGAAGACTTAAAGCGTGAGATGAGACTGTTGGGGCGGACTGCGCCACACTTCGGGAAGAAACGAGGTTTGGAGGTGGAGGGCAGCTGCAGGGTCCAGGCATCTAGCGGCTTATGCTTTCGAAAAGTTTGGGTGTTTCAGTCACATGCGAGAGAGAGAGCGAGCTGGAGAGCGAAAGAAAGAGAAAAGAAGAGAATTTCACCGACACACACCCAAAATGTCTTCTTCCTCGACTTCTCCTATACCACTTCGCATCCTGCTGGTCGGCAATGGCGGAAGAGAGCATACTCTCGCCTGGAAGCTCGCCCAGAGTGCCCGAGTCGAAGTCATTCACGTGGTGCCTGGCAATGGGGGAACGGCTGGGTAGGTCAATGCCTGCCGCTGCTGTCTACTCTGATGGTATTATGGGCACCACTCACTCACCACCCTCTCTTCTCTCTCCAGCGTCCCCAAATGTCAGAACATCCCCGACTTGAACCCCGACCGCTTCTCCGACCTCGTTGCTCATGCCAAAGCACACAACCTCAACTTCCTCCTCCCCGGCCCCGAAGCTCCTCTCGTTGCGGGCATCGTCGACTACTTTGCCCAGCATGCCCCCCACATCAAAGCCTTTGGCCCTTCTCTGGCTGCCGCGCGAATGGAGGGGAGCAAGACGTTTAGCAAAGACTTCATGAAGAAGCACAACATCCCGACTGCTCGCTACGAGAACTTTTCCGATTACGAGCAAGCAAAGAAGCACCTGGACGACATTGACTATGATGTGGTGATCAAGGCTGACGGGTTGGCTGCTGGCAAAGGCGTCATCATCCCGCAGACCAAGGAAGAAGCACAGGCGGCCTTGAAGGAAATCATGGTGGATCACGAGTTTGGCAGTGCTGGAAACAGTGTGGTCATTGAGGAGTTCCTGACGGGAGACGAAATCTCCATTCTTTCCCTGAGCGATGGCACATCCATCCTCAGTCTCCCACCAGCACAGGATCACAAGCGTATAGGTGATGGTGACACGGGCCCCAACACTGGAGGCATGGGAACCTACGCGCCCACGCCTGTCGCTACAAAAGAGCTGCTGGAAGAGATTGAGCGAACCACATTGAAACCCACAATCGACGGCATGAAGGCAGACGGCATGACCTTTGTCGGATGTCTCTTCACAGGTTTCATGCTCACTCCAAACGGGCCCCGCGTGCTCGAGTACAACGTCCGTTTCGGCGACCCAGAAACACAATCCTGTCTCGCACTTCTCAAATCAGACCTTGCAGAGCTCATGCTAGCCGCCACAAACGGCACATTATCCTCACAAACAATCGATATCGCGCCTCTGAGTGCCTGCACGGTCGTCGTAGCCGCCGGTGGATATCCCGGAAAGTATCCCAAAGGCATTCCAATGCAAATTGAAAAAGCCAACGAAGTCGAAGGCCACTACACCTTCCACGCTGGAACTGCAGTCAAAGATGGACAGCTCGTGACAAGCGGTGGACGTGTCATTGCAGCCACAGCGACAGGCAGCACATTGCGAGAAGCAGTCGACAAGGCGTACCATGGTGTGCAAGGCATCAAGTTTGAGGGAATGCAATATCGAAAGGATATTGCTCATCGTGCTTTACGATGATGAGTACCAAAGTAGTTATGACCACCCGAGACTAGAACTAGATCGCTTGGAGCGAGTCCGCTAGTCATTCAGCCAAGCATGGTAGAACCAGGAAATACAAGGCTACTATTGCATCAAAAGAAGTGAAGAAGATACATCTATCCATTGCGGGTCTACCTCTCATCCCCCTCCACCTTGCCACTCATGTCACTCATCAATCCATTGACTCAATACATGTACGTACACACTCAATAATTCTTCCTCGATTCGATTCGATTCGATTCGATCAATACAATTGTACCTACCGTACCTACATATATACAATACACCCGACAGTAGACAGTGGACAGTGAAAGTGACAGTGACAGTGACAATAAGTTCAGTAAGGTACAGGTAAGTAAATCCATGTAGGTATGTATGTATGTAGTTCTTTGCTGCATTCGACAAGACTATAGTAAAGTAAAGCGAAGCGAAGTAAAGCGAAGTAAAGTGCCTAATGATCGGGAAAATGTAAGGGTATACGCATAGTTTTCTCTTCCTTAGTTCCTTCTTTTCTTTCCTTTCTCTCACTCTTCTTTTCTTTCCTTCCTTCTCTCCACACAACGAAAGTTGAAAAAATCCAAATCAAAAGTAAAGGTAAGGTATACCTGACTTTTTCACCCTCTCCACCTCACATCCCCGAGTCATCACGAAACATTCCTCCCCCTCGCCGCCAATCTCGCCCGTGCCAACTCGAGTGCTTTCAGACGTTTAATATTAATACTGTTGTTATTATTATTGTTATTACTACTGTTACCATTCTCACCAGAAACGACAGGAACAGGAGGAGGAGGAAGCTGGACATGAGACATTGCACCCCACGCGGCCGAGGGTTTCTCTGCTCCACCATCTTTGGATTTTGGTCGAACGTTCTCTTTCGTATTGTTGTTGTTCTGACTTCCCATTGCTACTCGTTGCTGACGTTCCTTCTTCGCGGCAGATCTCTCTACCGTGGGAGAGGAAGGAGGCTGAGTATGATCCATTGTTGCATCCGGGTGGAAAGGGCTGGAAGGGAGAGAGATGGAAAGTTCGTCGGGGTGGATGAGTGGTGGTTCTGTGGACTGCAAGGGGGAGTCTTGTCGTTTGTCTCGAGTGGTAGGTGATGCGCGGGGTTGGAGTCCCATTGATATGGCTAAGGAGAGAGCGTCCTTTGGCATATCGCTGCTGTTGTTGCTGAGTGTCTGTAATGGTGTTGCGCCTGTGCCGCTGGTGACGGCGCGACTGTCCCTTGAAGACGGACGTGCTGGCTCGGGCTTGGCGGGTTCCATTGTGGAAGTGGAGTGCTTGGAGTGTAGATCGCGCAGTCTACGCCTTGGTTTTGCACGCTCCGTTTGCTCTGTTGCCGACTGTAGTCCTTGATTACGTTGGTGTTCGCTTCCACTCATTGCCCCATTTGCTGAAGCTGAAGCACCCTTCCAAGGTTTGACTTCCGACTCAGTCTTGCTGGGAAAAGCTGCACTCGTACCCGTCTCGGCAGGTCGCCTAGAGCCACTCGTACCCAAACCGCGCTTGATTTGCTCCAGCTCGTCTTTGGCCATCTGCTCCGCAGCTTTGCTCTTCTTCAGCAATTCCTGGAGCTCCTTCAATTGGGTCTCAAGATCTTCAGTCCGTCTTTGCAGCTTGTCGGCCTTCTTTTTCTCCTGCCTCAGCTCATCTGTCAAGTCCAAACATTCATCGTCCTTGTCCCGTGCGTAATTCTTCGCGAGCTTCTGCTTGGCAACGAGCTTCTTAACCTCGGCCGTAGTTCTCTCGCGATACAGGTCGTACTCTCTTTTCCAGTATTTCCCCGAGTCGGACACTGGATCAGCCAAGTCTAGTGTCGCATCCGGATCATCCTGCAGCTTCTCTGGTCTTCCCAGCCGGACTTTGCGCCTCGTGGAGCTCTCATCCCGCGCATGCTCCAATGCTTCAGTGAGCTTCGTGCTGCGACCTCCCATCCTCTGCGCAGAGTCTTCCACGTGTTCTCCGCTTGTTGTAGACTTCGTCCATGGACTGGGAAACTTTCCAGGACAGTCCTCCGGCAGCCCCGTCTTTGTCGGCCGCTTCTCCTCATTGTCGACCACGTTGTCTGGGAACGTGACGGTCTTTCTCTTGCCTCCTGCAGTGCCTGGAGTCATCAAAATTCCCTTGGTAGGAGAAGCAGGAGGCTCCAGGGCGACTGCCTCGCCGAGTCTGCCCATTGTTGTCGCATCGTTGGTGCTTCTCGGTCGCGTCATTCGTGGTCGCGATGCTTGCGGAGATCGTCCATTCTCGGTATGGGAATGGCGTCGCGGTGCCTTGGGCTTCTCGGTTTGGGGCGTGCCATAGACCAAGTGCTTCAAGGCGCGTACAGGAAACAAATGAGCAGGTGTTTCTGGTGGATCTATACAGCCAGTGGTGTCTGGATCCTCGTTGTTGTTCTCATGAGGCTTCCCCGCGAGCCAATGCAACATGGCCGCGATGCTACTACGAGGATGATGTTCGATACTGGCAGTCGCAACTCTCGCTGGGAGGGTGGGAGTACTGTAGGTCAGGTAGTCTAGTGGGTGGTTGAGTGGGGCTGCCCGTTGTGGTTGTCACGGCGCGCGCAAACATAGCCGCAAACCTTCTTTATTGACGTGCGTAAACACAAGATAAGGCTGATAAGCTAAGGGACGTGTAGCTCCCTTGGCGTGGCAGGCAGCTCATCATTGATTGCCGACGCAGAGGGACACTGCACGGTCTGTACTACTGTTACTATTACTATTATTACTGTTGTTACTGTCCTACTACCTCCTATAGGAAGGTAGTCTTCTCCTTATCCCGAGTGATATAACCTTGAGAGACGCCAATGTCCGTCTCGCAGTCGTGAGCTGATCTTGTCCTAACAACGACGCGCGCGTGCATAGCAACCACAATACCACAACAACAACATGTTTATACTGGATGCATCTCAGGTAATGTATGTTCTCAGTCACTTCTGCATAGTCCACAGAGCTCATCGACGCGTTTGTAGGCTGCTCTAGGCGTAGAATTGATTGACAGCCACCATCAAGTACTATACTACGCGCTCATTCGTCCGGACTTGGCTCCTCTTAGCGTGTCCTCGCGCAACTTTATTTACGCGACGTGCTGTAATTAAGGTTCGAGGCTGCAGGTTGCGCGTAACTATGGTGTGCGTGCGTGATTGTGTGAATATATCTTTCTCGCAACTTCGACCACTTCACAACTCATAACAATGACTCAGACCCGCACTTGAACAGTCACCGCTGCAGCAACTTCACAATTGCTGCCGACTCTGTTCAACCAACACCAACATCAATCACCCGTTTCAGCTGCCATGGCGCCGCCGAAACCAAGCAAGAAAGCAGCTGCTGTCACCACGACCGCGCCCCCAGTCAAAGAAGCTCCAATTGACTATGAAGAGATGCAAGAAAATGAACTCAGCGTCCTTTCCTCCATTTTTGGAGATGACTTTCAAGACGTTGTGACACAAGGAGCATGGCAGAAGACGACGGATCGCAGTTTCAGACTGACGGTGCGGTCGGCCGATCGCGAGCTCTTTGTCGTGCTGTCCGTTCGCTTCACCGCGACGTATCCAAAGTCGCCGCCGATCATAGAAGTCATCCGCGGTCTCGACGAACTACATGCAAGAACTGTCACTCGCATCAGAAACATCCTGGATAAGACGCCCGCGCAACTGCTCGGCGACTCCATGATTTGGTCCATCGCTGATGACATCAAAGACGCCCTTGAGGACGCCTCACAAGCGCGGAAGCAGAACACTCTTCCTAGCCTCGACGAGGAGCGCGTCAACGCAGAAGAAGTGGCTGCGCAACTTGCCAAGCAAGCTGCCGAAGCAGATGCACTCATGCAGTCCAAGATCGAAGCAGAAGAGCGACGCGAGTTGGACCGGCAGGTGAAGGAGGAGGCCCTGCGACTGGAAAAGAGGACGTTGCGCAATTCCATCACTCAGCCACAAGAGCCCCCACCTCCCACACCAGAAATCCTGTCCTTTGGCCACACTGCTCGAGTTCGAGTTCAGGGCACATTGCGAGACTTCACTCAAGTTTTCATCTCCGGATCACTCACCCACAGCTTGAGTAAAGAGATCGTCTTGCTGGGCAGACCACTTGCAACGGTTCCTGGAGGCGACGTGCCTGTCGTTACAGTGACGCGCAGAAAAGTCAAGAAGCCAAAATCTGTTGCTTGGCAACTCGAACAGCTTATGGTCGACATCACACAGTTGAACCATACTAACCTGCTCAATGTCCTAGCATCACGCGTCACCATCACCAACGAAGCAGAGTTCGAATTTTTGATGTGTTGCGAGTACGCTGAGCGAGGTGAGTCATGATCCCTGTTTCTGTTTCTGTTTTCAATCAATAAGCTAATGCTTCCAAGGGCCTATGTATGACTTATTGTCTGTCTGTGATCGTCTTCCGCAAGCAAAAGCTCAACAGTTCACCCGAGAGTTGCTGGAGGGCCTTGAATATCTTCATGGAAACGGCGTCCTACACGGTTACCTCAACCTTCGGAGCATCTACATTACCAGTGGCCCGAACCCGTCCCCGAAGCTTGCATGCTTCGGGTATCTGGGATTGATTGGCGTGGAGGATGATACCCTACCAAACAAATGGCGAGCACCTGCAGAAATTCTCAAGAGCAAAGCCGCTGACATCTGGCAACTTGGAGCAGTTGTCGCTCAGATGTTCTTTGGCATCGCCACACCGGACGAATATGATTCCCCAAAGCTCTTGCGCGCGAGACCGGACATTTCTGACGCAATGCTAGTGTTCCTGGACAAAGTCTTCGCAGCGAAGAAGAGTGGCAATTGTTTCGACCTACTCAGAACGGAGTTGCTGCGTACTGATGAACCGGTGTTGCGGACAAACCTTGGGTCGCGAGTGGAGAACCAGTCGACGACTCCGCGTCCTCGTTCCAGACACAATTCGTCAAACATTCCGGAACCAACAGGCTCTTCGCACTATCAAAAAGCCTTTCGCGAGATTCGCCAATTGGGTAAGGGTGGCTTTGGCGTAGTCGCAGAAGTCGTGGCCAAGACTGATGGCAGTCGCTACGCAGTAAAGAAAATCCAAGTGCGAGGTTCCCAATTGGACGACGCTCTTCGCGAGACGAGTTTGATTTCCAGACTCAATCACCCGTACGTTGTTCAATACAAGACTTCCTGGGTAGGAGAAGGCGAGAAGTCCAGCGCAGTGGTAAGCATGACCCCTTCGGATTGTATCACCCCAATTCTGTTTCTAATCTATTCTTAGGATGACTCGGAGTCGAACTCGGGCTCCTATTCCGAAGACGAGGGCGAGAGTGAGGCTGGCATCCTACACTCTCCAAGTTACGCCGCTGCCGGGCTTGATTTCATTAGCAATGATCATGCCCATCTCGATTCTCCCGACGAATACGAAGCCGACCAAGACGACGAAGACGACTCATTCGACCCTTTCGACCGTGATGGCACATACGAGAATGGCACGGAAGAGGAAGAGACTGGAATCTGCGAGGATTCAGAGAGCACATCAGAGAGTAGCAAGACGGCACCGAGAAAGTGGCTCCCAAGCTCGAGCCGTCCTGCCCGAACCCTATACATCCAGATGGAGCTGTGCAACCAGCAAACACTGGGCTCCCTCATTGAGGGAGGGATATCAGAGGACCACTCATGGAGGCTGATTCGACAAATCACCGACGGTCTGGCCGCTATTCATGTCGTCGGCATCATACATCGCGACTTGAAACCGCAGAACATCTTCATTGATGCCAGCGGTAACCCCAAAATTGGCGACTTTGGTCTGGCAACGATCACAGACTTCCAGGACCCTGACGATGCGACTGAGTCATCCTCCACCAACAAATCCATCGGCACTGCATTGTACATGGCACCGGAGTTGCGCACTGGAAGCACTGTACAGCAAAGCAGCAAAGTCGACATGTACTCACTGGGCATCATATTCTTTGAGATGTGTAACAAGTTTGGCACCAAAATGGAGCGCATTACCGAGTTACAGCAGGTACGACAGAAGGATCACGCCCTGCCAGATATCTTCCTGCCGGACAGTGAGAAGGCAAAGCAAGGTAACATCATCAAGCGCCTGATTTCGCATACGCCCAGTGAGCGGCCCAGCAGTGCAGACCTACTGCAGGAGTTACCTGTTCAGATTGAAGCTGAGGCTACACGGAAAGTCCTGAGCGAAATGAAGGATCGTGACTCAGCAATCTATCGACAGATGATGACCGATCTGTTCTCTCACAGTGGCAGTGGTGCTCGACACGCCGCCAAAGGATCCCTTTGGGACACACGAGCAGCCAAGATGCCCGAGAAGGCAGTCAACATACGCCTCCGAAATATTGTTCGTGGCACGCTGGAGACAATTTTCCGCAGACATGGAGCAGAGGAGATTCGACGCGACTTTATCTTCCCATCTGCCGTCAAGAAGCACTATCCGACAAAACCGAACGTGATGCAGCTGATGGATGCCTCAGGAAATCTGCTGCAGCTTCCTTACGACCTCATTCTTCCATACGCTCGTCAGCTCGCTCGTCAAAAGGCAGCGACTAGGTGCACTTTCACTTTCAGCGGTGCCTATCGCAACATGGCAGGTCCACCAAAGGCTAGTGTGGAGGCCGACTTCGACATCGTCAACAACAAAGATGATGATGACGACACAGCACTCAACGATGCAGAAGCGATAAAGGTCGTAGATGAGGCACTGACCGAGCTTCCCCAATTTGTGGCGCAAAAGGCCGTATTCTATCTCAGTCATGGGGTTCTGATCGATGCCATCCTGGATGCATGTCGAGTGCCTCTGGAAAAGCAATTCCCTGTCAAAATGGCTCTCGAACGAGTGGGATATCAAAGCAGCACGAAAGAAATCTGTAAGTGAACTCTGGCAAAGCTCCATTTAACGTTGTAATCAGACTAACGCTCTCACAGCTTCTTGGTCCAACGTTGACACTGACCTCCGTAACATGAAGCTCATGGGTACAACAGTGGACGCTCTGAAAGAGTATGACTTCAGCTTGTCTCCCGCCAAGGCGTTCGAAAAGCTTTCGAATCTCATGAGCGATGCCAAGCCTCAAGTGAAGACCAGATGCGATACCGCCATTGACGAGCTGCGCCATATCGTCCAGTGCACCAAGCTATTCAAGATCGAGCGAAAGTTGGTCATTTCCCCATTGTCCTGCCACAACGCGAAGTTCTATGCAACTGGTTTGATCTTCACTGCGGCCGTGTCAAACAAGAACGACAAGATTCCATTGGCTTCTGGAGGGCGCTACGACAGTCTGATCGAGCAGCAGAATAAGCCTGATCCGAACCTGAAGCAAGGAGCTGTCGGCTTTCAGATTGGTGTCGATCCCATCGTCAGACTCCTCATCAGCTCAGGGGTAGGAAAGAAATCCGACAATCTGAAGGATACCAACCAAGTTCAGCCACTCGCAAAGCGTTGCGAGGTTCTTCTGGTTACCAATGGTACCGAAAAAGTCCGCGATGTCGCCCTTGGACTCCTCACAAACCTATGGGCAGCCGACATCAAAGCCGAGCTGTCCCGCGAACACAACTCGTATGAGTCCCAGGAGTACTCGCTGATTGCTCACCTCCGTCATGAGACGGCTACCACAGTCGCCTTGACCAACCCTGAAACGGGTCACGGAGCCGAAGTTCCTGCTGGATCCGTGGTCAACCACATCCAGCAGGAACTTCGGGACATGGTGAGCAGCAGGACGAGAATCCCTCTCCTGAGGGCCAGCTCGAGCCACTGGGGCGGAGACGATCAAAAGGTATGTTATCTCCGTCTCTACGAGACTGGAATTCAACCACGCCACCTCCTGCTATTTCAAGCTAACACGTTCACAGGCGGACAATGTCGAGGTGCTGCGGTTGGAGCGTGGCGGCAAGAAAGCCAACCGCGACGACATTGTCCATGCCGTCCGTCACGCCTGGGAGGAGAAGCTGGACGAGCTCAAGGGGGGCCCGATCCTGGCCATTGAGGCCCGGGATCCGGTCCTCGAGCTCGTCGCGGCAACCAAGCTCAGCGACGCTGAGACGTGGCGCCAGGCCACCCAAAAGTAAGTCCCTCCTTCCCTCCCTCCCTCCCTAACAATAACCCTATACGCCATGCTGTCGAGTCCACGACCACCCAACGGGCGTGTGTGTCCTCGAGAAATGAGAGCTAACCTGGAGATGCAGTGCTGGTCTCAACGAACGCTCGTTGATGAGGGCGTTGCAGGAGAAGCTCTTCGCTCTTCGAGAGCAGGGTGCGCGCCACATTGGTGTGCACTCCTGGCTCTCGAAGGAGGGCATCCTGTACGACCTGACCGCATAGGGTGGCTTGGTAGCCTGGGTAGATAGATTGAAAGTATGACAGAATGAATGAATGAGAGAATGAATGAGAGAATGAATGAAAGAATGAATTTGTCTGAGTTTTTTTGATTTTCCCTTTTCCCTTTTCCCTTTTCCCTTTTTACCTTTTCTTCTTCTTCTCCTTGCCTCTCTGTAAATTATAACGAAGGCTATACTACGAACGTCGTTACTAAGACACTTTACGAGTACGACCTACTACTCGAGATACCTCGAGATTTCTGAATTCTAAGTCTTCCTTTTTACTTCTTCTTTTTCTTCTCTATCTCCTTTTCTTCTTCTTCTTCTCTCTCTTCTTCTCTAGGAATTATTACTAGACTATACTAAGAACGTTAGTACTAAAACAAAAAAGTAGTATAATTTACTACTCGAGATACCTCGAGATTTCTAAATTTTAAGTCTTCTCTTTTACTTTTTCTTCTCTATCTCCTTTTCTCTCTCTCTCTCTCTTCTCCTCTCTTCTCTAGGAATTGTTACTAGGCTATACTACGAATATTGTTACTAAGATAGTTTATAAGTACGACCTACTACTCGAGATACCTCGAGTCTTATCTTTTTCTTTTTCTTCTTCTTCTTCTTTCCTCTCTCTCTTCTTCTCCTTACCTCTCTAGGAATTGTTACTAGACTATACTACGTACGTTGCTACTAGAACAAAAAAGTAGTATAATTTACTACTCGAGATACCTCGAGTCTTATCTTTTTCTTCTTCTTTTTCTTCTCTATCTTCTTTTCTCTTTCTCTCTTCTCCTATCTTCTCTAGGAATTATTATTAGACTATACTACGTATGTTGCTACTAAAATGTTTTAGGAATAGGACTTACTACTCGAGATAACTCGACTTCCTAAGTCTTCTCTTTTACTTTTTCTTCTTTTATCTTCTTTCCTCTTTCTCTCCTCTCCTTGCTTCTCTATAAATTGTTACTAGACTATACTACGTACGTTACTACTAAAACAAAAAAGTAATATTACTAGTTAATAGAGATAGCTCGAGTCTTGCTTTTATTTTTCTTTCTTATCTTCTTTTACTTTTTCTCTATATCTATCCTTTTCTCTTCTCTTCTCTCTTTCCTCTCTTCTTCTCTAAAAATAATTACTAGACTAAACTACAAACGTTACTACTAAAACAAGAAAGTAGTATAATTTACTACTCGAGATACCTAGAGTCTTATCTTTTTCTTCTTTTTCTTCTCTATCTTCTTTTCTCTCTCTCTTTCCCTCTCTTCTCTATAAATTGTTACTAGGCTATACTACGAATATTATTACTAGAATAGTTTAGGAATAGGACTTACTAATAGAGAGGTCTTAACTCCTTAAGTCTTCTTCTTTTCTTCTTCTTCTTCTTCTTCTTCTCTATCTCCTTTTCTCTCTCTCTTCTTCTCTCTTCTCTAGGAATTTTTACTAGGCTATACTACGTACGTTGCTACTAAAACAAAAAAGTAGTATAATTTACTTCTAGAGATACCTCGAGTCTTATCTTTTTCTCCTTCTTCTCTCTCTTCTTCTCTCTTCTCTACAAATTATTACTAGACTATACTACGTACGTTACTACTAAAATGTTTTAAGAATACAACCTACTAATAGAGATATCTCGAAATGTCCGGGTTTTGATCTTCTTCGGCTTCTTCTTTTTAGGCTTCTTCTTTTTAGGCTTCTTCTTTTTAGGCTTCTTCTTCTTCTTCTTCTTCTTCTTGGGCTTCTTCTTAGGCTTCTTCTTCTTGGGATTCTGCTTCTTCCTGGGCTTCTTCTTCTCGGGCTTCTTCTTCTCCTTCTCCTCCTCCCTGTCCTTCTCCCTGTCCTTCTCTTTGTCCTTCTCTTTATTCTTCTCTTCTGAATTTTATGCAAGGTAGCCCGTAGGGACAGGCAGGCAGGCAGGTAGGAAGGTATGCCTCCAGTGGCTACTGCGTAGAGCTTTCCTTTCTTTGCGCCCGCGGCGTGCTTTTTTGAGGTAGTAAAGCATTGGGTCCAGTAGATCTAGCGCTCCCTATCGCCAAAGATCCCTCTATTTACCTTTTTTTTGTAATGATTAGTTGTCCTCCACATGCCCCTACACCTAACCTACGCTGCGCTTCGAAAGGTTTGGAGGTCGTTCCATGCCAATAAGGTAGTAGAGAATATTTGCTAGCAACGTATACAAAGGCATGCTGAACGACTCCTATTGCAGGTCAGCAGGCTATAAGGACAGGAAGGAGATGAGATGCACCTGAGCTTCTTTACAACTTTTCAAACGCTATCAGTGACACTATAATACACATCCATCTCCAGCACCATCTACACGGGCTAGCAAAGGCCGTGCTATGCGCCGCTAATGCAACAGGTATCCTCTTCCAGAGTGGAGATTATAATCTTCTGAACTGCTCTTTTCTTCCTCTGTGCAAATGTGCTGAGGAGCACAAAGTGTAGTAGTTATAACGTGTTTTTGTACAAAACCGGCATTTCCAGTCGGGCATGGGTATCATGGCTCGCACTCATATATCATGAGAGTTCAAGGTAGAAGGAGGTCGAATGGGGCGACGTCGGTCGAAATCGAGCGCGTAAGGCATCTAGAACATGCCACCACCCATTCCACCCATTCCGCCCATGCCTCCAGGCATACCTGCTGGTCCCTTGTCTTCAGGAGCCTCGACAATGGCGACTTCTGTGGTACCGAGGAGCGATGCAACACCAGATGCATCAGAAAGACCGGTACGGACAACCTTGAATGGATCCAGGATACCGGCGGCAATCATGTCTGTGTATTCTCCCTTCGCGCTGTCGAAACCCTTGTTGAAGTCCTTTCCAAACTCATCCATGAGCTTTCCAACGATGACGGAACCCTCGAGGCCGGCGTTCTCGACAATCGATCGTGCTGGGCGAGTGATGGCATTCTTCACAATTGAAACACCAAGTTGTTGGTCGAAGTTGGTGGTCTTCACGGAGCCGAGGGCGTTGGCAGCAGCCTTGAGCAAAGCAGTACCACCACCTGGAAGAATGCCCTCCTCAACGGCAGCGCGTGTGGCGTTCAAGGCATCAACCATGCGGTCCTTCTTCTCGCCGACCTCGACCTCGGAAGCACCACCAACCTTGATGACGGCAACACCGCCAGAGAGCTTAGCAAGACGCTCTTGCAGCTTCTCCTTCTCGTACTCGCTGGTAGTTGGGTCAGCCATGACTCCGCGGATCTGCTCGCAACGGTTGGTGACCATGTCCTTGGTACCCTCGCCATTGAGGATGACTGTGTCCTCCTTGGTGATCGTGATGGATCCAGTGGAGCCGAGCATGTCTGGGGTGGCTTTCTCGAGCTTGATATCGAGCTCGTCGGTGAAGACAGTACCGTTGGTCAGGACAGCGATATCGCCGAGAATGCTCTTGCGGTTGTCACCAAAGCCAGGCGCCTTGACAGCAGCGACTTGAAGTTGTCCACGGAGCTTGTTCAGGATGCAGACAGCGAGCGCCTCACCATCGATATCCTCCGCAATGATGACAAGAGGCCTGCGCAGCTGCTGGGATGCCTCGAGAGCTGGCACAATGTCCTGAACAGCAGAGATCTTCTTCTCGGAGAGGAGTATTAATGGCTTCTCGAACTCAACCTTCTGCGATTTGGTATCCGTAATGAAGTATGGCGAGATGAAGCCGCGGTCGAACTTCATTCCCTCGGTGACCTCGAGCTCATCCTCGATCGTCTTGCCCTCCTTGACAGTGATGACACCCTCTTTGCCAACTTTTTCCATTGCAGTGGCGAGCAGACCACCGATGTGCGTGTCGCCGTTGGCGGAGATGGTTGCGACCTGGCTGATCTCGGCGGACGTGGTGATATCGCGCTTGTTCGTTCGCAGGTAGTCGATAACGGCCTCCACTGCAGCCTGGGTACCTCTGCGCAGGTCCATTGGGTTGCAGCCGGCGGCGACGTTCTTGACGGTCTCGGAGAAGATGGCGTGGGCGAGCACGGTGGCGGTGGTTGTGCCATCACCAGCAACCTCGTTGGTCTTGCTGGCGACATCCTGCAGTAGCTTTGCGCCCAGGTTCTCAAATTTGTCCTTGAGCTGAACGGCCTTGGCTACCGTGACACCATCTGAGGAGATGCATTAGTGTGTGGAAGTGGAAGTGAGGTAGATGCAGATGCAGGGAGATGCGAATGGAATGCGGATAGATACCTTTGGTGATTTTGGGCGAGCCATAGCTGGACTCGATCAGCACGTTGCGGCCCTTGGGACCCAGCGTCGTGGCAACAGCCTTGGCCAGTGTCTCGACTCCCGACAACAGAGCAGCTCTGCCTTCAACGCCGAACTTGAGCTCCTTGTGGGCAAATCGTTGCTGGACCAGCGAAGCCGGTCGTATTCTCGTCTGGCGAGCGACGGTTCGCGGTGTGGATGAGAGGACGCGCTGCATGGTGACGATCTGGGAAGAGACCAATGGATGCAGAGTCGATGAAAACGCCGGGACTCCAAATGAGATGGACTGAGGGGGGAGAATTATGTAGGAAGAGAGAGTTAGAGATTGAAATGTCGGGGAGGATGGGATGGCAATGGAAGTCCCGTTCAGTTTCCACCACAACTTTCTAGAACCTTTTCCCTTCAGAGTCCGAGCTCTGCTCCATTCAGTTAGGCCTGCAGAGCTCCGTAGTGACCATGGGCCAAAATCTTGCCCTCCGGCTGTCTGATTGGCCATCCGCGTAGGATAATCGACTTCATTCACGTGCCGTCCTAGTTACATTGCTCTCACCTTGTTCAGATCTCTCTTTCCGCCGTCGACAGCTACGTGTATGTTTCGAATCATCGAAGGCATGAGTAGTATCACATTTCGCGTCCCACAAGAGTTCTCGATCTTGTCGGCCTTCCAAGTGCAGGCCATGTTGACCAGATGACCCAAATCGCAAAGTATTCTGGGACGATGTAGACTCGGTTTTCATGTTGAAAACTATCGATCAGTCACGGGCAGGACTGACCGGCACTCGAAATACATCTGGCAACTGCGACTTGGCGGTTCTGTTAAGTTGCCCACGGGTTAAGAGATATTGACTTCCACGGTAGCTACCCACCCGGTAGCTATGGATGCCCTCATGCGTCCATTTGCGAGGCATCTGCATTGGAATATATTCTACATGAGTCCGGTCCTCCTTGCCGTACGCAAAAAGCTCCCGATCTCTTTTCACCTGCCTCTTGCGCTCTTCACTCTCCAAGTAACCACCAACATCTGTTATTCGCATTCATCAATCCCCAATAAGCTCTATTCATCTGCTCTAAGTATTCATCTACTCTTTTGCCATCTTCATCTGCATCCAACTACAACCACTACAAATCGGGATCGACAGCTGCTATAATGGCCACTCCCGGAGCTGAGGTGAGGAGTCGCATGGCCGCGGTCTTGCAAACGGTTGTTCCCGACGATGAGAAGGAGCAAGTTTTGAATGCCTCTTATACACGGGTGGAGTTCATGAACTGGGCGGCGAAGATCCCCGCTCGCCCCACGACGACTACGCCCCTAGGGGAAGGCTCACAGTCAGAGCCCGCGGAGTGGACAGACGCAGAGAGAGCTTCAATTCGGGAAGCTACGCTGAAGGACGCCGAGGAGGAGCTGTTCATGAATCAGTATCCCGAGGCGTCCCTAGAGCGATACAAAGAGTGTGCCAACAAGCGAGAACTCTACCCCAAGGCGACTATCGAGCACGGAATCAGGGACCAGCGCCACCAGTATTGTCTCGACCATGGTCTGGAATATGTGTTTCAGATGGCTGAACCTGTGCTTGGGGAGGGTTGTTCGCGCGAACAACAAGTCAAGGACGGTCTGCCGAAGAATCACTTTCCCAGGTATCGAGATACGGGTTTTGGAAGAGTAGAACTTCCTAAAGCTCCGAAGATGAGACGTGCTCCAAACTTGAGGCATTCCAGAGATGGACCGCTACACCCAAAGTCGGGTGGTAGCCCGGCCTGGCACTTGGAATCCAGTTCTCAAGCCGACGAGTCCAATGTCCGCACACCGGTGACAGGCCACATCATGACTTCAGAGCGTAACAGGCAGCCCACGCGATCGAGGGACCTTATCGAAGCACAAAAGAACGTGCCCACACAGGGTTTGCTTCTCAAAATAGAAGAAGCTGCCCGTGAAAGACATGAGGAAGATCACCAGAAATTGGTAGAGATTCGTAAGCAGTCCGAGCCGGATTTTGTGGATCCATATCCGACACCGCCGAGAGACACGACTCCTCCGAGTAATGGCAGGCAGCTGCGCAGCGCAACAAAGTCTCCCAGCAAGAGAAAGTCGGAAAGTGAGTCTTCTCCCAGCCCTAAGAAGCCACGACTCATTCTCCACGGGCCGAAGCCGAGAAAGCGCTGCAATTGCGGGCAAGCCAAGCTCGACGACATGATAGCCTGCGGCGGAAAAGCCTGCAAAGTCAGAGGTCAAGGACATCCCATTCCGTGTGTCCCACGGGCTGCTGCACCTGCTGCCGGCGAAGAGCAGTATCGCAGGGAATGTCGCCCTCCATCGCAGTCCTCACGACGATAGCCAGAGGGTAGTTTCCGTGTGATGCTCCTCAGCCATGCTACCTGGGCTATCTCGTCGAACAAGCCATCGGGAGCCCATGTAGCTGGAGGCGTTGGCGGATCCCCTCGTGCAGCCATGGGATGCCATTATCTGCGACACGTGTAAACCGTACGGGCTCCAGGTGCGCCGGTGAACGGCCATATACGACTGCTTATGCGCTTGCGAAGGAGTGATCTGGCGCAATGGTGATCTTGGTCCCACGTTTGGTTGTCCTGAAGTCTCGCGCAATCACAGTAACTTATCGTTGCCCTCCTTTTTCTCGTGTATGGCTAGGAGAAACTCTTGCCAGGCTGTTCCTCAGGGTCCGTCTTCACGAGCAGTCATTTCGCAACAATCAGTCGGTACAGATTCCGTCTCCGACATCACATCCTGCCACTCCCATCATCCTTCAGACCGTGGATGTATCTTGTGCGGCCCGAAATGCTATCCCATAGCCATGACGCGACAGCACTTGCCCGGGTATCAGAGGAGAACTCTTGTTGCGTCCCATCTCCGCAGCTCTTGTTCCTGCCGCGGGTCTAAGGTCCAAAGTCGTCCTCTGTGCATTGCACGATGAGCGTCGGGAATCAAGTTGAAGTGGTGTGGAAAGGCCGAGGATGCTAGTGGAGAAGGGCTTCCTTAGTGAAGGAGAAGGTTGTGTGTCGCCATCAGGGCCGGAGAAGGAGCCACAAGCAGTCTTATTCTGAGGTTGATGGCCATTCAGGGTGCAGTGCTATTCTAGATAGGCACTTCGGTAACCGCTGCTGCTGCTGCTGCTGCTGCCTTAGTGAGTTGTCAATCATCGTGTCAATTTGACCTGCTGCTTTTGGACCGCATGACTTTGTTGAAGAAGGCGAATGCAATGCTCGAGCCTAGAGAGCCGAGATGAGTCTCCTACCTGGTGAAAGGGCTGTGAAGAGGGAGGGGATGTGTCGGTACTGTGTGCCGCGGGTATTAATACCCGTGGACGGGCGACAGTGCTTTACATTTGTCGCAAGGTGAAGGAGACGCAAGCGACTGAAGAGCAGGAAACATGATTCGATACATCGATACAAGTCCGCTGCGAGTGGGACAGTCGGAAGCTGGTACAGCCGGTGCAGACAGATGGTGTTTGAGCACACATGTGAACAGCAGCGATGAAGCTGACGATTTCACCAAGTATAAAGTTCTGCTAATAAGCGGGGATTACCGCCGGCATGGAGGCAGCCGCCAGGTAATACGTGTGATCTTGGACCACAACAATCACGAGCTCACGACAAACAGCCCAACACTGCAAATCCATCAAAACTCGCCCAAAATCATCATCTTTGCCTCATTTTTCATTGCACACTGACACATCGCCGTTTTGAGCATATTTCATCGCGATTGTGGCCCCGTTGGACCGCTTTTGCACCGCACGTCGCGCGGCGACCGGTCGCAGAAATCTCTGCTTTGGATGCCTGAGGCTCGCACAATCACCCGACCAGCAGCGCCTTCCTTCTGCGCGGAACGTGCGAGGGACGGCGGCCGCGCTCTGCCTCTATGTCGACAACCAGAGCCAGCAATGCACGCCATGTACGACAACGCAAGTTAAACACAAAGCAGCCGCTTCGGGTGATTCGTGAGAATGAGCTCGAAGAAGCCACCGATGAATCTCAGCAACACATTCCTCAGGTCGATACTGGTGTTGAGAAAGCTGAGGAAATCGTGAGTACTCACCCACGCTGACTACAACAACTTACCATCGCTGACTTCATCAGGAAATCCATCTGCAAGCTGTCATCAATGCAGCAAATACCGTCACTGCCGGCATCAAAACCGAGCAGAACTATATTCCCACTCCAGATGCTGTTCGTGCCAAAGGCGTCAATTATGACGAGCTTTACCCAAAGGGGTTTCAGGACCCTGCCACCTACATCAGGTTCAGCACGACCGTGGAAGACTCCGTCGGCACGGCATACTGCATGGACGAAGCTGACAATGAATTTCTCGTTCGGCAACTGAATGAAGGTAAAGATGTCCACGGCGAGACGCTGCAAGACAAATCGCATCAGTGCTCGGAGGAGGCCTTCGAAGAGGCCATGTCCTTTCTTGAGGAATACAGCCAGCGCCTCAAACCTTTTGCAAATCTTACCAACGCTCCAGTTCCGTCGTTGGAGGAGCTGGAGCAAGCGCGTGATGAGCCGTTGTCGCAGGAGGCCCAGCACTTCCTGAAGCCCATCTACCAGCATTGGGAAAGGCGGAAGTCCGGTCATGGCCATCCGCTGATGCCGTACATCAAGGTCAGAGTTCTTGATACGACATCCGAGGCGGACGATGCCGACCCATATGTCTGCTTCCGTCGTCGTGAAGCTCGACAGACGCGCAAGACCAGAGGCCGTGATGCTCAAGTCGTGGAGAAGCTCAAAAAGCTTCGTGTGGAACTCGAAACGGCGCGACAATTGGTCCAGATGGTGCGCAATCGCGAAGAACTCCATCAGCAACAATTGGAGGCTACCCGGGCAGTCTTCGAACAACGGCGAAAGCTTAAGGAAGTCAAAGTCAGTAAGAACATTATCGGGGAGAAAGGTGAGGATGAGGAGCTGTTGGTCAACCAAAGACCACAGCCCAAACCCAAGTCGCGGCAGGACGGTGGTCGGTCCGGCGCAACAATACGTCTTGCTCCGAGGATGCAATCTGCTCCCGAAAACGATCTTATATCCTTGGATGACCTGCACGGCCAGGTTGTCGACCATGTGATTCAGATGGTCGACAATCGGAAAGAGCAGCATCGTCGGTGGAACAAGGACTGGCAAGACAAGACATGGCAGCCACTCACACCACCACCAGATTTGGTAGACGATCCGCCGAAATGGTCACCTTTGCTAGCAGCAGGGCCGATGGGCTACCCGACGCCCCCGCCATCACTGCCGTCAAGGAGCTCGCAGGACCGCGATGGCGATGGGGATGGCGATGTTGAAATGGAAGAGCACAAGCCCAAGCTCGATATGGATGGCAGGATTGCAACAGAACCGCAATTCCGTATCTCGATGCAGCCAGTGTCAGCGAAACGCGATGATTCTGCGGACGAGCATTCTCTTGAGCCAGAGACGAAGCGACAACGTATGGACGCACCGCTATGTCGACTCCGGCGTGGTCGTGGAGGGCGAATGCATTTGGAACTGTGCAAGCACAGACCAAGAGGCACGATATTCAACGGCGTGGTTTCTGATGCGGACAGCGACGAGGAAGCGGAAGACTATTACCCCGTGCCGACGAGTAAAATATTTGACTATCGTGTGGCGACGAGCAATCGAGTGGAGCGCACGTATCGTCCAAGTGGTGACCAGACGGCCATGGTGCAAGCAGCCGCAGCCGCAGGTCAAGTCCCGAACACGCAAGCCTCAGGCGCATCTTGATGGAATTCTTGGCAAAGACTCGTTGTTGTTGGCTTCGACTTCTGACCCCCACGCGCGATATCAGACAGCGCTGGTTGTGAGAGATAGGATAGCGATGATACCCCTTGTACGAACATATGTTTTTTCTTGACTTTTTTTGCATGTTCCTCTCTTTCTTATTTCTTCGCGGGCTGCCGAATGGCATTTGCTTCGTCCTCGAGTGTCTCGGCCGATCTCTTCCTCTTGTTGTCATTGTTGCCATTCGCTTCCGAAACCGCAGCGACAGCTTCCTGCAGAACCTGCTTCTCCCCCATAATGACCTGCTCCGCCATAGCAAACCGCGCCGTTCGCCCTCCTGCTCCCATGGAAGAAGGAACCAGCATCTCCACCGGATAATCCGCATAGCGATGCACAAGAATCGCGCGCAACAAATTTTTCGCATCACTCGTCAACTCCGCTTTGGGCAATTTATCCCTTTTCTTCAACTTTTCGAATTCTGCAGAGGGAAGCACGAGCAAATTGAGCAAGATGCACAACTCTTCGGGAAATTGTTGTTGTTGTCCTTCTCTGTCTGCTGAGCAATTTGCTCGCGCGATGTCGTAGGCGTCATCTGTTATGCCTTGCTCTTCTGCGTAGGTCCATTTATCCTCGAGATCTTTCTTTTTCTTTTTCTCCTTCTCTTCTTGCTGCACTCCTCCTCCTCCTATTGCAATAGCTTGCTCTTTGATCAATTCCTCGGAAATTTCCACAACATCATATTTCGCATATTGGTCTGTAACATAACCATATCTTCTCAGCAGATCCGATCGGGGCAGAGGGCCGAAATCGTTGAAGAGCTCTTCTCCGGCGCGCACGGCATGGAGAGTTTTCATGACGACTTTGTCGTCTTGGTAGAAGAGTTTGGCGTTGTTGTGGTCGGCGTTGGCGTTGAGCATGTCGGCTAGGGGGATCATGCCTTTGGGGAGAGATATTGCGCTTTCTTCTTCTTCCCATTCTTCGTCGTCTTGCTGGTTGGGAGGTTGGGAGGGTTCGGGCTTTTCGAGGTCGAAGGCGTAGGCCATGATGGTGCTGCCCATGCGATGGCAGAGAGAGAGGAGTTCGTCGTTACTGCGGCCGGCGGTTTGGAAGATGTTTGCATGTTGGGCAATGAGTGGAATGAGCTGCTCAGTGAAAGTGGAGTCGGCGCTTTCTTTGCCAATTTTGTCCACTACTGCGCTGCCTTTGAGAGATAGTAATTCTTCGTCGGACCAGAACATCAGACTGTCGAATGTCTCGGGCAGAAGATTGAAGTAGGGATACCAAGACGACTTTGTACCTTTCAGGTACTCGTGTACCATGACGAGTATCAGAGATAGCCATGGATGGTCGAGTTCTTTGCGGAGATTTGCCGGAAGGTCTGTGGTTTCGTTGGTCAAGATGGATGCTCGTGGTATACTGAACAGCTCTTCGTCCTCGGACAGGTCTTGCGTAGCCACTAGAAAATTCGACGTCAGATCGATCGGCAAAGGTCCAAGGGGTTAGGCCATCGGGCAGAGTCTTCCATACCAACTCCTCTGCCAGCAGCCCGGCCTCGGAGATCTGCGAGTTGTACGCTGGAGGATATCGTTGCACCATTGTTCTTGAGCCAAGTCAGGAAAGCATCTGACGCATTTTGGAAATCGTCGATATCCATGGGCTCCATGGGCGCTCGTGTGTCGGAGTAGGTATGCGTCAGGTATGTATGGAAATTATGCAACAAGTGTGGTGTGAGTGAAGCTAAGAGGTACCTTAGTGATACCAAGCTAGAGAAATCGGCACAAGATTCACGGCTGCTTGCCGGAGGCGGTGGGACCCTGAATTTTTGAAAGCTCCCCGTCATTGACCAACGAAAACTATTGTGATTATTCCGCACTTCTACACTTCACCGCTATGCGATCCACTCATCAAGGCGGCGATGGTTGCGAATTCAAAGCACAGGTGTCTTTTCGGAACGTTCAACATGTTATGCTTGATCGGCACATCGATGGTTTGCATACTGTAGTGACCACATAGAGCTCGGGGATACCTTAGATAGCTCCACACCGCCAAGCTGCTTACAATTCAAAAAACGTCTTCTGTCACAAGATGGAGTTTGAAGAGAAATTGCAATAGTGGTTTTTTCGAACTGACTGTTTCCAATAGGGTTATCATTAGAAAGAGCAGCGCTGGCAGTCCTATACCTATCGCTGTCGCGGACAGATACAACGATCCAGCTTGGTCGCGCGTATAGGAAGATAACTCTCCTGTCCCAGAACGCCTCAACCATGCAATTCTACAGGGCCACTTTATAGCCAATTCAACGCCGCAGACTGCGCGTACGCAAATTTATCCATGAGACTCGTTATCAACCTCGTTGCCCATCTACTGCACTTTCTTGACTGTTTCAGAGGGACCGTAACTTCGGTCGTCCTCACCCTCGACTTCAATCACCATCCTCTCCATCTCTTTCGTTTGTCGTTTCCACTCCGACTCGCTCATCTTCTCCTCTCTCCTGAACAACTCTTCATTCGGCTTCCTGTAGCTGCCACCAAGACGGTCCCACAGGGTTGTGAATTGGCCGTAGTTGTAGTTGAAGTACAGATGGTGCATTGTGTGGCACGCTGCGCCATTGATAATGGGAGAGTTGGCCACATATTCGCCATCGTGAATCATGACAGTCCAGATCTGAATGAAGGTGAAGAGCGCGATATAGGCGAACTTCTGGAGTGGGAACAGGAATGGGAACAAGTGGTATGGCACACTTTGACTGTAACCATCGAGAGGGTGGAATGCATGCGAGGCGTATGGTGTTGGCATGATCCATTTGTGGTGAGGCTTGTGGAGAGTCTTGTAGACCAGCGGATGGTGTAGACCTCGATGGATCCAGTAGATGCAGAAGTCGGTGAACATGAGGAAGAGAGGGAACTGGATGTAGTTGTATGAATTTCCAAACCAACGAAGGAATGGATGTTCAAAGCCGGGGTTCGTCGCACTGTCGTAGATGAAGGAGTAACCTCTGACTTCAGCGACGAAGAAGGGTATTGTGAAGACGGCCATGACCGGAATCGACTCCATGGTCTGTCGAATTTCCATGCGCATTTGATTCTTTAGGTATTTCGGATGTTGAAACGTCGTCTTATCGAAGACGAATACATAGCTCAGCGTCGCGCAAACGAAGTAGATGACCAGGCCGAACAGCCTTTTTTGCTTTCTATCAGTTTCTTCATCGAGCACAACGAGTGATGCAAGAGTTTCTTACCATGTTATAACGTAGAAGCTCAGAAACTGTCTGAAGATATTGTCGCGATCCCACCGACTCATGTATGCGTATTCAGTCGGCGGTAACGAGAAAAACGAGTTGGACGGCTCCCACTGCCATGCTGATTGTGGGTAAGGCGCGCCTGGGGAGAGGCCGAATGTTTCGTTTGTGCTGTGGCCCTTGGAGCCCGCTGCTAATGTTGCAACCGGATCAAAGGTCGAGATGCCCGGCGAGATGGGCAGGAAATTGGCGTATAATCGGTCGAAGACGAAAGTGTCGAAGACTTCAAGAACAACATCCATGGCGGCGGCGGCCCAGAGCTGGCGAAGCTCGTTCCCAAAAAGTCAAAATTTCCGCTGTGGTCGGTATGAGTGATGTTCGTGGCGAGCAGGATGTGTGCTATGGGAGGGCGGGGAGTGCCTGTGATAGTAGTGACGGAGGACTTTGTGGTAGAAGTGTGTAGTAGTTCTTAGAAGGGTGGAATTCTCAGAGACAAAACACGAGACAAGAAGACATGGAAGCTGTTACAATGTTATGCACGGAGGGATCGGCTATTGTGGCCCTGACGAAGTTGCCCTCATCGTACGAGCGTTGAAATTTGAGTGGAGACATCCCTGGCCTTTCGCCCCGTCCCTGCATCAGTGTGGCGTTATCTGGCCAATCAAAAGCCTCAAATCTGGACCATGCCACGCTAGTACCCAAACAGGAATCGTGGCCTTTGTCGGATCATCGCTCACATGTTTCACTGCGGAATCGGAACATCATTCTGACGAGAACGAGTGGACTTGGGAAGATCATCGTAAGAGAATAGGAAGTACTTGCAAAGAATATTCAACTTCTACCAGCTCGAAGACTCATGACCGCTGGCCCGAAGACATGCGAAGCATCGTGAGAATTAACGCACACGAACAGCACGCACCGCTGAAGATTCGACAAATTCCTGTTTTTTACCTTGTAGAGCCTGGAGGCATCCATGTAGGACTTCTTCCTATAGATCTGTGCCATCCTCCATGACGGCATGGCCCATGTTCAGGAAGAACGTTTTCGATTTCAGAATCCAGAATGCGATGATGAGTAAGACCAGATGTAGACAGAGAGACAGAGAGGCTCGACTGAAGTTCAGCTAGGCCGCGCCATGTATTTCTTGGTATGGATCCAATGGACCACCCAAGCCAATTCTCCGAGTCGCATACGCCTCCACCGGTAGCACCTGGGGAACTGGTGTCTTCACAGGCAACACTTGCCACTCGACAAGTGCGACAAACCTCCGCCACCAAGGGCGTCGCAGGCCATGTTTGCAGATGCAGTTTTCATGCTGATGCTCCTCATAAAGGTCGTTCTGATGTCGCTCATTCGCCACGATGGATTCCTGCAGGAGGTATTGTTGGTAGTGGACCTCATCGCGAGTGTGTTCGTGTCTTCTGGCGTCCCGCGAAGGTCTTGTTAGATCCATCTAGTTGTGCATCTGCGCCGGTTTTACAAGAGTGCAAGATCTGTGCGGATGCCATATAGTAGCAGTTAGTGGCTTGATGCTGTCGTTAATGTCTTTACAGTATAGGATGTGGACTCGGCGGTCTGGTAAGTCGTGAAGATGTACCAAATACCTGTATGTTCGTTCACAACTACATGTACTTAGGTATGCGTAGAGAAGCTGCGAGAACCTCGAGAATCGTCGACACCTCATCGTTTGTTCTTATAAAGACTGGCCAAGGTAACACAAGACAAGAGAGTCTCTTTTCTGCAGTTGTGCAAGGATAGTAATGCACTATTATACTAGTCGGATGGTTAGCCGCACGCTGTGCAATACTTGACATAAGCTTAACTTGTCACCTTATTATTATCATTGACAAAACATTGAACTGTCGCTACTTCTTACTAACTCAGGTATCTACAGGTAACCTGGAACTTCCCACCTCCCAGACTCCTCGGAGGTATGTGATGAATGGAAGCTAGCAGGCACACTCGTGAGGAAGGTAGGGCTCACAAATCTTCGCTAATTATAGTCCCCGCGTGATGAACGCTTGGATCTCGCGGCTAAACTGAGGGAAATCACCTGTCGCCCTCCATCCCTTGACATGCGGAGGGATCTGGATCCTGCCATCCTGCCTGACTATCACTTAAAACAATACCCTGATCTGCACCCCAACATCCTCATTAAAAACAATACGATATATACATACACTACCGCTCTTCTACACTCTGACCACACGCCTCCAGCTCAAAGTGGAAGAGTACTCTCCTCCCGTCTGTATCGACGTCCCATTGTCATCATCACCAATTTCGACACCAACAACTTGAACTTGAACCTTCAGCCAAGCCTCATCTCATCTCCGACATCAGCCAGCCTCAATGTCGAAATTCTACCAAGACCACAATGGCCTCCACCTCGGCAACGACTCCTCCTCTTCCAAATTGACGCGTACTCGAAACCTCCTCATATTCCTCATCTGCATCCTATCCACCTCCCTCTTCTACTACGAACTCGTCTATCGCCACCAAGACAGCAGCGACACAAACTCCAATCTCGCAGCAACAACAACAAACCAAGACCCAAACAACCTCCACCAAATCTCCCCTCCTCCTCCTCCCAGCGAAGCATCATCCGCAGAATCCGAAGAAGAAGAACAACCCAACACCCACCTCCTCTCCACCCGCCTCCCGCACCCCGACGACGCCACCCCCGGCTCCGACTTCTCCTTATCTTTCACCTACACCGACCCCACAAACACCCCTTGCACCAACCCCGGCTGGATCTACGGAAGTTGCACCAACGATGCACGGTATTTTCAATGTTCTCCCACCACCAACACTATTCTCGCATATCCGTGTCCGGCGGGCGAGAAATTCTTTTGTACGGGAGAGAATGTCGGAGGTTGTGATTTGAGATCTTCGAGTGTGGGGAATGGGTGGGAGATGAAATGTGATGGGGTGGGAGTGGAGATGGGGAGTTGTGGGAAGAATGCGCAGCTGGTTCTTGGGTATGAGTAGAGGGGGGATGGGGAGGTTTTGGGTTGTTTTGGTTTTGTTTTTTTTTTGCTTTGGTTTCTTTGGTGGGAAGGAGGGGAGAGAAATGAGGGAATGGTTTGTGGGTACATAAATCAATGAGTGGAAAAAAAGGGAAAAAGGAGAAGAAGGTATAGAACTCTTTGAGAGAGAGATTATACAAAGGCGGATAGATTGCGGGCTGGCTGGGTATCATCATGCGAAGAAAGTCGTTGACAGCTCCTGTAGCCACGAGTTCTTCAAGTATCATCAAAGGAGTCAAGAAAGTACATAAGTTACAAAAGGCTTGTACATAGGATAGCAATTTCTTTCTACCTCAACAACCTCCTCCCCCTCCGCCACCGCCACAGCCTCCTCCTCCTCCGCCGCCTCCACCCCCTCCGCCACCGCAACCTGAATAGCCACCACCACTGCCTCCCGCGCAGCCTCCCGACCCAGCTCCAGCACAGGATCCAGCAGCAACAGATCCGCCGCAAGTCCCACTGCAGCAGTTCCCCACAGCGCCCTCACTCACAGCCATACATCCCGGCGTGACGGGGTAGTACATGGGAGCATAAGGGACAAAGCCCCCATACGGACTGTATGCGGGAATGTACACGGGATATCCGTACGCATCACTGTAGTAGTAGTCATTTCTCTTCGGTGCAGGTCTGCCCTTTTTCTTCGCTCGCTCGCAGGCTTTCAGATAATGATTGTCGAGCTCCAGGGCGTGCCTTTTCGATTCGAGATCGTACTTGACATCGATGGGTCGCACAGCATTATGTGACGAGATGTGCACACTCTTGGCTGGGTCTTGTTCGCTGACGTGCAAAACAGCGGAAGAAGCTTGCGCGGATGTCGTGTTGAAGATGCGAGAGGCGGCACTGGTGTGAGATTCCCGGACGGCTTCACAGTACCAGCACGTACATTCCGAGTAGGGTTGGCCCGTGAGCCTCTGGTAGGCTTTGCTTGTCCAGGCGAACGAGTCGTTGAGCTTGGTCTCTGCGACCTTGTCGTCGTGGTCGATAAATTGCTTGCAACGCTTGACAGTGTACTGCATGTAGTAAGATGGCCGAAGCTGATGTGTATGCCAGGCTAAATCTACGTCCAACGTCGGCACCGCCATACGAGTGGGATTCTGTGCCATGATAGTCATGAAATTCTCATACTTCCTTACGAGTCGTTCCATCGTGCTGGGCAGAGCAGGTGAATGTAGCCAGTCAATGTTGTGCATTTTCTCAATAAAGCTGCCCTGTCTGACCACGGCTCCCACCAAATCTAGAGCAAAGGGCGAGCTGTTGTCCCAGTACCGGCTCATCATTTTGCGGATTGCAATGCGTTCGGTCCTCTCTAACCTGTGCGCTCGGTTTCCTCGTGCTGCGCGCATATGTTTCTTGTTCTTGAGCGTGGTTTCAACCAGCCAACGAACCTCGCCAAAGGTGTCGAAGCATCTGATATCCCAGGCATTGAAGGGTCGATTTGGTCCATTTCGGCTATATTGGCCTGAACGAGTCGTAATCCTGATCATTTGATTTGGAAAAGAGCTGATAGCATCAGTCGTTGAATCAGTCCGGCCGTGAGCCTCCCATGGAATCCCTTGCAGCCCAAGGATTGTGCCACTCATCGGGATGTTGTTTACTTGGGCACGCTCGACGTCGTTGGCGAACTTTGTGAGTCGGAGCCGATCGTGAGTGATATACGTAGGGCACCCAGTACACCTGTGTCGCAGGTCCTTGTCGCAAAAGCCCTGCCCACTGGAAAGAATCTCATCGAGCTTGGCTTCTAGTCTCGTTGGAGTGTTTGGGTATCCAAGGCTTACGATTTGCGTGGTCCATGGCACGTGGTTCACAGTCGAACAAGCCGGGCACAAAGTTGGTCTCGCCTTAATATCAGTCATACCTTCCCACTGCAAGCCGGTGAGTTTGCTGAAGTGCGTTTTGGCAGCTGGTGTGGCCTCGCATACGAAGGTCTCGGAGTTGATAGATTGTGCCACAATCTCCCATGGAAACGACGCACGCCAGACGTCCAGCTTGCCCTGTCGTATGCAATCCTCAAGGTAGCATCGCGGATTCAGCATGTATGCATGCCACACCATGAGTACATCTGCTGGCGGGAGAGTAGAGTCGTCAAAGAGAGGACCTTTGTTATCATCGCCAGGGTCGCAAAGGGTCCCCTGTTTTGCCTCGAATACAAGCTGCGATCGATCTGCCATGCGGCTATGTGGTCGTATGGCTTTCCACCACGCCTCAAAGCGATCCACAGCTTGCTGAACGTAGATGGCCCATCGTTTCTCGCCGAGCTTGGCCAGAAGTTCAGGAGTCTTGTCGTTCTGTGGGACCGGAGCGCCAGTCACGAGTGCGTTGTCGATGCCAAATAGACCATCATGGGCAGCGATTGACTGCTTCAAGCGATAGAAGCACTCCAGAACTTTCAGATGGGCAATGCACTCCGTCTTGGTGGGAAAGCCATCGCCACTGGGCGAGACGCTCAGATTGCTGAAGCCGGCGGTAATGTCTGGTGGCGGTATGCTGTCTTCGCGGTCGTAGTGGTCCTGCCCTTGGTAGCTTGGGGGAGCATCTCCTGTAGATGGTGAGGACGATGGATTGCGTTCTGCTTCCACAAGCTCCGCTTTCTCCTTATCGGCGGACGAAAAGAGTCTTGAAAGTCGAGTAGGCATGATTTCTGTGGGGGAAGTTGTCAATATCAAGTGCCTAGGGAAAGCGGCTCCGTGCGAACGACGGGGTGTGAGTGAACGGAATCGGCTGGAGTGGCAAGATTAAGTACATGTAGGTACAGTAGGTGGTAGTCCTAGTTCTAGGTGAGTGGAAGGAGAGCCTGAGGACTTCAAGTTCCTTCAAGCCTCTCAGCAAGGCTGTGCAAGGCTGAGAGCATACAGATGTCACATGACGAAGATTGTTCAGCCAACGAGAAGCTGGTATGGGGGGTGCTGGACATCATCTGGCGGCGCGAAGGATTCGTGCTGTGCAGTCCATGTGCTCAGGTGTGTGCGGCGAAGCAGAGGAACAACAATCCTCTGGAGATACAATGTACCTAATACATGTACTTTCAGCTATCAACCCACAGAACTGCCCAGTGAAACTGACTGGCTCGAACCAGAACTAAGCGAGCTCTCCGCGTCCTTCTAGCGTCCTTCTGGAAGCGCTTGGGGAGGCTTGGACCTCGGGCTATATCAGCTTGTCCCCCCACAGGCCCCACATCCCGGATGGTCATCAACTCATCATCCTTCGATTCCCTTGGGACGCTGATGATGATGATATGAGGGAGTCAGAGGAACACGTGTGTACCTCAAATATCCCCTGGAAGCCGCAGCGACAGAGGAGGATGGGGGATGCATAAGCTACAACACGGCCCTTCATTCTAGCAGGCATCTGCCTTGGCAATCTCATCATTCATTTCTCTATAACCGCGATATCTAGTATACAACACCTAGACTTTATATGTCGTCTTCCCTTGCAGAAAGCCATGCAGCGTAGACCACAGGGATCCCGTGATTGCCTCGTAGATGTTGGTGAACATGACCCATGGCAAGCTCGCGTACGGGTCACTTGCGAGGCCACTGCCAAGTCGCCTCATGTTGTAGTAGAAGAATTGGATGGGGAGGCCGGATCCAACAACCTTGGCCGGTATCATGCGCGCCAACCACTGGCCTCTGACAATGTGAGACATGCCCATTGCTTCTTCATCGCTGAATGCAGGATTCAGCAACGTCTTGCGAGGTAGCTCGGGCTCCAGAACAGCTGATCGACCCAGTCCAATAAGTTCACATATGCCAGAATCGATGGCGTCTGCCATTCCAGTTCTGGATCGAAAGCCTCCCGAAAGCTGGATTGGAACAGGTGACTCCATCTTCTGTACCTTTTCTGCGAATTCCGTGAAGTAAGCTTCCCTGATCCTGGTGCTCTCCTTGATCTGAGGCGCCTTGTCGATTGTCTTCTTGTCAAAAGAGTTATGCAGCCCAGACGTCTTCTGTTCGGCATTGCCTCCGGAAATCTCAACAAAGTCAATCATGCCACACGTTACGAGCCATCGCACCTGTTCCAATGCTTCTTCTTGTTGAAGTCCCTCTTCACCCATATAATCACCAGAGTTCAGCTTCACAGACAGACAGAAAGGAGGAGGGCAACGAGCCCGCACTTCGCCAACGATTCTCTTCAATAGCGTCAGACGCTTTTCTGGAGTACCTCCATAATCGTCGGTTCGGCGATTGGTGTGCGGCGACAAAAACTGCGAGAGGAGGAAACCATGGGCCCCATGTAGCTGACAACCAGCGAAACCAGCATCTCGAGCCACCACTGCGCCCCTGATGAAGTTCTCCACGGCTTCGTCAATGTCTTCCAGGCTCATTTCTTTCGGCGTCCCAAGTAATTTGTCGAGTGCAAGCTTGTCTAGCCACGTGTCTCCCATCTTGACCGGGACGCTGCTTGGACACAATGCGGGCATGTCGTGAGGTCTATTACCAGCACCTGCAGGACTCATGCGACCGGGGTGTGCCAGCTGAACGATGCACGGTGTGCCGTACTCTTGTGCTATCTGTGCCCACTCTTTCCATTTGGCAAGGATCTCACCCGATGTGCTCTCAGGTCTTGTGCAAACATCTCCAGCGATTGAAAGAAAGCGGAGATCCACTTGCACTTGTCCAGTTATGATCAATCCGTATTGTGATTCTGCCCATTTCTTGTAGATTTTCCTGAACTTGTCGATGGGTGGGTCAAAGTATGGTGCCTCCGCGAGGGTCTCCTGCATAGGGCATTTGACCAGGCGATTAGGTAGCTTCAAGCCGCATGGAAGTGTCAAGGGCTGAGCGATGGTTTCCAGCGGGGATAGCTTGTGTTCGTAGGCTTTGTCATTCTCCATACTGCCCAGGTCGCCCATGCTGAAAGGTGCCACAACGAATGTTGTGGTTGTAGTAGGCAGAAGTTGGTCGAGAGAGAAGATTAGTGCTAGCCATGGCCGATCATAGGTGATCCCACAGATATAACATTGTTATGATTTGAGATTCCGGAGATCCTCTTGTCCTAACTGATAAGAGTCGACGTACCTGTATTGATATGAGGCTGATAAGGTTTCCCGCCCACGCGTCTAGCCGATCGTCTCAAGTGGTTGAGATGCTGTAGAAACCGAGGCAACTGAATCGAGCGAGCTGCTAACATCTCTGCTGCTGATCAAACTGGGACTCTGCATGGTGTTGTCGAGCTCAGGCTAGCAATCATCTCTCATTCGTCCAGTCCCCAGACAACAACAGTGCCGTCGCCGCCCGCGCTGGCCCATTGCTTTCTCAACTGATTCCATGCAACGGCACTCACAACGTCCTTCTTAGTAGCAATGGTATGCGCACTCCCATCCTCCTTGTGCCAAACCTGATGGGCCAGAGCTCCAGTCAACACATCCCACACGAAGACTTTTCCATCTTCGGTCCCAGTCATAGCATATGCATCGGCCATCGCCATGGTACTCCTCATCCGATACGTCTCGTTGGTGTATCCGTCTCCCTGGAAAGTCTGCAAACATTTTCCTGTGCTGCGGTCGAAGAACCTCATCTTGCTGTCCAGACTACTCACCAGATAGCCATCTCCAGCTTTCGTAGGCGTGACACTCGTGACACCTTTTCCAGGAGCCACAACGTCAACGTCAACGTGGCCCATACTCAAATCATATACTCTCACGCGCCCATCGACTGAGCCCACGAAGATCTCATGCCCGTTGACAGCAACACTCGAGATGGAGTCCTTCGCCTCGGAGAAACTCATAATAGGTTTCTCACTCCTGCTCTTCGCGTCCCAAACCTTGACAGTCCCATCGAAACTCCCACTGAGAACAATCGAGTCCCCTTCACCCCCAAAGGCAACACAGTTCACTCTTGCCGAGTGGCCCGTGAATCTTCTCAATGTTTGCGCAGTAGCCACATCCCAGAGGAAAACAGTCTTGTCGCCTCCTCCCGAGACGAATCGAGCATTGTCTTCGCTGACTCCGATGTCGAGCACCTCATACCCGTGAGCAGAGAACGTCTGAATTAGTCGTCCATTCAATGGATTGAAAAGTCTTATTTTGCGGTCCTGACAGCCAGTGAGAACATATTGACCTGTTCCTGCCGAGAAAGTAACGGCGTGGACAGGACCAGTGTGATCCTTTAATCTCGATAATAGCTTTGTTGGGAAGCGCACGTTGGATGTCATCTTAGTAGCATGATGATGTTGATGGAAATGCGAATGGAGAAAGAGGGACGGTAAATGTTGCAAGACATGCCAAGGCTTCATAAGTCCGTCCTGACCTACGGTAATCCTGCCTGGCCTACGGACCGCACATGAGGCAACCACATAAGTCGTTATCAATTCGCCATCAACAACATATATGTAGTTCTGAGGGTTTGAAGTATCATGGTCAGCAACAGCAGGGACAGGACGTAAAATACGGCGAAAAGGAGCTCATTCTATAACGCCAACGACATGAATTGTTCAGCTGATATTAAATCTCTCGAATATACTATGCACTTGATACTTTTGAGCGCGTATCAAACAGCTATGATCAACGCCCGTCGGCCTCCGACTCGCAACACCCTCGCTAAGTAGCTTTCCATGATTCTGCTTAAACAAACACAATGAAAGCAGTAGAGGTATCTTCGCGCCTTGTGAACCCAACCTAAGAGAGCCCACTCCACTCCGTCACAACCTGGCGACCGGCAGATGCAAGCAAGCTTGGTATGTTCATCTATTGCGATCGACACAGTCCTGCCGTAGCCTGGTCGGTAAAATCTTTGTGCATCGGCCTTTGATCTTCGTAGCATCTCGAGCTTAACGACGACTAGTCCTTGACATGCTACCCTGCAGACCTTCGACTTCGGCTTCGAGCTGCTTGATCACAGCGTGGCTCTGCTCAAGATCCTTATTGAGACGATCACGCTCAGCAATCAGCTTCTGTTCCCACTGTCTGAAGCGCTGCTCTTCAACCTTGACTTGTTCCGTGAAGCGCTTGCGGAGCGACTCTTCCTCCTCCTTAAATTTGGGGTTGTCCAGCTTTCGAGGTCTTGCCTCGCCAAACTTTCTGGTCTCCATCTGCGACGCTCGGTACACTTCGTAATGGTTTTCTTCGGTGGTATGGATCAGGTCGAGCATGTGTGTGCGAATGAGGATAGCGCGTAGTTTCTTGAAGTCGCAGTGCTCCTCGTTCTCGACTTCGGCAACACCCCAGTGGTAGTGTCGACCTTTGACAGTGCGTCCGTCTGGGGTGTTCACATCACGCTCGGAACCAATGACGGAGAAGGGCATAGCAGAGATCAAGCTGCGGGCGTGCTGGAGACCAGCTTCGTCGTCTTCCTCGAGCGGCGGAGTGTAGATCTTGATGCCTTGTGCCTCGATGACGCTCCTGATCTGGAAGTGAAGCTTGTCAGCATGCACTGTATATCATCTTGCAGCTCTCAGTGTTACTTACGCGGTGCTTGAACCGGGAGAGGTCTCCTGGAGAGAGGGTGTCTGCTTTTGCAATGACCGGAATGAGGTTGACGCGGGTCGCCATTTGTCTCATGACCTCGATGTCCAACGGCTTCAGGGTGTGGCCAGTTGGGCGAATGAAGAACAGACAAGCGTGCACACGCAGGTCGATCTTGTCGCTGCGCTTTGGCTGCTGCTCCTGCAACATGTAGCTCTCGTGCTGATCGTCCAAAAATTCTATGATTGGCTGCCAGCTATCGCGGTTGTTCACGTAGTCGCCAAAGCCCGGTGTGTCGATGACCGTCAGGCGGACCTTGAAGAACTTCTCCTCGAGCTCTGCCTTTGTGATCTCGATCTCGACAGTTTTGTCAATCTGCTTTGCATGACGTCTCTTGTGGTCGGCGTAGTTCTTGATCGTAGTGCTGAAAAGAGTGTTGATGAACGTGGTCTTTCCGAGGCCAGACTCACCAGCCACCATGATCGTGAAGGCAGCACCTCGCTTGGCCACGATTTTGTGGCGCTGGTTTGGCAGCTACACAAGCTGTCAGTACGCTATCTGATGGTTTCTGATGGGCACAACATACGTTGGCAATGCCAATAGGCGACCCTGCTGTTTCTGCCATCGCTGCTACGAGGGGAGGGCGTTCGCGGTGGGGAACCGGGACGAGGTTCTTCTGTGTCGAGGAGACTGGCGGACCCGATGGATCAGACGAGGGCAAGTATGCGCCAGGGATCTGTCTCTGAAGCACTCCTGTATCTGTAATGCGCGAACCGCGGCGGATGTTAGCCAGTGGCTTTTGCTGAAGTGCGGTGGCCTCCATATTGCGGCCGAGCGACGCGCGCGATCGGGAGTCAATGGATTCAGCAAGGTGTATGCATACCCGATCACAGCAGATTGCGCAGGTATGTATACCACGCGGCTTCGACGAGGGAGGTGTCGTAAGTTGGTTGAGGGGTGAATATTGGAAAGGGCAAGGGCAACAAGTTGCAACTGCGGACAGAGAGCCAGAAACAAGACCCTGGGAGACGACACGAGGAGGAAAGAGCGCCTCCTTTCCAGGTGGCACTTACCGAAATGGCGCGGTCGGTTCATTAGGAGAATGCTTGACCAATAGCAGACGCGCATCGTGTGCGCCGGGAGCTGCCGCTAGTGCTTGCGGGGGAGTAGCGGGAAGAGCCGAACAAGTAGGTTTCGACACTCTATCATGAAATTTTGGTCGCGTCCATTTGCGATTTGAACCTCAGGCTTCAGTACATGTAGTCTGCGCGCCCACCGAGCCATACCGACAAGTTCCCAAGAAGAAAGGCAAGGAAGCCAGTGGAAGAAGCAGCGGCAGGATGAAGACGGACTTCAAGGTAGACACAGCCCGCAGGCGCATCTTCGAGAGAAGCAAACTCGTCGACGAGACTGACCATTAACGCAAAGTGCAGTTCTCCAACCTTCTGGGCACCGTCTATCGCAAGGGAAACCTCGTGTATACCAGGGATGGCACATGTCTGCTCTCGCCAGTGGGAAACCGTGTCTCGGTATTCGATCTGGTGAACAACAAATCCTACACTCTACCCTTCGCACACAGAGTCAACATCATTCGGATAGCGCTTCACCCCAAGGGCCAGCTCCTGCTTACAATCGATGAGTCTGGTCATGCCATTCTATCGCACTTCCAGCGCAGGATCGTGCTATATCATTTCTCGCTCAAGACTGCTGTATCAGCCCTCACATTCTCTCCAAGTGGCGACTACTTTGCTGTGGGACTGGGGAGGAAAATCGAGGTCTGGAAGACTCCATCCACAGCTGGAGATGACGATGGCCTCGAGTTTGCGCCATTCGTACGCCACCGACAGTATGTTGGCCATCATGATATGGTTCACAGCATTCAATGGAGCAGCGATTCACGCTTCTTCCTCTCAGCGAGCAAGGACTTGACTGCGCGAATATGGAGCTTGGATCCCGAAGAAAGCTTTGCCCCTACCGTACTCGCTGGCCATCGTACTGCTGTGCGCGCAGCATGGTTCAGCAAGGATCAAGAAACGATATGGACAGTCTCAAAAGATGGCGCCCTGTTCCAGTGGCAATATTTACCTTCGCCAGACGCTGACCCAGACAAAGTGAGCGAAGAGGACGAGCGGTGGCGGATTAACGACAGGCATTACTTCTTCCAAGATCAAGCCCATCTTACTACTGCGGCGTTCCATCCATCATCGAATATACTTGTGACCGGCTTCTCTAACGGACTGTTCATGCTGCACGAGCTGCCTAGCTTTAGCGAGATCCACAAACTCTCTATCTCAGCTTCACATGTAGACACGGTGTCTATCAATGAGACGGGCGAATGGCTCGCATTCGGATCTTCGGCGTTGGGTCAGCTACTCGTCTGGGAATGGCAGAGCGAGTCATATATCCTCAAGCAACAGGGCCACTTCGACAGCATGAACGCTCTTACCTACTCGCCTTCCGGAGATCGCGTGATCACATGCGCGGACGACGGTAAGATCAAAGTATGGGATACGACTTCTGGATTCTGCATTGTGACATTCACAGAGCACACGTCAGGCGTTACCGCCTGTGAGTTTGCCAAGCGCGGGAATGTGCTGTTTACCGCATCTCTGGACGGAAGTGTGCGCGCATTTGACTTGATCAGATACCGGTGTTTCCGTACCTTTACAGCATCCAAACGACTGCCGTGGACTTCGATAGCCGTCGATCCTAGTGGTGAAGTGGTTGCAGCAGGGTCGACTGATGACTTTGATATCCACATATGGAGTGTACAGACGGGACAGCTGCTGGATCAGTTGACTGGTCATGAAGGCCCAGTGTCTACACTTGCTTTTGCGCCCAACGGTGGCAATCTCGTATCGGGCAGTTGGGATCACACAGTACGAATATGGTCGATCTTTGGCAGAACACAAACCTCAGAACCGATACAGCTGCAGGCAGACGTGCTCGCAGTAACTGTCAGACCAGACGGACGTCAAATCGCTGCGTCATCTCTGGATGGTCAACTAACGTTTTGGAGCTTGAGTGAAGCAACACAAGAGGCAGGTCTGGACGGCAGACGAGACGCGAGTGGAGGGCGAAAAGCGACCGATCGACGTACTGCAGCCAACGTGGCGGGCACCAAAAGCTTCGGCACCATAGCTTACAGCGGAGATGGGGCAGTTCTACTGGCTGGCGGGAACAGCAAGTACATCTGCCTATACGCCGTGGAGACTGGAGTGTTGCTCCGAAGATTCACTGTATCGGTGAACTTGAGCTTGGAAGGCACTCAAGAATATCTCAACTCCAAGTTACTGACAGAAGGGGGTCCTAGAGCATTGCTGGATGAGCAAGGCGAGGCATCCGATCTCGAAGATCGGATGGACACGAGTTTGCCAGGTGCGAAACGGGGTGATGCCTCGCAGAGAAAGATTGCGGCAGAGGTTCGTGTACCTGGCGTCACATTTTCGCCAACAGGTCGAGCATTTTGCGCAGCGAGCACTGAAGGTCTACTGACCTATTCGCTGGACACGGGCGCTGTATTTGATCCTTTCGACCTCGACGTCGATGTCACGCCAGAGAGCACCATCGCCACTCTGCGCGAGAAGGAGTGGCTGAAGGCGATGGTCATGGCATTCCGCCTAGGTGACCACAAACTCGTCCGCAAAGTCTATCGTGGCATTCCGATTTCAGACATTGGCCTTGTCGTGCGCGATCTTCCACGCGTCTACCTGGACCGTCTACTGCGACTTGTCTCGACAGAGTCCGATCAGAGTCCACACTTGGAGCTCAACTTGCTATGGATGGAGAGCGTGCTCAATCAACATGGTCGACTCCTCAAGGAGCGACAAGGCGAGTACGCGGAAGTGGTGAGAATGATGCAAAAGGCCATTGGCAGGGTGCAGGGTGAGATCATGAAGGTCGCAGATCAGAATGATCACACACTCGATTATCTGCTTGCACAGCCTAGAAGAGATTCTGGATCGGACGTGAAGATGCAAGCCATCACAAATGGCAGCGTGGAGGAAGACGAGAGCATGGCGGATGGCGACGAAGGCGGATGGCAAGGCTTGGAATAATGTTCATTGAAGAAATCGATGATGCTCCACGCGTGATGAGCATCGCCTCACAGTTGGGTCACTACCTCTTACATGTAGCCATACATCATGTTGCTTGAACAGCGAGCAGCCAACGAATGTAGATAGACTGCCAGTACTAGATGCTTCACATACCTCTCGCCGACCAGGCACCATGCCAGTGATTCCCAGTCCCATACCATCGACTCAAAATCACGACTTCTTTCTTTCTTGAAGCAACCAAGCCACACGCATAAACGCGCGTTTCAATCTTGCACTTTTTTCTCTTCTTCAAATATGAATATCTAGACAAATCACCATCATCTAGAGAACATGTCCCATAAGTAGTAGTGGACCGCGTCGAGAAATCAGCGAAAAGGCCTCCATCGGGAAGGTCTTAATCAAATGGGGAATGAATTCTACACGGCAAACCGTAGACTCATTAACGCTAATCATAAACGTGCTTGTATTCTTTCTCTTCCTTTTCCTTTTCTCTCTCTCTTTTTTTTTCTTTTTACCTACCTCCCTGAGATTCCTTATATACCTCTATATATAGCTTAACACGCAACCCCCCAGAAGATACATATATGTACCTTAGGTACTCATCAAGTACAGTACCTAGGTACATTACGTTAGAAAGTCATATTGTCACCTCATGCCCTCTATATAAACCCTTTTATTTTTTCAAGGACAAAAAAGAAAGAAACAGAGTCACAGAGTGCGGGACGGGGCAGGAACACTTCGGAATCGGGGAACCCTAGAATCTCAATGAAGTTTGTCACTTCTCTTTTTTTGTTTGTTTCTTCCATATTTCCCCATTTGGGCCCCATCTCCCCATCTCCCCATCTCCCCATCCGTCCCCCCCGCTTATGCTTGTTGGGTTCATTTCCCGACATCCTGGTGCCTAGGTACTTGTACATATGTACTGATTGCACTGTATGCAAAGTGTTGGTGAACTTTTTTTACATTTTTGGTTTTCTCAATGTGTGGTGAGGAGGACCGTGAGGTGAGGTGAGGTGATTGTTGGTTTTTTTTTTCAACCTTGAGTTCTGCACTGACTGGCAGTTCACTTGGCAGTTCATCAATTTTCTATTGTCGTGTAGACTGGAGAGGTATTGATGAGAAGAGGGAGAGAGAGAGAAAGAGAGAGAGAAGAAAGCAGCTGGGGATGGAAAGGGCTGCAGTCAGAGGGTGGACAACTTTTAACAACCATGATACCAGTATACATGTACCCCCAAAAGAAGGAAAAAGCCTACCAGGTACTGGAGTCAACATACTCAGTTGGATCAATCAAAGTCCAACAGAGAGAGAGAAGGTGGGAAGGGGGGGTTGTACTGCTTGTTATAAGTCACTTTGTACATACAAATTTCCCCCTGATGAAATCCAGATAGACCCCAGACGTACATGGGCCGATATAATCAATTGCACCACAAGAGGCTTGTAAAGAAATGTGTGAGAGACAGAGATCCTGCCTAGGTACCTGAGGTAGGTACATTATATATGTAGACTGCAGTTGGAATCTTAGAGATTTCACTCGTGGGTTGCAACTGTCGGGACTCTCAACTCTGCCCCCCAACCTCAACCTCAACAACAATCATTCACACAGTGACACACACTCCAGTCTGCAAAGATGTTGTGGCCTATAGCAGTAGCTGCGGCTGTTGCTTCCAGCTTCCTGTAGGCCTCCCTTCCCCCCTTCCTCGCGCATCAATTGAAAGGAAACAAACCAACGCCCGTGATTGAGATCTTGCTAATATGAGAGACATTGTGTGTGTGCAGTCTTTCAGCAGGTCCAGCTTCCGCTTTAGGCCAACTTGCGCCGCGCCAGGGAGGCCCTACGGGTACCAATGATGATGGCGAACCGATCGATCCGAACGCCCCCGAGATATCGTATTGTTTTTGCGGGAATCCTGAAAATGGCGACCCAGACGTCAATGCCACCGTACCGATCTGCCATCAATACTTTCCCGGTCACGCAATCACTGCACGACAGGAGGCGCCAGGGTATCGGCCGTATATCAACGTAAGTCGAGACGGGTCGCAGAACGTTGATCCAGAAGTGAAGTGCTAATGGAGTACAGTGCGAGGATGTTGGTGAAAAGAATTTCAATGACTTTGGTGAATACTGTCTCGAACACTATGGTTTGACGAAGTCAAACAATGGGTTTGGAGGTGCTTTGTGTTGTTACGTTCCACCGGGTGGGAACTATTCCGCAGGCTATTGCGACGCCTTCCCGCCAGAGACACCTTCAGAAGGGTCGATGTGATGGCGCATGTGGGGAGAGTGTGTTGTGATCTGATCATCGGATGGAGCATTTCTCATGTCGTTGGAAAGATGGTCTTGCCATACCTTACCTGTATGTACAGGTAACATACAGGTAGCTGGACAGACGTCGATATCTCTACCAGAACGCGATACCGAAAGACCTACCAGACAGGTAAATACACCTGGGACCTGACCTAACTTACGTTACTTACCTGGTAGGAGGTAATAATTCAACCCGCGAGATTTCTAATAACACGCCAGCTGAAACTTCGGCGACTGTCCGGCTCGCAATCGCCGTTCAACACTGCGGGGCAGGGAATTGACAGAAAGTCAAAAGCGGCAGCCGTTCGTGCCTGCCTCATGTGATATGTCGATCGATGGTCGGGACGTGGAATTTGACAGCCTATTTGCTGGTTTCAGCCCTGCTTCAGTTCCGAGTGAGGCTCAGTGAGCGTATGTTGTCGGCGAGTCTACCTCCTACGAAGTACCATTCCCGTCTACGGATGAGGTGATCGAGTCACGGCTGCACCGCTGCGGTAATCAGGAATTGCTGCCGCGAGCATATAAAGCCCTCGCCTGCATCGTTCCCTTCCGCGCCAGGCCGTTCATGTACCTATCGCGTGCAGAAAACTAACACGATGCCTGGTGTTGGAGAGGCAGGAGACAACCGCGTATCCACGGGCACCACAACAGCACCTCCCTCGTACGAGGTTTCGATCGACCTGGGACAGATCATCAAGGACACGGGCGATGGAATGGCTCTGTTGCGTCGCGATTTCTATCATGTCAAGGCACATGCAGAAGTCGTGCCTCATTTGGCAAGCTCAATCTCCAGTCTGCAGCAGGAAGTGGAGGACTTGAAGGCGATGATGGATATCAACATGAAGGCCATGTGCGAGCGGCTGAAAGTGCCGTTCACGAGCTGTGAAGAGGTGCAGAGCAGCAGACGGCGAGAAGAGGCTGCAGCACTCGCGGGAAGCCGTTGGCAGCGAAGAGTCGACTATAAAGCGCAGTCATCCGCGCCGATGTGGAAAGCGAGCAGAAGAGGGAGTGGAGGCAGTGAGTGAAGATGATGGTGATGAAGAGGGAGATGAAGATGAAGTCGCTGTTCTCGTACGATATGGAACAACCTGCCCATTGAAGATCCATCCATGGATGCTGGGGTGGATGACGGGGGACAACCACAAGTTGGCCAAGCTGTCCCACGACCTCTTTCAGCTCTGCTCTCAATCCCGACCACCCCACCGGCCCCCGCCGTCCGCGGGTCGGGTGGACCTGCAATGCAGGACGAGGAAAAGAAGAAGATGCCATCCAATTCCTCTATCTCTCCACCCATACAACTCCCGCACGTCACGACTGCCACGTTGCCGCTGGTGCATGATGTCTGCCGCGAAATCTGTGGCCGTCATCGGCTCGCTGAACGTGGACTTCGTGACCAGGACATCGCGTTTGCCGCATCCGGGCGAGACACTGCAAGCAATCTCGTTCGACACCGGCTTCGGGGGCAAAGGAGCGAACCAAGCAGTAGGCGCTGTCCGGCTCGCCGGCGAAGGAGTCAAAGTGCGCTTGATCGGGGCTGTCGGCGATGATGGCTTTGGTAATGATTATTTCGAGGCCCTGGGCAAAGAGGGCATTGACTCCAGTGGCGTGCGCAGATTGAAAGGAGAGAAGACGGGAGTCACCAACATCGTCGTGGATGCGAGCGGCGAAAATCGAATCATGTTCGTTGCGAATGCGAACATGACGTTCAAAGACGACGAGGACCTGGTCACAGGTCAGGAAGGAGATGTCGTTGTTCTTCAGCTAGAGATCCCGTTCAACACTGTGAGTTTCTTCCTCCCTCTCGCCCACTTGCCTGCCCGCCCACCCGCCAGCCAGCCAGTAATCGTGACATGTTGATGGCAAAGGTAGGTTCTCTACAACATGCGCAAGGCACGCGAGAGTGGAAAGCATGTCATCTTCAACCCAGCCCCCGCTGTAGCGCTGCCTCCAGACGCCTTCCCAGACATGGACACGCTCATCATGAACGAAACAGAGGCTGCAATCCTTGCTGGTCAGTCCGAAACCACGACGGCAGACAAGGACAGTCTGTTACAACTGTGCAAAGCGTTCCTGGAGAAAGGTGTCCGAGAAGCGGTAGTCATCACTCTTGGTGGCGAAGGCTTGGTTTATGCCACTGCTTCTGGCGCGTCAGGCCACGTGGGCGCCCACAAGGTCAAAGTGATCGACACCACAGCGGCCGGAGATACATTTGTAGGAGGTTATGCCGTCCAGAGAGCAAGACATGTTTCTGCCTCTGGAGAATTCGACTTCAAGCAAGCACTGGAGTTCGCAACACTCGCGGCATCAAAGACGGTAGAGAAGGAAGGTGCTATGGAGGCTATACCGTACCTCAAGGACCTGTAGCTTGAGTACCAGGTACCAGGTATTTCAAGGACTTGTAGTAGCTTGAGAGAGCCTTCTCATACTCATCGCTGCTCATGCAGCTCAAGTAGAGACACAATTCACTGGCACTTGTGTGGCTGTAATGTAGTACCCTAGAAACCTTATCACACATCTCTTATGCCCGCCCCATCGAACGACGTTATGTACTTCACAGGTGACATCTCCCCAATTACCCATGTCCCACCTCAAAGCACCCAGAAACGTAGTCCAGTTCCACACCTGTTGATACCTACAAAAGCATACAATCCATCCACATATATCCTCGCCACAGAACCATGACCAGAAGAAGAGAGGATTGATGGGAAAGAAGAGGAGGGTGTGTGTGTGTGTGGGTGTGTGTGGGTGTGTGAGAGAGAGAGCCTTTCATTCAAAAATGGTGAATGTGGGTATCAATGCTCTGAAAAAAGATTATTACGTACAACTTCTCTCAGGAATTGAGCACGAAAAAACATCGCAATAGAGACAAATATTAGGTAGGGGATGCATGGCGCTTGCTCGCTCAAAGGGTATATCCACCAGGACTAATCTCTCCCCAACCCCTCAGTGGTCTACTATCCTCCAACTCGACAACCCACCACAAAGCCTGCTTGGCTTTGTCAATTTCCCTGCTCAACTCATGCGCTCTGGCAAGCATGGACCATGCTTCCGAATCATCCCACCCAGTTCCCAACTTCGTCAAGGTTGACAATAACATGTAAGCCCGATCGCGAGCAGCAAGGCGGTTGAGTTCGGCTGGAGAAGGGTCTTTCTTGCGTGCTCCAGTGTGTTCGATGTGATTGTCGTTGACCAATGAGGGCCCATGAGACGGCTCCGTGCTCGAAGCCGTGTTTGGCCTTGTGAGTGAAGGCTTGGCTTCGCTGATCAGAGAGCCTGATGTCGAGGGCAGAGGAGGTTGTGTTGAAGGCAAAGGTTCTTCAGCTGGAATCTTTTGTTCATATATGTCCAGCAAGAGATCTGACAGGCCGATGATACCTGCGCTATGGTCTGGATGGTACGAGAGGGCTTGTTCGTATGCTGCAATAGCCTCAAATGGCCGTTGGCGAGTGGCCGCGAGGAGCGCTTTCTGTGATCTGTTAGTAAATTGCGATGGATCGGTAAATCTAGCACCACTTACTGTTGACCAGACATCCGCCCACAATTCGTCTATGCTTTTGCTACCACCCCAGCCCTTCTCGCACAGCCTTCGGGCATTCACGCCATCTGGGGAAGCTGCAAACTCCACTTCTAAGGACTCCACCAGTTTCGAAGCATGATCCACAGCACTCTGAGCATCATCACACGAGTCTGCTCGCACATACAGGCCCGCGACGAAAAGCCACGTCTTGATCAACACGCCAACCTTATGCCGCCGTTCGTGCATCGGTGATAGATGTGACTCAGGCACTGTCATACCAGCCACTGGATGTGGCGCCGGTAGCCGGACGTCTTGAACAGGTGGCTGGTCCGGGTGGCCAGCTGGCGGTGGGAGGAATGTGTCGTGCGACGCATTGTGCGCGATTTCAGGTAAAGGCTGCCCTGGTGTGCCGTTCGAACTTGATGCTGTACTGCCAGGGGTTGCGGTTGTCTCAATTGGCTGTAAATTCTCGTCTGCACCGTCAACGCTGACTGCTGACGTTTTTGCCGAAGGGCTGGTGCTCTGATGCTTGTGGAATGGCAGATGTAGATGGTGAGAGTGGTGTTTCTTCTCCGCCGGGTTGCCATCCTCATTAGTGATGGTGATGGCGATCGGTGCGGTTGTTCCTTGACCGTTCGTCGCCGGCCGAAGAGTGCCATCTGCTGAGTTCACCGATCGTTTGCGAAGAGTGTTCTTGTCAGCATTACTGCTACGTCGGGATACGGCTGACCTCGGCCGTATGCTACCCGTGATGCTGCGCAGTGTACCGCCAAAGCGAGACGTCGCAGCGGTGGCTGCGGTCTGAGGTGGTCTCGAGACGCTGATGGTGACATGCTCCGGATTGCCGAAAAGTCTCGAATAAAGCCCCAACAGACTATCGGTCATATCGATAGCAGCATCCGGTCCCTCCATCAGCTCGACCAACAGAACCTGACTCATCCTGATTTGCAGTATGCTCTCCCTCTCGAAACCCTCTGTTTGAGCAACGAAGCCTGGAGGCGAGGCAGTCGACACTGCTATCATCTCGGGATTGAGAGAGTCGTGCTTAGCAGTCTGACCAAACAGTAGTTGAGAGTTACCGAATTGTTTGTATGCTGCCTCGCAGATCTGTGCGGCCGTATCGTGTTTGTCTTGCGCGGAGAGACATAATGCAAGTAGATGCCACAAGGATAAGAGCCGTCTTTCGCGCTCGTGGTTTTGCTGTGAAGCTGCGTCTCCATTGAGCATGACCGATCCGGTCAGTGCACCACGAATTACTTCTATCGCACCAGGGACATCTCGAGCAGAGGCGAGGACTAGTGCAAGTGCATGTGCGGTACCAATGCTACGAGGTTCTAGCCTCTGAGCGATTCGAAGGTTGTCTGTCGCTTCACTGAACATGGAAGACCTCTCGGCAGAGTCATAAGTCAGATGCGCCCAGTGTGCTTTGCAAATTCCAATGGATCGATATGCAGCTGCGAGTGTTTCCGGCCGCAGCGGAGTATCTCCGGGCTGTGAAGCAGGGTGGACACGTTCGCTGGTGTCCCCATTCGTATGAGGAGCCTCTCCAGTAGGTGGTCGCTGCTGCGCTAGCCATCTCGACATTGCATTGGCTATCTCGTTGGCCTTTTCAGCCTGGTCTCGGTCACCATATCTGCACAGCAACCGAATAGCATCAGCGGCAGTGAGCATAGCAATATCGTCGTTGTCAGAGCCAAGTTCGTGTTTTCCAGTCTTCGACGCACGTGCCTTTGCCTTGTCGACAATCTCCATGTAACTGTGAAAGGCGTGCATCGCCAGATCAAATTCGCCCAGTGCTGCATGAACTGTAAATAGCTGTCGTAGTATCGCAGTAGAATGAAAAGTCTTGGCCGAAGCGCGGTACAGAATATCCAGTGTGACTCGCGAAACCGCGCTCCTACCACCCTCTCCAACATCAAAATCGCTCCAGTCTGGACCCGTGAACTGACGCCAGTTGGCCAACACCTGAGCTGTCCACTCTTCCACTTCGCCATTCGATTGGTCTGCCTTTGGAAACTTGGTCTCTTCTAGCAGAAGCGTCTCGTATACTGTTTCCACATGTTGCATCTCTGCCCTCTGCCGCTGTTTCATCGTTGCTCGCTGTTCATCAGGTATTATTGTGTTCGAGAAAACAAATGCATCAGCGCCGGGACTGGCATACGGACTGTACAGCAGATCGTGCTGCAGCACTGTAGAAAGCAAATCATGATAGGCCTTCCAAACTGCTCGTCGGGGCATGTCCAAGCGACTTGCGGAAGTAGTGCTGCCCGTTGAAGCCGGAGCCCTTTGCCAGAAGTCGCCCCAAGCTTTGAAGGAGTAGTAGGTCTCGCTCAGGTCCTGTATTGAGGGCGTGGGCGACCTCTTCACTGTATACATGCATGCTCGCCCAAGCAGTCTCTCGGTCCATTGGCGCAGTTCTGGAGTCCTATAGCCTGGAGTCCGCGAGACCGCAGCCTGGTAACTCTCCTTCGCATCACTGGGTCGTCCACTTGCTTCGAGGCATGACGCCCTGATGTATGCTGCCTTAACCTCACAGACTTCTAACCAGCCCAACGTGGCACTGCCACCGATCTCAGATTTCGACGTCGTCGCCGTGGCAGAAGGAAGGGCATTCAGAGCGTCTGTAGGTGCCTCTTGTATCCAGTGGATCTGTGCAAGACATGTTCGGGCAATGAAAGCATCGTCTGGGTGGTTCGTTTCCGCTGTCGATATCGCTTCGAGGAGTCGTGGCACCACTTCGCCCAAGGTGTGAATGCTCGTTGCAGTGGTGGAGGAGGCAGACGTCGGACGGTGCGAGGCAGCGGCAGCCTGTGCTTCGGTTCGTGCAGCGAGCGTGAGACCTGCAATTCGAGGCTTCAGGTTCAGCGGTCGTTCAGTTCACTTCAGTCGAGGCTGGGCTGGTCTGGTCTGATGGAAACATACACTTCCTCTGCGGCGCATGTTTCTCTACCTTGCGCGCCAGCTCCGGCACATCTGCCCAGCTACCATTCGACAACGCTGCGTCCAACAAGCCCACATATCGCGCTCCCTTTTCAGCATTCGGCGCCTTCTTCACTAAGCTGCTCATGATGGCGGACCAGAGGCGTTGCAGGGACGATGGGCAGTGCTAATGGAGCGGCATCGTCAGTCCAACATGGTGCGGGGGACGCAGTGTCGTTCGAGGAAGCGTGTGCAGCGAGAAAAGTGTCCCTGTGCTACACAACGAATCCTCGACACGTAAGGTAGAGGCGGAGACGGGAACGTGTAACAAGGACCCCTGTCATTTGGTAAACTTCGGCGCTTCGGGAAAGCATTTTTTCCGACTGCAGTAAGGTATAAAATATATTTTCCAGGAACGCGTTCAGCAAAACACACTCGTCTCGAACATCAATCAGATGGCACAGTCGACCGCGACCTTGCGCGCTCTGACCTATCGTCTTACTTCGACTCCAACCCAACAGCTTCCTGCCATCATCCCACAGATTGCCGGAGCTCTGTGGAACTGCAAAGACATCCTCTCCATCTCGACAGATTCGAAGGCCGCGGGGGAAGCAGCAACAGCAGTTCATCGCTTCAAGGTATGCATCATCCTCTTCCTACTCGCACTATAATGATGAAGCATTTGGATAAAAAACAAAACACCCACCGAGAGCGCAAAACCGTGTGGATATCTCCGTTGCCTTCCTTCTGATCTATACACATTCTACAAAATCGCTGCCTCCTGCCAAGAAAAAGTCATGTGCTAATCGGCTATACCGCACAGACACAGCTCAATACGCTACTACAGGATAGGACTGTTGAAGGACGATGGGCTGCCGTAGTCTTGACCAAGGCGGTCATTGAAGCCGGCGGTCTCGAAGTACTCAGCAAGTCAAATCCATGGGTGAAGCATCTGCTGGGAATCCTCAAGCGCCCTGACCCCCCAACAACACGAAGTCTGGTCGTAATCACTCTGACCCGAATATTTATGCTCACGTGGAGCTACTCCAATCTGATACGTGAAATCACTACACCTGCATTGACTACATTTATACCAACCTGTATATCGAACATTGAAAATAAGCGATGCTCGGCTGGCGAATTGCAAACCGTGCTCGAAGCCTTTGCTATTCTGATTCCAAAACATCCGACCATATTCCGACAGAACGAGAACAACATTCGAAGCATCTGTACTGCCGCCCTGTCATCTGGCTCGATACCCACACAGGTGCGCCAGTACAGTCAAGATCATCAAAAAGCTGCTCGGCGATTGCTGGTGCTTCTGCATCATTGCGCCCCAAAGCAAGGCGGAAGCGACAAGTGGGTGGAGACGCTCAAGAGTACTGTTGAAGCTGTACACGCGACTTGTGACCATGTGTTCCGCGCCGTACATGAAGACTGGCAGTCCGTGGCCGGTGTGAAATCTTCCGTGTCTGCACAACGAGTCCTCAGTGGCACCATTGAGGTGGAGAGCGAGGATGCGGTCGGCCTTGCGCCATGGAAAGGAGTGTATGCGGGTGCCGAACGTGTCGTATCCTTACTCAACTTGCTGAAGTCGCATCTGACCACTGCTACATCCGCCACAATGACGGTACGCATTGGCTTAGTCAGCGATCTGTTGACACGACTGTTTGGCGTAGTTGTGCCATATCATGGCAAGCAGGACTTTGTGAAGATCAACAACCAGGTTCTCAAAGAGGAGCGCGAGGCACTCTTCGCTGTATTGCCTCGAATCCATGTTGCATCGATTGAACTCAGCAGGACTCTGATCAGCCGACTCAGCAGCACTAGTGTGGGTGGTTGTCAGATTGCCATTGATCAAGTGATGTATGTGTTCCATGCAGAGAGCAGCGATGCTCAAGTCCGCTCTGCCATATATGAGCTACTTTCGGCGATTTTCGAGATATCTGGACCATCCATGGGTCGAACGGAAGTGGGAGAGGTCTCCTCAGTTCTGAGATCGTGCTGTCTGGACCTACTGCCGGATGCAAAGGATGCGGTTGGCCCTGATGCGAAAACAAATGGTCAAGTAGGAGGCATCAAGCAACAACTGGGACTGGCCGGCGGGCAAATCTTACAGAGTGATAACGCAGGCCAGAACGAGCTCTTAAGGGCTGCACAGGCTCTTCTGCGCACAGCCTTGTTACGTATTGATGCGCTGCCGTCGCAATTGCGTGCGCTGGTGGACCGCACGGCTGCTTTGACTCGTAATCATCCACTCTTACAGGCCAGCGTCATGAACCCACCTGCAAAACGGTCGGTCGCAGGGAGTGCGCCTGCCAGCCTGTTGCCTGTACTCGCCAGAGAGTACAGCCGTACGGTCGAGGTAGAGGTTCTACTGCGACCACGGCTTCCTGTCATTGGCAAGAAGTCCTCCAATCAGTCCGGCAGATTTGACGATGATGAGGATGAAGATGAAGACGAAGAAGACGAGGATGCCGGCGCGGGTGACGATGAGGGAGCCGATCAAGATGAGGGTGGACTTCGTCAAGACGAGGAAGCTGTGGAGGCCGCGAAAGAGGACCCAACTACTGACCTCCTCGACACACTGGGTCAAAACGCTTCTCTTGAGCCCTCCATCAGCACCACCACGACAGCAAAATCTCTCTTTGCATCAGAGAATGCAATTGGCAAACGAAGAGCCACGGATGAAGTCGCGGATCTTTCAGCAAAGCGATTGCGAGCATCGCCCGAGGCGGCTCGCTCTCCGGGATTGTCAACATCGACTCAGCCCACGGGTAGTCTTGCGGAAGTTGTGGTGTCAAGACAGGCACTAGCAGTCCCTGTAGTCCCGGCATCAAGTGCACCAACTGTGGGGTCCTATCATACTGCGACTGCGGACGACTCGGAGGATGATAGCGACTTTGAGATACCGACCATACATGTTGGTGATTCCGATCAAGATGAGGAGGAGGACGATGAGGAGTAGGTAGATATGTATTCATTGTCAGTACCTTCACAGTGCGATACCTTTGACGTCGTCGATGTGCAGGCTTCCAGGTTGGTAATCGTCTTGTGAAAGTGATCGGCAATTGGATTTGCCGTTCCGTTCAGATCCTGGCATTCAGCCCTACATATAGAACTACGTACGACATGGGTCTGGGAGATGACGGCCTGCCCCATTGTTATTATACGGTATTGACGTCGCAGCCCATTCAGCTCGCTGACAAACGCCGCAGAAGCTGAACCCAAGTTGCACGACTTTACAGCATCTCCGGTCAAAAGGACCAGCGAGCTGCAATTCCCAGGGAGAGGGAGTTGCCACACGTAGGGTCGAGATGATGGATGGACCGAGGCCTCACACAGGCTGCGGGCGCTCGGATCATCAGCAGCGCCACCAAGTCCCCTCTCAGAAACAAGCAACGACTCAACGACGGGAGACGAGGTCGGAAGAAGGTTCTCGAGGCACATGCCGGTAGCACGACAGCACCAATGAACGCTTCCCATTAGTCAAGCTCTCCCTGCTGTGTAGGACAGGCAGGTACATCTTGCGTTTAATGCGGCTAGAGCGAGGTGAAGATGCTTTTGGCTAGGAGTAGGTAGGAGGGAGAATAACGACAGTGTCTTTGCCATGCGAGGCAGAGGTCGCAGGGCGTGCACCAATGAGACACGGCGCAAAGCTGAATGACCACGGAAGGCGCACCAGCCGCACCTTCCCCACACTGCATTGAAATGCTTGGTCTCACTGCGCATCTAGAACTGAAAGTGGGAGGCGGCCGCTCGCCTCTCCGAATCTCCTCTCGTTGGTGATTTTTCCACTTTAACACATCTTTCTCCCTCTCCCCCCCCTCTCTTTCGCCATTTCTCTCTCTCTCCCCCTCTCTCTCTCGCCATTCCCCGTGGACCGTATACACACGCCGCTCTTGCAATACACAGATACACACCGCGAACAATGGAGGCCCTCATGGTCAAGTCGCGGGCCATGTGCCCGTTCTTGAACAAGACGTCGCCCGCTACGCTGCGCACCCTCAGCACCAGCACGAGCATTCAGCCGACTGCCACTGCCACTGCCCCCGGGGGCGGCGCCATGAGCAACTTGCAGACGATTGCTCGCCGCTGCCCAATCATGGGCAAGGCTCTGTCCGTCCGCAGCGCTCAGCTCGGCAACACCGTTCTTGCCGGAGCATTTGGTGGCTCTCGTGCATACCACTCCAAGGTCCCACGTGCCAACTTGCACACCTCCGCTGAGAACAAGGCTCGAGCAGTGGAGTCTACTCGCGTTCGCTCCGACGGTCCTCTGTACACTCGCCATCCAGCTCCAGCTGCAGTCTCGCAGACTCAGCACAACCACGTCGCCGATCGATACGCCACTCCGCCACCATCACCGAAGACAACCCCATTCGACTATGATGGATTTTACACCAGTGAATTGGAAAAGAAGCACAAAGACAAGTCGTACCGCTACTTCAACAATATCAACCGACTTGCTCAGGAATTCCCGCGAGCGCATATGGGATCCCGCGAAGAGCGAGTGGACGTCTGGTGCTCAAATGATTATCTTGGAATGGGGCGAAACCCACAAGTTTTGAAGAAGATGCATGAGACATTGGACATGTACGGTTCCGGCGCTGGTGGCACCAGAAACATTTCTGGTCACAACCAGCACGCTATGAGCTTGGAAGCGACTTGTGCAAAGTTGCACGCTAAAGAGGCAGCATTGGTCTTCTCTTCGTGTTATGTTGCAAACGACGCTACGCTTGCGACATTGGGCAGCAAGATGAAGGACTGCGTCATTCTGAGTGACAGCATGAACCACGCTTCGATGATCCAGGGCATACGCCACTCTGGCGCGAAGAAGATTGTTTTCAAGCACAATGATGTGGAAGATCTGGAGAGAAAGCTCGCATCCCTTCCTGTAGATGTGCCAAAGATTATCGCCTTCGAAAGTGTATACAGCATGTGCGGCAGCGTTGGACCGATCGAGGAGATCTGCGACTTGGCTGAGAAGTACGGTGCCATTACCTTTTTGGATGAAGTCCATGCTGTCGGCATGTACGGGCCAAACGGTGCTGGTGTGGCTGAGCACCTCGACTACGACATTTATGCCAACGGTGGAAACACCAAAGGAACTGTCATGGACCGCATCGATATCATCACTGGAACTCTCGGAAAGGCTTACGGGTGTGTTGGAGGTTACATCGCAGGATCTGCAAAGATGGTTGACACCATTCGTTCTTTGGCACCGGGTTTCATATTCACGACTTCGCTACCTCCAGCCACCATGGCAGGCGCTGAAACCGCCATCAACTATCAAATGGAGTACCAGGGAGATCGCAGACTGCAGCAGCTCCACACCCGAGCTGTTAAGGCCGCGCTCGATGCGAAGAATATCCCAGTCATTCCAAACCCGTCCCACATCATTCCCGTTCTCGTCGGAAACGCCGAAGTTGCAAAGAAAGCCTCGGATCTTCTTCTGGAGAAGCATCGAATCTACGTTCAAGCTATCAACTATCCTACAGTGCCTGTTGGGCAAGAACGTCTACGCATCACACCTACCCCAGGACACGTCAAGGAGTTCCGCGACCATCTCGTGCAAGCCCTGGACAGCGTCTGGAACGAGCTCAACATCAAGCGTACATCTGACTGGGCTGCCGAGGGCGGTTTTATTGGAGTAGGCGTCAAAGACGCAAAGCCTGTTGAGACTCTCTGGACCGATACTCAGCTAGGTCTCGAGGAGGTTGCAAAGGAATTGAAGTCTGGCGAGGGTGCTCACGGGGTTTTGGAGCGCGTGCTCAGCATTACCAACGCTGAGACTAGGCAAGCTGTTGCTGCTGCCGCTTGAAATCTCCGCCGCTGCTGCTGATATTTGTCCTATCTTTCTTGCACGTGCGCGCTCGCCATTTGACCACGATTTACCCCACTGGGAAAGTTGATATTCCTCTGAAAAGATAGTTCGTGCTTCCTTATTTCGATGAGGTTACCAGTTTGTTCGTGAAGCTGATCTTCATCAAATACAATCCTTTTACACCCGCTCGGGTCACAACTTTGTGGCCCTCGAGCCCACAAACAAACTTTCCAAATCACGTTTCAATTTTCACGTACTTCAGCGCTAGTTTTGCCGTCGCATGTCCAAGTGTCTCTGGCAGATTCCCTTCTCTTAACCATCTAGGATACAAGGTAATCTTCGCGAGCGTATACCTGGTATTCCATGAGCACATTGGGATTCATAGGTAAAATTACAGTTCTCCACTACTATTCCCTATTATCACGATGACACCCGCAAACCTGCTAGATTACATGTCCGTGATTTTGCAAAAGAGTCTTTCTATATGCCCAGTCCTGTTGAGCCTTTGAGGCCACCTTTGACATATGCTGCTGGTTTCAATGCATTGGTGGCGGTACTCTGCACGCCAGAAGTGGCATCTGTCACTTTCGTAGTCGCTCCCGTCAGTTCTTTCTGAGGTTCCGAGTGGTCATGAGATTTTTCCGAGGTATTAGCGGGCTTTGTGTGTCGGTCATTGTAGCCTGAGAGGTCCTTCTTTGCAGTCTGCGATCTCGCACCTTCCATGAAACCACTCAGGCGGCCACCTGTGAGTCTGTCGAGGTGGTCACCAATGGCACTTCCTTCGGGAACCTGCTTGGGTTCGCCGCCTTGGCTGTCTCCGTTTGCCCATTTGAGGAGGTGATAGCCTCCTAGGCCCCATAGAAAGAGAAAGCATGCAGCTCCGGTCGTGAACATTACTGTTGGTAGAACGAAGAACAGTGCGATGCAGACCATGAATGCAGTGAAGAGTACTGCTGCGAGCAGCCCAATGATCAGAGCCACGACCAGAGCGAAGATGAAGACTGATAGCGTGAAGAGCACAAACAATCCGAGTGGAACTCCAGTGAGAGCCAGGTTCATTCCGAGGAACGCCTATAGGTGTCTGTTAGCTCGCTCCAGGATGTCGGGACCATCATTACGTGGTATTGTTGACATGGCCGATACCATCGCAAGCAGTCGACGTCAAGGTTGTAATGTGGTGAACTTACCGATAGCTTTGGATTGCGAAGCATGAAGTCCTGCAGTCTAGCCACGAACGCTGCCCGCTTCTCTGGCGGAAAGATGGCATCAATCATACTCTGTCCCTTGGTAAATATCTTGCTTGCGATGCCATCCAGGGAGCTGAGGACTTTATCGCTACCAGCCTGAGCCTTTTCTTGAATTCCATTTAATGGGGTGCCTTCGGTGGCTTCAGACCCTTTCTCCTGCACACCAGCACTGGCGGTCTTGAGTTGATCAGCCATGGTGGTTCGGTGTGGAGCTCGTCGAATCTCCAGCTTTCGAGGTCGGCTGTGCTCTCTGTCGGAGCCTGAAGAAGCCGTGGTGACGGACGAGCGCCTTGATGGCAGAGATTCACGGAGATGATGAGAAAGTGGACGTGTTGAGAAAGCAGTGCAAGTGCAGATGCAGATGCAGGTAATGAGGGAAATGTTGTTCCATGGTCATCGTCAGCTCACTGTACATGTAACGTTGTGGTCGCGCCTGCCATGTTTTTGATGCGCAGTGACGACGGCCGCTGTTTGGTTTCCGGATTACGTAATCTTCACCTAAGGTAGGTACACACTGTCTTCCATACCTACCTACTGTACCTATGTATTCGACATCGCTCTGCCTCCCCGTTCTCACCCTGTTCGAAGCCTGAATGATCTTACAACTCTCGAAGAGAAACATCCGAGGATAGGAGTCGTGAGGAGACACGGCGTGGAGGGCGACGGGCAAGACGGCGGGAAACGGAGAGGCGGGAATGGAGGGTTTCTGCTGGACGAGTACACGAAGGCGCTCAGGGAGCAGGTTAGGCATGATAAAAAGGGCCGTGGAGAGGAAGACGGACACGGCGAGGTCTTGACATGCTCAACATCATGTTGCTGGCCTGCGCTTGACGGCCTTGATTGATGATCCCTCTCGTCAAGGTCACTCGCCGCTGTTTTGTACCTGTTGTCTACGGAAGTCATGGCGAACGAGTAAGGAAACGGACGTTCGAACTCCGAGTTGATTGTTCAAGCTACGAAGTGTCCTGCATAGACCTGCAAAACCTTTCTGCCTACATCGACGAACACCGAGGCCTCCGCAGCCACGTCTTGGCCGCAAAGCGCAGTATGTGCCTACAGGTTCTGCAAAGGTCTAGTCAATTTCGAGCCAGCTTCTCGACAATTTCATCATGTTCACGCCACTCAATGCCTCGCCAACATCTTCATGGCAGCCTTCAGGCTCTCGATCTCCTTCGTCAGCACGGACCTCGCTCTCTTCACCCCGGCTGCCTCTCCTGCAATCTCCTCAAGCTCGACCGCCGACAATTGACTTACCCAAATCGGCGAGAACAATGCAAGTGGGCTTGTCTCGCTGTGGAGAAGGTAATGGCTCGCAGCCTGCTTGCAGATGTTGTCTACGAAAGTCTTGCGGCTGACCTTGTAGTACGACTTGAGGATATCGTGGATCTCGCAGATCGCGTACTCATCGTTGCTCATGTTGATGGCTTGCCTCTTAACATCAGCGAGCGGCACCATCGCGCTCCAGGAGTGGTGATGTCGTGAAATATCTATGGCTTTGCTGTCCAAACCTGCGGTTGCTTTGTTTTGGCGGCTCTTTTGCAAGTTGTCGTTGAAATAGTGGTTCAGGGTGGTAGGTGTGTCGCAGCTTTCGACTTTAAGCAGGAACTTGGCATTTGCGATCGCCTGCTCGTAGCGCGTCGTCAGGTCGTCCAGGAGAGTGCTTTCGAGAGCCAGACGAATCTCGCTGTCACCGCAAACAGCCTTGAGAGCAGCGAGTATGAACCTGTGCGCTATAACAATAACATCGCTTAAAAACCCGAGGCTGAGGTTATGCCAATTCACCGACTGTTTCTTCATCGCAGTCGCAAGAATTGAGCCGTTGAAAGTTCCGAGCTCGAAGCCGCGATTGCCGAGGAAGATATCACGGAGCCAGGTCTTAATGCCGCGCGTCTTTGGACTTCGCACGCTGTCATTGTGATACTCGATAGAGTACTGGATTCCGAAGAGCTCTTCTCCGTGGCAGTACCACCGGGCTGGGATGCGGGCCTTCTCCCCTTCATCTTCACCTTCGATACCGGTGCTCTCGGTCTCCCCTTCATCTTCACCTTCGATACCGGTGCTCTCGGTCTCTCCTAAGCCTTCTTGCATGAACGCATACGTCTGGCCTTGGCTGGCCATGTCATCGGAGAACGCCTTCATTCGAGCCATCATGGTAGGTGCGATGCGAAGGTCATCATTGCCATCGAAGACCTCGTCGGCACCATAGCTTGCGGTGAGCGCCAGAGTCACAATGCGCTGGAATTGGGTCGCCATCTTCGTAAGGTGTGCTATCTGCTCGATCGTACCTGTACGCTCAGGACCAAGCTGTTCGAGCCGCTTCAGGCGTATCTCGAGCCTGTCCTTGGTCTCTTTTTTGACCTAGGCCTTATATTAGCGATGGAAGAAAATGGTGCGGAAGGAACAACTTGCCTTTGGGAACTCCTTTTTTACCAACGACGAAATGACCTCCTTGAGGCGAACTCGCAGGGTGTCGATGCCGACCTTATCCCTCTCCAGCTCGTTCCATGGTGCTTGATGGCGGAAGAAAACTTTCTCTAAGCTGCTGCGATCCATGTCCTTAGCGGACATCTCCATCTGCCCAGGATTACGGATTATGTGCCAGCCCAGCTTCATCGCCCGCGTGCGGCCTTCGAGTAGATCCATAACTTGGCTCTCGGCACCTTTGTCAACAAGATCTGGTTTTGTGAGCACACCCAGCGTACGATCACCTTCGGGGTCTGCCTCGGTAGCGAGCTCCAAGATCTCCTGTGTGGCTACGTCGACATTCGCGGGAACGACGGCGAGAATGACCGAGCGGGGGTTGTTCATGTACCCATGCACCATGTTCCTTACCAGCGTGATGTCCGCCTTGGTCGTCACTCCTTCAGTCCTCGACTTGAAGATTCCCGGTACGTCGATGACACTAAAGTGCTCTTCGTTGGGTCCCGAGATCTCCAGACGCAGCACGTCGTTTGAGAACGTTGGCCGCTTCACTCCATCATCGTCGCCGTGACCCGCCAATCCCATCTCGATATGGACCTGCCCGCACATGGGTCAGCTCCGATATCTGTCCGCCACGCTTTAGTCACTGGTCACTCACTTCCTCCATGATCTCGATGAAGACCTTCGAATCTAACTCCTCCTCCACCTTCCTAGCCCACTTCTTCACTCTCGCCACATGCTGCGGATCCGCGTCTTTGTCTGGGATGATGGACACCTCGATGCCCTGAAGCTTTGCGCGGCGAAACACAATTTGCGTGGCAAAGCGAGTGCAGAGGCCACTATCGCGCGGCAGCGGTTTGCCAACAAGGCCTTCGAGAACGCTTGACTTGCCGGACGACTGATCGCCCACAACGACGATCTGAGGGAGGTCGACAATTTCGCCAACGCCGCAGGCGAAGAGTTTGTCGATTTTGTCGAGCATGAGGGGGTCCGCGAGTGCGGTGGTACTAGTAGGTGCCATGGGTGATGGCAGCGCTCAGGCGTATTCTAAGTCCCTGTTGAGGTGGAAGAAGGATGAGAGAAAATTGAGCTTGAAGTTCTGTTTTGTAGCGGCGAAGAACAAAGCTGCGTTTGCTGACGTTTCGAAAAGAACCTGCATGTTTTGCGCTGCTCATTCACTTCACTTGTAGGGCAAACGCCAATTGCCAAGCTTTCCGGATAGAATCTTCATGGTCGAAGAAGTGGAGTCAAGAGCAATAAGCGGAAGGTGATTGTATAGCCGGTAACACACCCAAACTGCATTCAGGACCAAAAAGAATAAACATTTATGTGAAAGTAGCGCTATGCTGTCTTTATAAATGCTTCCGCCATATCTGCTCCTTGTGTTGAAGGAAATGCCCTAAGCCGAAGTATTGCCATAGCCGGAGTCAATAGATCTCCCGCACCGTGCTGCACGTAACCAGATCTCTTTGCAGTGCACTCTTCAGTAGGGTTTTTATAAATGGCGGGCGCCCCGGTGCCAAGCCTGCGTAACCAATTCTCAGCACAAAGAGATCTTCTACTCTGAACATTCCTAACAAAAAGCACTCTCTACCTAGGTATTTAAGAGGAGGAGGAGGAGATGAATATGGATATGGATATGCCTAGGGCAATGCCTACTGTAGGAAGAAGATGAAGATAGTAATAGAATAAATATACATACCTTACATATACATACGCACGCCCGCCTATACGTACGCACGCACGTACGTACGCGGGCGTACGAAATTGGCTGTCGTTACTCGATCTGCACTACCTTACTGATAGGCAAATACTGTAGGGTATATATTTGGGGCGCCCGCCATTTAGGGAGAGATCTCCCGCCATTCTTCAAAGCCCCTTCAGTGTCGCGATGCATGATATGCCTATCTTGGCGGAGCTGAAACCAATTCAAAGGGGTACCTACTCCTACTGAGACCGGTCGTGGAAACAATTGATCAGACAGTCACATATCCAGCTCGATGGCGGCGGCGGGCCGGCGGCCACACCAGAAGTTATTTCACCACGCCGTGTGATCCCCCAATTTCGAACATTCAATGGCCCTTGCGGCGATGAAACCACGAAAGCATTCCTCCAGCATTCTCGTTTCAAGAGAACAGGTGAGATGGAAACAGGAGGTGCCTCCGTAAAGATATGCATCCAGGGTGGTAGGTTCAGTCATGGCCCGTTCCGCAGGGCTAGCGCAAGCGAATGCAATTCCTATCTTCGGCAACCTATCAAACTACTCGTTACCTCGGAGGTACATACAGGTACCTCCGAGTAACGTAACGTCCTCCGGTCATCATCCATCAGCTTTTCTATTCTCTATTAAATCTGGCAACATGCTAGTGTTGTCTGCCGTATATGGTACCTTCTCTAAGAGGACATTAGTACTAGAAGACAGATTCAGAAAGCTACTCGAGCGAACAATTGGATTCCTACGACATCTAGCTGCTCGAAAAAGAAGGGGAAAAAAGAAACCCAACAACTTATTGTCCGTTATTAGAGAAGACATAGAGAGTGTCTATCGTAAGGGTGTCGGCTTGACGATTGACCAGTGCCGAGCCGGTAAACGCTTCCAAGTCTACTGCATACCTAGCCTGGCAGAATCTGGACTATGTACCCTGTTCTTGATTTTGAACTCGTCTGGGGCGCCTTGAAACAGTCGGCTACACATTTCTTCAAGGCTCAAGCACTTCAACGCGCCGCTCGTATCTTACGGCATTTACAATTAAGTTTCTTAGCTGCAAGTCCGCGATCGCGGGAAACCCAATGCGGGCCCAACTGCCTTATCCAGCACTTACGCCTCTCGGTAGACGAAGAAGACGTCGATTATAGAGATATAGGTCTAGCTGTTGGGCTTCTTGGCTGTATTAGGTATACAAGAGGTCAGATAACCGTTGACAAGAGATCTCTTTATTAATAAGGCAGAGTCTCAGGGCCATGTATACGCGTGTGTTGCTCTGTAGTGATGTAGACTCGAGAGGTTTTTTGTTGCTGTTGTTGTGTCGAAATTTTGGAGACCATGGGATCCGCGAATAACAGACGAGCGAATCTGTTGAATCGCATCGTATCTTCCCTGCTGTTTGAGTCTCGGACTTTAGGTACCCTGCAGTTTGAGTCTCGAACTTTTACACACCCTTGTGCGAGCTAGTTCAAGAATCAAGCTACCCTTAGGTAGGAAATCGTCAGCCAACAGATTATAACAAATGTGATCAGGTACTGGCCAGTAGTTTCCCGCCGCAACATGTGTCTAGGCTCGACTTACTACCTACCTGATACGGCGATACCATACTGCGAGCACAGACGACGATTATCTGCCGTGAAAGGGCTCTTCTTCTTGATAATTAGGGTCCTCCAAACCGAAGGTGAGGTAAAAAGGGGTGGCTTCGAGGCCTGAGGCCTCAATCCTACGGGTATATAGCACAAGCTGATAGCCACTCAATTGATAGCCACTCAATTGACAATCATCGATCTCATCTTTACACTTCGACAACCTGTTCAACAAGTACCTTATCTGGATCTCCCGCCGTCCCCCGCTCTCTGAACGAAATCGTTAGGAAGGACTCTAGCAGCAAAGAAGAAAAAATGAAAGCAACAATTCTCGTGGCCGCGTTTATGGCATGCTGGACCAATGTCTACGCAGAAGACTGCCCCCCCTGCACGAAGTTTGACCCCAGCGCTCCGAACAGCCCCTGCGGCGAAATGCAATTTGGAGGAGTCGGCTGCCAGTGCTGGGAACTGGGTCGAGACAAACATACTTACCGCTTATTTGCGCACAAGGACGGCACCAAGGTCGAAATCGATGAAAATAATAGAATCCATATGTGGTGCAACGATAAGGCTTGCATACGCAAAGATTATTGCAAGATTGAACCCTATTGGCGCGACCTTGCTGACTGGGTGCACGACGGATCCTACGAGTTACCAGCGGGCAACGGTTGCTGCCAACTTCCTGCGCATTACATTCAGCACGCCACAATGTACAAGATGCCATATTAGCGTTAGCCAGACTACACGACGCCGCAGTTATGCGATGCCTTCAAGCTGGCAGAGGACCAGAGGTGTCCGGGCTCCTGGGTTCGATGGAGAAGGCAAATGGATCTGGAGGATTTGTTAGATGAAAATTGGCGCGATGGGAAATGCGGTGAATGGTTCGGCAAGCTGGCTTTCCTTCGTTCGACTGGTCTGGTTTTGTCGATAGAATCGGATTCTTTCAAGGCTACTTGGTAGTGCGTGTAGGGTCCAGCGATGCCTGAGAGCTTGGGGGTGTAGATGTAGATGGAGGCGACCACGACGGTGACATATTCGAGATTCTGCAGAGTGATGGTAGCCAAACCGTCAGACAACTTGCCTAACAGTATCTTTCCCTCACATGGCAATTCTAGTCCCTTGTTCCGTCCTTATGCCGTGGGGGTCAGGTAATACAGCGTTCTTCGCACTCAGAGGTGTAGTAGAAGTGGAATGCAATACAGAAGGTAGCAGTATGAAATCAAGGTAGCCATTCGGCGTAACTATGTCGGTAAACAAACACCAGAAATTTGCACTTCAGGGTTTCAGGCTCAGGTTTGGGTTTTGACCGCTTGGCAGACCTGGAGCTCCGTCAAAACCTTCTTTACCTACCCTCGCGCTTTGCTCGACAAATTTTGAGCTTTCTAGACTCTGGCTTCGCAGACACTGTCAAAACACCGCGTCACCGGCAGCAAACGCCAGCATGGCCGAAAAAGAGCAAAGGAAGCGGAAGAGGCAGTCAAACGTGGTGGAGACACCGAATAAGAAGGCGGCGATTGAGGGCGGCAACATCAAGGTCACACACGCAGGCGAGACTGGACTTCATCCAGTTCTATTGGGTACTTCCGGAATTCAAGCGCCCGCAGTGCCATTCAAGGCCTACGCAAAACCGAGAGAGGGCTCCAAGAGGGCAGAGAAAGGCGACATCACGCCGGCTACACACGATCTTCTACTACAATCGTCGCAACATCCTCGACTGGACTACACCGCAGTGCCTAGCCCCATAGATGATCAACTAAGCCACTATGTCGCCATATACGATCCCGCCAGAAAGGTGCTCCAGATCGCACCTGCACATCATCTTCGACTGCGATCAACGCTGCGAGCGGAAGCCGAAGATGAAGCAGCACCGAGGGCAAGAACGATAGGCCAGCAACGAGAGGCGCTGGGCCAGGAGTTTGGAACGAAGAAAGCGAAGAAGGCGATCAATAGCAAGAGCACCAATGCCATCGCTGGCAACGAGGGCGAAATCACAGATGTTCAGCGTGCTATTCTGGAGTCTGTTGGAGGTAAATTGCTCAACATGTGCCAACGGGATGCGACATCGTGCTCTGGACCCCAGCTAATGCTCAAGCAGAAACAAATGATGGACTTGCTTCGAAGCTCTCTGAAAAAGAGCAGAAGAATGATGCCCTCGCGTCCAAGCCTATACCCTGGCCACGGCTTGACGCAGAACATGCAGAAGACGTCTACACCTTCGACACTCTGATTCCGCCGAGCGATGCACGACTCGTGAAGCTCAAGGACTGGTTAGATGCTGCTGACGATGACAGTAAGCTCGGCTTCAAACACCAATTTCCACAGTCACGATTTCAGTACCTCGCCAAATCAAATGCCGAGGTCACGCTGCGCTTGAAGGCTCTGAAGTATCTCACTCTGCTGTTGGAGTTCAGAGATCTTGCGACTGGAGGAGGCCGAGGGCCAAAGAAACTACCTAAGAAAGAGGCGATGCTAAAGAAACTTCCGCCGAGTAGATGGCCGACAGAGCTCGTCGACAGCGTACGAAGACGTTTCACCAACGACACAGGAGGAGAGCTCGGGAAGTGGCAGATGGACAACTTGTCAACGCATATCTGCGCCCTAGCATTGTTTGCGGACCACTGGGAGACTGATGTCTGGCATCTAAAGGAGGACATGAAGCTCGACTTGAAGGAGCTCAGCCAGTACTTCATGGAGCTTGGTGCGCGCATTCACAAGATTACAGAGTCTGAAAGAACGAGGAGGAATATGACCAAGGCACAGGCGGCAGCCACCAGAATGGCCAAATTGAAAATCCCTCTGGAGTTTCCCAAAGTGAGGATGGGCAGAAGGACATGATTTTTCAGGTAGCCCAAACCCCTACGCAGACTTTCACAAACAACATATGCTACTAGGTGATGTCAGTCAAACCTATCTGCCTCTCTGCCCGCCACCTAGACATCGGAATGCGGACCTGATCTCTCACCGTCTTGTCACTTGCTCATTAAATAAAACACTAGCGATTTCTATGCGAACTTATCATTGATGTCTACCTACCTACCTACCTTACTTATATTATGTAGGCGTCAATGTACGCATGGCCCAAACCCCTTTTTTCATATCATTATCGTATATCATCGTATCTCATCATCATCATCATTACGACTCGATCCAATCAATCAATCAATCAATCAATCAATCAATCAAGCCTTCCCCTCCGGCCATTCCCTCCCAAGTCACAAGGTATGATCCAAAAAAATCACCGAGATTTCCATCCAATACTGTACCTCTCATCCCAAAAATCCCCCTTCTGCAATTGTAGGTATGCTTGCAGTTTTTTTTTGTGTTATGCTCCTCCATTCCCCCGTCATCATCATCATTCTTCTTCTTCTTCCTTGTGTATGTTTGAAATATATCGCCATGATAGGTAGCATTTCATGTCTCTCTTTCTTCCTCGGCCCCTGAATTTCTTATCTATGCAATGAGACTTTCTTCTTTCTTCTTTCTTCTTCTCGACTTTTTAAATCCATTCAGTCATTCATCAAAAACCCCCTCTTTCATTTTTCCCTTTTCCCCTTTTTCCCCTTTTTTCTTTCCCCATTTCTCCCTTAAAGTAGCCTAGCTCCACCCATCCATCCACGCATCCATCCATTCAATCAAACACAAACCACCGTCCCATCCTCGCGTGTCGTACACGTAGGATTTTTCACGCAAGTCTGTTGACCGGATTTGTTGATGTAGCATTGTCTTTTTGTTGGAGGAGAAGAATAAGTAGGAGGAAGGGTTGAGTTTTCGGTTGCTGCTTCTTCTGCTTCTTTTTCTGCTTCGGAAGAGGAAGAGGAGCCTTGGGAGATGCAGGTGATGGTGCCGTCTGGATGGGAAGTGCATTGAGGTGGAGTAGAGACGCATTTTTGGACTCCGTTGGCGTCGATGTAGCATTGCTGTTTTGTTGGTTAGTTTTTTGTTATTCTTTTTTTACGGGTGGAGTAGAGAGGGATGGATGCAACATACTCGTTTGGTGATTGGTGCTGCCATTGAAAGAGCTGCAAAGGCAACTGCTGCGAAGAATGTAGACTTCATGTTGATGGATTTGAGCGATGAAGCAGCAAGATTGTTGGTCTTCTATATGTTTTCAATGTCAAGTCCTCAAGTGTTGATGGACAGAGGAAGAAAGCAAGAAGAAACTGTCGAGCGTATTGGAAATGCTTTTTCACAAGAGAAAAAAAAAACCAGCACCCTCCCCATTCCTCTTATGCAAAAACCACCTCCTGCTTGCAACGAGGTCACGAACGCAGATTTCTTGCCTCTTTCCGGTGGCACGTTCGTGTCTTACCGCTCTGTAGTTTTAGCTCTCGCCATGCACACCAGAGCAGTAACATCGGAGGGCATTGCCATGGGTCGACGAAAGTACGGTAGCATCGCATCAGTCCCGTTTCGTCACAAGAGTGTGTCGCAGCAGCCAATGAGGGCTTGACCGAGGGATGATCTACACCAAAGTTGTACAAGCTGCGTTCTAAATTGAGTCACGCCGAGGGACCCCAAGTGATAGGGTCGAGTAGGCCGATAGCCCGGCTGGGAAAGTTCAAGGGTGTCGGTGAGCATTTGCTACTGTAGGCTTGTAGATCCTCCATGGGTGCATGAGTCGCGTGGAAAAAACATGGAATCGCCTTTCTAGCCATGTGCAGTTGCCTCTTTGTTGCGAACAGCAGGTTCTTTGATGTTTGCGACGTCCATGTGGCCTTTGATGGGTAAATAGTACCACATTCAAACTTGTGCCCTATAGTTGTGCAGACGATTAGGCATTCCTCCTAGGAGGTAGGCATTAACAGGTGTGGTCAGCTGTAGCTTTTGGTACACTTGATGAAAACTCCATCGTACGATAGGTGATAGATAACAGCTGGACGTGCGTTGTCCGATCAGGCATTCAATATCAAGAGCGTGCGTCAGACCGTACAGCAGCGTCGCTCCGTACGATTGAATCTGGTTGATATATAAGCAGCGCTGTTATAGCCACGGACGGCGGGGCGGACCAGTACGAGCCGGAAGCGATAGTGGCTATGCACCAAGCTCACTCATGTTTGCTTCATTCGTCGGCTTTACGAAGTTTTCGAAACCAAGTTTTAGGTTTGGACCTCTTCCCTGGTTTGGAGCTCTGTCGCTTTCATCTTCGGTCCTTTATCGAACAAACTGAGAGACGCTGCCCTCCCACACCTTCTATCGTCAGACTATGACCCACTGGGTGTCTTTATGCAAGACGCCTCTCGAAAAGTCTTAGCATCTGGTGTCCTCGATTCGTTTGTGAGTAGTGCTGCGATTCGCGCGTGCTTGGACGCCACTTCAGCTTCATTCTGTGTACGTAAATCACGTTTGGCGATGATCAGTGGAGCTATATCTGCTACAATCCAGATGACATGTACCCAGTCTCCAGAAGTTCAGAGCAGCCCCGCGTATTCCTGCAGCTGAAGTGGGACTTCGGTCACATGGGGTCTAGGACAGCAGACTGTTCAACGCCGTCTTGTACCTCCAAATCCAGAAGACTCGTAACGACTCGTACTAGGCGCTGGTGAGGAGCTCGAAGGACCGGCCCCGAAGCTCGGACTTCTGCCACCTCCGCCGAACCAACCTGACGGCTCTGGCTGGGGTGCAGCGTATTGCTGTTGCCTTCTTCCACCTCCAAACCAGTTGGAAGGTCCAGCTTGTGGTGGTGGTGGTTGCTGAGTCCTGTTGCTGCGATTAGCCCACTGATTCGCAGCATAAGCTGCAGCTGCGCCGGCCGCTGTACCGGACCAAAAGCCCGGTTGCCATGCGTTGCCGCCTGTGCTGCCTGATGTACTTCGTGTCGACTTCGATCTTGGGGTTCGTGGCGTATACGGTGGAGGGGGATCGTTGTTGTCATCGTCGTCGAAGCCACCGTATCCTGCTCCGCCTCCGTTCCGAGGTATGCGTGGTCGTCGAGCACCATTGTTGTTGCCGCCTCCAGTCCAAACGCTCCAGATGATGACGCCGAGAACCCCCAGAAAGAAAATCCAGAATATATAAGTGGCTACTGTTTCACTGCCTAGATCAGGTTAGCACGGTAGTTGCGACTTTGAGCTACGGTACCCTTGATATACATACTGTCACTGTAGCCAGCTTGTTCGCCAGGCTTAACACGTTGCGAGCCAGAGAACCAGCCTGATTTCGGCAAACCATACTTCTCCTCGCCAGCCGGAGTGAGGATCAGCCGATATTCGACAGCACAGGATCCCTTGAGAACATAGGGATCGTCAGGAGAGTCGTAGCCTTCACAGATGACATCTGTACCACCGAGCTTGAATTCCACAGGCAAGTCGGCTTTGCATGTCCATTGAATGTCTTCGGTATCGTACTCGTGTCCCGAATTCGTACATCGCATACGGTCAACGTTGTAAAGTCCTTTCGCGTTTCCTCCCACACATGAGAGCTGTGGTATTGCTTCCACGCGACGATGGGTCGTCATGGCGCCATCACGGAGAGTCAATGCCTTGACGGTCGATAGGAGGACGGCATCTTTGTTCTTGTTTGAGCCGCGGGCTAGTGCTGATGAGGCACATATAGATAGTCCTGTCAAGATGAGGCTGGTGAAGTGCATTTCGAAGCTGGTGTGGCGTCGTCGCCAGGAAAGTAGCGTATAGTAGCACAAGGCGATGAGTGGATATGAAGGCGTGTCTACCTACATGTATATGTGAGTTCAACACTTGCAGAGATCTTCTATTGTTGCTGGTACCTTCTAAGGCAAGCTGTCTTCACCTCTGCCTGTTGGCATGTGAATGTGGCGAAGGTGGCGGAAACAGGTGGAAGAAGTAGCCAGCGGCCCATCCCGCAAAGCCTGTTTGTAGGACTCCACCTACCATCTATCAGCTCAGCTATACCTTTCTTTGCGACTATGCGCCAACCACCATAACGACCTCAGAACGTCTCCATCGCCCACCTCGACCCGCCTACAGACACATCTGTCCCGCTCCCCTCAAAACCCCAGGCAACGAAGCCGCCCATCCCAGCCCATCAACCCTCCCCACCACAGCATCCACCATGGGACGCGCAGAACCCGGCTCAACCAAAGCCATCGCGAACAAATCCAAAATGGTAGGACTCCAACGCCTGCGATGGTGGTGCGAGCCGTGTCAAAAACAATGCCGAGACGAAAACGGCTTCAAACAACACACACTCTCGGAATCACACAACCGCAACATGCAAATCGTGGGCGAAGACGCTCGCGGATACATTAACGAAAAATCACGACAATTCCAACGAGATTTTATTCAATTGTTGCGTACGGGTCATGGGGAGAAGAAGATTTCGTTGAATCAGTTTTATAATGAGTATATCAAGGATAAAGAACATGTGCATATGAATAGTACCAAATGGCCGAGTTTGACGGAATTTGCGAAATATTTGGGTAAAGAGGGGATTTGTCGGGTGGAGGAAGGGGAGAGAGGGTTGGAGGTGGCGTGGATTGATGATAGTGCCGAGGCGATTCGGAGAAAAGAGGATATTCGGAAAAAGGATCGTTTGGCGAAGGGGGATGAGAATATTGAGTCGAGGTTGCTGGAGCAGCAGATTCGGAGGGCGAGGGAAGAGGCTGAGAGGAAAGATGCGGAGCGGAAGAGGAAAGCGGAGGAGGAGAGGGCGGAGCGCGGTGGTGATCTGGCTGCAGCAGGAGGAGAAGAAGAGAACAAGGTGCTCGAGCCTGTCAAGGTTTCGTTGAGCTTAAAAGGTGCAAAGGGGCTAGAGAAGAAGAAGGATGTGAGTGGTATCGATCAGCAGCCTCTAGAAGGCGTACCTGTAGCAATCGAGACATTCTCCACGGCGGATATGAAGATGCAAGGGGAGGACAAGCAAGACAATAACGAGGATGGTCAGGCGGAGACAGATGTGAAACCGGAAGCACCACCATCACCTCCTCCTCCTGCTGCTGCTGCCAAAGTTTCACTTTCTCTGGCATCGAAGAAGAAGAATATCAATCCGCTAGCGAAGAAGAATCCCTTTGCAAAGAAGACAGATGTAGTACGAGCAGAGCCCGAGAAGAAAATGAGCAACGCGGAGCGCATCATGAAAGAAGAGCTCGAGCGGAAGAGACTCGCAGAGGAGCGTGGGCATAGTTCAAAACGACAACGTTTCAATTAGTCATGGGATTGAGACATTTGACATTAGCGACGGCGCCGGGGCGTTACCCGCATGTATACATTTAAACACGGACACGACGCTGAATTCAGAGGTCTGTCGAAATTTCTGGGGTTTTCTCATTTGAATCTCTGTTTCTTGAACTACAACTGATTCCATTGTAGGACCTGTGCAGCTCATGCCTATGATACATTCACTTCGTGGCCCATGCCGTGCTGATCAGCAGACACCTGTTCAACAACACCCCTGGCGAACGTAATGTTGAGGTGCGTGATGTGTACTTCATTTCCATCCTTCGTGCTTTCCGCAAGCGGTCCCGGCTGCTTCTCTAGACAAGAGTCATGCTAGGTGACTGAGCCGCAACCGTGACGTTGTAGCGGCGGCTCGTCGAAAATGCGCTCGACATGGGCGAAGCATAGCTGAACGCGCCAGCGGTTGGTGCAAAGGTGAAGCTAGGTGTTGCAATCGTGCTCGCGCGCGCACTCACCACTGCGCTCACATCAAACGATGTGGCAGTGTATGGCATGGCTGTGCTGAGTTGGTTGACACGTGCGGCAACAGTCCAGCCCTCAGCGGGGCCGATGAAGGTGACATGGGTGTAAAGACCACATCGACTCGAGGCACCGAACTGGAATCCATCGCAAGAGGCAGTACATTGAGCGGCACAGGCCTCGAAGTCGGCAGCAGTAGTGTAGGCCGAGTGCGCAGCGTCGAAGCGGTTGTCACAGCCGACTACGTACCGGTTCTTCGAACTCGGGTCGACGTAGACGGAATTGTCTGACGCGGGACAAATTACCTGTGATTGGCTCGGGGTGATTGATGGGATTTGTGATGTCGTAGTGTTGCTGCTATGTGGAAGACTTCCGAGTCGCGTCGATGTAGGTCCAGAATCTGAAGAAGTCTCAGTCGGGTACGGAGCTGGCAGATAAGTGATGAGCGTGGTAGGATGAGTGGTGATTGAAGTTGGCTCAACAGAGGTCGTACTGGTGGTTATGGCGTCGTTCGCCTTTCCATCGACGTCGACAGCGAGAATCACGTAGGGGAAGTCTCCGGCAGCCGTACCCAACTCGAAACCACGCAGGCATAGGTTGCAGAGGAGCGAGTCTGGCGACCACATAGCGGCCAAGCATGTGACATCCTGGTCACACCGCTCCAGACAATGCTCTTGTGTGCCTTCCCCTTGGGGGTCAGTGGTAAGGCATATCGCCTCGCGTGCACAAATGGCCGTGTAGGATCCGTTCAATTTATCGGTAATTTGATAGCCATCACATTCGTTGCAGCTGACTGCAGAGGGGTTGCAGCCGGAGTTGATTGGCAAGACAGAAAAGGTAGGACCAACCGTGGTAGCGCTCAGAGATGTCTGGCTAGTGACCGAACGTGCAGCTGGGGTGGGTGCAGCAGTCTGCAGTGGCAGGAAGGCAGTGAACGACTTGTCGGAGACAGTGACTGGGCCAGCCTTGGCGAGTTCGCAGTTTCGCTCCTCGTTGTACGTAACACCAGTGCAAAAGTCGAGCTTGTCACACTCCTCGAGACAAGCTTCGGGCGACATCCAATCCTGAGGCGAGTAGCTGCCGTTGGAGTTGAGCGAAGTATCGCAGAGAACGCGGTAGGCATTTCCCTTGCTATCGATAGCGACCTGACCAGAGCACTTGGGGCAGATCTCGTCGCCATCCAGATCACACTCGCCACTGGTAGATGTTGACGATGCAGAAGTCTTGGTGGTGGTGACTCCTGAAGCGGTGGGAGTCGGAGGAAGACGCGCGAGATTGGTGTATCCACTGGAGTAGCTCAAGCCCTTCTGCTGTCCAGCAGCGACGACGCAGGTACCGTTGGGGGTAAAGGTGACTCCCACGCATTCGTCCATGTCGTGGCAAGCATCCAAGCAGGTGCTGGTGGTCACGTCACCGGCGACAGCTTCTTCGTGGACCGCCTCGATGGCGAAGTCGCAGGTAACAGTCCACAGATCACCGGTACCATCTGTAATGTTGCTGCCATCGCAGCCGGGGCACAGCACGGAGCCTTCGTGGCAGCTCTGCGGGGCTGCTTGACGGGGCTTGAAGATGTCGAAGATGGAATTGGCGGCGGCCAGCGAAGGGAGTGTGGTAGCCACGAGGGCAGCAGTGAGGGTAGCGAATGACTTCATGGTCAGTGGGGTAGTGAGTGAGGTGTGAGGGTGTGAGGGTGTGAGGATGTGAGGGTGTCAGGGTGTGAGGGAGTGGAAGTGCACAATGGCAACAGAAATGAAGTGAACGAGAGTGGTGAAAATGAAAGTGACGCCGTCGCGCGTTGTTGTCTTGGAGGAGGAGAAGCTGAAGGAAGGAAGGGAGCCAATTGAGGTGATACCTATGGAAAGCGCGACTGCCATATCGAAAGTGCCGTTTCCAGGTTTCACAGGCCGCCTTGCATGAACAAACAGATTTGGGGGGACCACATTCGCTTCATCCCTCATTCCAGATGTCCAAAAGGGCGAGCACAGAATCCCCTCCAATTTGTGTCTTTACGACGAAGTATGATATGTACATGTACATATAAGGTACCTACCTAGTATGTATGATACCTATGGGAGCGGTTCACGCGTCTGCAACGACGCGTCGTAGGACGAGCTCCTGTTTCTTCTGTGCTTCTGTGTTTCTGCAGGATCCCGTGACGACAAACACGAGCGGTGAACTGTACTTGGTGCAACACGCACAGTGGAGCGGGCTATTGCAGCATCATTCGATTGTCTTGTAATGGGCGGGCGGGTGTAATGACTTCCAATGACTTCCAATGACTTCTCCTCGACTTCGAATTGCGTTCGCGCACTCCATCTCTTCGCCTGGTCGCTGGAGTGCGCGCGCCTGAAGCGCAAGTCGTCGTCGTCACCACTCAGTGATACTCACCACCGCATGGCCGTGAAGACCTACATGTACTAGGTACGTGCGGGATTGCCGATTATTGGGCAGAAAAAAGTACCTACTGTATGTAGGTAAGGTTAGGTATGTACTGTATAGTGTATACTTCCCAACCTCACTCCAAAGCGGGCAGTTGCATGATCAGCCTAGTCATACATGGGTCTTCCACTACATCAAAGGCCGCCGTCTGATGTCTCGGAGCTTGAAACTCGCGTGCACCAAACATCCTTCTCAACTTCTCTCATCGCCCATCTCCACGACCAGTCATCCTCGCTGTGTATTATCCACACGTGACCTGCACCACATGCAAGTCTCGTTACGAGATACACATACATGATGGTTGAAACGAGTGGACAGGAGAGGCGACGTGGAGTTGTGGAATTAGAGTTCTGTCAGCAACCCGCTTCGTACATTGTACGAGCCCACAGAACCAACATTTGACCCAGATTGCGTGCCCACTGCCCACTGCCCCCATATGAGGTGCATGTAGGCCTCGGAGGAAAGGGTGGCGGCGGTGCCAAAGCCCAAAGTGACATTGTTGGCGATGGACAGACGATAGGCAGCCTCGGCCATTCACGCAACATGATCCGGCCAATCATGGTCAGCTATTCATATTGTTCACTGGGGCCGTCTTTTGCCCGTCCTGTGTCTGGTGTGGTTCTTGTTGCGGCGGCATCATGATTGAGTCGGGCTGATTGAGCAAGTGTCGGCACGGCACGTTCGCCAGAGTACGAATGCCTGCCACGTGCGCGCTACACTATTCTAGTGATATGCACTAGAACTACCCGGCGCACACGACTCAGACGGTCAGACCTCTCTCCATGGTCAGTAGGAGCTAGTGGTCAGTGGTCACTCCTCCTGTGAGTGTACAGTAGTGTGAGCCTCCTCCTCCTCCATGCCTCCAGCCTCCAGCGTGGGAACATGCATGGCCATGTCATGCTCATGGACAATTGAACATGCTGAACGAGGGATTTGGGAGGGAGACGATGGTCTGATGGAGAGCACATGCACAGCCTGTGAGACAGACGCAGCCACGCTGGATGTCGATGGATGTGGATGGATGTGCTTCGGAATCGACCACGAGCTCGTGTCTGTGTATGTGACAGTGTGTGGAGTGGCTCCGATCGTGGTTTGCATGTGTGGCTGCCTCTCGCATACATCGCATTCAAGCGAACTGTGCACGACAGCTATTGGCCCGTCCGGACGGGGGCGAGCTGACCAGACCTACCTAGGTACCTAGTTGTCCACCTCTCCGCAGCGGCGAGACGCCAGCCGCGACGACACTTCGGATGTAACTGAGTCCGTACACCTGCACGGTACTACTGGACTGACTGTAGGTGGTAGATGATCTTCTGATACCGTAATAAGGCCTCGCGCCTTCGTCCTGGCAAGTTCTATTCTTTCCTTTATTTCTGTCCCTTCTGCTGCCCTGCTGCACTAGACCAACGACACCTCGACTCCGAGGTTTTGCCCTTCTTCACGCCTCTAAATCAGCACTGGCAGTGTGTTTGGCACTGACGATTGTCTCTGCCTGTCACATCGGCCGACGACTTCGTGCCCGTGCTCTCACTCATACAAGGTCGAGACCTCCCGTCTCTGGGACCGGTATCAGGGCCAGATTGGAAGCCTCACACAGTACTTACACTGGACCGGCTACATCCAGTGCCCTATTGAGACAACCACAAGCTCGGCCTGGCCAGGCGGCCGTCACGACTCTTCAGACGCCGTCTACTGCAACTGGAGTCGTCACACTACTATGGTCGCGGAGCAGCCCCGGGGCGACAGCTCGAGTGCCACTCCGCGCTCCCACCATGAGGTCAATGTAGCCGACCAGGAGAAGGCCATGCTTGGCCAAACTCCGTTTCCCACCCAGCTACCCATCGAGCCAGCACCGCCCCTTCGCAAGTTGGACTCGAAAGTAGAGACGAAGCAAGGAGAGGATGATCAGAAGAATGAAGATGCGTTTGCACACTTACCGGAACACGAGGCGGCGATATTGAGGAGGCAGCTGGAGATACCCACAGTGAAGGTGACATATGCGAAACTGTTCAGATACGCCACAACCAATGACCTCCTCGTCATGACACTGAGCGCGATAATGGCCATTGCAGGAGGAGCGGCATTACCTCTCATGACCATTATCTTTGGTACATTGACCGGTACATTTCAAGGATACTTCCAGGGAACTGTGCCAATCTCGGAATTCTCAGGCGAGATTGGCAGACTCACCCTCTACTTCGTCTACTTAGCAATTGCTGAGTTCGGAGCGACTTATATCGCGACGGTAGGTTTTATCTATACTGGTGAACACATCAGTGGAAAGATCCGACAACATTACTTGGCCAGTATTTTGCGACAAAACATTGGATACTTCGACAAGCTTGGGGCGGGAGAAATTACGACAAGAATCTCTGCCGATACAAACTTGGTGCAGGATGGGATTTCGGAGAAGGTTGGCCTGACATTGCAAGCAGTCGCCACTTTTATCGCGGCATACGTGATTGGATATACCAAATACTGGAAACTCACGCTCATCCTCACCTCGTCGATTGTTGCTATTTTCCTCACTATGGGCGCTCTGGGGCAGTTCATCGTGAAGTACAACAAGGCTTCCCTGTCTTCTTATGCGGAAGGTGGGACCGTGGCCGAAGAAGTGATCAGCTCCATCCGAAATGCCATCGCATTTGGCACACAGGACAAGCTAGCACGGGAGTACGACAAGCACTTGACGATCGCAGAGAAGTCTGGTTTCATCATGAAGGCCATTACAGGCGCCATGATTGGCATCCTCATGTGCTACGCGTACATGACCTACGCATTGGCTTTCTGGCTGGGGAGCAAGTACCTTGTGCGTGGAGAGACCAGTTTGTCTTCGATCATCACGATCATTTTATCCATCATGATTGGTGCTTTTGCGCTGGGCAACGTAGCCCCAAACATCCAAGCCTTCACCACCGCTATCGCAGCAGCTTCGAAGCTTTACAGCACGATTGATCGCGTCTCACCGCTCGACCCAACTTCCGAAGAAGGCACGAAGCTGGAGCAGTTGCGGGGTGTCGTCGAGCTGCGCAACATCAAGCACATCTACCCTTCGCGACCAGAAGTGGTGGTCATGGCGGATGTCAATTTGACAGTGCCTGCTGGCAAGACCACGGCTTTAGTTGGAGCATCAGGATCTGGCAAGAGTACCATTGTGGGCTTGGTGGAGCGCTTCTACGACCCAGTGGGTGGCGCAGTGTTCTTGGATGGCGTCAATGTGCAAGACCTCAACCTGCGCTGGCTCCGACAACAAATCAGTCTGGTGTCGCAGGAGCCGACACTGTTTGCCACGTCCATCGCCGACAACATCCGACATGGACTCATTGGAACCGATGCCGAGAATTTACCGGCCGAAAAGGTTCGAGAGTTGGTAGAGAAGGCCGCGAAGATGGCGAACGCCCACGATTTCATTTGTCAATTGCCAGAAGGCTATGAGACCAATGTGGGCGAACGTGGTTTCCTCCTGTCCGGAGGTCAGAAACAACGTATCGCCATCGCCAGAGCCATCGTGAGCGACCCCAAGATTCTCCTTCTCGACGAGGCGACCTCAGCCCTGGACACCAAGAGTGAGGGCGTGGTACAGGCAGCATTAGACAAGGCCGCACAAGGACGAACGACGATTGTCATTGCGCACCGTCTCAGCACCATCCGCGATGCTGACAATATTGTGGTCATGCAACAAGGACGTATCGTCGAACAGGGAACACACAATAGTCTCTTGGAGAAGAATGGCGCGTACAGCAGTCTCGTGCAAGCGCAAAAGATCGCTGCCGAGAATGAGAAGCTAGAAGGAGAGGAGGAGGAGGAAGAACATACGCCTCTCAACGAAAAGGATCGCAACTTGCTGCAGAGCGAGAGTGTCGATGATGAAGAGGATACTAACGATCTTGAGCTTGGCAGCTCGAAGTCCCACCAGTCCATTTCGAGCAAGGTGCTCGCAAACAAGAAGCAGGGTGGCAAGTCACGAAGTTACTCCCTCTGGACGTTGATCAAATTCGTTGCCTCGTTCAACAAGACGGAGTGGCAGTACATGCTGCTAGGATTAGTCTTCTCCATCATCTGCGGCGCTGGCAACCCTGTCCAGGCCGTATTCTTCGCCAAGTCCATCACATACCTCTCCCTGCCAGAGCCATACTATGGAAAGCTCCGCTCCGAAGCCACATTTTGGTCATGCATGTACTTCATGCTCGCCATGGTGATGTTCGTCAGCCACGTGATCCAAGGCATTGCGTTTGCCTTCTGCAGCGAGAAGCTCGTCCACCGCGCTCGAGACAAGTCGTTCCGTGCCATGCTCCGGCAAGACATTACCTTTTTCGACAAGGAGGAAAACTCCGCTGGCGCTCTGACCTCGTTCCTCAGTATCGAGACCACCCATCTCGCAGGAGTGTCTGGCGTTTCCCTCGGAATGCTTCTCCTGGTCACCACCACACTCGTCGTGGGCTTCATCATCGCTCTCGCGATCGGGTGGAAGCTCGCGCTAGTCTGCATTTCCACCGTACCGGTCGTGCTCGCGTGCGGATTCCTTCGATTCTTCATGCTGACCCGCTTTCAAGCGCGATCCAAGAAAGCATACATGCAATCTGCTTCGTATGCCTGTGAAGCAACCTCTGCCATTCGAACCGTCGCTTCGTTGACCCGCGAGCACGATGTCTGGAATAACTACCATGGGCAGATTGTCGAACAAGAGAAGAATTCGTTCCGCTCCGTCCTCAAATCCAGTAGCTTGTACGCGGCATCACAGAGTCTGACGTTCTTGTGCATCGCGCTCGGATTCTGGTATGGCAGCAAACTCATCAGCAGCGGCGAGTACGACATGTTTCAGTTCTTTCTCTGCTTCTCGGCCGTCATCTTTGGAGCACAGTCGGCGGGCTCCATCTTCAACATGGCACCTGACATGGGCAAAGCCCGACACGCCGCTGCCGAGATGAGAACACTCTTTGATCTCCAGCCCGACATCGACACGTGGTCCACCGAAGGAGAGACCCTCACGGACGTGCAAGGAGACATTGAAATCCGCGACGTGCATTTTCGCTACCCCACCAGGCCTGACCAACCCGTCCTACGGGGTCTCGACCTCCAAGTCCGACGGGGCCAATACGTCGCTCTGGTCGGTGCTTCTGGCTGCGGGAAATCCACGACCATCGCCATGCTCGAGCGCTTCTACCGACCGCTCTCCGGAGGCATCTACGTCGACGGCAAAGAAATCTCCACACTCAACGTCAACTCCTACCGGTCCCATCTTGCGCTCGTCTCGCAGGAACCCACGCTCTATCAAGGCACCATACGCGAAAATATCCTGTTGGGAGCAGACACCAAGCCCGAAGACGTGCCAGAAGCATCCATTGTGCAAGCGTGCCAAGACGCGAATATTTACGAATTCATCCTGTCCCTCCCCGAGGGCTTTGACACCGTTGTGGGGAGTAAAGGAAGTATGTTGTCCGGTGGACAAAAACAACGCATCGCCATCGCGCGCGCTCTGCTCCGGAATCCCAAGATTTTGTTGTTGGATGAAGCGACGTCGGCGCTGGATTCCGAGTCGGAGAAGATTGTGCAGGCGGCGTTGGATAAAGCGGCCAAGGGACGGACGACGATTGCCGTGGCGCATCGCTTGTCGACGATTCAAAAGGCAGATATGATTTACGTGTTTGATCAAGGGAGGATTGTGGAGCACGGAAGGCATAGTGAGCTTATTGCGAAAAAGGGGAGGTATTTTGAGCTGGTGAACTTGCAGAGTCTGGGGAGGCATTAACAGGCTGCTTCGGTGGAGAGGATTCTTTTTTGCGCACAAATGCTTTTGAACAGGGAAGCGTTGGCGTTGGCGAGGGATGGTCCATGGAAACAGAGTGGGCTGGCTGGGTGGCTGTCTGGCTTGAGACGCGCATATATCGCAGCCGCTTCAGTCTTGGAGGGATAGATGAGCGAGCATACGGCAGATGGTTACATATTCTACAGTCATAGAATAAATTCTCGCTCGCATCCATCTTTGCCTTCCTTGGTGGGAATACTGATCTCGGTATCACAGCTCCAATGCCTCGATCCACGCCGCGGACTTCTCGGCTACATGGTCTGAATGGTCTGGATGGAGGGAGAAGGTGTGCGGAATCTCCGGCTTGTTGTGGAGAACTTCCATGGTGGTATGCCTCCCACTGCGCGTGCTGATCAAATCGTCTCGACTCGTGTTATTCACCCAGTAGTCGTCCTTGCCAAAGAGCAAGTAGAGCTTCGTCCTCGGTTTCCCGGAAGCGGTAGCAATACTGCTCGATGCTTCGCGCTCATCTTTGAACATGGCGGCGTTCGCTTCGCCGCCCGTGGAATCGTGGACCACGCCCCAGAAGTCTTCAGCATGCCATTTGTCCTCCTTGATGGTGGCGAGTTCATCTTTCGCCATATGAATGACCTGTCTCACGCCATGATCGCTTCTCGCAAGAGCAGCCGTCACCGCTGCACCATCAGGACCCGGAGTCAGCCAGCTCGTCAAGTGATCGAGAAGTCCGGTCCAATTGCAACATGTCGCTAAGCCAGAAAGCACATGTCCGGTGAAGGGAAAGGTTAGAAGAGGGCGCAGTGCGGTTCCTTTGTCACTTTTCACGATGTCGACGACAGTTGGGAAGAGGCAGATTCCACCTTGTATCGTGTAGAGAGATTGTTCGGTAGGCTGATGTTGCCACCACTCGATCGTCTCGAGCGACATGTATGATCCGACGGAATGACCGACGAGGATGACATGAATGGGTCGGGGGTCATTCTGTGCCAATTGTCGAGCTTTCAACGAGAGTCTCGTGCGAACACAATGGACTTCTTGTTCGAGGGAGAAGGGCGGACTACCCTCGTTGATCCTGTTCATGGGAGCGTGGAACTCGAAGCCATCGTGGCTCGCAGCATAGATGGTAACTTCTTCATGGCGGCCTTGCAAGCATTTCTGGAGATGCTCCAGAAAGCGGCGATAGTATTCCACGAGACCCGGATTGCCCGCAACAAAGTAGATCAGGAGTCTCTTGTCGCTGTGGATGTCTCCCGTACTGAGCTCGATTTCGTCCTGCAGGCTTGTATTGACTGGCATGATGGGATTGGGTTTGGGTTGTCCCCGTGGGTGGCAGACGGACGCCCTGTGCTAGTTCTACCTACCTAGTTGTACTGTAAATGGAAGTGCTGTACTGTTCTCGAACGATGGACCTGAGTTGGGTATGTAGTTAAGGTAAGGTATAGGTAGGTTGAGAATGCAGTTGCTCACAACTTCAGCAACGGGAGGCGGATTGACGGGGCCAAGGCGGCAGGTGGCAGATGGCGGGCGGCAGGCGGCAGACGCAGGCCAGCGGAGTGGTGTGGAGTGGAGTGGATTACAGTGAGAGGGGAAGACGGTCGGCCTACCTCCCACGGGTGGCCTGATGAGGAAAGCGTTGGGACGGGAGATTGTTCTTGTTCGACGGAGGCAGGAGAGGAAGAAGCAGAGGCAGGAGCAAAGTGTAAGGAGGAGGAGGAGGAAAGAACCGGGCACGTGTGGTTACCTGACTTACACGAGGTGCTGCCGTGCCCTGCCCCGTCCAACAATGAAAGCAGGGGGCAAACAAAATCGCACTTACCTTGTGTGTGTGTGGACTGTCACTGCCATTTTTGCTGCCACTTTCAGTTTGGATTATGGCAGTCGCGATCAATAAATAGGTAGAAGGTAGGTAGTACCGCAGGTAAAAGTGAGGTGGGATGGCAGGAGCCCTGCTTACATCACCCGTCCGTGCGTCCTCGACAGGAAATTTGAAATCCACTGCCTTCACTTCATCACCTGAATTCCACTACGGGCACTCTTATATTGCGCATACATCGGCCACATTGTATTCAAATGGCCATACAAATTGAGAGAGAGAGAGAGAGGGGAGGACATATTCGATCCTGATGTCACTCCCTCACTCACTCATTACCTAGGTATGAGGCATGATTGCACTGAGAATACCTGAGCAAGTGTGAGATGGCATTCAGTGCAATATGTACCGTTTTTCATACTCGTCGACGCGTCTGACTGATATGTTGATGCCATTCGCAAGCTGCAGGTGGTGTGTGGTCTTTGCTTAGGTAAGGTACCTTACCTACCTGACGGTATGTGTACCTACTCACACAGGTTCTATTTGCTGTCATACGGTATACTCCCCTGTACCTGCTGCGAAGTGAATCGAGTGTGATAGAGCGCTTGCGTACCTATGGCCAAGAAATACTCCTGCTCACAGTGCTGAGACGCCCGGGAAGAGCGGGGATCACAGCTCCTTCGAGAATCCTTCGAGAATCCTTCGGCTCTTGGCCGACGAAACATCATAGAAGCTGACCAGACCCATACTACCTTGCGCATGAACAAAAAAGGTCGAAGCTTCAAAGTGGATCTCGCGTACACATTGCTGCATATTGGTGTGTGCATCGGCGTTGCACGGCATTGAACATTTTGTCGATGGAACGCACATCCACTAGCGCTTAGCTGGACTGCACCAATCTATTCCTTCACAAAGGATAGCAACAGGGGTGATATCAGTTCGAGAGCTGAGGATGGCCCGATCGTGTACCGCAACACCTTTCCCCACTCCTGCTTCCTCCTACAGGTGGCGTGGGAATTTTATATTGTGGCTTGTATTGGATCTGTACCTGTATCTGTTGTCAGTCGTGTGCAAGGTTTCTCGAAGACGCACCAATGGACGTGAGGTGTGAGATGCCTCCAGCGGCTATCTATAGGTACACACAACTTCCACCGCCGTTCGATAGTCTATCCGCACCTTGAAAATTACCCAAGAGGTATAAGTTCCCGCATTTTAGGTGCAGAATACCTGGCGATGATCAAGAAAGTGGGTTATTGCACCTTGCAAGCGGCGAAATAAAGGTGTTTCGCGATTTTGACCCCGGTGGGAATCAAAAAACACGTCCTCCTATACGCTGGACAGGGGGGTGCGGATGGACTATCGAGCGGCTGTGGGAGGTGTATGTACCTAGGTATTCAGGCTTGGAGACCACCTAAGCTGAGTAGTGCATACGCGAGATAATTCGAGTCGGCGGTACAGGAGGTGCCCGGGCACTGCTACTCGTGCAGACTGTGGTGGTTGTACAGCTTACCGCAGATGCTGGTCACCCGATAATTACACACAGGAAGCCTGACGAAGGGCGATGGGAGAGGTTTCTCGCAGGATTCATGACGGCCATGATCAGCAACCTGTTCTTGCGCAAGTGATTTTTTTGGGGTTCTTCTTGAAGACTGCTGCTCGCTCATTTCGACGTAATGGCCACTGCTACTATCAGCGTCTTCTTGGTGCTGGGTCTCTGCTCCCGTCTGGCTCACAGCAGTACCGCTCTTTCCTTAGCCCTATTCAATGATGGCACCAACTGCTCGTCCAAGGCGGCGCAAGACAACGTATGGAACCCGAGTCCGCAGGATGCCACCAGTGATGGAAACAACTGCGTCCAAAGTCTGCCTCTTGTTGCGAGCAGCCTCACGGTAATCGGCATTGACGCTGGATGTACCGGTATGTGTGGGCCGTCTCCGAAGCGTTGTGATGGACCGGTTGGCCAAGCTGACGAAGCTCGTTCGATACCTAGTCACACTCTACTCGGATCAATATTGCAGTGACAATGCGACGCCAGCGAGGGTGAATGTGTGTGCCAATGTGGGAGGTCCCAACATTCAATCCTTCAGTGTTGACAGCTGCGATGTTCCCTTTGCGTCTTCTGGGAACGCGTCCACGACGGCCACCCAGTCTCTCTCCTCGACATTTCCCGAGTCGACAACAACAAGCACGTCTTCCCCAACCACGGCTACCAGCGCGGCTACAAGCGCAGCATCCGGTCACAGTGCTCTTTCGCCAGGCGCGAAAGCTGGCGTTGGTGTCGGTGTCGCGGCGGGTGCGCTCTTCTTCATCGCAGGCGCAGTGATGCTCTGGTCTGCTCGACGCCGATCGCGGGCCAGTGGTGCGAATGCGGCGAACAATGGTTCTAAGGGACCTTCTCAGGAGCTTGACGGAAATCGGGATATCAGGGAGAAGATGGCAGCGGGCGACAGAGAACAGGCATTCCCCGAGCTCCCCAGTCCTGCAGCGGAACTGGAGTCCAACAAGGACCGTCAGGAATTGCCTGTCGTTCTAGCCATGTCGCATATGCCGCAGGAGTTGCACGGGAGCGCGCCTTATGGCCATAATTGAATATTTGACGGAGCGGTACATAGACGACAGATGGATAGAGTGATTCAACATTGCGAGTGGTTTAAAGCCGCTTGCGGGGGTGTGTAAGCAACACGGACACGGATACCGGAGACTGAGAGCAGGAGCCCATCCCATCACGGAACTTGCTCAAAATGTCGCGACACGGGGGGTTTTGGTCGATAATACTACCTGTAAGGCTGCACCTTTCTACTTCTAGACTCTGGTATGCAGGTGGTATATAACCTCGCGAAGGGAAGACCGTAGTCGTCTTTTTCCTCTTACTCTTCCTCTTCCTACCACCACCACGACCACCTCGTACCGCGCGCCGATAGATCTCCCACAGTCCCGTTCTCGATGGATTCCCCAGAAGGGCAAAAATCTGCGCGGAGGTGGAGGTTCTCGTCTCCCGCTCTCTTATCGGCCGCCGCGCCGAGAAACCCATGCCAATGGAAATGCCACCAGCACCTCCGATACGTAAGGTAGAGTTAGGTACAAGTGGAGTTACAACACTTGCGAATCATCGCCTAGGTGGGGTACTTTGTTACTCTGCATCGAGACATACCTTACCTTAGTATCTTAGGTATATATCATGTACAAGTTGAGTATATCGGTCCCGTAGTCTTGTCCGTTTGTCTGCCGCCTCTCGATATCCCCCATATACCCCCAGCCTATACAGCTCATACAACAACTACCTGCACCTCTGCCATCCAGGCTGTAATTGTGACCACCCACAGAGGCCAAGATGGTGCTCGAACGACTTCAACAGATGGCGGCGCATGTCACGGGCCAGCCGACTCCAATACATCCCTTCGATCCCCTCTCCAGCGAAGAAATCGCGGCAGCGGTGGCCATTGTCCGAAGAGAGCATCCCGATGTTCACTTCAATGCCGTCACGCTCTGGGAACCTCGGAAAGCAGAAATGATGAAATGGCTGGCTTCCCCAGAAACAGCGCCCAGACCACATCGTGTTGCAGACATTGTAGCCATCGGGAGAGGCAGCAAGGTCTACGATGGCCAGGTCAATCTGCAAGAGCGCAGACTTGTGAGCTGGCAGCTGACAGAGGGCGTCCAGCCTCTCATTACCATGGAAGACTTGCAGATCGTGGAGACGGTGGTACGAAAGGACCGCAAGGTCATCGAGCAATGCGGTATTCTTGGCATTCCGCCCCAAGACATGCACAAAGTCTACTGTGATCCCTGGACCATTGGCTATGATGAGCGATTTGGTTCAGGTGTGCGCCTGCAACAGGCTCTGATGTATTACCGACCGCACGTCGATGATAGCCAGTACACTTATCCGCTCGACTTCTGTCCCATTTACAATTCGGATACGCAAGAGATCATCCACATCGATGTGCCCGAGAAGAGACGACCTCTGAACACTGCGCCTCCGATCAATTACCATGCCGATGCTATCGAGAATGAGGGCGGGTATCGAACGGACCTCAAACCCATCCACATTTCTCAACCGGAGGGCGTTTCGTTCACAGTTGATGGTCGTATACTCAAGTGGCAGAATTGGTCAGTTCACGTTGGCTTCAACTACCGGGAGGGTATTGTGCTCTCCAATATCACCTTCAACGACAAGGGCAATGTGCGACCCGTCTTTTGGCGCATGTCTCTCGCGGAGATGGTCGTCCCATACGGAAATCCCGAACATCCACACCAGCGCAAGCATGCTTTTGATCTTGGAGAATATGGCGGTGGCTACATGACCAACTCTCTGGCTATCGGCTGTGATTGCAAGGGCGCCATCCACTACATGGACGCCGACTTTGTCAATCGAGCCGGAGAACCACAGACGATCAAAAACGCCATCTGCATTCACGAAGAAGACGCAGGAATCCTGTTTAAGCACACGGATTTCCGTGATGATTCTTGCACTGTCACTCGTGCTCGCAAATTCATCATTAGTCACGTCTTTACTGCCGCCAACTACGAATATTGTGTATACTGGATCTTCCACCAAGACGGAACCATCCAGCTGGAAATCAAGCTTACCGGCATTTTGAATACTTATGCTCTTGCTCCAGGCGAAGAAGCTGCGCCCTGGGGAACGGAAGTCTATCCTGGCGTCAATGCGCACAACCACCAACATTTATTCTGCTTACGACTAGACCCCAACATTGACGGACCCAACAACACCATCTTCCAAGTCGATGCGGCACGGGGTGAGGGTGCAGTTGGCAGCAAAGAAAACCCGTATGGAAACGCATTTTATGCGAAAAAAACCAAACTCGAGACTCCCAGCACAGCGCGGAGTGACTATGATGGAAACACCAGCCGGACATGGGATATCACCAACACCAACAAGATCAACGCATACAGCAAAAAGCCCGTCTCATACAAACTCGTGAGCAGAGAAGTCCCACCACTGCTTCCCAAAGAAGGCAGTCTCGTATGGAAGCGTGCCGGTTTCGCCAGACATGCCGTCCACGTCACCAAATGTAAGCAAACAATATACCTACACTCCATCACATTTCCTTACCACCTCTCTCTCGTCCTCCCTCCCTCCATCCCTCCCCCTTAAACCTCGCCCATCTCACCAAAAACCCCATCACAGACAACGACGACCAAATCCACCCCGCAGGCCGCCACGTCCCGCAAACCTCCGGAACACCTTCCCAAGGAATTCCCGCCTGGATTTTCTCCAACCCACACATCTCTCTCGACAACGAAGATATTGTGCTCTGGCACACATTCGGTTTGACGCATTTCCCCGCTCCCGAAGATTATCCTGTCATGCCTGCGGAACCCATGACGGTGCTGTTGCGGCCGAGAAATTTCTTCTTGAAGAATCCGGCGTTGGATGTGCCGCCTTCGTGGTCCAGTACGCCGAGTGCTGTTGCTGCTGCTGCTGCTGCTGCTGCGGGGAAGAAGAGTGATGGTAGTTCGGCGGGGGTGAAGGGGATTGTGGATGGGATTAGTCGGTTGGCTTTTGGTGGAGGAGAGAAGAAAGAGGGGGGAGGGGGGCAGGGTTGTGGTAGTGGTGGGTGTTGAGAGAGAGAGGTAGGTAATTCTCAACAAAGAGAGAGAATTTTGGAAATTTTTGATATTCGTATTCTTGGGAGGAATCAACCACTTTTCTGTACATTTTTTTTTCTTTTGCTTTTCTTGCTTACTCTCTTATGAGCTCTCAAAATTTCTCTACCTATTTTTCTACAGGCGCCATACAAAGGCCGTTCAAACGTGAGTCACACTTTGTGTGTGTGTGTGATTGGCCTCTGCTCTGTTTCTTTCGCATGCATCCCTTTTGTGTTAAAGTGTCACAGAGAGAAAATGAGTGGCAAGCCAGCTTTACTTCCACTGCCTACATACTTTTGGGTTCTCGTAATCACAAGCTACTTTTCGCCGATAGTATCGGCTGCACGATTGGCCGTTTTTATTTTGCGCGACCCTGCAACTGGGACTTGGCCCGCGCAAAAGGACTAATTGGGCTGAAAAAGTGAAATATTACCGTTTGCTGAGAGCAATAGGATCCACTGAGCCCATTTCCTTCCGGGACATGCGTGATACACGTCGCTCTGCTCGTTCGTTTGCCTCTGTTACGTTCGGACGCCATCTGCCGATGTCGCCTGAGTCTGGAACATTTTTGTGTGCTACAGCGCTCCTTGGAGTCCGAAAATGCGCGCTATAGCGTCTTAGTATGAAGGGGCAGTGCCAGAAGGGCCAGATTCAGCATTATCATTGCCAATAGTGCGCACGTTTGCGGTAGCGGGGTCAGCGTCAGGAAGACGTGGCGCAGAATCGAGTCCGTTCTGCTGCTGCGAGCCACTTAGATCCATTGTGCCATTACCGCCGAAGTGAGTCGTACCAAGGGCTCCGTTGCTCAATGGCACATCATTTCCTAGCGGTGCGTTGTATACAGCCAGTCCTGGCGGCTGAAGTTCTGGCGGCGCGCTGAATAGACTCAGGATGCGGCCCTCGACAGATTCGCCATCGAACAGAGCGAAGTTCTGAATAGGCTGCTCGCGATTGCCAAGCACGTTGATCACATCCTCGCTCAGGCGTCCACCAACGAATGCTGCAGTTGGATTGATCTCCGCGCCAATGTTCTGGATGAAGCTTTTCAAGAACTCTCCGTTCAGAGTGTCCAGTGGCAGCGCCAACTCTGCTGTCTTCTGCTTCACCAGTTCCGTGAATCTCGTAATGTCCTCCTTGTTTACGTCCGGTAGCCGATTGCTTTCACGCTGAAAGTCGAATAATGCACGCAAGCAGGGCAACAGAGGAGGCACGGTCTTGAGCTTTCGCCGATTGCTGGTGATCTCGACTGGTAACGGCGCCGTATTGGCCAGAAGGAGAGGGCAGTACATTTCCGCCTTCTTCACGATCTCCGTCGTCTTACCGTTGTTCTCCTTGCGAGTGGTGACGCTGACAACGGACCGGGTCAAGGTCTCCGGCGCGATGGCTGTCTCACGATTCGGCTTTTCTCTCTCCACAACGAACTCGTGAGCGATCAAGTCGGCGAAGATGTAGCCGTAGAAGCCGTGTATACCGGCTGCGTAGAAGGGACGTAAAGCGACCCGGGCTGCGATGTTAATGCTGGAGAGGGTCATGATGTCGTGATCACAAGCAATCACGCAGTTGAATTGAGTCCAGTACGTCGGATCTGTCGTCGCTTTCATCAGCAGGTCCTGCAGGTTTCCTCCTGACTTGACGGCAACGCGAGGATTGAGTTCTTGGATTCGAGGAGCAGCTGCTTCGGCACGCTGTTGAAGAGTCAGTGTGGAACCAATCACTGGGAGACATACGACTGACCGGCTTGCCGACATCCTCCTTACGCAAGAAGAACTGTGCGCCAAAGATGTCATCTTCCGTCACCTCCTCGTTGTCGATGATCGTGAGTTCTTGGATGCCCGCCAGGGTCAGATTCTTTGCGATTTCAGTGCCCACCGCGCGTAGCGATACCAGCAGCACCTTTGCTTTTCGGATTTGCTCCTGAGCCTTAGCACCCCAGAGACGGATCTGTCGATCGTAAAGTGCCATTTCGTCGGCACTCAGCCCAGGCGCGACTGTGCTTTCGGAAGCCCCGTTCGTAGCAGCTACATCTGTGCTGTTACCATTCGAGGGATTCGGCCCGTTTGACATTGTTGTGTCGGAATTCGCCATGTTCACGTTGAGACTCGGTACTTTGCGGTCGTGTGGCGGCCTCTTAGCACTTCAGATGGCAGTGATTTTGGTATAAGTTGTCACGAGGTCCGCTGCGCCGGAGATGATAATTGACGCGCTGTCCAGGCCGAAGAGATGTCCAGTCCGGGGATGGATACAGTGATGTGGCGAGTGATGATGGAGTGGTGGACGATGAGGTGGCTGGAGGGCGAGTTGTGGTATGTGATGTCCTAGAGGTAGGGCAAACAACGTGCTGACTCGCTGTGTTGATTGAATGTTGCCAAGCCACTGGCGGCTCGACGTAGGGCTCAGATCCCTGTCGTCCAACACGCCTATTCACAAAGTTCCGGCAGTACGCGCACGCCTGCAACCTGGTCCTCCCACAGCTCCGGCTGAATCGATGGTGAAGGTATATCCGTACCTTATACTGTAACTAACATCATTACGGAGGTACTACCACTGCTACTACACTGCCCCTCTATGCCATGTCTTGAATGCCCGTCCAGGTCACGAGATACAGCCAGCCACACTTCCATTTGCAACACACCACACCACTTCCATCCTCACCGCACCCTCCTTGATGAGGGAGACACCATCCTGCCCGCCCGCACCCCGCCGCCCACGACCTCGTCGTCATGCCTGATTCGAGGCCCTTCACTTCTCTGCGAGTATGCATGCAGCCAGCGAGTGCTCATCTGAGAGAGAGAGAGAGACAGACGAGAGAGCGGCCAGCTGATGTGGGACTGTGAAGGGACAATATGACCATCCGCCCGCCTCAGAACCGACCACCACCGCGACGCCAACCTCCACCTCGACGTCCACGCCCCGAAGTCGCCGAAACCGCCTCCACCACGCTCTCGAGGCCACTGCAGACATGACCTCCAGCGATCTGGCAGAGATGGGGGCCTCAGCACGTCCGCCGCCCCCCACCCGGCCACCACCGCGATTTCCGCTGCAGCGCCGGCGTCATCGCTCGCCTGGTTCGGATGATCGAGGCGGCATGTGGAACGACAACAGTACAGGGCGCCGCCGGCCGAAGCGGCGGAGACTCGACTCGGAGCCCTCTCTGCCGCCCAAGCAGCCGATCAAGTACGGACAGCATGGCCAAGTCGAGCCCGGTAAGCTGCAGCTGGAGATTATCAGTTGTGATGGTGGTGAACATCGAGATCCTCGCTATCCGCAGACGTATCTGGGCTCTGATAACCTGCTACGCCACGACAAGAGCGTGTATTGCTCGGACAGACCCAGCAGTGGTATTGTGCTGCGCCACGCCGACGACTCGCCTTTTTGCTTGGAGAAGCTCTATGTCTGTGGCCCTGAACACGGCTTCACCGCTCCGTATCGTCTCCCGCCTGTCTCTTCCTGAACGCTACTGACCATCTGCAGTGTTCGTGAAGGCCTCGTCTACGTGGGAATGACCTTGGATGACTTGAAAAAGTACATGGACCCGCCGCCACATGCCCGCTTGAACGGCATACACACTCCTCCCTATCGAAATCGGCGAGGGACGTATAGACGTCCTCTTTCATCAGAACGTATCACTTTGTCGGATGCCCTCCGAGACCCCGAGGTGGGCGCCGCACTCGAGGAGAGGGACTCAGCAAGCTACGCAGCTCGCGCAGATGCTGCACATGATCTCGCTAACGACTCGTACTATGGCGACGATTCTCGTCTCGAGTCAGAACCTCATTGCGAACTGCCATGGATGAGGGAAGCGGAGGATCCATTCGACAGGCCAGAAGCTCTGCCGGTCACTTTCCTGAGCGACGAAGAACCCGGTCCGGAAGAGAGTTCCTCTCAGGAGGTGCTCGACTTCCGCCTCCATCGCCTCCGCCACATGCGGCGACGACTGGAAGTAGACAATTGGGATCGGGACCGTGCTCGGTGGGCTGGCATACCTCGTGAAGAGCGCTCCAACGATTCCTACAACTTGCGCCGCTTGGATGCCATGATGGCACGAACGAACATGGCAGGTTCGCCGGACGAACTGGATGAGCGTGATACGTCGTATTCACAGGGACCAGAAGCTGGCTATGGTCCTTCGTACTATCAGCGCCGACCGGATGACGAGTGTCCAGATGGCACAGAGTTCTATGACGACGGGCTCAGTGATCCTCATGTGACGCGGGCACGATTTCACATTCGGCGAGGCAGGTATAAAGTGGCGATCAAATTCGACCCTCCCGTCTCTGGTCGCTTTATCTTGCTGAAGCTCTGGGCGAACCGAGGAAATGTGGACGTGCAGAGCGTGATCGCCAAGGGCTATGGCGGCGCTCGATTTTTCCCAGCCGTCGACTTCCGGTAGCAGGACTATCATGAGGAACGAACGACAAGTGTGCGAAGTAGACACACGTAGCGTCGAATGCAGTTTTTATGCTCAGAAATAGTAGCTGCGCATATGTAGCTGACATGAGTCGAATCAATACCTCCATGACTCGAGGAAATCGAATATTGTCGCCGCACACTCTCTTCACTTCTGAATGCTCATTGTGTGTTGTGTATCTCTATTTTTGCGTTCAGCACGTGGGAAATGAGCATACAAGCTCGCATTCGGCCAATCGTACATCTCAGGTCAGGTACATGTAGCTACGTAGTAGTATCAGCTTCACCACCTTCCACTTGCACCAAAACATTCCCCATCCCCCCATCCACCTCCAACACCAACTCTTCTTCCCCCAGAACCCGACTCCTCTCCAACCCCCCTTGCACAATTACTACCACCGCACTTCCATTCCCCACGCTCAACGCCGGCAAAACCACCGTCCCTCTCGTCCCCTCGGGAACATTCCAACTCAACTCATACCCCCCACCACGAGCACCCTCCTCCTCATCGTCATCAAGAATGTTCCATTCCGCCTGAAATTTCCCCAAACCAGTAACAAACCCACCTTGAACATGTTTCAAATCACCAAATTGCGGCTTCAACATCCACCTCACTCCCAACCTCTCCACAATTTTCAGTCCGAGAATAAATTCCGTCAAAGCGCTCGTGGGACCAGCACTCCAGCCGTGCGCGTGAGATATGTACGAAGTATCATAGCTGTAGCCGCGATAATTGCGATATCCAAAGGATCCGTTGGTGAGATAGCCTTCGATGACGGTACTTTGTGTGCCGTTGGGGTGGTTGAGATACCAACCCCAGGTGCGACGGAGGAGATTGAGAGCGCGGTGTGTTTGGCCGATGGTGAGGTGGGCGAGGATTTCGAAGGAGCTGATAAAGGGGCTGATGTTGTTTGGTAACTCGGGCGTTTCGGCTCCGATCGGGGTCCAGTTGTCGGTGAGGCGGAGAGAGATGTTTTGTGCGAGGGGGGAGTCGGGTGGGACGACGCCGAAGAGGAGAGACATGGAATTGGCGTCTTGGGGGTAGAGTTGGATGGAGGTGGTGTTGTCGCGGAAGGCGCCATGGGTGGCGTTGTAGGTGTGGTTGGTGATGGCGGTGACGAGGGTGGTGGCGCGAATGGAGTATTTGGAGCTGAGATCGGTACGGCCGAGCCAGTCGGCGAGGGAAGTTGCGGTTTTGAGGGTTTGGTAGAGGATCATATTGGGTTCCGAGGCGTTGCCTCCTGTAGCTTGACGAGCCCAGTCTCTTGTGCCGGTGACGTTCAAGAGGCCGAGAGGTTGTAGGACTTTACTGTAGACGTATTCCATGGCCTGCTCGTACCTCGGCCAATTCGATTCGAGCCAAGTCGTATCGTTGGTGTAGAGCACGTAGTTGTACGTTCCAATCATCGTCCACATGTGATACGTATCGCTGCTTTGTTGGAGAAGAGGCGGCCCTGCTTCTGGGAATGAGCCATCGGCATTCTGAAAATCATACATGACCTGAAGAGCATTCTTCACACTCTCCAAATCATTTCCCAATGAGACAAAGCTGGCAGGGACAGCGATTCCCATATCTCCCGGCCAGACCGCCCGATCGCGCTTCGCTCCATCCACAATGACGGTAGACCCATTAGACAGCGATCCATTATTCGCCCAGCCGGCAGAGAGAGTTGGAAACCACCGACCAGTATTCGTGGGCACATAGTTGGTCTGCAACGTGTATGCACCGCTATACCAGATGCGATTCAGCTCTTCGTCATTGGAGTGGAAATATCCTTGATAGGCTCGCAAATTCGACCATGTTGGCTGGAATCCGATTTCGAGACTGATATCTGTGATGGAAAGCGAGGTTGGAGATGAAGAAGAAGAAGAGGATTCGTCGGTCAGGAGAAAGAGAGTCAAGTATCGGAATCCTCCGCGCAGATGCGGCAGGTCCATGGTATATGAGTGATCCCCAGCATTGGTGAAGTTGTCGTATAGAGCACCATCATTACACTAGAAGGAAATACCAGGTCGAAGGATTAGCCATCTTTATCTCTGGGAAATCAAATGCGCACTTTCTTCCAGCAATGTCTTGCCTCTAATGGAAGCTCAGCGCGCCCCAATGAAGCGTCTCCGAGAGAAGAATATCCCCTCCTCAAAGTGCGTGCATTTCCAATCGAAGAACTTACAGACTGATCCACATTCCCACCGGCAAAATGTCCATTACTCGAATCACTCTTCAAACCAATATAATCCTTCGCCTCCGTAAACGCCAACCCCAACGCTCCCGCGCCACCCGTAGTCGTATACACCACCGTAACAATCCCACCGACTTCTTTCCCAAAATCAAAAACCAACGCGCTGCCGTTCCCTTGCAGAGGTGGTATCGCGTTTGAGGAATATTCGGAAATCAAACTTCCGCCATCTTCGAGACATAGAATGTTGGTGGGCTGGATGTGACGCGAGGAAGGAGCGTAGATGTTTTCGTCCCAGGGACCGGGAAAGGCTTGTTCGGTTGGTCCTGTGCAGACGACATCTCGCCAGCAGGACTGGGCGAGGGCGGTGGAGGGGGAGGAGGAGAAGATTACTAGAGTCGAGAGGAGGACGGTTGGAAGAAACATCTTGCCATGGAATTTATTATTGCATTGAATTGGACGTGCAAAACAGTCGAACAGCGCCAACTACGGTTTTAGTTATGTATACCTACCTGATCATCCTCGCCAGACATTACGCCGAGTTTTTAAATAAGATTGATTTGTTGGTTGGTTGCGGGAAGATCTTGTATATTTTCATCCGCTAGAAGGTCTGGAATACTGCCGTAGAAATTGAAGCGGGGAATGTGGCCGGGGATTGCCAGAAAAGGCGTGTGCGCAACATGGGGAGTCCAATGGACAGGTGAGATGCCGGTAAACGACGATTTCAGCCTCCAGGAATTCCTACCTCCTAGCCTTGTACCGTCTTGGTCGGCACGTGCCTTGCAACCTGAGGTATTGCTGATGCTGAGTAACCTAACGTGTCGGCAGCCGGTGGACGACGTGTGCACGCGTGATCATCGCTCATCTGGACCTGAAGCCCGTCAGTACCTGTATCGAGTGGAATACCATCACAAACCACGACAAAGGATGATGGCACAGCATGTAGCAGATCACAACTTCCATTCGGATAGCTACTGCTAAAAGAGTCTCCCAAAAACCCCTCAAAGGCCGATCCACCTCATCCGTCATCAATGTCGAATGCTGCGAGTTCCGCCGGTATTAGAGAGTAAAATGGTGACCCTCAAGTGTCGTAAGCACCGGTCATGTAGTCATCCAACGCGCGAGATGCCTTTCCTCCGCCGCACTCAGTGAGTATGCTTTGCACGTCCTTCGATCATGGTGCTGTCAGGTATTCGTTCCTTCCTTCAGAGCCTTGCTTGGTGATGGGCGCGTGACTGGTTGTTGGCCGCTTGCGGTGGATGTGAAGGCTGTCATTGGAGGCAATGCGAGGTGTTTACTTGCTGGAGGGGAGTTAGTATGTGCTAATGATGGGAGGTGGTGCTGGAGGTGCCCAATGGCGCTGGTGGTACGTACGATCTGGCTCTCGTCTTTCTTCTCTTGCGCTTCAGGCGTCTAACTCGCTTCTTTCTCCACTTCGCTCTCATCTTGGCTGTGGCAGAGTCAGTACTGGTGAGTGCAAGGCAGATGGTGTTGTAGCTTACCGGTGCTGCTTTGACGAGTTCGCTGGTGACGAGAAGAAACAGCTTGACAGCTCTGAGAATCGAAACTTGTGCGGGATTTGTGCCAAGAGACGCTAGAGCGGAACGAGCGACGTCACCGGAGCAGAAGTCGTCGCGCTCCTTCCACGACCTGACCACACTCACAATTCGACAAGTAATCGATTTCCACAGCATTCCACTGTACACTCTAGGTACCTGTAACAACAACCACTTCGTCCTATTGCTTGTTTTTTTTTTTCTTCGTCTTCTTCACGTCGTCGTCGTCGGCATATCAGCAACACTACGCATACTACATTTCCCACCGCAAAAGGCTACAGTTCCAGCACTTTCTCCCGCCATAGTGGTGTCAACCACCCCACCAGCAATTCAGGCCACTAATCAGGCACCAACATCACAGAGATACACCACAACAGCATTCAACATGACTGTGCTCCCGAAATATGAAGCCGAACTTGCTTATTTAGTCTTCCAACATATCGCTGAGCCTATTGCTGAGCGTAAGCATACACGGGCATCCTCATCTCTCACGTTACTCACTTACCAGACATATCGCAGAACCCTACAGCATCTTTGCTCACGATCAATTCAACATTGGCCGAAAGCTGGTGGAACAATGCTTAGATGTAGAAGACCGCTGCATTTCCAAACATCACCTCGCAATACACTGTGTCCAGTACGCCGACGACGATGATCACAACGTCGATCCCATGGTCTGGGCACGCGTCTTGTCCAACAATGCCATCATCTTTCGCCGAAAAGGCATTGATAACGACAAAGATGCTGGAATTCTGGTAAACAAATTCCATGGCGACTTTTTGCTCAGCCCAGGCGACAGCATGCAATTGACCAGCAAAATTCAAATTCTCTTTACTGTGCCTGAACGAGGCAAACCCAACTCATCGGCTCTAGATGCGAGCCAGAGAGCAGAATGCAAGATCTTCGCGCCTCGCTATCGACTCTCACAGCGTGTCCTCGGCTTCGGTGGGTATGCAAAAGTGTACGTTGCTAACGATGAGAAAACTGGCAAGCAGCTAGCATGCAAGGTCGTCAAGCAGGCCAGACCCAGGCACGACGACGACAACCAAATGCGGCCTTCGAAGAAGAGAAGCACAGAAATCGTGGCCAGGGAGTTCAACGTCTTGAAGAAGCTTTCTCACCCCAATATCATCCAACTCGAGGCCGTGGTTTCTACGCCATACAACGTCTACATCTTCCAGGACCTCATCTCCGGTGGCGATTTAATGTCACATGTGGAAAAGACAGGATGTCTCCAAGAGCCGCAAGCTGCCGTCATTATTCGACAGTTGCTGGAGGCTGTGAAGTATCTTCATGCGCACCAGATCGCACACAGAGATATCAAGCCAGAAAACATCCTCATGACGAGCTGGAAGGAGGGGGGCAGGATCGTGCTCACAGACTTCGGACAGTCGAGAACTATCGAAGACCTGGAGGTTGTCGCTGCAAAGGCAGGAGCATTCCGGATGCAGACTATGGTCGGCACCTGTGGCTACGTTGCACCGTATGTTCGCGTCTATCAGATGTTGGCTATCGATACTGACGCTGAACAGGGAAATATCGCGAAAGTTCACCACGGGCGGCCGCGGCTATTCACAAGCAGTGGACATCTGGTCGGTCGGGTGTGTGACATGCGCCATATTAGTAGACGATTTCTTGTTTCCGGCCGAGCGCGACCTCAGCAACGGGTTGTCTATGGAGATGTACAACCAATGCATGAGGAAGATCCGTTCCGGCAAAGAATGGGCGAACATCCATCGCCGAGCCAAGGACTTCATCAAAGGTTGTTTGGTGCTCGACGAGCACGACAGGCTCACAGCCACGGAAGCCCTTGCAAGCGAGTGGTTCACACATCCACACTATCGCGTCGAAATGGACGCTGCATATGAGCGAGCCATTGCGGACTGGAAACCAAAGAAATACGACGAGGACAAGTTCAACGAGCACATCGACACCACTCTGATTGTAGAGAAGGCTCAAGCGGTCCGATCTCGTCACTTTGAGACTGCAACTCTTGACCAGGACAGTCGTGAGCACACGAAGCAGCTTCATGCAAGTCCACTTGCTCCAAACACATCATGGCAACGTTGCGGAGCATCGGATGTCCAGTCTACCTTCATACCTGACCCTCCACCGCACGACAATGATGAGTTTGGAGATGATTCGTTCCAACACCTGAGTCCGGAAGACTGCGATGGCCTGGACGCAGTTCCGCCGAAGAAACTCAGGAAGAACATTCCCGACAGCTTCGACTTCTCTTCGTTCCCGGCACCACCACCGTTGCCACCTCGCAAGAAGCTTTGTCGTTGAGAATGTTCACACCTGCTCGCATGTGGAACGTCTCTGTCCAGCGACATTAGCAACATTACATTGTGCTCTTTCGCGCAACCGGCGTTTTGAGGGAAAAAGTGGTACAAGATTGACAGCAAGATGAAAGCTCACCGACTTTTCGTATTGCTCAATCTATCTTATGTGCAAGCCAGCTCTGATCAAGAACCACTGGCTGATCCGATATTTTGGGTTTCTCCAAGATCAGGTAGGTAGTTTATATCTCGAAAGAAAATAACACCTTCCACCCGTGCACTTTTCTTTCTTTCTTCCTTTCCTTTCCTTCTACCAAACTCCCTCCTCCCGCTATGCATGCACCTTTTCGCTGAAGAACAGAAAAAGAAAAATCAATCCAAAAAGGTAAACAAATTGGTATGCACCACGTTCAACGCGCGATCCGCATTCATCTCCTCAATCACACAGCTGATATTAATCTCACTCGCCCCTTGCGAAATCATCTCAATGTTGATTCCGTGTTCTCCCAGTGTACTGAAAAATCGGCCCGAGATTCCGACCATGCTCCGCAATTGTCTCCCCACCAGGGATATGATGGCCATGCCGGGGACGAGATCGACGTCGCCCCAGAAGGAGAGCTCGTCCACTGCGCCCTGCAGAGCTGCATTTTCAATTTTCAGCTCTTCTTCGCCACTGCCGGACAAGAGGGAGATTTCGCTGTGGAGGGCCATGGAGACGTGGACTTCGGAGGAGGAGATCAAGTCCACCGAGAGACCATGTTTGTCGAGAGCTTGGAAGATGCTCATCAGAAAGCCATGCGCCCGGGTCCGTTTCTTCGAGTGCACGTTCAGGACGGTGATGCCTCGTTTAGTTGTCACGGCAGTGGGGCGTTTGGGGCGGTCTTGAGCGGCCAGGTTGGAGAGCGAGCGACCGCGGAAGAGTCCTGGGCGACGAACGGCAATGGCATCTTCAGCGTCAGGAATGACTACGGTGCCCTTGTTGCGTGGGTTCATGACATTTTTGATGCGAATGGGGATGCTGGCTTTGATCACTTGATCCATGGTAAATGGATGAATGACCTCGGAGCCGTAAAAGGTGAGCTCAGCTGCCTCGGATGGAGTGACAGAGTCCAAGAGCCGTGCTGTAGGCACTTTCCGAGGATCGGCGGTAAAAATGCCATCCACTTCCTTCCAGATCTGGAGTTCCTGGGCTCCGAGACCGACGGCGGTGAGAGCGGCGCAGAGGTCTGTGTATCCTCTACCCACTTCCTTCAGTAAGCCGCCGGGAACTGCGCCAAAGTAGCCAGTAATGATCGGTACTGCGTCTTCCTCCAGTGCGAGCACCTTCGCAGCGATCGCTTCGCCCAAATCGAGGTAGAATTTCTCGTCCAGACTCTTTCCCGTGGGGAATTGTATGACTTCGCTCAGGTCGATGTATCGAGCATTGACCCCGCGACTCTGCAGCAACGCAGCCATGTAGAGGCAGCTCAGCTTCTCGCCCACTGAGATGACCATGTCTTCGGTCTGATCCGTCACCGCCTTCAAAAACATGGCACTCTCCAGAATCTTCAGCAGATTGCTGCATTCCGCGTTGACAGCCTCGTTGTACTGATTCAGAATGCCGCTATTATCCACGCCCTCTACGCTGCAGGCGTCTGACCCAGCTTGCAAGTGATCCAGTCGAACAGTCTCGACGATATCGCGGAACTTGCCCGGAGTCGGTTCGAGAACATCGATCGCCGCGCGCACGAGGCGATTGGTCGTTCCCTGGTCTTTGGTGGTGGAACTACGAGCAGAGCATACGACTGCAATACGCTTGCCAGGCTGGAGGCCTACCCTGTTGTATTCAGTAACCACTCTTTGATCACGTTGTCTGCACCTGCTATTATGGTACGAGCTCACTTTACGATGTCCTCTGCAATCTTGACGGGGAATTTGCCCACGGAAGTGCCACCGAACTTTTGCACGACCCAATTGCCTCCTCCTGGTATGCTCTTCTCTTGCACGTGCGGTCTCCGGTCGCCAAGCATGCCGTTGAGGAAATTGGTCCCATCGAGAGGAGGGGAGTTCCGCCCGCGTATAAGGGGAAAGTCCATGATGTGTGGTGTGTGTGGAGGGGTGTGTGTGTTGTGTGCGTGGATGTACTCGAAGGCTGGGAGTATGGTAAGGTAAGGTAGGAGGTAAGGTATGCTATGTTCTCGAGCGGCTGGACGTGGGAGGAGTAGGAGGAGTCAGCGTATGTTCACCGACAGAACAATGGTACAATGGAATGGTGGTGAGTCGAAGGTTTCTGTGTGGAGGTGGAGGGGTCGCGTGCGAGACTTTTGAACTTCTCAAATTGTTAGCTAAGGTGACTAAGCTCCACCCGACCTCAGTACCAGTCACGTCTCGGCGCATCATTCCCTTCGGCATTTGTCGGCGGCCTCGATTCTCTACAGAGATTTGCACCAGGATGAGCGAACATCGTCCGCCTCCACCTCGTGTTCGGCCAATGTGATGGCTTTCTCACACGTCGACCGCAAACATGCTGCTCGAGGCAGCCTTTTCCTGCTGACACTGTTCAAGTTCGGTCCGCATATCGCCTTTGACCGTAGACAAGGACACATTCTGTCGCTCGGCCTTACAGTTTAAGCTGTACAAACCGCCAACAGAAAACTCTCTCGAGAATTGCCAGGAAGCATGACGGACGAGACAATCATCTACACAAACTGCATGAGAACGTCCTACAAGCCCCGGATGCAAGCGACGATGGCCTCGCCAAGGCATGCGCGATTGATAGAGGGTGCAACTGGGGAAAGATGGCTAGAAAGAGCGGGCTTAGAGGCGTCTCGTAGAGTGCCTCATGATGCATGGACAGCTTCACGTCTCCTACACCAATGATAAGCTAGGACGTCTCAGGGCACTCAGACATTTCGATGAAGGTGTCTGTGGCACAGGGCTAGCTGTGATTCGGCGGGTCCTGGACAATTGGGGGCCAGTGAGATCGATAATACGATCCTGACTCCTCTGGAACTCTCCTAGTGATCCTGCTTTACATTCTTTGTGGTAAGTCAGAGCAGCAACACTGCTGCTACTGACCAATTCCCGATTACATGTATCTTCTCAATGCTGCTATGAAGAAGCACTTGCATAGCGTACGTGATGGTCCAGAGTCAGAATGGATACAGACTGTACCATTCTCGGGGAGATGAGATTGTGTACCCTGGACACATATGCCATTCCGACTTCATCGATACCTCATGGTCATTTCATCATGGTACTTTGTTCTAACAGAAAATCGAACAATGCCACTGCAGAACCGCTGACTAATCCGGAATGTGGATCCTCTCTTGAACCGATACTTCTTGTTCCATCCCAGCCTCCCAATAATCTCACCAATAGCTCACCGCGTTGATGCACATCCCATGATTTCCCCACGTGTTCTTGGAGACAGCGCATTGTGAACTTGTGATTCGTTCTTGGGTGCCATCTGATCTTAGCGACAGGCTGTTACGCCCCAAATGACCGCGGCACTTGGTACTGAATGGCATGTTACAGTACCGCGTAGGAGGGGTTCGGCATCAGAATGTCAATCCAATTGAAAGCGGCGTTCGTGCTATGTTTTTTGGTGATTGGAATTGGATTATACAGTAAGTCTGCTACGGCCTTTTTGCATCCAAATCATCCAGATACTAATGCTCTGAAGCTATGCGACTCCAGACGGTAAGCACCCTTTGCCATGCAGAGTGGGAACGCAACTAACGCGTGCCAACAGGTACTGCCTCTCGCTCTGACCCCTGGTCTCTTTCCCAGCGGCGCTGATGCTTTCGTCTGGCGGCCCAGCGCGCAAGGCAACAAGAATGGACTACGATTGAACCACATCCAAGTGGTGGGCACTCATAACTCCTACCACCGCGAAGTGGCCTTGACTGAGCGCAAGGTGCTCGAGCAATATATTTCCGGCTACCAGAATCTGTACTACTCCCACTCGTCATTCTCGAACCAGCTCAACTATCAGCAAGTCCGCTCATTAGAGATTGACCTACACTCCGATGAACGAGGCGGACTCTACGCTGATCCTTTGATATGGAAGTTATCAAATCTCACGAGTGGGCCTAATGGCACTGCGCCCTACGACAATACTGTCATGATGAAGCCAGGGTTGAAGGTCTTCCACATGACAGACGTGGATACAAACTCCGTCTGTCACACTTTCACAGACTGTCTCACTCAGCTCAAGGCGTGGTCCGATGCTCATCCGAACCATCTACCACTCACCTTTGACCTAGAACTCAAGACCGACAGTTTTGCTGCGATATTGGGAGGCTCCAGTGATGAAGAAGCCACAAACTTCACCTTACCTCGAATCCTGAACGTAGACAAAGAAATCCGCGCAGTCCTCCCCCGCGAGAAGCTCATCATCCCCGACGATATCCGCAAATCTGGCATGACCCTCGAAGCAAGCGTGCTGAAGTACGGCTGGCCTACACTCCAGGCATCCCGAGGTAAATTCCTCTTCTTCTTCGACAACGACCCGTCGAATGTCACCACCGATATTCGAACACTCTATCGCTCCGACGGCCACGAGTCCCTACAAAACCGCACCGTCTTCACGAATGCCGTCGAGGGCGACTCCGATTGCGCGTTCCTCAAACATAACAATCCGGATATTCGAGCCATTCAACGTCTCGTACGCAAAGGCTATCTCGTGCGGACCAGAGCCGACGAACCCATTACGACCATCATCAATCGAAATTTAACGATGCGGGAGGATGCTTTTGCGAGCGCTGCGCAGATTGTGTCGACAGATTGGCCTGCTTATGGGATGAGTGCGAGATGGGATCGAGATTATGCTGTGCAGCTGGGTAAGGGGAGAGTGGCGAGGTGTAATCCTGTTTCGGCGCCGATGTGGTGTAGGGATGAGATGGTGCAGGACTGATGGGAGGGGTGTTTGTTGTCTTCTTGTCGCTTTTGCAGGTATACCTATGCTGGCAAGCATATCGTGTGTTATGTACCTAGGTATATACCTTATTTGTGTCTGTTCACATACACGTACCGTATGTTGTGTTGCTACTCTGCTCTGGTGATGATCTCCACTCTCTAGAAGGATCAGGTTCGGGCGGAGATCAAAATAGAAACGCTATAGGCCGAACTACGCCACGGCCAGGGGCTCGGCGCGTGCTTCAAACATTCTACGTTCCACTGGAGTGCTTCAATTGCGTCCAGCGTCCAGCGTCAGCGTCAGCTTCAATTCGCGAGTGCGTCGCAGTCTCGCAGAAGTGTTCAATTCGCGCGGGTACAGTATACCACCACGTTTCTTTCTCTTGTCATTGCCATGAAGGTCCTTCCTTCTTGACACTCACATCCTCTCGCAGTCGTATATCATCATGTCGAACTTCGCTCTACAGATCGACTGCCAGGCCGCTCCAGCGACCGCCAAATCGGATGCTGGCATAGCAGGCGCTGGCGTTATCCTCGCCTTCATCATTACCGCCGGCCTCGCCCTCATCGCCTCTAGCTTCATCGTCATTTCCGAGATTCGAGGCAGAAACTCTCGGAATATATCACGAAAGATCCTCAGCGGCTTGTCCGATCAAATGCTGGTGGAAGGCATAGCCATCCAAGTCGTGGGTTTGGCGAGGATTTACTCCACCGTTCCGTATCACTTCTTCATCATATGGATGTTGTCTCTGCTGTCCACAGCGACCAACTTCGCAGCACTTCTGGCGCTGGTCCAAGACTTGAAACGCGACTGGGTCTTGAGGTGGCTGAGACAGTTCGCCATGTTTGTCAATATGGTCTTGGGCATCACGTTCGGTATCTTCATCTTGAAGACCAACGTCGACAAGTTAGCACCCACGTTGCCTATGGCGTGTGTGTGGCAGGCGCACCAACAGGACGGAGCAGCGCAAGGAAACCAGGCCCTGAGTATCGTGGGCACAAGTGTGGTCATTGCGGCCGCCTGTATTATCTTCGTGCTCGGAACGTGGTACTTGCATTTGCGAAGACAAATTTGGGGCAAGACTGTACGGCTCATGTCGCTGATCGTTCTCATGGCTATCGCTATAGGGGGTAAGTTCTGCACAAGGAGGGTGTACCTGCTGTTCAAGAAACTGATCATCTGTACTAGTCACTGTCCGAGTGATCCTCATAGCTCAAGCATTGGGCGGCACGCCATCGGTGAATCTTGCGGATCGAGGAGAAACAGAATGGACATTTGGTCAGCTCTTGACGATGCTACTCTTGATCCTGCCCTTTATCTCGGCATTGGAGATCTTTAGAGGTACTACTCGCACTGCTCTTCTTTACATGATGAACACGCTGACTCTGTGCAGGACAAATGCAAGTGCCGCACGCGAATGCATACGGGGACTCGGATCAAATGCCCCTAACCAGTGGCGACGGTGCTGAGCTCAAGCCAGTGCCTGACAAGTACACCTTCCAGCCGAACCCCTTTCTTAGATCATAAAGTAGTGTTGCAGTCCTTGAGATACCCTTTAGCATGCAGCAAATCGCAGGTTGTAAGAGATCCCCAATGCGCGTTGCTCTGTAGGTAAGGTACCACACGAGTCTAGAAATCCGAAAGCTTCATTCAACGCAAGCAAAGAGGTCAGACCGTCATCTCAAGCCCTCACCTCGATGGTGATCGGAGGTTGTTCCCATTATCCCCAGACCACGGACCTCGAGGCCCCCCGATCCCGACCTCAATTTGGGCCGTTACTTGGCGCCATGCGCCGCCGATGTCATTCTAGACTTGTCATTGGTCAACCAGACACCGCATTCTTCGATCAGATATGCCTTTTTAGAACACTTTCATCCACAGTTAGCGACCAGCCAGGCCGACTTTCACAGGACAACCGCATCAACGTCAATGCGAAGTTGTCAAGTTCTCCCAACGTACACGAGGTTGTGTACTACCACGTTGCGCACTCCATCCAGGCCCACACGTCACTGCCGGCCTTTGGGACTCAGGATACCGTGCAACGTCGCAATGACAACGAGCACACAGATCAATGGCGACTTGAATAACACACAAGTACTTCGCAGCACGGCAGAAATACCAGTCGATCGTGCATATATCGGAAAGACACTTGCCATACCGGAAGAGGACGATGATCACGAGATCCGGAGCAGGTATCGCCAAGGCTTTCTTCTGAATCAATCCATCACGAAAGCAGATTGGATTTCCAAGCTCAAACTCAGCACCGTTCTTCAACTTAGCGAAGCGAACCTAAAACAATCAGATAACGATCGTCTGAGAGTATTGGTGCTATATGGCAGTCTACGAGGCAGATCGTACTCCCGACTTCTCGCATATGAAGCCTCTCGAATCCTGCATCGCCTCGGCTGCGATGTGAGAGTCTATGACCCAGCAGGACTTCCGGTCAAAGACGATGTACAACACGATCATCCCAAGGTCCAGGAACTTCGAGAATTGAGCAAATGGAGTGACGGACATGTCTGGGTCAGTCCCGAGCAGCACGGGAATCTCACAGCAGTGTTCAAGAATCAAATTGACTGGATTCCCCTTTCGTCGGGATCTGTCAGGCCAACGCAAGGTCGTACTCTGGCAATTGCGCAAGTCAGTGGTGGTAGCCAGTCTTTCAACACTGTCAATTCCCTCAGGATGTTGGGCAGATGGGTAAGCGCGATGCGTTATCTCTTCAAAGAGACTTTGACAGATCACTGATGTTGAATCCAGATGCGAATGTTCTTAATCCCCAACCAGTCGAGTGTGCCGCAAGCTTATACCCAATTCACGGATGCTGTCGAGCCTAGTGACGAGGAGAAGTATCTAGAAGCCGAAGGTGGAAGTCGGCTGAAGGCCAGTGGGAATCGGGATCGATTAGTGGACTGTATGGAGGAGTTTGTGAAGTATACGATTGTGATGCGGCCGCACTTTGCGTTGTTTGGAGACCGTTATAGTGAAAGGAAGGAGAGAGAAGAGAAGCGACTGAAGAAGGAGAAGGAGGAAGAGGAGAAGGCCATGAGTGCGGCGAAGGAGAAAGCTGGCGAGGAAGGAAACGCGAAGAGTATGGCGAGTGCCGATGGCGTGGTGAATGGGATTGATGTAAATGGGCTATAGTTTGATCTGTATAGCTGTGGCGCCAGACTCCAGTCACGTCGCGCAGTACATGGGGCGCGCGGCGCTGACGCGCACTCGTTCTGAGGTTCCACGCACTCCTGACTAAGCATTCAAAACGCATGCCAAGATAGAACGAGTGCATAGTTTAAATTACGAGTGCAGGTCATGTTTTTCTTCTTCCTCTACATCTACTTCTATCGAACCATCTGCAAACTATCTACCTACTCTTACGATAATAGTTCACTACTATTTACTCTATATTTACCGAATCTATCTTGTACTTGTCTACAATTTACTCCCTCGACAACAGTAAGTATATATCTACTGTTATTATACTGTTACTATACCGTTAGTATATCGTTTCTAAGATAATTAATAGATGGCTCCTCAAATTACCCCGAATATGTCTCGCCTGATTCCAAGTATTGATTTATCAGACGTCCCATCAGGCTCTTCGCCAAGTACCTACGAGAGTCGGTGGACTTGGGAGAAAGCTACCTTACCAGCCGGTTCTCAAATGT